TGGTATGAACAATTATGTCGCACTAGTATGAAATAAAAAAATAAAAAGACTGTATATACAATAAGTGCTTAGTTTGAGTGCATAATAGCTACACGAAAATGGCATAGATACTCGAGCCAGAACCATACACACATAGTTAACACATTTACTCAAGCAAAAAGAGATATGTACAGAAGCTTAAATTACAGAAGTGTGTTGGTTATTGTTTATCTGCTTAAAGGATTGATTTACTAAAAATAAGTATTTGTTTTGTCATTTAATACACGACTCTTTTTCTATGTTCTTAAACGAGAAAACTAAAAAAAATCTCTCAAACACCACAACAGAACACAATAAAATTTTTTTTTTTTCCTTTTCTTTTTTTTTTTTTTTTTTTTTTTTTTCCAACTCACAGGAGCACAGAGAGAATTTCTTTAACGACAGTTGAACCCTTATATATTATACACTGGAAAACCCACATCACACCACCCAAACAACTAAAAAGTCTTCCACTGACAAACACCCAAAAAGTGCAAGCTTGGAAAACAATCTTTTGACAATCTACTTTCTCACTTCAGATCTGTTCTTTTTTTTTTTGTTCTTTTTTTTTTCTCACTGAGGAAGAAAGAACAGAACTTTTTCCGTGATTATAAGATAAATAATAAGAAAGAAGGGCCCTCGATAATCATGACGATGCAAACACCTGTAGCACAACTGAAACATCAAACCAAACTACATCCTACTCTGGCCACATTGCAGACCAGTTTCATGGAGAGTGGAAACCAGAACTCTAGCACAACCACAGTTGGTACGATTATTGAGAACATGTTCAAGATTGCTATTATTTCATTCATCGTGACCACTGTCAAATCTATCGTAGACACGATTTACAACTTCCTTTCCCAAAAGTCTGATTTTGTTATCATTCCAAATCACTCATTCAACAACTCCAAGGTAGATGTGAAGGAGATAGCAGCTGTCGATGACAAACATGAAGATGATGAGACTTTCAATGACACTTTATTTCCATCTATAGATACGAAGAGAGACTCTGTTCCATTTAAAGAAGAGCAGTCTGAAGAATGTTTGATTCCAACTAGCTGTTCGATGGGACTAACAACGAGACTTTTGCCGGTAAAGAATGCAAAAGGGGAGTTGGAATGGGTATTCACTGAAGATGACTCTATGCTAAACAAGGGTACAGAATTGGATGTATTTAAGATTCCACAACCACACGATTTCAAATTCAAAGACCACAATGGCAACCATCACAACCAACACCACCAGCACAATCACAACAATGAACTCTCACCCACCATGTCAAATTCATCTAATGAAACGACATTGTCAACAAAATTGGAATTCAACAGCTCACAGAGTAAAGAGCAATCTGTATCACCCAATGGATCGTCACATGGATCCTCCTCACCATATATGGGAGGCGAAGAAGAAGAAGCAGAAGAAGAAGAAGAAGAATATAATGAGACAAGAGTCGGACATGAACGTGACTATACCGATGGTGAACAACTGTTCTCCTGTCCACATTGTGACGCCGTTTTTAAGATTAGAGGATACCTCACGAGACACATGAAAAAGCATTCCAGTGACAAGGCTTATTCATGCCCCTTCCACTTGCAAAGTATATACAAGGATGATAATGATATTGTTCACAAATGTCACCCAACCGGAGGGTTTTCGAGAAGGGACACTTACAAAACACACTTGAAGTCGAGACACTTCAACTACCCAAAAGGTGTCAAGCCCAAAAACAAACCCAACAGTGAAGGACATTGTTCAATGTGTGGAGAGTTTTTCAATAGTGCTGAAATTTGGTGTGAGATGCACGTAGAAGGGGGCGAGTGTAAATACTTACCTCAGGACTACAAAGGAAAATCTAGACTCAAGAATAGGTTAAAGAAGAAGCTACAAAAGAATGAGGAAATAACCGACCCTCAATTGTTGCCGTTTACTTCGAAAGTTCTCGAGGAAGTTAAAGAGCAACGTATGCAAAAGAAGTTGGCCAGGAAAGAGAGGAAAAAGAGGACTTTAAAGAAACAAATCCAGCAGCAACATATCCTTCGCCATGATGTCGCCAATCCAAGCTACCAACACCATTCTAGCGTCGTCGCCAACGGTTCAATGCCAACCTCTTCTCCACAACACATGGATACACCAGGTTCCATGGCATCCTCGTCGCAATATGAGTCGTCTTCAGTACATTCACCATTCACGCCCCTGACTTCAAAATCCCCATTGAGTTTAATGACGAATAACTATGTCAAAGAGGACCAATCTCATCATTCTCAACCGCAATATACTACGGCACCATATCAATTTGAACAGATTGAAACGGCACACACAGGCTCGGTTGAGCTGCTACAGGAGGACTATGATGACGATTTTTGTCTCGATGTTGATCAGTTGAGTCCCCAATCGACGCGGCAGTTTAACGAAATGGTGGAGTACATCAAGTTGCAACAACTGCAGCAAGGTATGCAGGGACAGGGATGTTTTCAACAACAACAACAACAACAACAACAGCAGCAGTATAACTTTCAAACATCACAGCAGGTAGGAGGTCAGTATGTTGACTAGATATTTGTGAGGGGAGGTTCTCCTTCTTTCTTTTCGTTTTTTTTTCTTTTCGTTTTTTTATTTTGTTTTTTCTTTGGTGATTCACTTCAGTGGACTGTTTAGGTTTCTTTGCTGACAAGGCATTGGGATTTTCTTTACGATGGAGATTTCCATACGTCGTTTTTCGTGTGGGATGTTTTAGGGTATTTGAGTTTTAGATTTGTATTTTTATGTTTATGTTGTTTTTTTTTTTGAATCGTTTATTCTAAATAGTCTGTAATCGTAAATTAAGTCTCCAATATATTCTGTACTAATCTATTAAAACCAAATTCATCAGGACTTGGTCAAACCGATGTTACGAAAAGATATCATCAATGACTGACTTCGATTTTGATTTTGATTTCTTGGACGGTTTTGATTTTTTGGAAGATTTGAGCACTTTTGAAGATGGCTCTGCTTTTCTCTTTTTGTTGGATGATGAAGTGCCAATCGTTTCCTTGATTGAAGGAGAAGTCGGTGTTGGTTCTTTGTGGGTGCCACCTTCACTTTTGTCCTGGCTCTTGTTTTGTTCTTGTTGTTGTTGTTGTTGTTGTTCTTCACTTGACTTAACCGTGTGCGTCTCTCTAGTTTCAACTGTTGTGCCACCACTAGAGCCTTTCCCAGTTTGATTTTCGTCCTGTTTACTTTTACAACTAGAGGTTTCGTCCAAAGACTGGCTCACTAAATTTCTCGCCTCCACATCTTCCACTCCAATGCTCTCTCTGCCTCCCGCCGCATCCTCCTCCTCCTCCAAATCATAAGCTATCTCCTCTCCCAAATCATCCAAATCATTCTCGTTGATATCTTGACCCCCAAAGAAGTCAATACCCACACTCAAGACATTTGTTTCTGCGGATTGATTAGCAGCAGGAACCGCTGCCAACTCAATCTTTTTAACATCAACGCCTTGGATCTTCCCAAGCAAACTGACAATTTTGGCCAAATTTCCAATCAAAGCGAATCCCAAAGTGATGTACTGTCCCAAAACCAAAATGGAATTGTACGCCCAATATGCATCGCGCGATACTTGAATAATTTTGTTACTTAGACGTGATATTTGACTCCTTTTGTAGTTGATTTTAGACTCGGTTTTAACATTGACAGAACCTGATGATAACGTTGTGGCTAGTCGATCAATGTCAATTTGTAACTTGAGTACCTTTCGAAGGTTTCGGTAGGTGATATTTAGGTACTTGAACCAATGTTGTTGACGATGCTGATTCTTCGATCGATGATGTAGTAAGTTTAGTATATAGTATTCGTTCAGTAAATCCGCCAGCGTTTGCCTGTCCATTAGCGAGTTGGTACGTTTTGGTGGGTGCGGGTGTGCGTCGAAGTGATGAGAAAAGAAGTGGCTCCTGTTGACAAAGGTCTGGTTGAACACAAAACGAGACTTTTTTTTTCTTTTTCTTGCTTGTTTTGGCCGATGAGGTTTTTCTTTGCAAAAGTATTCGGAAACCCATCAGCCCAATTTCATCTTTACAGAAGTTTTCCACCGGCACAAAACACACGAATATGAGTGAGATTATACCACAAGCAAGAGGGTTTTTAGTAACATCGCAACCCGAGAAGGCATTGGAAATACTTACGCCGCACATCGCGTCCAATGCCAAATCACCGGAATTTCTTGCTATATTAGGAGAAGCATTACTTGAGAATAACGATTTACAACAAGCATATGAGGTGCTAATACAAGCGTGTGAACTAGATTCTGATGCGGCTTTGGGAGTTGAAAAGTTCCTTTACTTGGGACAAATTATTGGTGGTGCTGATGGGTTGAATTATGTAAACACAGGATTGAATAGATTGAATGAAATTTTGACTAGCATAAGTCAAGACGGGGGTGTAACACGGGAGGAATTGGTGAAAGGAGGGTACAAGGACATAAATGAGTACAAGACTTGGGCTATTAAGAAGTTGAATTCGGGAATATTCGCCAGTATTGAGATTTGGATGACTGATTTATGTATGGAACCAGAAGCAGAGTCAAAATGCAATGAGTTGATTGAGTTTAGCTTGTCGATAGATCCAACTAACCCAGAGTCCCTTTCGATCTTATCGTCAATTCGAATTTCGCAACAACGCCAACAAGAGGCCGTTGAAGCGTTGCAAAGATCATGGGAATTATTCAAATTGCAAAAGACCAAATTGGAGGATTTCGCTAATAAGAAAGAGGAAGAAGAAAGTAGCTCTGGTGGTGATGCATTTGAAGTCGGTATGGAGTATGTTGAATTGATTCAACCATTGATTACATTATCTCGGTATGCCATTGAATTGGAGCAATACGACACTGCCATTGAAATTGCATCCAATGTACAAGACATCAATGATAGTATACTAGATGCTTTCTATATTGAAGCTTTGGCAAACTTATTCAAAGCGAAACAAACCTCATTTGCAAACACTGGCCAAGCAAACGATGAAGAGTTTGATTATCGTGAGGTGGAAGTATCTCAATTGAAAGACACGTCTGAAATAAAACAACTTTTGGCGGACACGCGATCCATTTTGACGTCGGCCTACAAAATAAGCAATAGCGAATATGGAGCTGAGAATGATCCTGTTCTTGTTGAACAAGTGAATGAATTGTTGAATCTGCTAGGCGGACCAATCATGAGCGAATTGATGCCAAAGAGAGACAATTTGGATGATGCAGAAGTTGCCAACTGGGAGACGGAGATTGTTTCAGATGATGAATAATGGCAGAGTATATTGTATATTATAATAGACTTAAGTGATACCTATTTCGCATCACATCTCAAAAAAAAAACAAAAAACATGTTCTTCTTCAAACTATGGTAAAGATCTACTAACGCAACCAATAATGACAACCAACCATAGACCGACACTAGAAAGTAAAAAGGGTAAAAACATAGCCATACGAGATTCAATAGTGCATGCGAGATCTTTCCCACAACTGCAAAATCTCAAACTAAGATCAGACATACCATCTGCGACATTGGACGATGCAGTGAAGGAGTTGAAGACCGGAAAACGAGACGACGGAGGGCTTCTGGATAGGAGCACTCGGTATTTGGAGATTGACAGAATAGGAACCGAGCTGGAAGAGGTGATTAACAAGGACGCAAGTGATGATGAGGGAGAGGGAGATGTAGATCTCTCGGATAACCCATTCAAGAAGGGGCTTGTGGCTAGCCGTCGCAAAAGGATACGCGAGGATAGCAACGACTCGGAGTCACAGAAAAGTGGACCCACAACTAGCCTGGGCAAATATGAAGGGAAAGAAGACACTGGCATCTCGATTGAACTGCGAAATATTGAAGACGAGAATGATGTATCCTCTTCTTTGAAGAAGTCTAAGTTGGATTCAAAGTCTGGCACTGCTAACCAAGTAGAGGACACGCTACGTGACCAAGTGAAAGGAAATGACGATGATGATGATGAGGAAGAAGAAGAAGAAGAAGAAGAAGAAGAAGAAGAAGAAGAAGAAGAAGATGTCGATGATCAGGAAGATATGGCGGCTTTAGTTGCCGAAATTAATAAGATCAAGCAAGACAAGTCGAGTAAAGATTCAAACCCACCACTATTGGCAACACATCCTTCAATAGCACTAGACAAACCACTTTATCAACAAGAGCCCATTGCAAAAAGAACTGGATGGAGGAAACTGACAAAGAAATTCAACCAACTGAATCAAGATGAAAAAACCACCTTTGCCACAGACTCGATTAGTTCACAATATCATCAAGAGTTTCTATCAAAGTACATCCAGTGAGACACACGTCTCTTTTCGTGTATCTGTATACGTAGTAATGTCAAAGGTTTAAATAGCTAACGAATAAAGAAGACACAAATTCATAATTACAAATTAAACACGGCTAAGTAATAACTCCCCCCCTCCACTAAGTCAAATCTTCTTCATTACGGCCAAGCCTTGCATCAAGGTAAGCAATATCTTCTTTGAGACTGGCTTCTTCAACAGTCTTGACTAATTCTTTAGTACATTTAGCAATATCGAATGAAATACCTGCCAATCTTTGCTTGAAATTCTTGTCAGCAAATTGACCCTCATTGGTATCTTGCACAGGTTTACACAAAACATCCATCCGATGATAACAATCCTCCAATGACCTAACTACCCAACTTCCGTGTTCTTTCAATTGAGCATTTCGAGTCTGGTTCATTGACGTATTTGTAGCTTCACACATTTGGGAAATGACGATGGTGATTGCTTTGGACTTTTGACGCAAGTCATCTTTGGTGGCATCTGGTTTCTTGATCGCTCCAAGTAGGGATTGAATGGTATTAATCACTTCCACCGTTTGGTGTTCAAGATAAAGCAAAACTTGAGTTAACGTGTTGTCAGGATCCTCAATATCAAACAAGTCAACATTAAACGTTGCAGCAGCCATAGATTTACGATACTCCTGTCTTTGTCTTGCTTCGGACTCCACTCCCCTCTCATCTTCGTCATCGTCATCGCCATCGTCATCATCAGACTCCTCCAGCGAGCTAGAATGTTGTATTGGTTTCGGGGAACTTACCTTCACACGTACTGCTGGTTCTTTGTCCCCAGTTAGTTTGTCGTTATCTTCAAAGGAATGATTAACAGGTGTAAAATCACCCACTCTTCTAGCGGTATCGACCGGAGCCACATCTCTGGTTGGTACTCCACTATCATACCCAACCACAGAACTCGACAAACTTTCTGGGTCGTCGTTGAAACGGGGACCCTTCGTGTTTGCGTTTGCACTTGCATTTAATCTATCTTTGTAGGACTGGAATATACCTTTACCTCTTCCAGAAACCAAATTCTCACCCTCATTACTGTTGGTTCTGGCACCAGTCGCCGACTTTTCAGGCTCTCCTTGCAATTTAGAAGTGAAGGGATCAGCAAGACGTCTTGGTTCGTCACTTTCATCAGTTGATTCAATCGATCTGGGCGATCTTTGGAATTTTGGAGGGCTAGATTTTGCTTGCGCCTCAGGAGACAGTTCAAATTGCTTGACTCTATCCATAATCTTTCCCTTCTTCATGGGTGATGTTTTCATAGCTGGAGAAGACGACTGCTCTAGGTCAGATATCGCGTCGGTAAACTTGCGACCAAGGGTACTCACATTAGACGCTTTTTCAGTTCTCGAAGAAAGCGGAGTTGATGAGTTTATATTTTCAAATTGCTTCTCCTGTTGTTTTTCAACAATTGGCTCCTTATTGAGATCTCTGTTTGTTAATGGCAAAGCATTCCGTTCAACAATTTGTGGGGCAATGTTGTCTCCCCTACCAGTAACTGATGAGGCAAATGGATTCTTGGTGGTCTCGTCATTTTGAGCATCGCCAAGGGAAGAAGCTCCTCTTTTGGAATCGACAACATCGTCTACGAGACCGCTGGAAACGGGGGATCTTCCATCTGCCAAACTTGCATGCAGTGATTCATTCTGCATCCCTTCATTACGTTTTGTTCCTTTGAAATTATCTTGACTCAGTTGCGCATCTTCTCCAACACGCACATGCTCTTTTGTTTCGGCATTTTTCATCGGACCAGATACATTCTGTGGAATGGACCCTTTTCTGTCCAGAGGCGACTGCTGTATTGAAGGAGCAACTAACGTTGATCGTGATTTTTGAGAGGGTGATCCCTGTGCGTTCTGGGATGGGGTCTGTGTCTGTATTTGGCGCTGTTTTCCAGGCGGACTTTGATAGTAAGTGCCATTGATCATATTTGGATTACTCAGCTTCAACTTGTTGGCCATTTTCAATGGCCTTACCCCGTAGTCCACTTGAGAAGGAGTAGCTGCAGATTTCGTCCCCGGCTCGAGTTTTCTCAAATTTGTTGAATTTTCGTTGAGCTTTGATGCTGCAATCACATCACAAAGAATGCAATTCATTTCTCCTAATGACTTTTCGACAATAAATTTAGGAAAAAGCAGTTTATATGTAGCATGGTATCTGGTAGCGGTTAAATAATACGCAGCAGCATCCCTCAACAGTATTGAGTGATCGCTGCTATTGGCAACCTGGTTTTCTGCTTGCGCAGCAATTTCATTCATCACTACTGCGATTTTCGAAGCTTTTTCAAACAAGATATTAACGTCCCAGTTCTCTGAGATGTACACAAGGAACGATTCGAACAAAGCCTGTGCATCACTAACCAACTTTATGGAAACAAGACCGTCAGGAGCCACAAAAGACCTCAATTCGACTTTCGACAAGGTAGCTTTCTTGATTTCACTTGCAATGCACTTTGATCTAGAATCCTCATATCTACGCTGCCATTGCTTAACCTGCTTCTTCAACTCCAATGTTGAAGGATTGTCAGGGGAGGGTACGCCAATCTTTTCCAACTTTTCCAAGAAAGAAGTAATGTTCACATTATTTGATCTAGGTTGCGTATCAGACTGTTTTGGAGATTGATTAGATATCGATCTGTTCACAGGTGAGGTGTTTTTCAATGATTGATTTTCAAGTCTCAAAGCAGCGTTGATAGACTTTAGTTTCTCAAGCTCATCTGACTTGTCACTGGATTGTAGTGACTTGCTCAAGGTTTCATGTTTAGATATCCAGTTTTCCTTTTCTTGGCCCAATTGCTCAAGTTCCTCGCTAAGATTCTTATTCTGTTGAACAGAAAAATTGTAATCTTCTTGCAAAGACTTTACCTTTTCATTAAGTATATCTCTTTGTTGTCCGATACTACTCAATTGCGTTTTGTACGCATCTAGTTCCTTTTCCAACTCCAAAATTTTACCCTTCTCAAATTCCATATTTTGATGTTGAAGGTGACCTCCATTCTGTTGATTTGTTTGGTGTGAAATTTCCCGTGCATTATCACTTTTGTCCTTGTCGTTGACTTCTTCCTCTTCGTCGCTAGACCAGGTGAGGTTTGCCTTGGTGGGGATCACTGTTGACTGTTGAATACCAATGGACTGATTAGAAGCCTCTGCCTCTGGTACTACTGCTGTATTTTTACTAGACGTGGCAGCATCCACAAAATGGTCTGGCTTTACATCAAGTTTCTTCTGATCTTCTTGAGGATAGGAGTTGAGTGCATGTTGCGACGCCAGACGGCTATGACCACCATTTGACGCAGGCGTGTGTGATGAAGCTTGCGACACCTTCCGCTCATGTGCACCACGAGCATTATTTGCGTGATTAGAAGATAATGAAGAGCGACGTGGTTCAGACGTGTCTTTAGTTTCAATGTGGAGATCTCTTCTTTCGATTTCATAGGATATATCAGCCACCAAATCCTTGAATCTGGTCTGTGGCAACGAGGCCAATTTCTGCCTAGCTTGATTTCTTTTTGGATGGAACGAGGATTTAGGCAACAAATGATCTGGTTCACCTCTACTTTCGTCAATCCTACGTTTCAATTCGTCGTACACATCAGTACTTAGCTCCTTAAACTGGGCAGCAGATAACTTTAGCAATTTTTCTCTAGCTCTTTGGGCCCTTGATGAGGTTGATTTAGATCTAGTGTTTTGGTCATCTGAAATGTCAAGAAATTGTTTCAAGACCTTGTAGTGGTGTGCTAGATCCTTCTCACTCATAGTTGAACAATAACAAACAATGCGTGGGTGTGTTTTCGGCTCCAACGCAGGCGGTATCTAATCTAAAAGTATACGATAAATGCACTGCAATAGATGACTGCTATTCACCGGGTCGTGGTTGTGGATTTATGTAAAACACTATCCTGTTGTTGTTGTTGTTGTTGTTGTTGCTGATGCTGATGGTTTGCAAAAAGTGTGTTGCCAAAATTGAAACAGAATTTCTCTCACTCTCTGTGAAGAAGAATCTGAATCAAAATTTTTTTATTTTTTTTTATTCTTTTTTTATTTTTTCTCTTTTCTCTACGTTGTAGTCACACCCGTTTTCAAAGGAGGAGATTGTGTAAGCCTTGCAATAAGCACAGGATATTCTATATACTAGAGACTTTGAATCTGCTTATAATCAGCTCACAAGTTAAGAACTTGCCAAAGCTACCCGTTTCTTTTTCAAATGAAGACTCTACTGCAAAGAGTTTTCCAAAGGATCTTGGTCTGATTTTGTGTTGTCATCAACGTATCTTTTTTTTCTTTTTTTCTTTTCCTGTATAAGACGCGTCTTTGTCAATTTTGTGGTTTACTGGCTACAACGCACTACCTGAGCAAAAAACAGGCTTCTGCAAAGATGCGCCCTGGCTAGTTGACCAGGTCTGATGGGTTGGTTGTAAAAGTCTAAATTAAATTGGGCTTAACTCTATACGGAGCACAGGACTGGTCTACACACTCTAACTTGAACAACTGCACTGCAACATCGCATATTCATCTCCCTTCTCACCTTGTAAAATCCACGACTCTTCAACATCTTTCAACTCATTACCCCACAACCGATCGTCAAATGGATTGGAGCTCATGTCTTGCAATTTTTTCAAGTAACTAACATCCGTTCCTTTAGACTCAGACACTTTTTCAATCACTTGATCAAGAATCCAGTTTCTAGGTAAGAATTTAGGGTTGTAATCAGCGGCACTTGATACATTCTGGTATTCCGCAGACTTTTTCTTCAACCCATGGTATACCTTGAGCCAATCAACAAATTGCTTAGCAATATCTTCCTTATGATTCCTATTCGTATTTGGGTCGTAGCGTTCCAAAAACAGCTCAGCAATCTCTTCATAAGATGTGCCAAAGTCAACATCCTGCAATTTCAAAAAGAATAAATTAAAGTCAGTCTGCAACTTCTGCAATGCTTCCAACATGGGCAGGAGTAATTGAAGATTTTGTATATCGGGATTTTTCTCATCAATCAACTCCGTTGACAATCCCAATCGCTTGAAAAAAGTCGCAACATATTTCCTTGTATATGCATATTGATAGATTTCACCTCCCATCTCTATGATTTTCGTTGCTCTAAGTATAATGTCCTCCTCCCACTCCTCTTTCACACCTTGATCAAATTCGGGATTGTCCAACAACTTTTGTCCTGCTCCAATCAACTCGCACAAATTCTCCCCAAGTCTTGTCAAATTCCACCAGATTGCTGTTGGAACATTCCTATATCCATACCGGGACTCATGGTCTTCTGAGTTGGGCGTGTAGTTGGGATCATATTTATCCATGATTGAAAATGGCCCGAAATCAATGGTGAGACCTAGTATGGATGTGTTGTCAGTGTTTAATACTCCATTCAAAAATCCATAACATTGACATATGGCAGTAGTCTCGGCGTTCCTGATAATCGTCTCGAAATACATTTTATCGTACACCGTCAATGAATCGTCTGTCAATTTCGTCAAATCGGGCCTCAACTTATTGACGCGCTCAAAGTTTTGAAACTGGTTCCCATCAATGGTGAACAACTCAGAAATCACATAATCCGACAATTGACGTATACCATCACGGTCACCCCTGTATCGATACAAGTCAAATGTGCCCAACCTCACCCAGCTTTCAGCAAATCTAGCCACTATTGCACACCTCTCCACGGCATGACGTTGTGCTAGTGTCGATGGCAAATATGTCAACGCCAATGCCCTAGTTGTGGGTATTCCTATTGCATTCAAATGTTCAGATATAATGTATTCCCTAATAGAAGATCTCAACACGGCTTTCCCATCAGCAAACCTTGAATATGGAGTCATGCCAGCTCCTTTTAGTTGAAGCTCATACTTGTGTCTGTTGACATCTTCTTTCTTTGCCTTGTCGACTTCAAACAAGTTCACAACCCTACCATCTCCCAACTGTCCTGCAAATTGTCCAAACTGCCAACCGGCATAGGCTTGTGCATAGGGCACAGGGAACCCCTTATCCAAAAATGTCTTTCTATCCTGGTAAAATTCACCACTTACGATTTGTCGAAATACAGGATCATCCACTTCTGAAGCATCCAATCCCAAATCCTTCAAAGCTTTAGGGTTGGCAATAAGAAACTCATATTCATCCCTGGGTGTGGGCAACACCCAAGAGAAGCCTCCACTCAACAAGTTTCTTGGTTTATTAGTGATTTTATTTTCATTTTGCAAAGCAACTTCAATCGTGGGGATTCTATTATCGGGCGAAATGTGATTTGTAAAAGACGACGTCTTGACTGCACTTAGAAGCTTTGAGTTGTGTGTCATTCTTTTGGCTTGTCTGATCATAAAGAGGGGCAGACAGGGGGGGGAAAAATAGTTGTATTGGAGATACAAGTAAATGTGGCGAAGAAGATGAAAGATTGAAATATTTGTGTGGTTGATGAATTGCTTACTCAGTTTGATGGGCAATTGCTTTGTGTGCGTGCAATTCTAGTTCTGCACTTCTCTTTTTTTTCTTTTTTTTTTTTTTTGTTTTAGTTTTAGTTTTAGTTTTGTGTAATTAGATGAGTAATAGAATCTGAAGCAACCACTGTTGTGGATACTTTGGTGGAAGATCTGATAAAAGTCTCGAACCTTATCGTGTCCATACAATGCAGATCCTCCATCGTTCACAGAGTATATTAGGTTATTTCGTACCATTCTCGGTGCGAATACTATCTAGCTCCACTGTTTTCTGTTTCGAATATATCTCATACATCTCCGCAAAAGCAGGTTGGGGAGATGTATACCAACAGGTAGCTAGGATATTAGTTTGCCATGTGTGTTGTACGCGCTGTTGTAAAGAGTGCCAGTGGGAAGCAGGAATAGAATCTTGTCTGCAACCCCTCCGTCCTTATGTTTCAAGGAGAGGAAAAAAAAAAAAATAAAAAAGAAAAGAAAAGGGAAAACAAAACCCTTGATTAAAGAGATATTTCTATCACCGTTTCAAACCGATTGAATCAATGATATCAAAACAGAGGTTGAGAGTTCTCCTCTTGGTTGTGGTAGTTCTACTTGGGTTACATTTTCTCACAACCAACACGTTCAGTAACCAAGATATACAGCGAATAATTGATGAATCATTGAACAAGAAGCCAGAAAATACTATTTCTGGGGAGAAGAATTCTCTTGTATCAAATTCGACTCCCAAATCCAAACAGCAACCTAATGCCCCCAATGGCAAAGCAAAACCAAAACCAAAAACTAAGAGTCCAAAGATCGATGATTATACCATTTTCTTCAATGACCTTGAGCAGTTCAAGATAAATCAAGGCTCAATCAAGGACAAGTACAAACAAGAAGGACAGAAAGCTAAGGAGCTTTTCTCGACTGATGATTCCTTTTTATTCAATAAAGAGTACCTTGAAAACGTGTTGGACATTTCTGAGAAAACCTTTGAAGAGATGAAAGCTAGCCACACTAGATACGTGAATGAACGTATCCCGCAGCTATTGAATGAAGGTGTGGAAACCTTTGGTAAAATGGTATCAAGTGATCCTGACTGGGACATATACAAAGGATCATCTGGGTACGTATTGGTTGGAGGCGGAAGGTTCAGCTGGCTATCATACCTCGTTATAAAACAAATTCGTGCTACTGGCGCTCGCTTGCCTATTGAATTATTCCTTGCAACAGAAGATGATTATGAAAAGAACTTTTGTGAGCACATCTTGAGAACATACAACGCCAGGTGTAATGTGTTTGACAAGAAATTGGCACAGGATTTGCTGGACAGGTTCAGTATTGGGGGTTATCAATACAAAATGTTGGCATTATTAAGTTCAAGATTTGAAAATGTCTTGTACTTGGATTCTGATAATTTCCCTACAAAGAACGTCGACTACATTTTTGATTCTGAGTTGTACAAAAAGAACAACTTGATATTGTGGCCAGATGCTTGGGCTAGAACCACCAACCCCATGTTCTACGACATAGCCGGAGTCGATGTGAAGGAGAATAAACTCAGGTATAGCACTTATGATATTAAACAAGCAGGAGGCAAGGAGAACCTTCGCCCGTTATCGGAGTACACTTTTGAAAACTCAAGGTTTCACGACTTTGAAGGAACTTTGCCTGACCCAACGTCAGAAACAGGAATGTTTGTTGTCAATAAAACCAGCCATTTAAAAACGTTGCTTCTTTGCTTGTACTATAACGTGTTTGGTCCCCACTATTATTATCCTATATTGACACAAGGATCAGCAGGTGAAGGCGATAAAGAGACATTCATTGCTGCTGCTCATGTGTTGAATGAACCGTGGCATCAGACATTAAAGCAGTTCCAGTGGACAGGGTACAACTCAAAAGCATCAAACTCGTTCACGTCAAAGGCATTGGCCCATTTTGATCCAGTGCAAGCGTCCACCGATGTTAAGGACGTGGATGTCATCTTTATGCACTTGTCGTATCCAAAATTTTACCCTAATTGGTTGGTCGACAATAATGATCTCGTCTACAAGGACTCGGGTGAGCATATACGAATGTATGCCGGAGTGAAAGAAAATCTAGGCTACGACTTTGATCTACGGGTTTTGCAATTCTTTACTGAAAGTATTTGTCCCAACTACTATAGACCTGACGGGAAGGCAATTGACGATGATGTTTCAGTATCCAAAGACACCACTTACATGGGAGAGTATCTTCAATACATCAAGGATGAAGAGCAAAATAATATCAAGCGTTGTGAAGAAGTGTTTATTCCACATTTGAAGTGGCTCAAGGAGACCAAAGATCAGAAGGAGTAAGTTGGGTGTCCAAATGGTGTATCTTGTTCTTTTTTTTAGCTTTCTAGAAGCGTAATAACTTATAACTACTAACCATTCATTTTCTCAACGATATTACTAACAACTTCATCAACGCTATCTCTTGCATACTTACTGACCATCAATACATCGATCAAACTCTTTACGCCAATGTTGATTTCATATTGTTCAAGCTGACCTAAAATCTCTCTTCTCTCATCTGGCGACATGAAACCCAACTTGTCCAAAACTTTACCAACTTCGCCAATCGACTTGATAGGAGGTACAGCAATAGCATCATTGAAACTATCAACAAGATTCATATGCTTCAATACAGAGTATTGGGAAGTAGTCCCAATAATCAACAACCTTCTACCTCTTGGTGGCTTCTTGGTCAAGTACACATTCAAAACTTGCAAGATATCATTGGAAAATCTAGGTCCAATGGGGTTATAGTTTATAATATTCTCAATCTTGTCGATAACCAAAACATTCAAAGGGGACTTGTGAACGTCTCTAAATACATTGTCGATTTCCTGGATTTTCCTGGCCTCGCCCATACCAACTAAAGTCTCAGCAGACAACATCTTAATAAAAGGGAAATCACTGTTCAAAGCTAATGTAGTGGCAATGGCAGTTTTCCCAACACCAGGTGGTCCATACAACAAGAGACTTCTTAATGTTTCAGATTCGCTTGATCTAACAACGTCAATAATTGATTGGCCCTTTTCAAAAATGTTTGTAATTGTTTGGTTAAATTGAATTATACCGTGTTGTGCTTGTTGAGCAAGATCCTCTTCATCAGTACCAAAAGCTGGACGGATATCATTCAAAGCTAAAAGGAAATCGTTTCTGGTGATGTGCATGTTTGCAATAGATTCAGGGTCAATTTGAGCTAAAGATCCCTTTTTGGTGTGACGAGAAACAGCATAAGACTTGGCGGAATTACAAAGACCTTCAATTTCAGCACCGGTAAAATTCTTTGTCAAGATGCTCAATTCGTCAAAGTTGACATCAGAGGTCAACAATCCATTCTCTCTCAATTTCTTTGTGTGAATCAAAAAGATATCCTTTCTACCTTTCTCATCAGGCAAGGCAATTTCAATCTGGATTTCAAATCTACCTGGCCTCAACAATGCCGTATCAATCAAGTCTAGTCTATTCGTCATACCAATGACGAGGATATTGTTCAACTGATCAACACCGTCCATTTTCGATAACAACTGGTTCACAACGTTGTCACCAACACCTGTTCCATCGCTTTTTCCTGACCCTCTTTGTTTGAATACCGAATCCAATTCGTCAAAAATGATAACATGCAAATCTGAATCCTCACCTTTAAGTTTATACTCAGCTTCAGCATCCTTGAACAAGTTACGAATGTTTTCTTCCGAAGCACCAACATACTTGCTCAACATTTCGGGACCATTCACAATCTTTGGCTCTTTACCATTCAACATCTTGGACAACTTACGAGCTATCAAGGTCTTACCAGTACCAGGGGGTCCGTACAACAACAACCCTTTACAGTGTTTGTAGTCCAATTTCTCGGCAATTTCTGGTGGCAATATTCTCGAGTTGAACGCACGACGGAAAATATCCTGAAACTCAGAGTCCAACCCACCGATGCCCAAATCTTCCAACTTGAAATCAGGGTTGATGATTTGCTTCCTAGTGTGACGACGAGACTCTTGGGCACCGTTGCCTCCAAAGATTCTCGACTTCAAACTCTTGCTTTTGGATATATTAATTTTTGATCCATCGTAAGGGTAAAAGACAACATCAGTTGATTTGATAAATATCCCTTTAGTTTTGATATCGTTGGAATCTTTGAAACTTGGTAAATTATCTTTCGTGTTTACATCAATGATTTGAACTTGTTCCACTTTGACTGAGTAGTAGACATTGTGAAAATCCATGTAAATCACTTGCGTGGGTTGCAAAATCTGATTTTCATACTTTTGGTGGAAAATGTTCACCAAATCATCGTGGTTCAACGGAGATGAATTGGATTTTGCCTTAACAAAATCAATCAGTAGATCAATAGCACCAAGGTATTGTTGTTGCTGTCCGGATTGGAAAATATCATAGGTCTCCGCGTGAACAATTTGATCAAATGAATACTTTCCCCATGATCTCATGTTTCCAGCCAATCCAATGTGGCCAGGTTTCATACGGTCATCCTTGGCTATGGAGTACACGAATACTCCATCCAAAATAATAGGGGTTCTATCTGGAACATGAGCAAAGTCTGCTGGATTCACTGCCACGCAATTCGCAACTACGACATCATTGCCAGGCGCATTGCTAACTCGTAATTGTTTCCTGAGCGTTTCCACCGGTTCGTGGCGGGGAGGATGATGGGGGCGATCTGAAATGTTGTGTGTAATCTTTGCTTGTCCTGGGGAAGTGGGGCTATTGCTTACTTTGTGGAATCCAAATTTTTCCATCATAGGCTGTATCTGATGCAAGATAAAAAGCTTGTATGAATTTGATGTCTGATCGAAGATTGAATCTGTTGTTGGGAAAATGTTGCAATTCTGTGTTTGCCACGTCTCGATGCTGTTTGTGCGGGATTTTTTTGACTCACGTACACTACTAGTCTTTAGATTTTGTGGACACAGATACCTCAGATTTGAGCCGTATATGCTTTACGCCCAGTGCCCAGCATTGAATCGACTTCAGACTGCTTTCAGGCATATAAAGCTATAGCTTCATACATTGATAAAAGCAGAGATTTTTATTGTGTCAAACTACAAGAATATACTTTTGGTATAAATTCAGTCGCGACCAAACTGGCGCCACGGATAATCCAATAAATAACATTTCAAGTAGTCCAACGCAAAAACGTGTTATCAATTCATTTCGAATACAGCTAATATAAATGTCATTGAGCAAGGTACCCGCACAAGAAGGTGTCGTCCATACATTTGGCTTCAACTTAACAGCATTTGAATTTACACGCGGCACCAAGCAAGCCACACCAAATATCATCTTGTTCATTGGAGGATTGGGCAATGGGTTGTTAAATGTTCCCTATTTACCTGCTCTTGCTAAAGCTTCGACAAATTTCAAATCCAAAGATGGCGAAAAGTGGAATGTGGTACAAGTGTTGCTATCTTCGTCGTATTCTGGATTCGGCACCAGTAGTTTGGACAGAGACTCGAAGCAAATTAGAAAAGCTATCGAGTACTTTCGGTCAGAGGCTGGTGGGAGCAGGCGCAAGATAGTGTTAATGGGACACTCAACTGGATGTCAGAATTCGTTGCATTACTCAATAAATATCAACAACAGAGCTGACACTCCAGAGTCGAGCAAGGTTCAGGGTGCCATTTTACAAGCGTCAGTCTCTGACTCCGAAGCGTTTTCGAATGATTTGAAAAAGGAGGAATTGGGTGCCTACCTAAAGGAAGTTTATGATGATTATATCTCTCAAGGTAGGGAGTCACATATCTTGCCCGAGAAGTTTAGAAGATTAGTATTCAATACGCCAATAACTGCTTATAGGTTCTACTCATTAGTGAGTAAACGGGGCGATGATGATTTTTTTTCATCCTATTTGGCCCAAGACGATTTCGAAAAGACGTTTGGAAAAATCACTGTCCCGTTGTTGGTGTTGTATTCAGGAAAGGACCAGTTTGTTCCTGATTCGGTAAACAAGGTAGATTTGGTTTCCAGGTTTAAAGATTCTACGCCCGCAATATACTGGAACGACAACAGTAAGATCATTGAAGGAGCTACGCACGACTTGGGTGACGGTTCTGATGATGGTGTCGTTGACGTTTTGCTTGAGTCGGTAACAAAGTTTATTGAAGACTTGTGATCGATGATAAACTGCTTGCAACCGAAGTTGAGAATTCTCTCAAATTACACGACCTGACTTGCTCTGTCCATTACGTCATAGAAATTTTTTTAATTTTTTCTGAGTGCAATCGGCGCTACCAGTTTCAATAAACCTCTCTTTTCGGGAATTCGGCGGCAAAATTATTGCGAAAAATAAATATGTAGTTTAAGCGAGGTGCCCTATATTTTGCTCAATTACTGCAAAAAAAAAAAAAACATAAAAAAGATCAAAGAGGGACACAAATTGCGCTGCAACAAAAGAAAATGTAAACAAAAAAAAAAAAGAATTATAATATTGGAGACGCAATGCTAAAAATATCGATTTCGAAAAGGAGTAGGATGGGCGACTGATTTTCTTCCTTTAGCACACGACTTTCTAACAACCACAACTGAGTAAGAGCAGGGTACTGAATAGGAAGAAGCTTTCCATTTATTAACTGATCTAGAAGAATGGAACTGATTTCACGAGAACTCGATGATATGTTATCTCCGAGCAACACGTAGTATCGGATTAAAAATTTCTTTTTCTCCGCCTCTCGTCGTTTACGAAACACAACAAAAAAAGAACTGCTGGATGCATTATATATATTTATGGATCTGTAAACCAGTAAGAAGAGCTAAATTGAAAATATACACTTGAAAACCTTTAGATTGTAACAAGAAAACAAAACAAAACAAAGCAAAACAAAACAAAAACACAAACAAAAACAAAAACAAACATGATCAAATAGAAAAGTAAGACTGACATCAAAACGGTAGGATTCTGCGCAGAACTGTAAGGAATTGGGGTCCAGCACTTTGCATCCGCGATAGACCATTCACATTCTCTTGCCCCCGCTTATAAAGCAATCTCTATGAAACGAATTCTTTCGATTACCAGCTTGGCGTGCCGAATGCAACCCCGTTTTGGTTCGACGATGAGGACGACCAAGAGGCGTTGTGCGTGTGATGTGGTCCGCGATTCAACATGGGTGTCATTGATTGTACTTGATGATTCAGTGCAATATTAGGGTTTAACTGGTGTGCCTGTGTACCACCACTGCCTGGGGAAAAATTCTGAACTTCTTGCATCGATGGCGGGGTTGCGACGCTCTTTGGATTTGTAGTATAATAACCTGTAAACGGATGGTGCAGGGTATAAAGTTCAGGTTGGCCACTTGAACCAACTGAGAGACTGTGTTGATGGCCCAGACCGCCATTGTGTGGATAAAATGGAGGTGGCATTTGCACCTGTTGTTGTACCTGTGGTATTTGTTGTTGTTGTTGTTGTTGTTGTTGTGGTGGTGGTGGTGGTGTTGGATTACCTACTGGGTAAAAAACTCCACCGTTCACTGGCAAAGGATACTGCTGATACTGTTGCAATGTGCGGTTACCGGTATCTTCTGGTATGTAGCCTCTCAAAGTGGCTTGACTAACTACCCCCTCGCCAGACAAATAAGCCTGCGGTGGTACGCTCGATCCATAGCTTGAATTGTTTGATGGGTTTGATGCAGATCTGGAATTCATCCCGTTGCTATTACCTGTGGGAACGTAAACATTACTCATTTCGTGTGTTACATAAGTAGCAGTGTTGTTCATTGGATTTGTCGAGTAGAAATCAGCTGGCACAGAATAGTTTCGTTTTCGTAAATTGTTTTCCAATTGATGAACATGGTCTACCGACATTGCACTTGCGTTTTGGTTCATCATAGGAGCTAAATTGTTGCGAAAGTAATGTTGTCGAGTCTGTTGTTGTTCATACTGGTATGGATACTCTTGTGGTTGCAGTTGCAGTTGCAGTTGCGGTTGCAGTTGCGGAATAAAAGTTTGGTGGTTTGGGGGTCTCATTGAGTACTGAACCTCATTGACCACAAATTCCCCATTAGCATTCATTTGGCTATTTCTTTTGTTAACCATAGCCGACGACGACGCAGAACCATTGTTGTTCAAAATGGTGTTGATTTTCGATTGAATACGCTTACCAAAAGAAGATGCAATCTTGCAATTTTGAAACCAATACTTGATGATCGTGATTTGTAAGTTTTGCGCACTCTCTTGTTCAATTGGTTCATTTTTTGGCAATAGCATCGAAATTTTTGACATGCTCAAGTGGCCAGATTGCGGATTAATCAATATGTCAAGCATCGTTTGGATAACATAATTGCCGTAAGGGTCATTCACCAATATGTTCAAACCACCAGTCAAGATATTGTAGATCAACTCAAATTTCAAATTTGTAAATGCTTTGTCTTGTGTCTCGTTATTGTAACAATTTTTCATAAACTTCTCCACCACATTTGAACTGAACTTGGAGTTGCACAAGTTGACAAGACCGGATTGAAGAAAATTGTGAAACATTCCATAATTAACTTCGATAGAGTTGATCGATATCAAGTACTGTAAAACATAGTTTCCAAACTGGTCATTGATCAACATCTTGAAATTGTCAAATCTTAAGATCGCCTTGGAAAACTGGTCCAACTGCTGGGGTGTAACATGATTAAGGCATTTTTGTAACACGCAGCAACCATGTTTATGGGTGGCGACTGTGTACAAATCATCAATTATGGAGTCATAAATGAACTGGCAATCAGGAGGATCGTACTTGTTCAAGATTTTTTGAATCACATGGTTCCCATTCAAGTCTCTGATCAAGTCAATGATGTATGGCTTCAATCCCTTTATCAACAAATTCAATTGCGATGGGCTGTTTAAGCTGTCAATAATTTTCTGTAACGCTCTTGTACCATGTTGATTGACCGATATTTGGCAAAGATTGTACTGCAAAATTTCCAAACTCAAATCTAAATTCTCTTCACTGCAATATGGTATCATTTTTTGCACCAAGTAGTTACCAAACGGATCAACAATCAATTCACACATGTATGGGTACACTTGATCAAAGATAACTTCAAAGTTAGATGCTCTAACTTGATAGCTTGATACCAAGTTTTCGTCAATTTTCTTTTGCAAAAACCGGCATCCGTATTGATCCTTTGCAAGTTTTAGTATCTCCAGCCTCAACTGGGTAAGTGGTACTTTGTTTATGGAGGTGAGATATTCTTTGTCAATTTTTGGTGGAGCAATAGCTGGAGATGGAGCTGCTTTAATGGCATAGTTGAGTGAGGATGGTGGTGAGGATGCAGATGAGTTGGACGCAAAGTCGCCAATGACATTAACACCAGTTTCGGAACCTACTCCAACAACGACATCCGTGTATGGTTTCCTCAAAACATTTTCTTTGTTGTCGATGGTGGTGTCAATCCTGTAGTCTTCGTTACTAGTCTTGCCTCCTGCAACAGTGCCTTGAACTTTCCTTTCGTCATCTTTGATTTTGTTGGTAGCAGTTGTGTTCCTATTATTGCTTGTGGAGGAATTATAATTGGTAGTGTCTAGTGACAATTTTTGGAAGGAGGAGACTTGAGACGATGGAGGTGAAGTTGTGGAGCTAACCGAGCCTTGGTTTGACGAGGGTATTATTAACGGAGTCGATATTACTTCATTATCGATGTTAAAGTTTGGTAAATTCAAGTTGTGATTCAACTTGTTGGAAGAATCCCATAGAACTGATTTGCCTATATTAGGATGAGTACCAAATTTTGCAAAGGATCCATTTGACGATAAACTGCGATTGTGCAAATACGAAGTGTTTGCTGTCGAAGAAGATGAGTTTGAGGAAGCGGTTGTGGATGTGGCAGGAGTTCTTGGCTGGTGGTGGAGTGGTTGCTGGTGCAGATGGAACTGTAGAGAATTTATATTGGTACTATTATTGGAAGACAATGAGTGATTTGGCGGAGTCGTGGGCTCGATTATTGAACTCAATGAGTTGATGGAAAGACTATGGGGGTGATGGCGATGATGGTGAGGTTGAGATGAAGACATGATACTGTGGATTTGCCTTTATACTCGAATAGGAGGTATTCGGTGAGGAAGAAATGGGAAGTTTGTAATGGGGGAACTGGAAATTTTGGGATTACAAGTGCTGATCCAATTTATAAAGCAAAAAAAAATAAAAAAAAAAATAAAAAATAAAAAATAAAACAAATAATTACTTAGCATGCAGTAGTACTGTATACTGTGCATGTACTGTGTACTGTGTACTGAGTGTCTGTGTATTGTGGTAACTACTACCACCTGCTACGACTTGTAGGAGAACCACAACATCCAAGAAATTGTACCAAGAACAGGGAAGTGTAGTGGTGGACAAGTACTGTATACTTGGTGGTCGACTAGGGTCCTGCTAAAATCATCAATCACGGTGAAACATGAAGCCTTACCCTCAGAACTGCGGAGCATGTTGTCCCTTTTTTTGCTGCTAGGTACTGTTTCTTCTAGCCTCCTGGTTGGCTCATCAGAAACGGAATCGTAATGTCGATTATTCTGCTAGGACTCAGCTCACTAATTACCACGATTAGTATGAAAAGGCATCCTGTGAACTGAGTCTGTTGCTAATGGTTCCAGCTAGATTTTTATTATTTGATCTGCTTGAACTTCCCTACATGTAAGAATTTGTCTGTCTTTCTCAGTTATCCTACATACAAGTTACACATATATACAAGACACGCCCACAACACACACACACACACACTCTCTCTCTCTCTCTCTCTCTCTCACTATCTCTCCCTGTTTCTCACTCATGCAAAAATACGAAAGGAAAGTTCTCAAAACAACAGGAAAAAAAAAAAGTCTTACAATTTCTCGATAAATTCTGTTGCCATTGGGGTAAGATTTCTAAGCAAATGTCCCCAACATGAGCAAGAATTTGTTACGGGGTACTTTCTCTCTCTCTCTCTCTCTCTCTCTCTCGGTTTTTTAGCAGAAGTTATAATTGCTCTTTGTATCTTTTTAGCCAAAGAAATGAGTTGTAAACCACACCCAGAGTAGTGCTGCGACAGCGTATTATAATACAGATGCTATTGTCATTTTGTGATACTATTAGCTCTAATCAGACTTGTAATATGTAACTTAGCCAGATTCGTTCTAGGAGTAAGTGGAACACGGTAAAGTCTACCACTGTTTGATGGATGTTCACCTTGGTTTGTAAGTAGACTAAAGTGCAGAAGATGGCTGAGGAGTTCAATTCTGGACTCAATCTTTATTGAGACAGGGCTTTTCTGTTTTCCTAATTTTTTTTTTGTTTATGAAAATTGAAGGTGCTCGGTGTTCATTTTGGCCCTTACAGGTGGTCAAAGCACTTCTTGGCTGAAAGTCTATAGTATCAATCGTGCTGCTCCTTTTCATAGTTCTCTCCTTCGCATTGGTGTCGTCATTATACGCGGTGGCAAAGGCTGATGTTGTTGTTGTTGTTGTCTGTTGGGTCGACATATTATAATAGAAAGTCGCACTTTTGTGATGATTATGCAACATAATTCTTCAGGCGCAAGAATAATTTGACAATAAACAAAATACTCAAAGCACACACTTCACAGAGACGCTCTAAAAACATATACAGGCAATGGTGACGAAACCCGATTTTGTCATGCAGACCGGAGACGAGAGGAAAATAAAGGTAGAAGGGCAAGAAGTCTTTATGAACTGCACCAAAATCGAATAGAAACCACAAACGGAAACCCTGGAGAACAGAAAATGACGGTATTTGTACTTTGTTTCGTTTTGTAGACTTCCTCTCAAAGCGAAAAGATTTACATTCTTAACGGGTCAAACCACCCCAAAAGTCAAATATAGAAAATGGAAAGGAACCTACAACAGAAGCCAACAGGAAAATCAAACAGTTGTAATATTTATATATATTAGTACGCAACTAAAAAAAGTCTTTCCAAACACACGTACCCACACACCAACTCTCAATCTTGTCAGACAGACAATTAAAAAATTTTAAAAAAAAAAAAAAAGAAATGTTTGTTTGTGAGAGATTTTCACACCCCTCATTTTCAGGACACTGTTAAGGACACATCAATTGTGTCGGCAGAGAACAAATAAGAGAGTACGGAGATAAAAAAGAACAGAAAAAAAAAAAAAAAAAAAAAAAAAGAAAAATATTAGAGGAAGAATGTTTTAATGTTGTGTTATTAATCTTCCTCTTCAGGTAATTAAAACATTTGTATAATGACACAGCATGTACACACTTCTTCTGCAACGCGCTAAACTACTCATTACTATATCTCCCTCCCCCCCTTTAAAACTTTTCAACAACTGACAGACAAAAAAAAAAACAACAGCCAATCAAACCTTTAACCAAAAGACACGACGCCAGTACAANAAAAAAAAAAAAAAAAAAAAAAAAAAAAAAAAAAAAAAAAAAAAAAAGAAAAATATTAGAGGAAGAATGTTTTAATGTTGTGTTATTAATCTTCCTCTTCAGGTAATTAAAACATTTGTATAATGACACAGCATGTACACACTTCTTCTGCAACGCGCTAAACTACTCATTACTATATCTCCCTCCCCCCCTTTAAAACTTTTCAACAACTGACAGACAAAAAAAAAAACAACAGCCAATCAAACCTTTAACCAAAAGACACGACGCCAGTACAACAGTTAGCTGGTAGATTTTCAATTGTTGGTTTGTGTATATAACTTTCCATAGAAAACATCTCTTCAAGTCAACTAGAACTCGGCTGATCCGTTCTACATGCATGTAGAATCGAGACAGCAAGAATGGGCGAGGCTTGTAAATCTTTATTTGAAAACCAACAAATTAGACTTGGTTGACCAGAATCGCGACAGTCATATTTCACACACACAATCCCAACCAAATTTTTAACAGAGGTTGCAAGATTGTGTGAACCTGGAAATCAACCACTTTACTATTTGCTTTCTTACTCTTACCGTGTAGCATCACCATGGTTTGGTCATATTTTGTAGCAAATTTGTGAGATTATATATGTTGTCATCTTGCAACACCTTTGCTTTATTTTTTTTCAAATTTTTGTTCATGCTTTATGGGAATGAATCCCCAACACCCAACAAAAGTACAACATCAGCTAGAAAGGGGTGGGGAGGGGGGCGGCGGCGGCACATACATTCTACTGTCTTTTGGTCCATCTCAATAAGTGACTAATACAATCTCTAATAAATGCTACAAATAGAACTAAACTCCTCGTCTAATCAACATACCAACGTCCTAGAATAACATACTGGTTCAAAACATCACTCCCAAACACATACTCTCCAACTTGGACTCCATCCTCTACCATAACACAACTTGCTATTCTCCTTGCTAGACGCTTTAGTTGGCGTTCTCGAACAGTTCGCTTTCTCTCATCCATCTCTTGAGTATTTGGGAAATCCAGTTCCATAAACCCAGGTGGTGACTCAAACTTGCCAAAAATCTGCAGTAGTTTATCTTCAAACTCCTGCCCGCTTACACCCTCATTGTCACCAAAGCTGTAAAATTGCTTATACTGATTGAATTTTTTCGGTTCAAATAACGAGTTTCGGTTGACAAGTTGAGTGAAATTGCCCGGTTTGTAGTGTTTGTTCGCCTTAAAATCACTGAAATCCCATGAGATTTGTTTTATCGGATTGAACACCAAGTGTATCTTGAAATCAGGGTCGGTTTTAAGCAAATTTGCATAGTAGTTTGAGAGAAACATTCTTGTTTGGAGCGGGTTAAGATCTTGAGGGATATCAACTGATAGATATTGCCTTGGCCCAATGGCTACTTGACTGAGAATAGTGTCATCCTCGTCCTGGGAATCTGCAATCTGCTCCAAATTTTCTTCTTTGTTGTTTGTCTTGGCCTGCGATGTGGGTGGGGTGTTTTCATCAACCCCTTCATCTTTCTCGAACTCAGTACTCCTGCAACGTGATTTTTTCCGGGGTGGTGAGCCTATGGGAGAATTTGGCTTGTTGGTGTGGATAGCCGGGCGCAATTGGTTGCTCGCTCTGACTTGTTCATTCTTGAGTTGCACATAAGTCGATATTGATGGCTTGCATGTGGAGTTGGAGTTGGAGTTGGAATTGGTCTGCCGACTACAGCTCATTTTTACGGGCGATGATGTCTTATCGATGGCATTGCTCTCCTCGTCGGTGTCACTGTATTGAGTCGGATATAGGTAAATGTTATCGAGGGCTGTTGAGTTCGTGTTGAGGTCTTTGCCGTTCACTTTTTGCGCTCCTTGAGATGACTGAGATGACAGTTGTACTAATGGATCCTTTTTTGGAGATGGGAATTGGTTAGATCTCGCATCACCCTGTATGGATCTCATTTTCTTCAACTCCTCCTCTTGTAATCGAATGGTCTCCTTCAATGCTGTGTTCTCTTTCTCTAGTTTTGCAATTGTCTCTTGATCCTCGTTTCTTGCACTTGCAAAAGCTTCCTCAATAGTCAATGCTATCTGTCCAAGCAAATCGCCAGGGACAGAAGCGCTCATGTCATTTAATGCAATCAGACGTGTATTTCATATGGCAGATCTTGCTAACCTTTATGCGCGACAGTAAAAAAGACGAAAAAAAGGAAGAAAGAAGAAGAAAAAAAAATAGAACAAAAAAAAAAAAAGAAAAAACCTTGATCAGATAATCACAACATCACTAGTACAGCCAGAGCAATTGACAAATCAATGTTTGGCCCAACAACGTCGACGAGTACATCATTTGGGGGATTTGGAGCTGGAAATGCAAACACAGGTGGAGGCGGACTATTCGGTGCCAAGGCCGGATCCGTAGGCTCAGCGCCAAGCGGTGGCCTATTTGGACAATCAAATACACAACAGCAGCAACCACAACAACAAAATACATCTGGAGGTTTGTTTGGCAGTAAACCTGCAGGAAGTACAGGTGGTGGATTATTCGGACAACTGACCCAGCAACAACCTTCATCTAGTGGCGGGCTTTTTGGACAACAAAATCAGCAGCAGCAGCAGCAGCAGCAACCGACCGGAGGTGGGTTATTTGGAGGGTCGCTGAATAGCAACACCAGTGGAGGATTATTTGGGAAATCGAGTACTACGTCGGGTGGTTTATTTGGGGGAAATTCGAATCCCCAGCAAAGTGGTGGGATAGTTGGTGGCGGGACCAACACCAATCAATCGAGTGGTGGTGGCTTGTTTGGTGCCAATAATACAAACACACAACCAAGTGGCGGGTTGTTTGGCTTTAATAACAATCAATCAACTGGAGGATTATTTGGAAGTAAACCAGCAGTAGGAGTAGGAGGAGGACTTTTTGGTCAAACCTCGCAGCAGCAGCAACAGCAGCAGCAACAACAACAGCAGCAGCAACAACAGCAGCAGCAACAACAACAACAATCATATACGGGTACCCACTTAACTGCCTTGACAAGAGTGGGTGACCTTCCCCCAGACATCAAGAATGAGTTACAGCAACTTGACACATACATAAACACACAACATCTAATTGCTACAACATTGAATTCAGATTTAACCAAACACGACGATTTAATCAACACCATTCCTAGGGACATAACATACTTGCAAAATAAATTATTGTCTACCAAGCAAGCTCTCAAGTTTGATACCAATCAACTACAAGATCTAAAAAGTATGAATAGTGAAATCACTGACGATATAAACAACATCATGCAGTTGATCATTCAATTGAGCACACCTGGAACGAAATTATCAAGCTCGTATCAGTTGAATGAGTTTTTCATAAAAAAGATCAAAAAGTACTATGAGGTGCTCAACATTTACGAGGAGACAATTAATGAATTGGAAAGCGTGCTAAATGGATTAGAGAGAAACTGTAATGAAGGGTTTGGAAGTTTGGCTAGTATAGTGCAAGTCATTAAATCACAGTACGCTTTATTTATGGACCTATGTGAGACCATGGCACAATTACATAATGAGATTAATAGGCAAAGTAAGTAGTGTGCTTTAATAGCAAGTTTTGTGGTTTGTAAAGATGGAGTTATCAAGTGAGATTGGTGCGCAAAAAAAAAAAAAATGAAAAACAAAAAAAAAAAAAAAAAGAGAATAATCTCTTGGACAAAATGCCAATTTTGCAAAGAAGCTGCATCCACGTAAACTGTTTGTTTGACCATGTCTCGTGTTGACTATCTTTCAAAGTACTTAGGGGGAACGAATGATGAAAAGAAGGACAAAAAGAAGAGAAAGAAACCAGCTATTGTCCCAACTTCGAATATTATAATCTCCAAGTCAAAACAGCATCTCCCTACCCCGAATCGCGATGACAATTCCATACTTGACGACAGCTTCGACAACGACGAAACTAAGCCCGTAATAGTCGAGAATATCAAAGAGAATAAAGGTTTCAAGAGAATAGACAATAAGCCACTAGCGAGATCACCCACACAAGAACAATCAGTTACGTCCACAAAATCAACCATCCCCCCACAATTGAATACCGTATATCGAGACGCTTCAGGGCGAATAATTGACATAAATGAAGCCAAGCTCGATTTCGAAAAGCGTAAGCAGGAGACTAAAGAGCAACAGCAACGGATCGAAGTTCGTACTTCTACCCAAGATCAACAACATCAGGAATCGGTCAAGTTCAGGAACAAGCTCGACGACAACTTTGAAGACCCGTTAAATATCTTTCAAGAGGATGTCACAACAGACAAGGTGGAGCATGAGGACACGCTGCGATCGCAATTCACTTATAATAAAGGTGTTAATCCAAGAAATCGATTCGATATACCTGCCGGGTTCTTTTGGGATGGTATTGACCGGTCCAATGGGTTTGAAGAGTTGATGTTGAGAAAGATTGATGCAAAGAGTTACCAAAAAATGGAAGTGAAAATGAGCCAAGATTATGAATTGGATTTTGATCTAGAGTAGATGCAAGCTTGGTAAGGTGTCTATTGCGGAATTAGGATACTTCCGGGCAGAGTGGTGAGTAACTCCATCGACATCGTGCTAAGCGTGTGCGTGCCATCTAGACGCTAGATTATGGCTCTTGTATAGGTAACATAGTCTAGTGAAAGTAATCAATCTCAGATCAGATCACCCTTTGGTGATACCCATAGCGAAAGTATACTTGGTAGCGTGGAGCGCACTTTGTCAAAGAAAAATAATCCTCTCTACCCAATGTACACACTCCCCTTAGCAGCCAGCAATCCAACAACCGCTCACGATGCCCCCAGCAAAGATACCAGGCTACTACTTTGATGAATCTCGTGGAAGGTACTTTAAGATAACAAATGGGGCTGTTACCACGAGTGATGGTGTGTCTCAAAAGTATCACAACAACTCCGTACAAGCAGAAAAGCGTAATCAACACTTTGATAGTGTAGAGAAACTAGAGCAGAGCAAACACGACAAACTTAGACAGAAGAAGCGTCGTGGCCAACATGTCATCAGAAACCCCCACGCCAAGCCTTTTGCATCGTCAGAGAAACTCGAACAAAGACTACGAAGAATTGAACAGGACAATCTCGCATTCGTTGGCTTCAAAACCGGAACCATTAATTTGGACAATATCTACTATAAAGGTGATATCGTTGATAGAGCAAAATTGGGAGACATTCCGGCGCGGAAACAAGACGTACCGCCGCATGGCGAAATTGTGGCTTTTCACAAAGAGTACTTTATCGTGGCGACAGAAAACCAATGGGGTGACGACGTCCTAGGTTTAGTTGCTTTCACTAACTCAGGTCAAATGTACGCCACTGAGCAGTGTACTTATTGCGAGAAAAATGGCGAGTACTTGAGATTAACATCTGGTCTGATCATGAATACTGTTTTTGGGAACAAAAATTATCAAATCAGTTCTACATACGCAGGATACGATAGTTCTGATAATAGATCCGATATTCTACAGGTGTGTTATTTTCTGGGACTCAGGTTTTGTACCGTACTCAAGTTTCAAACGTTTTCTTTATCCAATTTTGGTCGTTTTGAGGATTTGACACTACCGTTGATGAAATTTCTCAAGAATCAGTTCTCCAAATTACATACAAAGGGTCGCGCTCTTAGCAAGATATTTGGATTAGACGCATTTGAATTGGTGGGTTCATCCAAGTCCAGTATTGAAGAAATGAATTTGTTGTTGAAGAATAGTAGCGCCAATGATACTTTGGTGGAGACTCGCTTGAATACGTTTTTGTCAACGCACGACAAATTCAAGCCAAAATATTTCTACCGGCCAACAAATAATAAAGTTAAGTATAGGATTGAAAATTGTGTTGTACTGGAAGGTCGAATAGTGATTATAACTACAGATGGCCAAATTGTCTATTTTGAGTTGAATCATGAGTCGAAAAGATTTGAAAATTTTAAACTATTTACAACCAAGGTGTTTATGGTGGCATGTCAGCTTGCTCTACTGGGAGATTTTATCTATGTTGGTACGTCCAAGGAGATTTTGGCAATCAACTACAAAGATAAACAGTTGGAACGACATGCCATTCATGGACTTCGAAAGTTTTTCATTTTATCACCAACACAATGGTTGATTATCACTCGGAACCAAATTTGTTTCTACGACTCCACAATGGAAAAGCTTGACTTGATAATGTCATACAACAACAAGAACGACGCTCGTCAACAATTTGAACTTGTCAATAATCACTTGATCTTTAATGTGGACACCAAATTTAAGGCGATTAACTTATCTCGAGCAGTTGTTGAACAATCGGCGATATTGGAAATACAAACTGAGACTTCTAAAAGCGGGATTTTCAAGGACTTCAAGTTGGATCGCATAATCGACATGGGGATTCAAAATGGTTTCACGGTTGTAGGATTTCAATTCGTATCTCAAGACCTGGTGTATGGCAAATTTGAATCGCATTACATTTAGAAAAACATTGTTTACAGTAGATGTAATAAAAATCTACTAACGTTTTAAATTGAGAACTTTACAGTGGAGTTAAAACTACTCTTTGGTGATTGCTCTTGTAGAGCATATGCGGCTTTTATTTCAGCAGTGTACTGTACTGTACGCATCACGTTCGGGGGGGGGGGGGGGGGGATGCTTTTAGTAGTTACTTTGCCGGTGGATCTAAGCTGATCTGACAACACTCTAAAAAGAGGAGAAGTACATGTAGATGTAAAGAGAGTAGCTGTGAAAAAGTATATTAATATTATCTATTTCAGGACATCAAAGATGCAACCTAATTGTTAATACCGAATGCGCTGTTGAGATCCTTGGAAACGTCGTTGACCAAGGTTCCTACATCAGTGGAAAGCTTTGAGATGTCGGCAACCAATTCCTTAACTTGAGCTGGAATTGAGTCGTTGCCAACAATCAATGGGTAAATGGTGTTTGCGTTCTTTATGAGGTCGTCGACGTCTTTAACCAAGGTAGGAATCTGTCCAATGATTGGCTGAATCTGTGATGGAAGGACAGTAGCAGGAGAAGTTGGAACAGCTGGAGCAGCGGCAGCGGCGGCGTCAGCAGAAGCAACGGCAAAGACTGTAGCGAAAGTAGCAATGGAAATGAACTTCATGGTGGGTGGTTACGTGTGTTTGGATGAATATTTGTCTCCCTCTGGTCAAACAGAGACATGAATGCTATCTTATATACATCAAAGACCCCCTTCGTGCGTTCCTCTCAATGGAGTCAAGATACTGTGTTGTGCCACAATACGTATAAACCGCTTTTTCATCAGTGTTTGAGAAACAATGTAATCAAAAGAGAGAGAGCGCTTTTTGTGAAACTTTTCCACTGCATGTTTTTTCCGTTATCCGAAACTGTAACTTTGATGACAAATATAATTGTTGAATGACGACTCCATTGTTTTGCATTCATTCAGCCAGTATAGTGGTTAGTTGAGAGCTCTTTTCCCCACGAGGGCTTAAATAGAACTGCAGGTGAGCGGGTTTGTCCGAGAAAAACAGAACAATGTACACCGTGTATGCACATGCCGCCACAATTGTCTACGACTAGGCTATTGTCCACGTTTATCTTTCTCGTCTGTTTGTTTTTTCAAATTGCCGTAAAATTAGACGATGCGTGGATGAGATACTAGGAGAGTGACGATGCTCAGCGTTGACGTCCACTATACTAAAGATTGGAAACTCCCTTTACTCTCATTCCACCCAGCGCAAAGTTGGCATTTCTTTTGCGCTCGATGGCAGCATATGTCAAAACGTTTGAAGCCTGGGCCAAGCGACAAATTTTAGATGATAAAAACGGTTTATCCAATTGCGGAAAATAAAAAATTCCTAATAATAAGAACACAAAATGAACTAATGCAAGGGTACCCAGCAATAAATTTGCAAACAATAAGGATCAACAACGAGGACTGTTCAAGAAGAGGCACACGTGGGGGGAGATTTCTCTGGCTTCATTGGTCAATATACACAGAGAGGAAAAACTAAGCGCAAAAGCTAAGCGTGACTGCTGGAGATTCCACACTCATATCCGCATCCGCCAACATTGAACTTTTGGGGCAAAATTGCACCCCGAAGTTTCAACACTTAACAAGCAAACATATGTTGAGTCATTGGTAACTTTATCTTTACGGTCACTACTGTACGGCGTTTTTTGATGTAAGCCTCTTATCGATACCAAAGAACTGTGGTGTGATTATTGTATTCGAGATTAGAAAAAAAAGACGTTGCGACACAAAATTGTCGGTTATGAAATTTTTTTTTCGAAAACCACAAAAGGCATATCTCCGCTATATTGTTGTAATTAAATGAGAACTGTGTCAATGGGAAAAGTGCGGGAATTACCTGGATCCCGCAATTGGTGAGCCTTTATTCCAGCTACTGTGGCTCTCGGAGCAATACCGCCTGCTGTGTTTGCCATTAAGCTAGTTTCCATTGTGTTTGCCATTATACTCTTGTTAACAATAGCTCTATTGTTTAAAGTGGAAAATACACACCGTATCCGCTACTATTAGACAATATGGAACTATGATGCGAGCGGTGTTTTGCCGCTACAATAGCCAATTTCAAAAGTGAAACAATCATCGAAATTGCTCAGAGGCATGTTAACACAAAGCGAGTGTCACCTAGGGGAGGGCGTCTGAAATGCAAGGCCACACCCATATACCTTGCTCTGGATAAATCATAACCCAAAAAAAGTAGATATATAAGCGCACTCCCATATGTTCTCACCCTTTAAGTCAAAGAAAACTTTTGTTCATCAGCCATACACTACTACTACGTTATGAAATTCTTCACCATCGCCACCATTGCCAGTATTTTCGCTGTTGCTAACGCAGCCCCCACTCCAACTTCCGCTGCTGTGGCCCCAACTGCTCCTGTTACCGTTGCTCCAAAAGCAATCAGCCCTGTTCTTGGTGATCTTTCTACTATAGAAAAAGACGTCGAAGCTATCCTCAGTGACATTCAAACTATTACTCCATTGCTTGTCGGTGAGAACTCCATTCCAGCTGAAATTGTCGAGTTGATTCAAGCTATTGCAAGTTCTGCAAGAGATGTTGAAAGTATTGTCCAAATCGTTACAGGGGACCTTAACAAAGTCTTTGGTGCTGCAGCTGCAGCCGCAGCTTAAGGTAATCCGCGTCAACCTTATATTTCTAGCCGATGAAGACAGATAGTAATTTAGTTTTAATTTGAAATTTTTAGCCTTCATGAATATTGTAGAGCAACTTGTGTCTACTATCAAGGGACGGACTCTCTCACTACAGTAAAGAGATTGGATTTTATAGTTTATTTGAAAACACTAAAAAGCAAGCTTCACTTGCGTGGAGAAGACAATAAAAACGACAACGACTAGCACAACCAGCATGCAACAAAAGAAACAGCTGGCTAACGTGGAGAGCCTCTACAAAAGACCTTCGACACCTCCCAAAACTTCAGAGGCAAGAAGTTGTCCAAGTTGTGCAATGTATTGCAAAACACTCTCTCCTTGGTTCAATTTATAAGTAGCAGCAGTAGCAGCGTCAATGCCCAAGATGGTCAACAACTTAGCAAAGTCTTCAGCTGAGCTGCCAATCTTTCCGCTCAAAAGGTCTTGGATAGCTTGCTTCAAAGCATCAACAGGAATGGACGGAGTTGGAACGGTTGGCAAATCTCTCTTCAGAACTCCTCCCAAAACTTTAGAGGCAAGAAGTTGTCCAAGTTGTGCAATGTATTGCAAAACACTCTCTCCTTGGTTCAATTTATAAGTAGCAGCAGTAGCAGCGTCAATGCCCAAGATGGTCAACAACTTAGCAAAGTCTTCAGCTGAGCTGCCAATCTTTCCGCTCAAAAGGTCTTGGATAGCTTGCTTCAAAGCATCAACAGGAATGGACGGAGTTGGAACGGTTGGCAAATCTCTCTTTTCAGATGGACCAACCAGAACTTGAACACTAATCAAGTTGGCAAGAGTCTTGAACACGTCAGCTGTAGATTCGCCTTCATGGAAACCCAATGTAGCAGCATAAGTAGCATTGATGCCCAATACATTTAAAAGTTGTACATAAGCAGACCCCTTGGAGGAGAGGGTACCTTTTACTAGGCCAGCTTCAACTTCAAGAATGGTGCTCAATGGGATTCCAGAGACTAAATTGTCAGAGTCTCTAGCAGAGATCGATGTGTCAGCAGCACTAGGAGTGTAAATGGCAGCAGCCTGGGTTGAAGCAGCAAAAGCAGCGGTCGTAAAAGCGAATGTAAACTTCATTGTTGGATCTCTGTGAATTGGTGGTTGTTGGTTGTTATTGATTGATTATATTCAAAAGTTGAGGAAATTCAACGAGTTTAAATATTCTTCTTGGTTACTTTAGTTATAATTGCTCCAGAAAAGTACAAGAGCCACATGTTTACCCTCTTCACCACTGTTATTCAATGCCTCACAGCATTTCGACAACATTTACGAGAATAAATTGTTTTGACTTTCTGCTAATATGTGGCCCACGTTGTCCTTCCGGTGTTTCATAGTCACAAAGAGAACCACACTATTTCATATGAAGAAGGAATTTCCACGTTTACTCGCTGCAACAATGGCAACCAGGGTTTTGTATAATGCAGCCACCACAGTTGATGAAGAAGGTAACAAAGTTGCAGTTCTGTAATTGAATGACTTGATTCTCAAATTATAATTTCAAACTTAGATAACCAATTTTAGACTGTTTTAAAAAACGCGAAACCTAACCATTTTTCCAAATTTAGTAGTACTAAAATGGAGCTGTCGATGGGAGGTATCCCAACCAATCCATATTGCAGGGTAAACATGCCCGCAAAAGAGGGATTAATGTTTTGACATTATAACAAAATTGGATGGGATGATGCATTTCTGTTGACAAGTCTCTCCATACGGGCAACCATTGCATCAAAATGTACTCAGCACAAGACTGCAACTCTCCACCTAGTGGGATGTTCTGCCCATCGCATGTTACCTTCCAGACAAGAGTGCCATTCACACACCACGCAGATACTTTAACATCCTCCACGAAGCACGCCTCATGCATTTGCGTTGGTTTCCCCCACGCCCCGAATAATTTTCAATCTGGTTGTTATCAGCCTTGATCACAAACTTGTATCTTTGTTGGGCGTTGTTGACAATAGCGACCTCTTTTTTGGTTTTTTTTTTTTTGTTTTTTTCTTTTGCCTGTGAGCAATAAGCTCATCGTTTTCATTTACGAGAAATCGCAACCAACAAAAATTGGAACGTACTAAAAGTTGGCCTACACGGATTTATTGTTTCAAGAAATTGTCCTCTCAGCTGAATTCTGCCACAAAGATATGTGGAGTGTGATTAAATTGTGTGTTTTTGTTCGTTTTTCGTAATTATAAGCCCAGAACGTTACCATCAACACTTTTGTTTACATTGTGTTAACTAACAAAAGTGTGTATCGGAGTTAACAAAGCCCGCAACCATAAATGCAGCAAGTGGAATTTAGTGGAATTGTGAACATACATGTGCAGTTAGTTACACAAGAATAGTGCTTGAAATAAACCGCTTCGGGAATGCTGGACGCATAAAGAATTTTGTTGGTTACTTCACTGAGGCTCAGAAACCGTTATGAGCACTTGTACGTTTGTAGAAAGAATGTGATGTCCTTCTTGTTAACTAAATCGGAAAGCTCACAAGGTGATTCAATAACACTCTACGATTAGCAGTCTCTTGCTGACAGAGGGAAGATGCTCTTTCAATTGCACTGAAGTAGCACTTTGGGTTTTTGTCAGAATGGAGATACAGATCCAGTGGTACTTTACGAAAAAAGGGCTTGAAAAGACTTGCAACGCAAAATGTCGAAAGTATCACAAAGTTGTTACTTCCATATCGAACCAACTCCACCACACTTTTAGACAGTTTTCCCCTTCCAAGAAATTACCTTTTTACCCACAGTTAAAGGAGTAGCAATCTTATACAAAAAAACACCTTTACGAAAGTAAGTCCCTCAGCTTCATACACTAATAGACTAAGAGGATGCTTTGTTTCAGCAAATTCCTTTTGCTTGGTAACGAAATACAGTACCCAAACTCGTGGGTTTTTTCGAATGTGGCAGTTCTGCATAGATTGTCCAACATTTTGGGTTGCATGACCGTCAAACATTTACCAACTTTGCTGTAGTACGGAGCAAGTCCCTATTGAAGTATGGTAATTCAATGAATCTAACAAAACTTGTTTGTCATGTAGTAGAAAAGTCAAAGGTGTTCATGGTGAGATTTGTTTTCTTTTGTGTACGTGTGGGAGTAAAGTCACGCAGTCATGTTTTTTTTTTTCTTAGGTAGGAATGTGTATATATTATTAATCCTTGCACTGGTGAACTTCAGAGGGGAGTTCTGTTGCCATCAAGGCCAACATGGGTTTCATCCTACTGTGCGTGGTAATTCAAAGAACATATAAATAGGGATTCTATTTCCCACCTAAGTCTTCAAAGTAAAAAGTCTTCTTTTGGAATAACTAAGCAAGAAAAATATTTTCATTATGACTTCAATCAATTCTTCATCTCAACAGACTGCTACTACTGAAGCTGCCTCTGAGTTTCTACAGTAGTTACATGTAGGGTCATTTACGTGCTTAGAGTGAGATGATTAAGTTACTCTTTGTTAGGAGATATACATTTTATTTGAATACCCTTTAGTTTTTTACTTCAAGACTGATGCAAAAACTATGCAAATCATTAGATGAATACTCCATAATATACACACAAACCCTAGAGCACATCCCTAATCACCAAAGCAAGGTTTTAACTGCAATTGGGAACTACATACTGAGCCTGGGAATGTGTCAGTGTCGTCGAAACATGATTAAATTCGCTACATCGAACCAAATAAAAAAAAAAAAAAAATTGCCCCCTGAAGCTGCAATTTCCGCACCGGAACAAATAGACGCAGTGCGCGACAATAAGTGGACACAACTTATGAAAAATAAAAAGTGGGGTATTGATTTTTTTTTCTTTTTCCCTTGATCCTAAATGTTCCGAGCTTAACTTAGTAGAGCTTACTTTGCAAGGTAAAACTCGTGAAGCCCTAGTTTTGAATATATGTCATACTCCAATTCAAGGAGCAACGATGCCGAAACACATCTAAGCCAGGGCTCATTCACACAACTACTCGAGAAAAGAGCTGAACCAGTGTTTTCCTGATATGAATACAATGATTCATATGCACGAGAAAAAAAAATCTTTTTTTTTATTTTTTTATTTTTGACGCCGGATGCAAGGAAGTCACAGAAAATAGTTTGTTTCTGGTGAAATGTCGCGGTGAGAGCTTTAGAGAAATGTCGTTCACCAATGCAATTGGTTCTCAATGGTCATTTCTGTTTTGTTGAGCAACTAAGTACTTGGAACGTGCTTAACTGTGACAAATGAGACTACGGTTGTACTTGATGAGGATTAAATCCCACATACAGAGTGCGTTACATTCCACTCAATTGGGGCACTTGTTTGTTTTTTTTTTTTTTTTTTTTTCGGTTAAATGTCAATTTCTGCCGACATGGGACATGCCAATGATTTTTCTCATCCTTTTTTGGTGAGGCTGCGCGTGATGCAGTGATGGGTTTGGCCACCCCTCTTCCCCCCACTCTCTCTCGCCCCGCAAAAACAAATAACACTGAGCCGCGAATAACAGGGCAAGAGGAAAAACAAAAGATACGTCGATAACGCGAATGAAGCGAAAACGCATTCAAACAATACGACATATGTAAGTATTTCCTCAAATAGTATAGTTTCAGCTGTATAGCAAGTTAGCCAGTTATCCGATATTGAGTATCTGCAGTCTAAGTACTCACACCCGGAACGGAGGGCGGGGAGGAGGAGGAGGGGAGGAGCTTACTTGCTGAGTCATGTAACACCCTCAAGAAGTGCATTCTCTAAACATCCGCGGCTTTAAAGCGGCAAGAGGGCTGCACTTCCCTAGTTGGAAGCGTGTCAGCAACTGGCCAAAGTCGAGAGAACGGTCACTTCCACTGTTCATCAGTCAATATAGCTCCGTGTTGACTCTTTTGTCACATAGTTGCAAAAATAAACAGACTACACTCGTGCGACATTTCTTCTAACTCATTAATTTCTTTTTTTCTTTTCTTCTTATTTTTGTTTATGTTTTTTTTTTTTTATTTTTTTATTTTTTTCTTTCTTTTCTTTTTAACTTCTGTTTGTCCCATCCAATCCCAGTCAACGAAAAAAGGAACCCCAAATTTTTCCATTCAGAGGAATATCATTTTTCTTTTCAAGGCTTATAGAGTTTTTGCAACTGTTTCAACAACACCCACTGTCTCGAAAATAGACCCCAGTTCCCTATTGCGTCAACCACCACCACCACCACCATCTGGTTAGCACGTTTTTGTTCCCTGTATTTAATATTTTTATTTTTGTTTAATTTTTCATTTCATTTAAAGTTGAGTTAGCAGAACCAAGCATCCCTACCCCCTGCACCACCCCCAAAGTTCATACCACACCATCTTCCAAAAATGTCTACTGAATTGAAAGCAAAGGAGATTTTCAACAATTTCGCAACAGTTGGAAAGAACCAAGAAAAAGTATTGACTTTGCCTGATTTCATCAATGTTTTATCACCATTTCAAACTGACATCCCCAGGTCAGCATTTTCGCTCTTGTATCTAGTTGCTGATTCCGAAAAGAAGGGCTTTGTCACCGAGGCTAACTGGCTACACTTTATCAAAACCTTGACTTCAACCGATGGAGAATACAAGTTGTTGTACGAATTTTTATCCTCGAGCAAAGATGTCAACTCAAAAATCACCTACCATCAATGTGTCGATATTTTGAACAAAATCAACTCGTCCATAGACCCACAGTACCAGCAAAAGTTAATCAAATTGAACTGGATCTACTTCCCCAAGTTTTTCGAACCCAAGGGAGAAATTGGCTTCAATGACTTTGTCACTTTAATCAGTTTCTTACCTGTCACCAAGTTGATTGGAAATTTTGAAGTTGCCGCTGGTAGAAACAAGACAATTTCAGGCGAAGATTTGGTTAGAATATTGACAAACACATTTAACCATAAATTGTCAGACAAGTTGAAAAAAAACTTGCCAAACATTACTGGGTTCTTTGGCAATCAGAAGGAGTACTCATTATCCAATGTCTTGTTCATTTATGATACATTGAGCAAAGTGGATATCATCAATGAAGTCATTGCAAATACCCCGCCAACAACAAAGGACAAGGCCGATATCATCATCAACAAGAAGGACTTGTACAACCACTTGAACGACCCACTCTTAAAATCGGCCAACTTTAGACAAATCTCCAACTTGTCGTTGGATTTGATCTACTATTTGATCAACCAAGAAAGCGACGACAACATCCCACGTAAGCAGATGATGGCATTCTTGAACCCCAACGTTAGCAATAACGCCAATTCACTAGTTCAAATATTCGAGCACCCACAAAGTCGCTATTCAACTCACGAACCAAGCGACAATTTCTCCTTGTGGCCAATTTACGACTCGTTGTACTCATTTTTCCTCGGTTCTATTGCCGGGTGTATTGGTGCCACTGCTGTTTACCCCATTGATTTGGTCAAAACTAGAATGCAAGCTCAAAAGCACAAGGCGTTGTATGACAACTCATTGGACTGTTTCAAGAAAATCTTGAGAAAGGAAGGTTTCAAAGGGTTGTATTCAGGGTTGGCTGCTCAGTTGGTGGGTGTTGCTCCAGAAAAGGCCATCAAGTTGACAGTTAATGATTTGGTGCGTAAAATTGGTACACAAGAAGATGGGTCGATTACCATGAATTGGGAAATCTTGGCTGGTATGTCTGCTGGTGCATGTCAAGTCATCTTTACCAACCCATTGGAAATTGTCAAGATTAGATTGCAAATGCAAGGTAATACCAAAAACTTGTCGCAACCTGGTGAAATACCAATCAAGCACATGACTGCTAGTCAAATTGTTAGACAGTTGGGTCTTAGAGGTTTATACAAAGGTGCAAGCGCATGTCTTTTAAGAGATGTCCCCTTTTCAGCAATTTATTTCCCAACCTACGCCAACTTGAAAAAGTACATGTTTGGTTTTGACCCCCACGATGCCACCAAGAAGCAGAAATTGTCAACTTGGCAATTGTTGGTATCTGGTGCTTTGGCTGGTGCCCCAGCTGCATTTTTCACCACTCCAGCTGATGTGATAAAGACAAGATTACAAGTTGCCGGTAAAAAGAATGACATCAAGTACAAGGGTATCCTCGATTGTGGTGCTTCAATCTTGAAACAAGAAGGTTTCTCTGCATTTTTCAAAGGTTCATTGGCAAGGGTGTTTAGGTCATCGCCGCAGTTTGGTTTCACTTTAGCTTCGTATGAGTTATTGCAAAGCTTGTTCCCATTAACCCCACCAATCACAAGAGAATCCAACTTTAAAGCAATCAGCGGCTACCCTGGTGTTTACAACTTGACCAATGATCAAGTCTACAACTCACAAGAAAAAGGTGACAGATTAATCTATCTCAACAAGTCAGCTATTGACCCATCTGTCAGCAAAGAGCAAGATGCATTGGTCAAGTTGCCCGCTGACTATACTTACAAGTCATATGACGCTATGACCTTGTTTATGGATATTGATTACAAATTCGGAAAATTCGATTACAATTCGTACTTGAATTATATCCAGAAGAAGTAAGAAGTAAGAAAAAAAAGAAGGCAGGGAGGAAGAGAGCACGATGTTTCAGGAGTTTGCAGTTTCATAGAGACATAGAGAGTGGAAGGGTAATGAATAGAAGAGTTTCCCAAGATGTTTGTAATTAGAGTGTTGAATCTGATTGTTTCTATACATGTATCAAAGCTTTGCAGTTTAGCTCTCGTCTTGTTCTAATGGATTCAGCTGCGAAACCTCTACGCTACCTGTTCCGTTACATAGTACTGCACAACTAATGCGAACAAAGTATTGTCACATATTCGAATGTTGAGACATCAAAACCGACATCAAACAACATCCACCCCTGAAATACTTTCATCAGCTATTCTCTTACATCTACATGTGTTGTAAGGACTCGGGGGTGTCACTTCTGAAGCAGCAGTCTGTTGAGATAAAGAGTTGGTTGAAGACATGATAAAAAAGAAAAGGATCTTTTTATCTTCCTTTTAGTTGTTATTGTTAAAAGAAGATTTGAAGAATTAAGTGGGGAAATAGAATCCCTATTTATATGTTTTTGAATAAACTTGGCACAGTAGGATGAAACACTCTTGTGGTCTTGCTGGCAACAGAACTCCCTCTGAAGTTCACCAGTGCAAGGATTAATAATATATACACATTCCTAAGAAAAAAAAACATGACTGCGTGACTTCTCCACCACACGAACACCACAACAAATTTTGTTAGATTCCTTGAATTACCATACTTTCAACACCTACGGACAACAGTTTACTTAAGACCAACTACAAGATGAACAAGATGAGCAAGTCTGACCAGCTACCATGTTAGTTGCCATAATTTCAACATCTCGATTCAGAGAGACGCAATTTTTCTTTTATTTTCTTTTCTTAATGTCCTACAGTTCATGTCTTTGTAAGTTTAATATAGCGTAAATTCAGGAGAGCAAAGACTATACATCTAAAATCCTAAACAAGACTGTAAAGGATGGTCTCCTGCAAAGCAAAATAGCTCAGTTACGACCACCAGTAAAAATACCTCTTAGGTCTTGGCCAATGTCTCTGACCAAGCCTTCGACGTCGTTGGCAGTTGTTGAAATAGCTGAGATCAACTGTCTAAGGTCTTGTGGGTAAGTAGCATTACCACTTACCAATGGAACAACTGATCTCACGTCCTGCACAATCTTTTCAACGTCCTTTTCCAATTCTTGAAATTCTTGGAAAATTGGCACTGAAGATTGTGTGGGGACGAGGACGTCGCCGGTTGGGGTGGCGGCAGTTGCAGAAGCTGGAGCTGCTACCGCAACTCCGGCAAATAAAGCAGCTGCAGTTGTGGTAAATGTGGTGAATTTCATATTTGTGGGATTTTATTGAGTGGAATGTGGTTTAGATGATGATAGGATTCCCAAAATTCAACCAAAACTTGATGGGACACTGCTTGGATATTTATAGTTTTTCGTTAAAGTACTATACTCCTTTGCACCACCGGCCATTACCCACCTCTTCACATAGTGTGGGAGTGTGGGAGTGTGGCGGTCTCCGTTGTTGGAGCCACTTTCTTACTCAAAAGCATACACAGTTAATTGTGGTTGGCCACACGTGGGAAACCGAACAACGTAATGTAGCAAATTAATGAAACGTGCATGCGTGAGGTGTGGAAGGAGAGACACACATTTTCTCTTTGTCAAAGTCCCCCCTCCTTTTGACAATAGCACATACCACTGTAAAGTTATTGTCTGCGGAATGTGTGGCTAACCATATCACCTACTCGGAATTATGCAATAACCACACTTCCTCTAGTTTGCTACCCCTTTCCAGGCACATTTCTTTTCAAGCACATGGGCAGGGAGAGAGGAGAGGAGAGCAAAGTTGTGTTCAAGTGTGGTTTCCAATTAAATTGTGGTTCCGCATATTGCAATTCCGTTCCTGCACCTTGTCGCAAGGTTGCATGAAAATGACACATTGTAAAACGTCTTTAAGGTACTACGGTTAAATTTATTCCCTATTCATACTCAACGAATGGAAATCCAGGCAAAAATCAAAGACCCACGAGGCAGCGTCCACACACGTGTACCTCATCTTCTTCTCATCGCAGTATGAGTGTTTCAGTGAGGTATGCCTTGGTATACACGACACACCGACTCTGCATTGTTTGAACGCAAGTCGAATATATATTGCATCTACTAAATTGTGTTGTCCTTTATTGTTCAACTTACCGCATAATAATTCGGATCCGAAAAACGTGGCTGCAATTCACCACAAGTGGAACATGTACCTTAGTATTGTTTTCGTAATACTACAAGACTGGAAAAGGGCAATTGTGTTGAAGGAAGACATTTTTAGCCGAAGTATCGATTCTAGTCCCCCCACGATCTGGAAATGGCGTGTGATTCAATGCGTCTACAAAAAGCTACGTCCGAGCGTCAAGATCAATATGAAGCTGTCCATGGTAGATTATCGGCACACATTAGACACATCTTTTTGACATAATTGTGGAATCCGTAGACGCAGAATACACCAACACGATTTGACTGTTTTAAAACGAGCCTTTTTTTGTGACTTGTTTCGGCACGTTTACCCATCATCCGCGCACAACGGTTTTTTTTCATTTATTTTTTTATTTTTTTTTTTTGGAAACAATAGGAATTGCAAAACCGCTATGTAACTAACCATCTTAGTTATGCGTTGATTCTGAAACTTAAAGTTGCTCAAATGAATTCAAATCTTGTTGTGGCTGTATCCAATCCACAGGATCCCTTGCTAAAGTAAAGGAAAACTGTGGGACGTTTTACAGTGTACTTCTGTACACAAAGTTAGCTAAAATTGTGGTTCATAGAACATCGACCCCCATGTGCAGTCATCGTCTCAAAATTGGTGCTTCCTGCCTTTCCCCGTTTTTTTCTGATATTCTATAGATTTTTTAGTGGATTTTATGATAGAACTTAGTTCAATCTCATAAATATTATCAGTTTAGAAGCATCAAAGTTCCCTAGTTCTATGAAAATAAATCTATAGAGAAAAGCAGAAAAAGACCCAAATTTACACTTCAATACTTTACAAAGGTTGTGTACCTGAAATATTACTGATACATGTGTCACGCTCTAGAATCGTCTTCCAATATTGTTTGGTGACTGTATTAAGCTTATGTGATATGATGTCATATTACAGCAGTTTCCCAAGATGTTTGTAATTAGAATGTTGAATCTGATTGTTTCTATACATGTATCAAAGCTTTGCAGTTTAGTTCTTGTCTTGTTCTAATAGATTCAGCTGCGAAACCTCTACGCTACCTGTTCCGTTACATAGTACCGCACAACTAATGCGAACAAAGTATTGTCACATCTTCGAATGTTGAGACATCAAAACCGACATCAAACAATATCCACGCCAGAGCAATTTTTATTTTTTTTTTTATTTTTTCGATTCTTCATCAAATGTTGAACTCTTCCGATAACACATAGACACAGCAATGGCATCCGGAGCGCCAGGTACGTCTAGCAATACGTGACTTGTGTTCCAGCACCTGTACTAACAGAAACTTCTTTTTTTTTTACCCAGGAGGCAATTTCAGAACATGGACACCAACTCCACCAGAGAGAGGCTCGTTTCCACTTGATCATGATGGTGAATGCAAGGAGCAAATGATGAAGTACCTCAAATGTATGAAATTCACCGAGAACAAGAACGCTCCAAACTGTCGGATATTGGCCAAAGATTATCTCAAGTGCAGGATGGATAACCAATTAATGGACAAAAGTGATTGGGATTCGCTAGGGTTGATCAATCTACCAGGAGATAAAGAACAAAAGACAGAGACGATAAAAGAAAAGAAAAGTTTAGGAAATTAAAGGCAGAGTAGAAATTAGTCTTGTAAATAGATAATGTTTAAAGTAGTACACTAATAAAGTTACTACTCCTTAATGTCCTTTTTGTTTTTGGGAGCTTTCGACTCCTGTGCAGACTTCAAAAACCTATCAATAGCATTTGACTCTGTAGTAGCTCTGTCGGAAGGTTCGTTTGCAGTAGTAGTATTGCTGAATGCAGGGACATGTTGCTGTTGCGGCTGGCCATATTGAGGTGGGAAACTAGGTGGTGGCGCACCTTGGTATGGAACTTGCTGATAGTAAGCACCGGGTGGTAATCCATAAGGTGCGAGTGGAGCTGGTTGACCATTTGGTGGACCATTTGGTGGACCATTTTGAGCATAATGGCCACCGTTAACTAGGTGAGGTGCCCCTTCACTCATTACGTTGGAAAAAATTTGGTTGTAAATTTGTTTTGCCGCATGAGAATTGTGAGGTTGATTTTGCTCATTTTCAGACTCTTTGGTTTCGGCTTTTGTATTCTTTAACTTGTCATCCTGTTTCTTCCTCAACAAAGACAACAACTCGTTAGATCCCTTTGCTTTGCTCTCTGCATTCTCACCACCTTGATGTGATGCAGTTGACTCTTTTCTCTTCTCGTCTGATTGCAGTTGAGGCTTGGCAAATTTTTTTGCCTGAGCTGCCTTGATACGAGCAACTTTCTCCTCCTCAGTCAAAGGCTTTCTTTGTCTTGAAGCTTTCGAGTGGTAAACAAATTGCCTATTGCTCAAATTAAGAACCAATGAAGAATCTAATAAAAGCCCACGGCTGGTTTGAAGTTTACCATTCATGTTGTTCCCACTCAATTGGGGCACATCAAATATCACACCCAAGGAAATCTTTGAACCAACAGTGATTATAGAAGCCACTGTTCCCTTGGACATGATTGGCACTTTTCCGAAATCTTGTACATACTCAACACGATCACCCAATTCAAATTTCTGATCACTCAACAATTGATACGATTCGCTAGCATTGAGAATTGCATTTCTTGGAACACCTCGGATATCCTTGTTGATCAAAGGAATTTGATTCAAAACGTAGTTCTCCATATATTGCTCAATAGCAGCGAAACTGAACTTGGTAAATGATTGACTCTCCAATGAGACTGGGATCAAATCAGCCTTGACCTCTTTCAACCATTTTTTGACGTCATTGATATCTTCTACATTCGACAAATCTTTCAAACTTGGTATATCTGAGCCTTTGAATTGACCTAATCTTGCTAACAATTTTGGGAATTTCTGCTTATATGTCTGCACTAAATTGATAGCCAATGGGGAGTATTCCCAAAATTTTCCATTAGCCAGTTGTCTGGTGTATCCCAAGACTTTTTGTCTCTTGCTTTGAAATTTCAACTCCAATCCAATATTAACCTTTTTATTACCATCCTGAATCACGTACTGGCTGGTGATTTTGGACAACAAAAGTGCATTTATTCCAAGCTTCTTACTAACGTCAAAGGATGGGACATAGTTGATTTGTTTTGCTTCAATGCTTTGTCGTCTTTTACCAATATTGGGCTCAGCAACTGAAGAGATTTTGGAGACCCTGATACTCAATTTGTCACCAGAGTACCCAACAACCTGTGCCGGTGCCCCATATCCCAAATCACCGAGAAAGATAACTTGAGAGTGCAATGGGAATTCCTCTTCAACTGGTAAAGGTGGTCTAGTGGCAAACCTCTCATCCTTGTGAGTCACATCCTTGACAATCAATTGCAATGGGAAAACTTCAACGTCTTTTGAGTACGTCTTGACATACGCACCTTTAGGATTTCTAATTAACCCATTCACTGCTTTCACGTGGACCAATACCTCAATAGATCCAAGTTTGACACCTTTGGTCTTGTCCCAAAAGTAATCCAAATTGTTACACGTGGAACGGTATATTCTCCTGTCTTCGGGACTCAATTCAGTAGTAACCACATGCTTGAAACCCTTAACGTTCCTAACTGACTCATAACTGTTCTCACCATCCACAACTTTTACAACTTTGCACTCTCTCAAGAATGGCCAGTTGCTGTACACCAATTTACCTGCAAAGCTTTGAGCAAATTGACGCAGGGTCATGTCTGACCAGACATCTTCAATATTCAATACCATTGATTCTGATTTAGATGAAAAGTTAAACACCTTGACTTCGTTTAATGCCAATTCCGATGTGAAGGGAATTGATTGCAAGGTTGGGAATCCAGCCAGTAAATCAGTACCTGTACGTGCATCTTCCAATTTCCCAATCTTGTACTCACTCACTTCGGGCAACACAAACTTTGTTTCATAACACTTGTCGTGCTCTAAGTCATGGAAAAATCCTGGTAATGGAGAAGGATACACTTTATCAATTTGCGGATTACTGACAAACTTGATATTATAACCATAGGAGTTTCTTTTGGCTTCCTCAGGTGTCAATTTCAGTTCAATTGGCTCCAAAGCCTCAAGCAATTTTTTCTCATCAACAAAGTCCAATAAAACAACAGCCTCCCAACTGGCAGTCTTTCCATTCATATCAATGTCAACCTCATGTGGGTAGAAACCAATGATTGGAGACTTTTCATCTGTCATCAATGGCCTGTAAACAGCCGGCATCAATTTTCTAGACCTTGCAGGAAGCACCGCCATCAATTGTTCAAACGGTTTAAATGGTTTCGATTTTTCAAAAGTAATCTCAACTCCCTTCTTAATCAACTCTTCCAAACCAAGCGATATGTCAGAAATCCTTGGCGCATAGTGGTACCTATAATAGAAATTCCATGACGGGCAACCACGATAATAGTAATACAAAACCCACTGTAATCCTTCCACATAATGCTCTGTCATTTCAACCAACTTGTCTTTATCATCAATGGAGAAATGTAATTTCTCCTCATAATAACTGTTTTTCCAAGTTTTAAACTTTTCCTCATATACACCCTTGGTTTCACCGAAAACATCCTGACTCTCAACCAAGTTAGCAGCTTGATACGACTTGACCGTCTTTCTCAATTCGCTGATACGCTCATCATAATCTTCTTCCGATTCAGATGGGGATAGCCCATCAATGTCTAACCTGGCCACATAAGAATCATCCGATTTCGAGTGCACAATCAAGAATCCAGCTTCCAATGCAAATTGCTTAAGAAAATCCATATTCTTTTCCACATCTTCTTTGTTCAATTTCAATGTTGGCAATTTATCTTCATTTGCCAATTCGATTAGTTCGTTAACTGGGTGACTTGAAACTTCCATAAGCCATGGCTTGATAAAACCCACCAACTTCTTTTGTTCCTTCAAAATTAACAACCTGCCAATTTTTTTCCTCTTTTTCTCCCCAGATATGGAAACATCATCAAGTTTTTTGTTAAACCATTCAACATCAACTTCTCTTTCTTCGAAATTTTCAAATTCAAAATCCGACAAATGGTGCACCCAAATATTTAATCTCCGCAAGTTGATTTTCCCATCTTCATTGATATACCCATCAGATTGAAGTAAGCTTTGCTTAAATGTAGAAATCAATAAAGGAAATGCACCTTTGTTCAAGTGTAAGTCGGGTAGATGAGGCAAGAAGTCGTTACCAATAACGTACATAATGAGAATAAAGTCATCTAAAACCTTCTCAAAATCGTACTCAAAGTTGACTTGCTCCTCAATTTCCTTAAACTCCAACTCCAAGTATTCTCTCACCAACGACAAATGCAAAAGAAAGAATTTTTGATCAGTTACATCTTTGGGGCCAGAGGAGCCCTTTCGGTTACCGAAAGTTACCTCTTCTCGTAACAACGCAAAATGAGGATCATGACTTACAAGTCCCAACATGATTAAGTCTGCATCTAATCCGTAAATACAATGTCTCAAATTTGGGTCGTAGTCATCTTGAGACCTCAAAGACCTAATAAACTCTTGAATCTTGTGTTCACCTTCCCCAGGAACTTCGTGACCACTCAACACGATTTCAATGTTTGCCCACCGTGAGTCCTCCGTGATCTTTTTATGCACAAAATATTTCAAATTGTCCGTCAACTTGGCCATAAATTCCGTACCTGGCGTGATCGAGTTGGAGTCAAAAGGATCCTCTTTTGGAAGTTCCTCACCATTCTCAATCGCCTTTTTCAAGTTTATCTCAGCCTCATAAGCTGTTCTGAATCTTCTTGCTCTTTGCTGGTTCATTTTGGCTCTGGGCGCAACCCCATCAATGGCCATATAAAATGTCTTTTTCGGCTTGATAATGCTGAATAAGTGATCGATATAGTTGAATATCGCAGCGTACATTTGATCGTCCGATATGCGTGTTATTGAACCATCGTTCGAATGTGTACACGTGTGCAAAATCGAGTTCATATCAAGGTACAAATTGTCGAACTCGGGTATTTGCTTCTCATCAATCAACTGAGAAATCAACGGCCATCTCTCCGATATAAATCTGAAAAACTTGGGAATACCTAGGAGTAGTTAGTATCTTGGGCCAATCTTGAGAAAGAGGGCTTATAGATACATACCCATTCTTGTCTTCTGCGTTTATATTTAAGCACTAATCAATGCTGTCGATATTTCTTTTGAAGAAAAAAAAAAAATCCGACAGAAGAGGCAAACAGACAAACCGGACAAAACAAAAAAATAAAATATCTTCTGATACAAATCATACTAAAACACACGACCATTCAAAGGAAAAAAAAATAAAATAAAAAAGAGAAAAAAAAAAAGAAGAGAAAAAAAAAAAGAGAAACATATATATTCAACCTTAAACAAAAAGCTAATCAACGCATAACGAATCGAAACAGAAAAGCAAAAAAAAAAAAATTTAATATCCCCACAACCAGCTAAACTTAATTAAGCTTGACCTCGTGGGTCACCAACAAGACAGAAACGGCCCATACTCAATTGCCTTCTCTACCTAAAGAACTTCCAATCCCTTCTCGTTACTTATCCCACGGTAAGCATTGGCAACCTCTGAAAACTTCTTGAAAACCAACTTTGACAGGCTACGCAATTGCTTCTTCAAAAATGAATCTTTCGACCAAAACAGGGCCCTCCAGTTGGTGGCAACAGTAAGTTTCGAAACCACTCCCTTTTGCCATCCCGGGTACTGTTTTTGAAGCTTGTTGATCTCTTTGCGAAGAAGACGGCTTGATTTGCGAAGTCCCACTCTTCCTAACCTTGCCCACTTTTTTCCAAATTTTCGTGACACTTGCGCCGCAATCTTGCTGTACTCAGCCGAGAACTTAGCAGCTTTATTAGATATTGCTGCTGCCTCCCTACGAGACGAGTATAACAATTTTTCCAAGGTATCAACTGACTTGATGGTGTAGTTAGATAATTGGCCAGCAAATATCTTTCCATGGCGGGAAGCGTACTTCATTCCAAGGTGGGAGTAAACGGATGCGTTTTCACCAGCTTGGGAGGCAAACTCCTTCAAACTGGCAAGCTCCTTCTGCGCAACAACGCTTGCATCCTTGAGCCACTGCTGAGAATTTTTACTCACCAACATCACTGCATTCAGAGTCTTGCTTAACCAATTGTTCACAATAGGGACTGCCTCCGCAACGACTTCATTGCTCCATTGACGCACCAAAGCTAAACTTGGCTCCAAACTGGTTCTCAACTGCTTGCTGTAGCTTACGAATCGGTTCACCTTCAACTTCTTAGTGCGGAAAGCGAAATAGTTACTACTAACAGGCGCGTCCTCATAAACAAGATCGGTCCAATATTGGTTGCATTTGTCGTAAAATGTGACCGGTTTCGATGCCTTAACTGATGCAAAGTGGTGGATCGTATAGATGGCAGGTATTAGACCCACCAATATGGCAAAAAGGTAGTAACAGAGGTATTCAGAATGTGTATCCAAAAAATTTTGAACAGCATTGATAATTCTCACCTTGTGCGATGTAGGGTTCGTCTTGGTTTGCACCTTGTTCGAAATGGGAGGCTCTTGGTAAACTTCTTGCTTTGCAGCTTCAGTTGCCTCCTTCCTCTCTCTCGCTTGCAACTCTATTGTGTCCTCCATATCGGTGTCAATTTCCGCTTGTGGAGCAGCAGTTAAAGTTTCCAAGCCATGTCTCTCGCATCCAGCTTCTTCTGCAGCTCCATCTAATCCAACCGACATATTCTGCTCACTCACATATTTGTTCAACTGCTCAATCTTGTCCTTTGCGTAATTAGAATAGAAATCGCTCGATTTTTGCTTGATTGACTCGCTAAACATGCTCATATTCTCAAAAAACTTGATTTTGGAACCGACGTTAGCCCAATTTGCCAATTCATGAGACACAGAATCACCATCCAGACGCGATGCTGTTGAAAGCGACAGTGGAGAGCCATTAAATTCTTCTGATCCGCCACTCAACTTCCTTGTATCAGGTGCCGCCCTTATAGAACCTTGTTTATCCACACCTGGGACCAATTTAGGGACCTTAAAGATTGAGCCATCGCCTGCATCCAGAGACCCAAACTGGTCATCGGATTCAATGTTGTGCTTGCCATCTGAACTTGTTGTTGATCTCTCGTCATCAAAATCCGATGAGGAAGAAATAATGGACCAATCTTCCTCAAGGGAGTTGCTTCCCACATTACTGCCACTACTGCTGCGAGTTACCGGTCCTTCTTTTGAAACCTGCCCCTTCTCCTTAACTTTGATGCTCTCGTGCATTTCCTTTTGAAACCCTTATCGAATATCCGCCAGCTCAGAAAGTTGCCTCAAAGTAGTAGTCTCACACAAAGATATGCTCTTCGAATTGCAACTTTTTCAAAAGTAAGAGGTCTCGATATCTAAAGCTCTGAAACGAAGATGGATTTCAGTTAATTGCTATCAGTAAAAGAAAAAAAAAAAAAATGTGGTTATAAGAGAAAGTGTGGGTGGGTGATGTGTGCCTCTGTGTGTCACGGAGGGAAAAAAAATTAAAAAAAGGGGGGTGGGATAAGAAAATGAAGCAAAATTACAGAGATAGGGAACAATAATAGACTTCTCTTTCTTTATCATGTGAGACACACGATCAACTGATTTTATTATACAAGAGGGTCATGTTGCCACAGAGGTGGTCCACTAGTCAGCTATCTACGATATATCGAGATACCAGCTTCTGCTGGCCTATTCTGACACTTGTAAAGTAGTCTTAAAGCGAAGACACAAAGTAACTCAAAGAGACAAAGATAAGCCATTTGTGCAACCCTGCACTACCATTTCTCTACTACATTTGCCAAAACCAATGTAAAAAAGTAGCGAGTACCGGGCAGGGTCGCAAACACAATGTGAAAAATTTATCCCCATTCTTGATATTCAAACATCATGAGAGTAGCTCATTAATTGATCTTGATTCTAGCATAACAAATTGTAAATCCTAAACCACGTTTGCTTCACTGAGGTTGCATTTTGATTTTGTGTCATTATTTTGCAAACCAAGCTCCCCTTCAGACTCTTTCACTCTGCCGTAAACACCCCAACCATTGCTGAAGATGTAATGAAGAGATTGGATTTCTTTGGATTTAACACAATTTATGACTCAGAAATGAAAATCGAATAAAGCTAATACACAAGAAATATATTTATATATGCTCTTGAAAACGAAGTGAAATTTGGGAAAATGTCAACCAACTTTTTGCAACCTAGTTTGTAAGCAATGATAGACAACAATCACCTTTTCTCCATTATCACTTTTTGAAGTAGCAAGAGAACGAGTCCATGGTGAGCACCTTCTTTGACAAATTTGAAATCTCCCTAGAAGACGTTGTAGATACTTAATCTTGAGTCATCCCGATCATAGTTGCTGCGCGTTTTCACTCGCATTAAGCTACCGTGTTCACTGCTCTAACCTTCTTTCCGCGTCTGTTTGAAATAATCGTCCGGAACTGGCGAAGCTGACGAAGCAAATTCATGTCGTTGCTCCAGCGAATGATTTATATTTGCCATTTGCAAAGGTAAGTTCGCTGAACCAGGACGCGACAGATTGAGCATCTGAGACGGTGGAGGCAAGGACCCAATCGAGCTAGCACGACTTTTCAAAGGACCCCAGGTTGAGTTCGAAACTTGCGGGGAGTTGCTCAATACGGGACCGGGTCCACCTGGTGTTCCTGCTGGGCCCGAAAGGGATTGCAGTGGAAATTGATGTCCAAAATTTGCAGCAAGCGATTGGGGACGACTTGCGAGCGGCGGGATCATGAATGAGCTTGATATCGAATTGCTCCTCAGAGTGGACACGGGGTTGGGTGGGAATTTGATTGGTGCAGGAATAGTATTAAGTCCTTGAACACTGGGAGAATTCTTCGCCAGTGGTATAGTGGAAAGGCTTGACAGATCACTGCGCTGATCTTGTGGTGGTGTGTCTTCTCCGTATGCAACAATGCCGCTATTGATTCCTGGAAGCGGTCCGTGAACCTGATGGTGCGGGGCTGTCTGTGAGACAAAGGACTTCTGTGGTTGAGGTTGGTGATGTGCAGAAAGTGGGGGTAACGATATATGACTGGTGCTGCCCATATTACTATTATTATTGTTGTTGCCAAATGGTGGGAAAGGATGAAAGGAGATTGGCTGCATCGGATTCAGAGTGAATGGTGACCCACTTGGAGTTTTCATCGAAGTAAAAGAAGGCTGCTTGTAGTGTGACGAATATGGTTTGTTCTCATAGCTTTGGCTGCGCTGTTGCTTTTCAAGTAGCTGTTGTCGCTTAGATCCAAACTCTTGATTGCTGTGGCTCCTTCTGCTCTGTTTGTTAGCTAAATCTTCCGAAGAAAGCCCAATGGTTTTTAAAGTGGGGATGCAATTTGTATCGTGTGTGGTTGTGGAGTCACCACTGGTGGCGGGCTCATTACCATGTGAGCTGCTGAAGTTGGAAGATGCGCTTGTGGAATTGGATGTTGCCGACGAGTCTCGCCCATCCAGTTGATTAACGGCTAGAGCAGGTCTATGAGTAGATTCATCTCCACTATGGATGCTCTCGGTTGAATTCAAATGCTTCAAAGGACCCGTTGAGTGAGGAATTTCCTGACTAAAAGAATTGGTCGACTGCGGTACAATATTGAGGGCCCCACCGTGTATGCTATTAAAAGAATTGTTGTTGCTGTTTGTGGCGGTAGTGGTAGTGGTCGTGGTCGTCGTCGTCGTCGTCGACATGGCGGAGTTGGAGTTGGAGTTCGAGTTGGAGCTGGAACTGGTACTGTATCCACTATTATCGTTACTAATCGATTTCCCGGTACAAGCATTAGTCGAATTCTGATGTCTTGTTAATGCATCAGGCCGTGCAAGCCTTCTAAAACATTTTTCACAGTGGTATGGTTTTTCTCCCGTGTGAAGTTTTTCATGACGTTTCAAATCATGTATCCTTCTGAATCTCAACTGGCAGATGTTGCAAATGTGAGGTTTGGATGAAGAGTGTATGAGCTCGTGACTGACCATGTTGTGCTTTCTTGTGAACCCTTGATTGCAAGTCTTGCAAAAATATTTTCTTGGTAGTCGTTGCTTGCCAGTTGTGGGTGTTATCAGTGACAGCTTTTGCCTGTGTGGATCTGGTTGATGATGGATTGGGGTCGATGGCACTAGAGTACTATTGGCGGCTTGTGGGTGGAAATAGTCAATTTGTTGGTCTGGTGGATGAGAAGCACCATCTTGCTGAGATTCTGTTGCAGCTTGTTGCAGTGGATGTGAGCGTTGGTGTCCTGGTACCTGCTGCGTCGGCGACAGCGACGGTGGCAATGAGCTCGGTATCGAATTGTTCAGATGTAGCGTCTTATTAGGGGGCTGAGACATATGTGGTAAGAAATACTAAGATGTATGTCGACTGCTAAGCTGTTGAATCATTCAATTAGGACGTGTTGTTGAGAATATGAGTTTTAACTTTATTCGAGGTGATTTGAGGTGATTTGAGGTGAAGATGTGCAGCTGAATTTTGCTACGGGAGTTGCTTTCTTTGGAATCTAAGCGCTAATTGCTTGATTCGTCGGATTGTTGTTGCAGTTCGAATAGGAATAGATGTGATGTTTGGGCTTATATTTTTTTTTTCTTACGGTCTTTTCGTTTCGTTGCTGATGGGGATGTTGTTTTGTTGTAATATTTATTATATTATCTTTCTGCTTTGATGATCATGGACCATTCCATAGACTCGCTGTGTATTATTAAGGTGAAGAAAATTCTCTTTTTGCGTATGATGTAATACTAATTACAATAGAATAGAATACAATAACAATAACAATAACAGTAAATCTTTTCTTTCCCGTTCTTTCTTTCTCGTTTTGTAATTTAAATTTCTATTTTTTGTTATTATTATTATTATTATTATTAGTATTAGTATTTTTTATTTTTTTATTTTTTTATTTTTAATTTTCTCTGTTATATATGCATCTTAGTACTATATATGGGTGCTTTGGTGCTTCTGTAAATATTGTAGCGCCACAAGTATAATTAGTAAAGAAAATAAAGTATGACACGCACAAGTTATATTGGAATGGTTTTTTTGTTGAATGTAGAAGGGGCAGGCATAGGTTACTCACCAAATCTAGTTGGCGCTATTGTTCCCATTGCGACGCATGTTTATGAATTAAAGCGAGACTATTGTGTTCGAGCAACACGACTCGTCGTATTCCAAGCTCAATATGGAATGAGAAAATGGTGTAAAAGGATTAGTTCAAATGGCAAAGAGTAATTGCTTTGCTTGGCCCTCTGGGCTCCTGATCCGAGACTACTGGAGACGCCCTTTCAGCAATGGCACAATCTTACTTTGCATTTGAATTTGTGCCACGGAAAAGATTGCTCGATTTTGTTGAACGTTTCTTTTTCTTCTTTTTTTTTTTTTTTTTTTTTTTTTTTTTTTTTTTTTTTTTTTATTCTGCTCCAGTAACTCTGGTGTTTTAGATCTACAACTTGCAAATGTCTAACTCTTTCCCAATACTATGTATTAAATAATTCACGTTTTGATCTAACTAGATTCTTTTCATTTTCGGCCTCTTTACATACTTGAATTACAAACTTCAAAACTCCTGACTGGTCGACTATCCTCCAACTCGACACATTTCCACAAACTTCTCGTCAACAAAATCTTATCATCAATGATTTCATAAATCTTGCTCAAATAAAACCAAACTTCAGAATTGTTGGAACCAACTGGCCAGCTCAATGAATACTGCTCCAACATGTTTTTCAATCTTATAATTGCCGCATCCATGTCTCTAGTCGAAATGAATAGACTCTTTGTCGCCACATCATCAACAACAAACAATTTCGCCAATCCCAATATGGCATATCCAAATTCAATCTTGTTGTATTTGTCAGTACGTTGTAAAATCTCCAATGACCTTTCGTACTCTTGTAATGATAGGAATTTCTTACTTTTCGAACTCAATTGACCAGTAGCTATAAATGTCTTGATATTTGGTTCGTAAATGGATTCAGCTTCACCAATACATTCTTCACATTCATCATGCAAGTCATTCTTCAAAAACACACGTGCTGTCCAAAGCCACAACTCTTGAAGCAATTTACGTTCGAGAATATTGTCTTTGGGAGTTGTATGGATGGGGGCACTGCGTTGAACAGGGGCTGCTGCTGCTGCTGCTGATCCTGGCGCTGGTGCTGGTGCTGCTACATGATTCGAATTTTGTACAAGACCAGTACGTGACGGTGATGGAGACAATGACTTTTCCACTATTGCATTCTTCAGATCATTGCCATTCTTGAAAAAATCCGGCTTCTTGATACGAGATCCCGGAGCACTTCCCACCGACTTCAACGAAGATATAGAGTCTCTTCTGTTAGTGGCGTCAGATCGCAAGACTGGCTTTGGAAGCGACTTGGGCAACTTAGAAAGTCGCCTCAATCGGTCAACTGTGTGAGTTCTCTTCACGTGAGACCCGTCCTTGTCGTTGACTAGCGAGACATTCTTGGTGGCGACTGGGTTGGTCTTTGCCAGTGTGTGGGATACTGAGTACGCTGCACTTGTTGGGGAGCTTGCTCTTACAGGTGCAGGCTGGTTTGATCCAACATTTTGAAGTTCAATTGGATCAATAAAGCTTGGTCGGTGTGACCATTTTTCGTGAGCACCAAAATTTCTTGAAGATGCCAACCCCGTTGAGCTAGTTGTGTTGAATGACACTTCAAAAAGTTCGTGATACAAAAGGAAAGCTTCTGTGATGTAATTCATCATATACTGTGAGCCGTGAACAGATTCCAATACTGCTAATTGGGTCAATTTCAACTGCATGATCTCGTACTTTGCATCTGTAGGCAATTTGATATCTCTTTCCTTGTGCTTCAAAATGTATAATCCAGAAATGTTTAACGCCTTGTTGATGTATTTTTCCGGTTCTCTAATTTCCAACTTCGGTGGTGTATAAGTACTGTCCACTTGTTGATCAATTCCATTCATCTTACCATTGACTTTACTGACATCATTTAGCAAGTTATCTGGGAGTATATTGTCATAAAAGCTTGCTGGTTTATTAACATCCTCGTCGTTATTGTTGAATGAAGTTATCAACAACACCAAGAGATTCCAAGTTTTGAAAGATTCAGGATACCGTTTCAAAATAAACTTGCACAACTTCAACGACGGTTTCAACTGACCAGTATTTGCCAAGGCCAATGCATAATGGAACAAATAAACAACATTGCCAGTTGAATTAACGATTAACGAGTTTTTATAATTGCTCAACACTTGTGACACGTGGTTGTCGAGGATTTTTTGATTAGTCGATTCACACAAGGCAAAGTAATTGTGGAAATATCCAATTGAATGCCAAGCTTTGGAAATCAATTCAATAAATTGAGAATGATCAGATTGTAATACGTTTAAATTGTATTTCCGGTACAAGAATGAAAGTGGGTTTCGATCACCAGCATAATTTTCATCATCATAAGTTAAATCAATCAACTCAGCCAATTTGGACATGTAGTTTTGTAATTGGTCAACATATTTGCGCAAATGTTGTAAAACCACATTCTCCTCGGTGAATTTAAATTTAGGATGGTTCCTAAATGATTTCAATGGATTGAAATGGATGATGCAGGTACTGTATGTATCAATTATGGCCAAAATATCATCCACTTGACCATTCTTCAATTCTTGATCTTTTTCTAAATAATCGATGTACGTATTGAATGCAGCCAATGCTTCATCAAACTCATTCAAGTCAATCAAAGTGTAAATAAAGTTGGAAATGACGACTCTGCTTTGGTACGTTTTCTTCATCGCATCGACCAAAAACTGTTTCGACAAGTCAGGTTTGAAAATGGCCAAGTTGAACGGTACATAACTCAATGATTCATACAAGTTATTGGTGAAATCATTAACTTGAGTGTTTTCATCGTGTGCATCAGGAAATTGAACTCTCAGGTGAATGCATTCGTTGATATCCACCACCAAAAATTCAGTATACTCTTGTTTGAAATTTTGATTAACTAATCTTGAGCTTTCAGGACGTAAAAGAAAATTGGCAAAAGCTATAATTGCCAACTTGTTTTTGTAAAATGGGAGTTTAGTCAATTGGTTAACGAATGATAGCTGAATTGTGCGATTTTTAGTCAATGCAACAGCGAGGTTTCCAAGCAACAAGTCAAGCCAATAATTGGCAACAACGTGTGACTTGGTAAATGGTTTGTTAAAGTAGTTTAGATAATCTGTCCAAATTGACAAACCGTTTTGGTTGCTCAAACCAAGCAAGACATAGTATCGTACTGTCAAGTATTGGATAAACTCATATACACTAGCTGACACATTGAGGTTCTTACTCACTTGAAATGAAACTTTGATCGATGTGAGTAATTTGTTCATTTCGAGTAGGTTGCCATCGATGTATAGTAAATGAGCCATCAACACAGTGTAATATAGGTTCGCTTCATAAGTTCTTGTTGGCTTGGGGTGGTTCGAGTTAATTGAGGTTGTATAATTGATCAATTGTAACAATTTCTCCTTTGGTGAGTATGAAGAGTCTCCACCGTTTGCAACAACATTTTGCACTGACGTCAACTCTTGTCCATGAAACTCATTTTGCACCAACAATTTCAATTGATAGTCGATAAATATCAATTGTTGGAGAAAATCTTGACTATTCTGCAATTGCAATACATTTTTGGGATAACACCCAAAATTGATTGTCTTGATGTACTTTTCGTTTTCTGAGTTTTCAATAAGCATAATTGGGGAGTGCAATCAAAGGAGTATGGCACCATGCAGTGAATCAAGTGTCTTGTAGAAGTTTCTAGTGTGATATGTAGCCTGCACGTTGTTGAAAAAAAGAAAAAAAAAAAATAACGCAAGACGAATTATTCAAGGAAGTGTGTGTGCAAGCAACGAAGCAACAGGGTAGTAGTTAGCAAATAGTGAGATACCAAAAAATAAAAGGTATGTATATGTGTACGGCGAATGATTGAGGGTGTGGATGTGTTGTTGTAAAATGTTTTGCAGTACGTTCTCAAAGCAAAAGGTCTGTTTCAATAGGGAGGGAGCAGGGAGCAGGGAGCGGGTGGGGTTGGGAAAGGTGTATGTAAGGTTTATGTGTTGTGATAAAAGTTGTAGATACACCTGTTTGCAATATGGCACTTGGATTAAAACCCCTTGTAGAAGAAGAAGTGAATAAAGATATTTATATATCTCTGATCTTTCGGTTGAAGTCACCTTGGACGTTTTGTTGTCCATAAATTTGTTGATTGTCTGTTCAAGAAGTTCTGTTCTCTGTTTGTGGCTGCGTGTGGGTTAATTTTGTTTCATGAGAGAAATAAAAGAAAAAGAAAAAAAGTAGTTTGGTAGCGTTGCATATGATAAATTTCTCTCTAAATTTATTACCCCATTCAGTAAAACTATTAGAGGCACAAGAAATACTTCGAAAACGTATGTAATACATTACACACTTCAATTTTAAGTCAGGGAGGTGGGGACGTGGATCAGTAAGGCGAGAGATAAGAGTCCTACTTCTACTGGACCAAAAAAAAAAAAAACGTACCCTTGCTTAAACCGAAATATTAGGCACATGATCAAGATCTTCACTTCCCCTCATTCTGTCATACTTATAAGAGAACAAGAACAAGAGCTATAACCTTTTCTCATACACTTCATAACGGTCGAATGTTGATTAGATATACCTTAGTTTGTCTGCGGTGATGTTTAAACAAAAGAATCTAACCATCAATTACCATCTTGCCAAGTTCTTGTGCGGCTACAAATTTTAGTACTAGCTTTTATCATCAGTTTTTATGCCAAAATAATATACACACAATCTCTTCCCTCTCTTGGTCCGTTGTTGACTTGGTCTTAGACACATTTACTAGCACCTTGCCACTCTTTTAAGTCATATGTGATCCCTGTGCTGCGTGCTATTTTCTGTCTTTTCCCCACATCTCTCTCTCTCTCTCTCTCTCGCTAAATCATCACTTCTTCCTCCTTCATTATTGCACAGCTCCCAAGGTACAAAAACAGATCATTGAATCTTGCAGCAAAAGCAAAAAAAAAAATAAAAGAAACAATAGAAAAAATAAGTAACAACACATTAAATCCGTTTATCTCCGTCATAGACCAATACACACCTTGCCACAAAATACATCTCTATGCACCGATCCTCACTCAACACCGTTCAAAAACTTTATATAAACCTGGTAAATCAGCAATTTGGATCACATCTCGGGCTATATTCTTTGTTGCCAAAAATTGTTTCTTTATCTCAGGAAATAAAACATTTTCCAACTCGTGTTCCAAGAATTCACGTTGACTCTGTATAGTTTCATCTTCAAAATTTTCTCCTTCTCCATCCTCTTCTTCCACTCCAATTGGTTCTGGAATGTATAACAACGCAATCTGCCTAAGCACCCCATGCAAACACTGTTTCTCATTTTCATAATTGATTTTAGTACCCAACCGATACACGAAATACGAAAGTTTTCTGAAATCAGGCTGAACATTTTGCATCAACATCGGTATTGTCATTAAATTTCCATCGTTATCAATCCTTATTTGAAAATACTCATCATACATTTCTCTCATTTTGACTATATTGTCAATCACTTCATTCATTGGCACTAGTTTATCATCATTGCCATCTTCGTCATCACCTTGTTTTAGCTCATACAAGGGCTCCAATATTGTGTGTAATGCTATTGGTTCATCAAATTGTATTTCACCATAGTTGCAAAATTCATGTAGAGCCACTTGATAATAAAACTCTAATAAAACAGCAGCATAATCACATAGATATAGTTTGACATCATACTGGAAACAGCATAGTCTTTTCGCTGCATCAATTATTCCAACAAATACTGCTTGACTAAATACATTTGTCAATGACTTGTCAATAAAATCTGATAATTCATTCTTCAATTTGCTAATAGATTCAAGATTGACTTCTACTTGACAACGAGTTGCATTGATATTTGTAATCGGTACATCTTGGGATGACTCGTCAACCGCTGTTATGTCGTTGGTCTCTAGAACTTCGTTATCTCCAGATCTCTCTGAACTCTCTCGTGGCTGCTGTTGTTGCTGTTGCTGCTGCTGCTGTTGTTGCTGTTGCTGCTGCTGCTGCTGTTGCTGCTGCTCCGGCGGTGTTTCTCCACTGCCAATCAATTCGTCATCCAAACTATGCAAAATTTGACTAGTAGGGTACTCAGATTGCAAAAACGGATTAATCTTCGATTGGCTAGCGTCTATACGCACCAACTTGTTCTCTTGTCGATACTTTTTGATAAACGGCTGACCACCATTGGAGGACTTGCCACCATCATCAAGCCGTTCTTCGTCCAATAATGCAAACCCTCGTTTTGATACAATACTCTGCGTTTGGAATTTTCTTGAAGTGTCAAAATTGGCCAATGTACTATGCACTTTACCCACAATAACATCGATAATCTCTTCTTCATTCAAAAATCGCACTTCACGTTTCGTGGGGTGGACATTGACATCTAAATTTTCTGGCTTTATTTCTAAACTGATGTAAAAAAATGGATAGTTACCTTTTGGTAAAAAGAATTGGAAAACTGAATTCATGGCCCGTTTCAATGGATCACAAGAGACTAGTCGGTTGTTGATGAATATTATCGGCTGTATTTTCTTTTTGTTGTTGTAATTGGCATTAGTAATGACACCAGATGCATTAAGCAAGCCTAGTTCTTTAGCCTTACCTCCATGAGCATCATCATCATCATCATTGCCACCTCCACTACTTTCCTCTACCGTGTCTGTATTAATACTGATCTCCAATAGCTCATTAGCAACAGCAGATCCATATACTGTACGTATCCTCTCTTTCAACGGCATGTTTGCTCTAGTGTTTAATTGATGTAAAGGGTCACCGTATTTCTTGCAGCTGAACCCAACACGTTGCGTGTGGACCGCATACCTCCCTACAACATCTAAAATCTTGGCAAACTCATCACTCTTTGATTTTAACCCTTTGAACCGGGATGGTAGGTTGTAGAACAAATCCTCAACGGTGATTTGTGTACCATCACGACCTGCAATGGGTTTTGGTTCAACTGCTTTATTATCTGCAGACGACGATGACGACAAGGATGCGGACTTGAAAGTTGACGTGCATAGCTTCCCATCCAAGTAAAACGCCCTATATGCCAACTTTGACTCTCGCGTCTTTGTCGTTACCGATAACCGTGATATGTGGGAAATACTACTCAACGCCTCACCTCGAAACCCATAGGTGGCAATCAGTTCCAAATCCTCGAATTTTGTGAGTTTCGAGGTGGCGAACCTTTCGCATAAAAGTGGCAAGTCCTCCTTATCTATTCCTTCTCCGTTGTCTGTTATTTGTAGCAACTTGAGCCCACCTTCCTTGACAACGATTTCAATGTTTGTTGCCTTGGCATCGATGGAGTTTTCCAACATTTCTTTAAGGGCGTTGGCTGGCTGAATTATGATTTCACCAGCAGCTATTTTGCTTATCACTGATTCATCTAGCTTTTTGATCTTCTTGGACACTGAGTGGGACATCCTGGTGTATGGAAGATGAAAAGAAAAGTGGGGAGAGAGAGATAGAGATGCTATATATTTGAGATCTGTTTGAAGCTGTATTCATGCGACACGACATTGTATGTATCACCACATCAACGCGCACACAAAAGGCAAAAGTCGCGTTGTGAAAATCCTTCTTACCTCAAAGCAACAACACACAACGCAAGAGCGTATTGCACTGATAACCAACACACCTTGAAATAACTACGGAAGCCGCCTCCTCCGCGACGCCTGTATACATTAACCACAACTACTATCCCTAACCACTATGTCCAGCATACAAACACAGACTTCACTGGTGCGGAAACCCAAACTCACAAAACAAGAGCATCTCAATGCGTACCACACCTTGCGCCAACGTATGAGGAACCAGCTCAAACTAGCAGCCAAAGGTGAAGGTTCAGAGGTATTACGACACAATATAGACGAATTGAATAGACTATATCATGCGTTGGAGACGGAAAAAGTCCGCGACACCAAGATCCATCTTGAAGATTCTGAAGTTTTCAAAGAAGCGTCCGAATTTGCTGCTTTGAATGCACGTAATTTGCGGTTTGGAGATGCTGGAATTTCCTTGGACGAGAGGGATGTTTTGAAAAGGTTGAGAAAATTTGCAGCTAGTGACAGTTCGGTATTGAATGATATTGTCAAAGAAGATCAAAATGGAGGTGAGGACGATTTTGATGACGACGATGCGGATCTGTTCCCCATTACTGATGAATACACCTTCAACAAAGTCAACTGGTTGAAATTGGGGGTGTTGTACCATCAGATTAGTAAAAAACCGATCCTGGTTGATTTTCTTAATGGACCATTGGCCAATGAAAAAAGGAGACAAGCGAATAGAACAAGGAATGTCGACGATACGAAAAGTGGACGTTCCACTACTGCAAGACATGTTGAAGCTAGCGATTTGGCTCAGGATGAGGAGAAAAACACAGCGTATATGGTGAGACTCGTTTATGACAAGTACCTCAAACGGGAAAGTGATGAAGAAGTTAATTTTTTCAAGTTCTTTATCGACCCTCACTCGTTTGCCCAGTCAGTTGAGAACTTGTTTTATACGAGTTTCTTGATCAAGGATGGAAGATTGAAGTTGTACATGGGGAAACTGGGCGTTCCTTGCATAACCCGTGTGAATCAGACGGAACTTGAACAAATCAAATTGGACAGTTCGAAAATACTATCGTCGCATCATGTGGCTACTTTTAATTATGACGTTTGGCAGAATTTTATCGAGGAATTGGATTTGAAAGAAGCGTTTTTGGGTCATAGAGAAGGAATAGAGGATCAAATTCCTGCTGAAGATTTATTTGAGGATTTTGGCGATGAGGAATTGAGACTGGAGGATGGCGATGAGGCTGATACAAGTAGTAATAGCAGTACGACTTCGACTTTTGAAGAATACTAAATGGCAATGTTTTATATATATACAGGGTGGTCGAGCTAATTTATTTAATATTTGCAAACTCCATCAATTTCATCGTCACTTACTCCAACCCAAGAATCGACAGACGTCAACTCATTCAACGGCCATTTCCTCAATGGTGTAAAGCTTAAATCGGTCTTTAATTTCAACTTTTCAAATATTTCCATCCCAGCTAGTCCAATCATGATGGCATTGTCAGTACATAGCGACAAATCAGGGAAATGAAATCTCAACGGCAGCTGACCAAGTTCTTCATAGTTCAAATTGTTGAACAACTTTTCACGAAGTCGCGTGTTTGCAGCTACTCCTCCAGAACATACGAAATCCTGCACACCCACAAACTTGCCATCTGCTTGCCTTCGTACCCCATGCATTTTCAATGACAAATTTATCCGATCGATAATATGATCAAATACAAACTCCTGTGTCTTGTACGCAATCATTCTTTTGGTCTTTGCGTCAAACTCGCCAGAATTGGATGCGTCTGAAACGTAGAATTTCTTTTTATACTCTTGGATGTTACTCAAAAACTGTGCAAATGCAAACTGTATGCCGTCTTGATTGAATTTGCCGTTCTTGGGCGTTTGATAAGGCAACGTTAGTCTAAACTTGTACTTGTTACCGATCCTCGTGTCGACATTCATGGCTTCAAATTCCTCCTTTTCCAGTTGTGGTATATTTTTTATGAACGATTCCAACTCTCTGCCTAACATGTTGCCATACATCCCCAATTCTCGAGCACATTTATCCAACGAGTCACCGACTGCTATGTCACTCACATTTATGATTATTTCGTGCTCGGAAATTGATTTCAGCAACACAAGCATTGTGTGGCCTCCACTACATAATAGACTCAAGAATGGAAACCGCGGTGGTGGTAATTGAGATTGTTGCAGCTGTTGTGGAAGAAAAGACGTTAATAGATGGCCCAACATGTGGTGCACTCCAACCAAGGGTACATTCCATGCAACGCTCAACCCTTTGGCAAACTCCGTGGAGCTGCTTAGTGACCCTGCCATCCCCGGGCCTCGTGTGACACAAATTAAATCCGGTGGTGAAGTGGCTGAGATGTCATGTTTATGACAAAAGTCACGGCACATATTTGCTATAGTAGCCATGTGATAGGTATACGCTGCCGTGGGCATTATGCCGCCGACGTCAGCGGAGTGAAGTGTCTTTTTGACATGATCTACTATCGTTGGTGTCTGATCTGGTTTGTTGCGTTCAAGAAGCGCGATGCACGAATCGTCGCAGGAGGACTCTATGGCGAGGGCACGATATAAACGGAAATGCGTGAGTATGGGTATTCGTCTGACAAGTCTTGTGTAGGATGTTGTTATCATAGCATGGCTTCACTTGTGTTAATCCAATAAGGGACCTTGAAAAAAAAAAGAAAAAAAAAAAAAAAGAAAACATCAGGATTCGGAAAAAAGTGGATGCGATGGGCTCAAAACCGAGGGGGGGAGGTTTACAGTCTGTTTAAGTGGAACAGGGTATTGTATCAAGCAGGTGTAAATGAAGAGTAGCTTACAAAGGGCGTCTGCCCGCAGAGGTTGAAAGTAGCATTGCTTATTCCGAGAATATTCTCTCTCTACAGCCCATCCGATCTTACAAAACTGACCTGCTAATCTTTCAGCTCTTTTTGCCGGAAGAACAAAAAATTTCACTTCTCATTTTTTTTTTTTTTTGATTTTTTCACCAGCTAAGAAAAGTAAACACTGTCAAGGCCAGTTGCATACACTGCAAAATCCGTTTTGAGATTGCAAGACATACAAGCTAGGCAGTTGAATAAACTCTACGGATATTGCTATTGTACACTTACCGCAAACGATCAAAACCATTAAACTATACTTCCAGTTAATAAAACTCCTCATAGACATCCCCCCCCCCAAGCCAAAGGAAATTTCGACAGCTCCATCCTCTCATTTTTCATTGCATTAGCGTCGTCATTATTTACATGTTCAAAGACTCCCATCTATAGCATTTTAACTTTTACAATTCACTGCATGGCATGTCACAACTATTCACATCATCGACATTACCGCTAAGTTTTGAGCCACACGATGGACACAACACATATCCTTACAATAGACTGCCGCCGAAGGGCAATGATTCATTTGAAGAGGTACAGGGCGCACCACTCTGGCAATACATGCTTGCGGGTGGACTAGGAGGAGTGGTCGGTGACAGCGCCATGCATTCGTTGGATACGGTCAAAACTCGTCAACAAGGGTTCCCCTACAATAAAAAGTACAAGAACATGATACCTGCGTACAGAACGATACTAAAAGAGGAAGGCTTTTTTCGGGGTCTATATGGAGGCTATACTCCTGCGGTATTGGGCTCTTTCCCTTCAACAGCTGCATTTTTTGGTACATATGAATATTCAAAACGCAAAATGATTGACGACTTTGGCATCAATGAGACGCTATCTTATTTTATTGCGGGAGTTTTTGGTGACTTGGCATCGAGTGTATTTTATGTACCGTCAGAGGTGTTGAAGACAAGATTACAATTGCAAGGTAGATACAATAATCCGTACACACGCGAGTGTGGATACAATTACCGCGGGCTATGGAATGCCGTGGCTAGCATATATCGTAAGGAGGGATTACGAACATTCTTTTTTGGATACAAAGAGACACTATTTAGAGACTTGCCCTTCAGTGCATTGCAATTGACATTTTATGAACGGTTTCGTCAATTAGCCATATATTACAACCACGGGTCTTCAGATTTGCCTGTTCCAGTGGAATTATTTACTGGTGCTGCTGCAGGTGGTCTAGCAGGGGTGCTCACGACACCTCTAGATGTGATCAAAACTCGTATTCAAACAGCCACCAATCTTTCCGATTTGAATGATTCCATATCAGTGAAGAATTCCAGTAACCCAATAGTGAGGCTTTTCAATAGGAACGCAACATTGAGGGCTTTGGTGTCAATTTATAGGCATGAGGGAATTTTTGGTGCATTCAGTGGAGTTGGTCCTAGATTCATTTGGACGGGTATTCAAAGCTCAATCATGTTGTTGTTGTATCAGGTGTCATTGAAACAATTGGACACGATATTTGGTGACGGTAAAAAGAGTCTTGAAGCTTGAAAAAAGAGTATATAGAAGAGTAATAGACATTCCCACTCCCCCCGCGCCTTCCACCTCCAACTGGAAATAAAGTTGCCATTTTTTGACGTAGCGCGGACAGTTTTCCTGATGCCGGTGGATTATCATATGCAGAAGTGCTTCCTTGTTTGTACCACGGCTGAGCGAGAGGGAACAAAAAAACAAAAAAAAACAAAAAAAAAAAATAAAAGAAAATCCGCGGGGACCCCACCAATTCTCTCTCAATCAGCTATAAAAATACAGAATACCAACTGTTATAGCTTTTCGTTTTTTTTTTTTATATACTACTAAACTTATTGCATCCCACGTCTATTTGAACCATGCCTAACACTTTATCCGACTCATACCTCAAATCCTCAGTTTGGAAGCCTGACTTATTCAAGGGCAAAGTTGCGTTTGTTACGGGCGGTGCCGGTACTATTTGCAGAGTTCAAACAGAAGCTCTTGTCTTGCTAGGCGCAGATGCTGTAATCTTGGGAAGGAATGTGCGAAAAACAGAAGATGCAGCTAAAGAAATTGCTCAATTGAGACCAGGAGCCAAGGTTCTTGGATTGGGCAATGTCGATGTTCGTAAAATCGACAGTCTCAAAGCCGCTGTTGACCGGACCGTTAAGGAATTGGGAAGAATTGATTACGTCATTGCTGGTGCAGCAGGTAACTTTCTCGCTGACTTCAACCACTTGTCTTCGAATGCTTTCAAAACAGTTGTTGACATCGACCTTTTGGGTTCATTCAATACTGTTAAAACCACATTTGAGCAATTGAGAAAGAATAAAGGTTCAGTTATCTTTGTCAGTGCTACTTTGCACTACACGGGTCTTCCATTCCAGGTTCATGTCAGTGCCGCTAAAGCAGGCGTTGACGCTTTGATGAACGCCTTGGCTGTTGAGTTGGGTCCTCTCGGTATCAATCTCAACTGTATTGCACCTGGATTGATTGGCAACACAGAAGGTGGTGCAAGACTCAATCCGCCAACGGAAACCCCATTGGAGAATAGGGTTCCTCTTCAGAGAATTGGTACAACCACTGATATTGCCGATACTACAGTGTACTTATTCTCAGACGCTGCATCTTATGTGACAGGAACTATATCAGTAGTCGACGGTGGATTGTGGCAAATTGGTGGATTCTTGGGTGAATTGTACCCATCCGTTGTCAAGATGCAAAACGAAGACCCTCAAGGAAAGTTGTAAGTCAAATAGATAGATTTCGTGTATAAACTATCAAGGAACCCCCCCCCCCCCCATAAAGCGCGAATTTGCAATGATTTGAATTTTTGTTTTAATAAAATCCCTTTCGTTTTCTTTTTCTTTTACAATGTAACAGCACAACAAATCAAAACTAGCTACTAAAACTGCATGTGCGACAATGAGTGATAACGTTGCTAGACAGAAGTCCGCTCGGTGGGTGACAGAAGTACCTGATTACGGAGATTGGGGAGACGAAGATTATGACAACGATTATGACAACGATTATGACAAAGATTATGACGAATATGAAGACGATAATGTGGCGGAGTATGCAGCTTCTGCATCAGCACAACCAGACAGCGTAAAAGAGAAACAATCAGAACAGACACATGAACCGAAGTCTACAGATCCAAAACATGAACATAAACTTCCGGACCCCATTAGTGTCAATGATGTTTCCACAGAGATACCACATGCAGAGGTAAAAAGTCCCTTGGTTTTGTCTATAGATCGACATGAGGATAGAGCAGATACCGATAGTAGTGGTGATGAAAGGGCAGAGACGGACACGATTATGCGTCAGCGTTCTGAATTCAACCATGGCACACAAGATGACAGAAGCAAAGAACCTGCAAGTTTACCTCGTAGCGCAAGCACATATGAGCAAGTGGTACCTGGCGCTTTCCAGAACGATGAGAAGATTCACAATGCGCTGATTGCAAGTACAAACGACACCTCTGAAACGACTCTGGATCATGACTACAGGTTGCGGAATGCGTATGGCAGACATGACAAGAACGATTTTGTTGTTCCTCCTACTCCTACCTTTAGTGAATTTTCTGGTCACTCTAATTATCCAGAAACGTTCTCCGAAGCCAGTTTCCAATCAGACTCTTCAATTCAAAGAGAACCTGTCAACTTGGCAGTGAAAGATACACCTTGGACAGGAGCAGCCGATTCGGTTTTGGAGGAGTCAAATGATGATGGAGACGAGCACTATGAACAAGCGCCGGACACTGGGAAATTGGTTCTTTCTATTGATAAGAGAAATGATCTTGATCATGATCATGATCATGAGAATGAGAATGAGAATGACGACAGCAGTGATGATGATTGGGGATACCAAGGCAATGAAACTTCGGACGAGGAGGACGATCATTTGCAACCTCGAGAAGAACATGATATCGATTCATACATAAATGAGTTGAGTGGAAATGCTTCTATTAAGGAGAACGATCACTCATTAAAGGCTCCGAAAGTGGACACAACAAACCCCGAGCCAAGTGTTTTTGATGTTGAAACCAAAGATGAAATAGATAGTCCAATTGCACCATTGTCTATTGCTCGTCAACACCATACCTACTTGAATGAAATGGCCAGTCGAAAGCTGTCAGTGCGGAAAGCTCCTGCAAAAGTTGAATCGGGTGACTATTCTAATATACTAAACGGATACGGGGAAGATGAAGAGTCGAGCATAGAGCCCAAGGTTGGCCATAGTCGAAAGGAGAGCCTCGATTTTGTACCACCAAATGTGGATACACGTTCCATACTCTCTAGTGGATCTTTGTCCACCGGCAAACTTTCATTCGAGTCAAAAACAGTCCACAAGCCAGAGATAACTGAGGATAGTGAGCCGGATCACCGCAGGACATCTCAAGCTACACTCAGCTTCGGCAATTGGGTTCCCAACACCGAAAGCTATCGCAATAGGTTTATCAACGACAACGATAATGAGTCGACTATAAATTTTGACTCTGATGCAGCGTCCAAGTATAACAAATTTACAAAAGTCCGCAACCCATCTGGCCTTTCTGATGTTATCTCCAACGCCAGCTCCATTTCAGTGCCGGAAACGATAGATGCGGCTATGCCAAGTATCAAAGAGGACACTGATGATGAAGTTCAACAAGACCTGTTCAACGACAACAAGTCCAATGACAAATTGGAGCCCTTCATGACTCAAGACTCGCTTTTTGAATCGAAACCATTTCAAAAGCCAGTGTTTGGAGAGGAGCGATTGACACCGGCGGCTTCGAAAGACAATTTGGCTCAAAAGTACTCGAGCTTGCTTCCAATGCAAGACCGACAAGCATCGGATTGTGCTGCAGACAAGGCTCCAGCACAGCCGAGGTCGGTGTCGAGTAATAGTATCTCCACAACAGTTGTCACAACTGTGCCAACAACTTCCTCAACGTCGGACTTCAAGCCTAGTCCCTACCCAGTCTCAAACTGGAAAACTATAGTAACAATTTCCCAGCCCATTGATCGGATTGCTGCTTTTAAAAAGGCATTGGCCGATGAGGCGGCTTACGAGACAGGATTACAGTATTGGCTCAACTACACTTTGAAGCAAAGTCCGGACTCTAGTAGTAATATCCATATTGGTCGGATTGCTTCCGAGGCATATCAGAATGCTGCACATAATGATTTGAGGAGACATGGATCACTTAGAAGTAAGGTGAATGTGATGAAAGATAAGGTTGAAGGAACCGGCTCTACGGCGTCAAACTTTGGTAAGAAGTTGTTTAGTCGCAGTAGAAAGTTTATTTCGGGAGATAAATAGGATTATGAAGGTAAATGCTCGAATTCTGTATCTCTTGCTCACACACACACACACACACTCTCTCTCTCACATACACTCTTTCTCTTGCAGCCTGTGATTTTTTTCTTTTCTTTTGTGTGTTGATGTTTTGACATACAAAGTAACCCCAGAGTGGAACCCCATATGACTTTGAAGGATGATAAAGTACTTGATAGTCCATACGATTTTGCCACCTATGGCATTCGTGATCAACAACACACCTAGTATTATATGGGCTATTGTTGAGTTTTTTTTTGATATCTGCTTCTTCTGGGTAAAACATTTGTATCACATCTACAATAGAAGAGATCCTTTAAAAGAGCATATAAAACGACTACAGAATGCATCAAGTTACAACGAGTGGAAGCTGACCGCTTTTGAAATTGATCGCCTCACAAATATGGACTTGTGGCGTCAAAACTTTATTAGCAAGCACTACGATTATGTATTGATCAATGAACGGATTAAATCGCTAGCTGAAGCTAGAGACAATAATGACTCGCAAAAAATCATGTCCTTGTTGAGGTCGGGACTTATTAGAAACTTTGGTGGTATTGCTCAAAAGCGGTTGTATTTGAAGTCGTACATGGGGACTAAATTCAAAATTGAAGAGTACATTAATGAAATTCTTCACTGTTTGGAGTTTTTGAATGAAAGCTTGAGCAGTCACAATGGTAATGAGTATATTATGAATAGCAAGCAGTTGAAGTTGGACTTTTTCCATGACACACGTCAGAGTTTTGGGTCCACTGCTTTGTTGTTGCAAGGTGGTTCCTTGTTTGGGTTGTGCCACTTGGGGGTTGTGAAAGCTTTGTATTTTAAGCGCCTTTTACCAAGAGTAATTGGTGGAAGTGCAGTTGGAGCAGCTGTTGCGTCGCTTGTTTGCACATCAACGGATGATGAGTTGATTCCCATCTTGGTTAATATTGAAGAGATGATGAAGAATATCGATATCCTCAATCATGAGATTGATGAAAGATTTGGCAATGTTATTGAAAACGTTGTTCGAAAGGGTTACAGCCAGGATATCTTACTCTTTCTCAAGTTTGTCAGAGACACAATCGGGGACTTGACATTTGAAGAGGCTTACATCAAGACTGGAAAGATTTTGAACATTGTAATACACCCAACAAACCGAAGTGTGCCTTCTTTACTCAACTACATAACTGCACCAAATGTCATTATCTGGACAGCAATATATGCGTCGATTGGAACCGGTGTCTTGTCTGACGATATTGCCTTATATGTTAAAGATTACAATAACGAAATTGTTTTGCAAACGCCGGATTTGGAGGTCAAATTTTTGAAACCGCAGGAGGTGACATATCACACTTCTTACTTTAAAAACAATATAACAACGGACATTTCGCAACGCCACTCACCTTTTACGAAATTGACTGAATTGTTCAACGTCAACCATTTTGTCATCAGTTTGGCGAAGCCATACCTTGCACCATTGATCAGTAATGATTTGAAACATTACCATGCCTCGTATGGCAAGCTTAGATTTGACAAGAAAAGGAAAACATACGATGGGAGTGAGATGAGCAAGAAAGATATTGAAAAGTTTGCAAAAGACACTGGCTTCAATTTTAAAAAGAAGTTAAAGACAATCATAGGAATGGAAATATTGCATCGGATTATTGTGCTAAACAAATTGGGGTTATTGACTGAGGTTATGAAACGGTTATTCATTGACGAGAAACCAACGGCGATGCAGTATGCTGCCTCTATAAGAGAAGTCACCATTGTTCCGGAGGTGAGGTACTTGGTGAAAGATCTCGGAAGGGTGTTTGATATTCATCGCACAAAGGAAAATATACCTTATTGGATCTTGGTTGGTGAAAGATCGGTTTGGCCCCTTTTCCCATTGTTGTGGACGAGATGTGCTATTGAGTTTGCGTTAGATGATCTATATAACTTACAGAGAAGACGTAATTAGCGATAGAAAACTTTAACATTGGCATCTTTGGTAATGTGGTAGACATAACTCTTTTCTTCCACTATTAGATCATCGTAGGGAATTGCTCCCTTTGATACCACAATGCTACCAGTAATGTCCTTGGCTCTTCCAGTGGCCAAAGGCTCCAACGTAATGTTCAAATGTGATCTAAATAGTAGTTTTGTTATAAAATCTGTGATCTTGAAGGCTGGATCGAGCATGTCGTGGGCATTGTAGTCAACAAGCTGCTCGTCTTTGGAAACAACCACAAATAGCTGACTAGCTTTTTTGTTTAGTTTTAGCAACATTGATAATAAGTCATTACTGCTTATGCTTGTCGAATAAAGTAGTACCTCTGGTGCTTCAACAATAACCACAGATCTCTCTTCAATGTCCACATTGAAAAGATTGCGTAAATCGTTGGATGCATTTGCGGGATCACTAATCTTTTCAGTAAAAAGACCAGAGAAACAATCAACAAACTCAAAGTTTGAATCAAGTAAATTGACACCATTTTTGCGAACACCTTTGGTGTAATGATTTTCATCATGGAGAAAACTGAATAGCACAACCTTACCCAATTTGGCTCGCTTCTTCAAGTCTTGATTGACAGAAGAGGCCGTTCCAAAAATCCCATTTTCAATAAGGGAATTTACTAGCCAGCTTGGATTGGTACCCTGTGTATGAGTAATGGTGGATAAATATGATTTTGTTCTTGATGATAAGATCGAGTCGTCTATCAACGAGTGGTTCTTGAAAAACACCAAATCTTGGCTTGGAACGGACATTGAGCTCTCGGGTATGTTATTTTATATACCGCTCTAGCTGAAAAAAAGAAGAAAAAAAAGGAAAAAAAAATACAAATAAAAGCAAGGCAATGGATTGTAAAGTCGATGTTTAAAGTTGAGGAATCTGTTATACTTTAGTTAAACTAATTTCCCTCACCGCATCTCAAAATTTTTTTGTGTCCTCGATTATGTTTTCTCAAACTGTGAGTGACTTCGGCACCAATTACTTCGAACAGCTGCCATACTTCTCAAATGACGATCGAAAATTCAAAACTGGGCAAGTCAGATTTGCCACCATCATACGATGACTCCGAGCGCGATGCTGAGAAAGCATGTGACTCCAAGACGGCCACCTCCAATATGAAACGGAAAAACGTACCATACCGGCCCTCACCTGAACAACAGCGACAAATCGATCTTTTATCAAATGCCAGTTCCAATAATTCAAAGCTGCATTCACGACTAACCACAGTGAATAGTGCAACCCGTACAGAGTATTTTGATTTACTACCATCTTTTGAAATGTTTCAGAGTATTCTTAAACGTGATGATCGTCAATTTCAAGAGGATTTGTCCAGATCTCCACCGCGATATGGCGACACCCAGAACAGCACCGCTAGCCATAATGCCTCTTTGGCCCTGTCACCGCGACAATCGATTGACCAAGCTCTACACAACTCTGTCCCGGAGTATAGGATAGAACAGGAGTTGGAAAGACAGCGGGAGCGTGAACATGGTATCTACAGTGAAGTTACCTCAGGACCATCATTGAGTCCTGTTGCTTCTTCCCCAGGCTTACACAATCAGAACATGGCTGTCACTGAAGACACTTATGGCGCTTCACCTTTGGACAATATAGATAGATTGAACAAAGTGTCAAATTCCGCCATTGACATTCAAATATTCGTCACCAAGACTGTCCCACAGCCCAACGCAAAAAGTGATATGGAGTCACGATTGAAAGAATATACTAGTGGGGACCACGTTAATGGTTATATTGTTGTAACCAACACCTCGTCCTCGCCTGTTGAATTTGGTCTTTTTACAGTCTCACTTGAAGGAACAGTTAAGTCGACGGAAAGAAACGCCAATGCATTCGACTTCAGCAACCGGTACAGTCGAATTTTGATGAAGAAGTTTCTCAAGATGTACGACTTAAGTGCAAGCTATGGGTATACATACGTCCCAAATAGTGCCGGCATAGAGTACGAGCCATTTACGGTGGACGAAATGGATGGCTGCTCCATTGGCTTACCTGATAATAGGATCTTGCAACCAAAGACAAAGTACAAAAAATTTTTCACATTCAAGTTCCCACATAGCTTGTTAGACAATGCTTGTGTTAATTTGGTACTTCCGCACTTGTTGCCACCTCCATCCATGGGTGTGGACAAGACCTGTTTTTACAACCGAGGCGAAAGTATAACTTTCAATAAGGCTTTGGGGTATGGTATGTTGAACGTACGCGGGACTCCTTTGTTAACAAAGGATTTTGGTTTTGAGGACATGAGTGTTTCTTACTCGATTGAAGCAAAATTCATTGACAAGGTCGACTCAAAAGAGGCCGTGTCTCATCAAGATATAAACAATGCCAAAAGTGATTACGTGATCTCTAAAAGCGCTCAATATTTTCTTCGGTTCGTTCCAGATTTGAAGGAGCAAGTGGCATATTGTAAATTGCACAATATTGGAAATTTCCCTGCCGATGGCCTTGGTGGAAAGTTTTTGGATCAATTGAAAAACAATACTACCTGGAGTTCGATTCAGCAATTGAACAACCAAGTTGAAAAAGAAATTGATCAAAAGCTCAACAGTGAAGAGTTGTCACCTCTTGAAATGAAGTTGAAAAATTTGGAGATTCATGAAGATTCAAAGATAATTGAGAATGAAACCTTTGTGACAACCAACCGACCGGTTGACATATACGGAAAAAAGAAGAAGTTGATTCTATCGTCATTGATGAAGTTGGGGCTGCTGACAATGTCCATTAATTTCCCCGATAAAGTTATACCGTACGGCTCACCTGGATTGCTAATGAGGTATAACAACGGTGAGGACAATTCCTTGCAACCAGTGACCAGTAATATGGAAGAGCTTTATAATCGTGGTGCGGAAGATATACTTGATACCATCGAGGCTGATTTATGCTTTGAGAGTGATAGCAACATCAGGCCACAGCCAATAAAAGTTAAGACGAATATAGTGGCGTGGTCATACAACACTGAATACCCACTTCCGTTTGAAATCGGGTATGACTTTTTTTACAAAAGTCACGAGAATGCACTGAATGACTCTGTGGAAACAACTGAAAACAACTTGCACCTCATCAAGAATCAGGTTCACAACTACCTCAGTTTCCTAAAATCAAACTCCCTTATAATTAGCAAAGAGTCATTCATGTACTTGAAGTCAGTACAGAAGTTGGGAATCAAAAAGGATACCATAAGAGACTATTTTCAGAGCAGTATTGAAGAGCCAGATTGGCAAATTTCACAACTAAGTAACGGAAAATTCAAATGGACCAAACGGTTAAAGATATCCTTGGCGATAGAGAACAAACACAATGTGACGTTGTTACCCACGTTTCAGAGTTGTTTGGTGGGAAGGTTGTACTGCTTACAGGTGTCAGTCAAGTACAAGGGGACAAATAGTGAACAAAATGAGTTTGCACACAACGTGGTTAGTTTAGATGTCCCGGTGTTGGTTGGTTGAGTTACAAAATCCAATCCTCTTTTATTTTTATTTTTATTTTTTTTTTTTGGGTAGCGTTGGGGATGTGACTCAATCTGGTAATTGAAATTTGTTTAAGCGCGCTAATCTATTTTCATCTTCAGTAAAAGAAAAAAAGAAAAAAAAATTTTTTTTCTTTCCCGTCCTCCTTCTTCTGTCTTCTTTCATCAAAGTAAGCGGGATGTTTCAATTCAAGAGGTTTCTTGCCACTGCTAGCAAGGGATTCACAAATAACAAATCGCAATTAGATAGAGCAACACTCACGATAAAAAATGGCCCAGTATTTAGTGGATACTCATTTGGTGCAAATAGAAATGTGAGTGGTGAGGCTGTCTTCACCACGTCGTTGGTTGGTTACCCGGAAAGTATGACTGATCCTTCCTACAAGGGACAGATTTTGTGTTTCACTCAGCCATTAATTGGTAATTATGGTGTACCTTCTTCCACCACAAAAGACGAATTCAATTTATTGAAATACATGGAGAGCCCAAGAATTCAGTGTATTGGTATTGTTGTTGGTGATGTTGCTTTGGAGTATAGTCACTGGACCGCAGTAGAGAGTTTACAACAATGGTGTAAGAGGAATGGGGTTGCAGCTATAACTGGTGTTGATACAAGACAATTGGTTTCGTACTTGAGGGATAAAGGGTCCAGTTTGGGTAAAATCACCATTGGTGAGGAATACGATGCAGATGAAGATGCTGCTTTTGAAGACCCGGGCGCTATAAATTTGGTGCAAAAAGTCTCGACCAAGCAGCCATTCCATGTAGAGTGTCCAAAAGAACATTCAAAAAACTTGCATGTGGCTGTGTTGGATTGTGGTGCAAAAGAAAACATTTTGCGTTGCTTGGTTGAAAGGGGAGCGTCGTTGACGGTATTTCCATACGATTACCCCATCGACAAAATTGCTAATAAATTTGATGGTATTTTCATCTCAAATGGTCCAGGTGATCCAACCCACTGTTCTACTACTGTTGACAATTTAAAGAAGATCATGGAAACACACCCGGAATTGCCCATTTTTGGAATTTGCTTAGGTCATCAATTACTTGCCTTGGCCAGTGGTGCTAAGACTATCAAATTGAAGTATGGTAACAGAGCCCACAATATACCCACTTTGGACCTCATCTCAGGCAAGTGCCACATCACATCACAAAATCATGGATATGCGGTAGACACTTCGACCTTGACCGATGGCTGGAAAGAGATGTTTATCAATTTGAATGACAACTCCAACGAAGGTTTGATTCACACTGAAAAGCCAATCTTTTCTACTCAGTTTCATCCGGAAGCCAAAGGAGGTCCCCAGGACACTGCTTATCTTTTTGACAAATTTTTTGAAAATATGGTAAAGCATAAAAAGAGTTTACCCAGTGTCGAGGGAAGCTTGTTGGTGGACATTTTGCCAAAGGAGAGAGTAGAGCAACTTACGATATAAATGATGTAGATATGAAGTCAATGAATTGAATAGATTTTAATCCTCATCTTCGTCTATTTCCTCCTCGTTCTCAAATTCTTCGCCTTCGTCCTCGGATTCTGAATCATCTTTAGCACCATCAACCTCTAGTATCGTGTCACTCACATCAGTTTGGTATTTTCTAGCAATTCTTGATGCACGTCCAGCAACTTTCGCTTCCTCTCTAGCTTTTTGCTGCAACTGTTTCAACTCATCTCTGAAACCAGTTTTTACAGTTCTATTGGAAAATGTGTCCCACATTTTCAAACCGCCAGTAACACCACCAACTACCAAGTTACCGGCGACTTCGATGTCGTTTGCATATGATGCGGTCAAGACATTACCAAGACCAAAGTCCCTGGACAAGATCATAGATGGTCCGCCTTCCGTGGGCGCTTTCCATAGCTTCACTGTTTTCTCACCCATCGCGCTGGTGATCAACATGCCTGGTATGTAGTTGTTGATATCCAACGAGGAAATTCCGGCATCGTGTGCATGCAAGGTCCATAATGGTTTTGACGCCTTGATATCGAAGCAGTATACGTTTCCTTGGTCGGTTCCCGCATAAAAAACTTCGGGATTCGAGCTCCATCTCACATTTTCGACCTCTTCTCCAGAGCCAACTGAGTAATATTTAGAAAGATCATCGCTAAGACGCACATCGGAAACTGCAACTTTCGAATCGTACCCACCTGTCAATAATATTGACGGTTCGGTGGGATTCCATTGAGAAGATGACACCGTTTTACCGTGGTGTATTTGATTCAAGGATCGCGCAGCAATGCCTGTATTTAGATCCCAAAGCTTCACTGTACTATCGGCAGATGTGGATCCCAAGACAGATCTGTGTATTTTGTTATGAGTCAATGACAAAACAGCATCAGTATGGTGAGTGGTGACGTGTTCTGACTTTTTCAGTTTCTTTTTCTTACTCTTCTTGGCGGAAGCTTCACCTAGGATGATGTCAGGAAATGCTTTGTCGACGTAGTCTAAATTCCACAACTCGATTTGAGGATCGAATGTACCCACAGCTGCAAAATTTCCAATATTAGTATCTGTGACTTGAGACTGTCCTGGCTTGTAGTTTATCCACTCAACGCATAAGGGAAATGCAGGCAACATAATATCATGATGAACGTATAAAGTTGAGTCCCTAACAAGACCTTTAGCGACGTCTGCATCCAACTTGTCCTCTTCTTCCTCTTCGGCTCCAGCCGGTGCTCCTGCACCATCATCGTAAATGTATACATCCAACCATGAAATGTCGTCTTCTGTCCTTGTGGCCAAGACCAAGTTGTCAGTGGGGTATATTTGATTTTCTTGCTTTTCTTCTTGCTCATCTACTTCCGTTGGCAAGGATAAATATACATCTTCTGAGTCTTCTGACTGATCAATTTTTGCGCTGGACAATCCGGGGAACATGGTCACTTTCTCACCACCGTTTTCATTTTCATTTTCGTCATCGTCATAATGCTCCAAATCGTATTCCTTTAAATCATCATCGATGTCGATCTGATCAGTGAGTGTCTTTTTTGCACTTTCTAAATCTTCTTTGGCATCACTGATTTCAAGTTGCGCCATGGCATTGATCCTATCCATTTCCTCGTCGTCCAATTCATATTTCTCTGGAAATTCTGAGGCATAGCCTCTGGGTACCCATGTGCTGGATGAGATCATTTTTTGAGAAGATGTATTGAGATGAGATGTAGAAGAAGAATAATTTTTTAGCAAATCTTTGTAAGAAAAGAAAAAAATGATGTGGTAGCGTTGAGTACAGAACTTGCATCCCGAATTCATAAAACAACCTTAGAGGCGTGGACAAATTACTCTGATTGAGATTTCTTGCATGTATAATACCTATTCTATTACAAGAGAATCACCCCAATACCACTTGTTTCATCTTCTGCAACCTGTTTTGTCTCCTTGTCAATACCGCCATTCATTGGGAAAGTTCTGTAATTGAACAAGTAGTAGTTCAAAAAGCCGTCACCGCTTCCAAACTTGCAAGGCTTTAAAAAATAAGTGTTATCTTGACAAGTGAGGCAATTGAATACATCGGCACTAAACAGTTTGGCTGTGACCAATGCATCATTGATCAAGTCTGTTAATCTATTTTTGTAGCCATTGTCGGCATCGGTGGCATAGTAAAACAAATAAGCAACCCCCAACTCATCATGTAATTTATTCTCCAAAACAGTGAAAGGAAGCAAGTAGTATGAGAAAAAGTCGGTAATCTTCCCTTCTTTTTCCACTACATACGCCTTGACCACACTCTCCTCACCCAACATCCAATGCTCAAACTCCTTCTCGGTGAATTCTTGTACAATATCGAATCTTTTTTGGTAGGCGTTCAACAATTTCAATGTGTCTGATACATCATCAGGGGTCATTTTCCTCAACCCAGGTAATTTTGTAGCATTGGGTAGTGCATAGTGAGCTATCATACTAGCTTTAGTTTTATCCGCTGGTAAATGACTAAATCCAACATCGTGCAATTTGGGCCAGTTGAGGGGGCGGTGTTGGTAACGACAAGTGGCGAGTGGGGTGGGCAAAACTGCACCCCCGGTGTACAAAGCTTGCCAAATATTTTCCTTGTTTACTCTCCTGGTTATTTCCTTGATTAAGACAGGAGCAAGTCTTTTATTTCTCAACTTCTTGTGTATGCACAAGAAGTTTACTTCGGCTCCATCCATCGTCTTGTTTGATTTGTTCAACTTGATTGTGACTGGAGTAGCAGCAATGAATGCGATTAACCTCTTACTTGACTTTACTCTAACTCCAGCATACCATTGCTTTCTCCAACCCGGTGGTTTCAATGCCCATTTGAAGAAATCGTGTGTATACTTGAATCTAAAAGTGGCATCAGTATCTTCAACATAATTCTCGTATAACAAATCATAAAGCTCATCAAGCTGTTTATCGTCATCAATATCAACAGTGCTCCATTCAAATTCGGGAAGTAACGGTAACGGTTGGTCTGGGATATCAGCTGGTGTCTTGGGAGAATCAATTGGTCCCTCCTCCTTAATGGACTCATCCAATTTTGGGACTGGTTGACTGTTCCAGAAAAGATGATCTTTCATCTTCTTTTCTTGTGCTGCAGACAATGTCTCGCCCACAGCGAGCATGTTGAGAAGATCCTGGATAGACTTTTTGTCAGACATTGATCTTTGGCAATTGATGATATGAATGGCAGCGTGTAAAGGTCTTTTGAAAAAATTACGAGGAAATTTTCAACGCTCGGTGGGAAAAGATTTCTTGAAATCTGACACGATATGGGAGAGCTTTGTTAATACGTGTTTGAATCCGAGCAGATCTGCTACCACGTAGAGAGTTACACGTCGTTTCAAAATGGTCAAATCTAACAAATGGGATAAAAAGGCGAAATATCAATACATGAAGAAGCATGGGCTTTTGTCTGTGGCTTCAGAATCATCATCTGCTATGACGACTACTCCAAAGTGGAGCAGTAAGAAGAAGAATGAGAGAAAGCCTGCAATTTTGTTAGACGACTCTGACGATGAATGGGACTCGGAGGTGGACGAAGTGTTGATAAATCATTTTTACCCAGAGTTAAACTATAGCGAAGAGTTATCGCTACTGCAGAAAGTTAAATTGAAGCAACAAATTTTGGCTGACTTGAAGGAGAAGGAGAAGGAGAAGGAGAAGGAGAAGGAGGAGCTAGACGGGAACCCTGAAGAAGAACTGTCCGAGAAAAAACTGGATGGACATATTGACCTTGGTGAATTAATCGGTAGCATCGACCGGCGGCCCAAGAAGAAATTGCCAAAGGCACGCTTTTCTGATAACCTTTTGGAAGAGTATGGCTTGGAGAGCTATCAAACCGGTGATAAAGAATACAAGCTTGCCGGTAGTAAGAGCGGACTCTCTAAGTTGAAAGACGACTTTGTTATTGGTCAATCTGAGGACACTGAGTCTATACGACAGCTCACGGAAGAGGAGATTGCCATTGAAAATGAGAGGAAGAAAAAGATTGACCAACAGAATTTTTACAATGAAGTTCGAAAAAAGTTTGGCGGCGGTAGTACTCAACAGAAAGTAATTGATATCAATAATGTAAAGGATGAGGAGAACCAACTTCGGAGGTTGAATGAGAAATTGGGAAAAGAATCGGTGGCAGATACCTTGGATGACGATCTCAATGAACTTCTAGATTTGAAACTCTCGGATCAAGATGAATCGGTACCTCATAAGTCAACAATTACTCCATCGGTACTGAAGAAGGAATCTGTGAAGCTGGGTAGTATCAAAGATGTTGATTTTCTAGATTCATTGTTGAAATAAATTCTCTGGTGTTGATTTGATTAGCCTATGTACTTTCATCCAGTCGTAGAAGTAGCACCTCAATTGAATGTCATTGCCCAACAAGATATGGACGAAAATAAAATGGCATATATAAGTGAAATCTACGTATACGCCCCCACTCATACACAAAATGAAGTTCATTTGCAACTAAGCGAAAAAGAAATCGATCCACAGTTTCTCTCTCTTTTTCTTTATTTTTTTCCTTCTTCTTGTCTGACAAAGCAATACTTCGCAGGCAATGCCCAGCACCGACGATGAAGCCATATCATTGTTTGAAAAGGCCACATACCTAGAAGAGCAAGGACGCATGAGTGATGCTGTTGATATCTACCGAAAGGCGTTCAAACTAAACAGCAGCATAGACCTCATCTACCGGTCGACATACACAAACAAGCACCTCTTAAAAGATAAAGGTAGAAACGCGTTAGTGAGAGTGGACGATAAGCAAGTCTCCAAAATAGATGTGGACGAACTAATGGAGAGTTTTAGAGAAGCTCATTTGGATGCCCCGCTGGAACATCCCGATGACTTGCCATCCATTCTTCTCCACTTGCCTCGGGATATCTGGTGTCACATATTTGAAGTATTGATTCAAACTAACCCCGAATCCTGGTTCAATATGTCCATTACGTGCAAGAAGATGGCATACATAGGCTTTGGAAACAATACCCATAAATTTCTTTGCAATCTAATATACCCACGACAAGTTTACCAAGAAAATGAACCTTATAAGTCGAGACTAAGGATAGAGAAAGAGTTACCTATACCAATGGACCAATTGCTAATACTACCCCATTACAAAAGCTGGAAAAATATGCTCCATGAGCGTTGTTTCATCAAATACGGTGGATGTTACATTAGCGTTGTGAATTATTATAGTGAAGGGGCCAAAGGTGAAAACTCATTGGCATGGACTAACCCGGTGCGAACGATAACGTACTATAGGTATCTCAGATTCTACCCGGATGGAATAGTTATAAAGATGCTTTCGGCACTTCCACCTGATCGTGTTGTTCCTTGGTTTCTGAAGGACCGACAGCATATACCTGACGCCGAGCAAAATGAAGCAACACAGATATACCGAGGGAAATTTACAATCAACTCATCGGGTGAGGTGCATATTGAAATTGAAAACGGTTCAACCAGTTACTTGACGTTTCACTACTACTTCCAAATAAAATCACTAGGGCAATTCAAACACGGGAAGTTGAACTGGACCAAGTACTATGCTGTAAGGAAAGCTACTAGTCCTGAAGATGACAGAGTTGGCGAGGTGGTGGAATACACAATAAGAAACGAAAAGCCTTTCAAGTTTCTGAGAGTGAAGAGTTACCATATAGAATAGAATACATACATAGAGATTACTACAAAGGATGTTTTGCAATTTGTTCCCAACACGACCTCGACTCTTTTAGAGAAAAATTTTTTGATCGCCCTTCTGTTTTTTTGTTTTTTTTTTTTTCACCATCTTCAAAGTAGTAGCCCTTAAATTCCAACGAACATACAAGAAGGTCATAGCATCATGTCTAGGTTCTTCGTTTCAGGATATAGTTCAGAATCGTCTTCTGAAGAAGAAGACTTGGTAAGCAGTTCTGAAGAAGAGTTGTTGTCTTCTTCCGCTGAGCAATCTGAGGACGACTTTTTTGATGATGATGAGGAGGACGAGGAAAGTAGTTCTGATGAGGAGGGCGGACGCCCCACAGGTCCAGCTTATTTTTTGAAGTCGGCTTTCTTGAAAGGTGGTGAATCTGAATCTGAGAGTGACGATGAGGGAAAGAAAGTGGTTAAGAGTGCTAAGGACAAGTTGTTGGACGATATGAAGGCCTCAATTGAAATCATTAATGTCAATAAAAGAAGCAATAATTGGATCGTCGTCTTGAGTGAGTTTGAGAAATTGGGTAGACTTTTGAACAGAGCTAGTCAACAAAGATTTGGAACTCCAAAGTTTTATATCAAGTTGTTGTCTAGCTTGGATGATTCTATTACGGAAACTGCAAACAATGAAAAGGATGACAAGACAATGAAAGCGGATGAGGCAAGAGCTTTCAACACTTTGAGACAAAGAGTCAAGAAACAGATTAAAGAGTTCCAAGTTTACTTTGATTTGTATAAGGACGTACCAGAGAATTTTGATAACGAAGATGAACCTTTGGATGTGACCACAAGAGTGGAAGAGAAGCAAGACGAAGGTAAAAAGTTGAGTCCAGTGTTCCAAACTTTGAAGCAAATCAGTGAATCTAGAGGGAAGAAAAATATTGACAGATCAGAACAAATTTCAAGCTTGGAGAATTTGATTACTGATGAGTTGAGTACATTCGAGCTTATATCCATTTACCAAATGTTGTTGTCGATCAGATTCGATGCCTCGTCTACCCTGTTCATGCCAGTTCAAGATTGGCAAAAGAATTGTGATGATATTCACAAATTGTTGGATATTTTATTTGCAACAAAGGAATATCAAGTTAGTGAAACAGGTCAAACAACTGATGAAATTGACATAGAGCCAACCCCTGTTGACGGGGTCAAGGTGATTTTTGGATCAATCACTTCATTGATTGATAGATTGGATGACGAATTTACCAAATCTTTACAAAACACCGACCCGCACTCATTGGATTACATTGAAAGATTGAAGGATGAAAGCAGGATTTATAATTTGATTGTTAGAGGTCAATCTTATGTCGAATCTATCAACCCTTCACTTGATAGTGAACAATTGGCTAGAATTGTTTTGAGAAGGTTGGAACATATTTACTATAAACCAACACAATTGATTCAAGGAAATGAAGTTGCCACCAAGATTGGCAACGGTGACGCGAATGAGATTATTGACTCATTGAGCGAATACTTGCAAAAGAGTGCCAACAAGCTCTATGTTCAACTTGCTATGCTCTACTCTATCTACTATTACGCCGTCAACAACAACTACGAGAATGCCAAGGAACTATTCTTTGCATCTCAAATTTTCAAGAGTATAAACCACGCTGAATCAACATTACAAGTTCAATACAACAGAGCATTAGTACAATTGGGATTGAGTGCATTCAGGGTTGGGGCGATTGAAGAATCCCACAAGATTTTAACCGAGATCATCAACTCACAAAGATCAAAAGAATTACTTGGACAAGGGTTTAGTACTAAATTCCCTAGTCAAGCCTCTGTTGCTGAAAAACAAAAGTTGTTGCCGTTCCACCAACATATCAATTTGGAATTGTTGGAGTGTGTTTACATGACTTGTTCTTTATTGATTGAGATACCTGCTTTGGCTGCTGCATCAACTACTAAAGACAAAAGGAAGAACTCGTCAGTGAAATCTTTCAAGAGTAAGCTTGAATTCCACGATAGACAATTTTTCACTGGTCCTCCAGAGAGTATCAAAGATCACATTGTGCATGCCTCACTTGCTTTGCAAAAGGGCAATTGGTCTAAAGCATATGACTTGTTGGCATCAATCAAGATTTGGAGATTGTTTCCTGATACTGATGACTTGTTGGCCATGTTGAAAACCCAGCTTCAAATCGAAGGGTTGAGAACTTATATTTTCACCTACAAATCGGTTTACAGTAAGTTGTCTATTGCCAAATTGAGTACAATTTTCGCATTGCCCGAGGAGAAGATTACTGAGATTGTTACAAAGATGGATGAAAATGTGGAAAACGGATACATCAACTTCACTACTGCAGCAAATAGGTCCAAATTGCAAGAGTTGGCCATATTGATGAACGAGAAAATACAGTTGCTCACAGACAAGAATGAAAGAACCTCAGCTAGGGGTCATAATAAGACACAACAGCCTCAGCAAACCACCCAACAACAACCCCAAACCCAGCCTGAGGAGAACAGATTCAGAATTGCTAATGTCAATATTAACAATGATGAGTTTCAAGTAACTGCATAAAGATGTATAGAAAGTTTGAAGAGAATGTACGTAAAAGATGTTTTTGCCCATACTGAACAAGTGGGAAGATAGAAATAGGAAAAAAAAAAAAAAAAAAAAAAAAAAAAAAAAAAAAAAAAAAAAAAAAAAAAAAAGAATTGGAAATCATCGATGAGATGATAATGTGAATCATAAAAATCTCTTAAAAATCTCTGGTGATAAGAAGCCAACTCCACACTACAATGACTGTAGCGCCTCCAAAGAAACTCAAAGTCACATCTTTATGTGAACTATGTCACTCAAGAAAAGCGGTCATGAAAAGACCAAAGAATCTAATGAAGCTTTGTAAGGAGTGTTTTTACAATGTGTTTGAGACAGAGATACACAACACTATCACTTCAAATAATCTATTCCAGAACGGTGAAAAGGTTGCAATAGGGGCATCTGGAGGCAAAGATTCAACTGTTTTGGCTTCTATTCTCAAGACTTTGAATGAAAGGTACAAGTATGGCTTAACTCTTGTGCTTCTTTCTATCGATGAGGGAATTAAGGGTTACCGAGACGACTCCTTAGCCACGGTGAAGCGAAACCAACAACAGTATGAAATGGATTTGGAGATTGTGTCTTATAAGGACTTGTATAACTGGACCATGGACGAGGTTGTGGACTGTGCTGGTATAAGGTCTTCATGTACGTACTGTGGTGTTCTTCGGCGACAAGCTTTGGATCGTGGCGCTGCGAAATTGGGAATAAATCATGTTGTTACAGGCCACAATGCCGATGACATGGCGGAAACTGTCTTGATGAATTTATTGAGAGGAGATGCTAATCGATTGGAGGGAAGTACGAGAATAATGACTCAGTCTGCGGAGTCGCCAATAAAGAGATCAAAACCATTCAAGTATACATATCAGAAGGAGATTGTGTTGTATGCACATTACAAAAAATTGGATTACTTTTCAACCGAATGCTCGTATGCACCGGAAGCTTTTAGGGGAACTGCTAGGGAACTTTTGAAAGGTTTGGAGAGTATACGACCTTCTTGCATCATGGATATCATTTACAGTGGTGAACATTTGGTCTTGTCCAACAAGAAGAAGAAGAAGAAGCAAACAGTCAAATACAAGAACCAAAAGGCAGAAGAGATTGAGGTTAACGCAGATGGGTCGGTTTCTACTAATAGATGTATCAAATGTGGATACCTCTCGTCGAACCAAATTTGCAAGGCGTGTATGTTACTCCAAGGGTTGGAGATGAGCCGGCCAAAGATAGCCATTGATAGTGAAGCAGACGGCGCTGCCAAATTGACCAAAACATTGGAAGGGCTTAGTTTTTAGCGTGTATATTTATAAAGTGATTTACCCTACTCATTTTTATATATATGGAAAGGAGATGCTTGACCATTTGGGAAAACCAAAGTTTCTGCAACAACCAAGTTCTCTCTTCTTGTTAATGTAAATGTGATCACTTCGGCGATGTCTTCGGCTGTAAGTGGTTCAGTTCCCTTGTAAACACTATCTGCTTTTGCATCGTCTCCTCTGAAACGAACATTTGAAAATTCAGTTTTAACTGCTCCAGGACTGATCAAGATACTTCTAATCTTGGTTGAAATCAATTCCTTACGAAGTGCATCCATAAAGAAACGAACACTGGCTTTGCATGCATTGTAGATTGAGCCTCCTTCGTAAGCAACCAAACCAGCAATACTACCAATCGAAACAATGCTTCCAGAGTTTTTCTTTTTCATGATTGGCAAAACAGTTTGAGTCAAAGTGATGAGTCCCAACACATTGGTTTGAAACATTGTGACTACATCTTTCAAGGCAACTTCTCCAACTGGCTCTTTGCCCAAGGCCAACCCCGCATTGTTGACCAAAATATCAATATCAGCAAATTCTTGAGGCAAGTTGGCAATGAATGGCTCAATGGTGTCTAATTTCGAAACGTCCAATTCCTTCGCCAACACTTTGATACCAGAGTACTCGTTTTCCAACTTCTTTTTCAATGCTTCCAACTTTTCAATTCTTCTTGCAGTGATAATCAATTTGATGTTTGGTGTAACCTCTGCCAATTCAAGACAGGCAGCTTCTCCAATGCCCAGGGAACATCCAGTGATGAGAATGGTTTTGTTTGCCAATCTTTCGGCTGCTTTCTTTCCGTAGCTCATGTTTTTAGGGAGTGATGCAGTAGAACGGAGAGAGGGAGGGGGGGGGCGGTAGGGGTGAACAAGACTGTAATTTCGTCGACTTTTTCCCGGAACCGCTATTTTAAATTGCGGAAAAAAGCCAATGCTTAACCGCCGGCTCAACTATGTGAAGTTACTACAGGACCAACCAAAGTCAAACTCTCGAAACTTTCACACTACATCAATAGTACATACACAATGCGATTACGTATATTACGTCGTATACATAAAAGTTTCAAATTAACACGAATAATCCCTTGTCAACCCAATTTATTTTTTCTTTCTCCATTCAACACAACCTACCACACAACATTTAGTAGAAGGTGGATGGCCTGTTGCTGTAGAACAAAGCCTTGGTCTTTTGAACTCTGTGTGGTAATGGGAATTTCAAGTCCTTGGTCAAGAATTGTTTAACGTATTGTCTCTTGACATCATCAGCCTTTTGTAATTCAACAACCTTCAAAATGTGGATGCTTCTAAATCTAGCTCTGTGTCTAGCAGCCAAATCTTGGTACATGGTTTCAACGGCACCAACTCTGGTAACATCTCTGTATTCCTTGTACATGTTGTGGATACCAGATCTTGATTCGTATCTGATCCAAATACCAAAGGTCTTGACCTTGGTTGGCTTAGCTTCGTTGATGATGTTGACTGAAACAATTTCACCAGAGGCTTTCTTGACCTTGTGCAATTTTTGTAAAAAGTACCAGTATCTTGACTTAGCAACAACGGTGTTTGGTGCAAAGATTCTCATACGGAACAACTTTGGTTCTGGAGCAGAGTCGGTTGGCAAACGACGACCGATGACTTGATATTCGTTTAATCTTGACATTCTAGAGATACTTGTTAGTAAACTGGGACGTCCTAGTAGTTAATGAGGTCCAACGTGAAGACGTGAAAACTGAAAAATTGACTTCTGAGATGGCCCAAATTTATGAGCGAGGAAACTCCCCTCGTAATGTTCCATTCTTGTAAACATCACGCCAATCAGCTCATCAATCTCACGAAACAATCCTCCTCATTCTATAGGTCATTCAAACATACTTTCGTTATCGTTGAGTCTATACTTTGTTCAGTGTATTCGAGCTGAAATTTTTTTTTTTTTTTCTTCCCTTCTCTCAGTGTCTCTCTCTCTCTCTCTCTTTCTGTCTCTCTCGCTCTCTCTCTCTCTCTCTGTTAAGTGCAGACAAAATGAATTTGAGAAAAGAGAGACAGGGAGTGTGCAGTAGTACAAAATGGCTTAAATCGATTGGTAGCGAATAAAATTTATGTATGTGTGAAAAAATAGATATTGTGGGCTACAGCCCTAATAATTCGAGATACAACTATAATAATGTGACAACTACAAACTTTCCCTTACAATGTTTTAGCTCTAACACTTGTGTACTCAATATTGTCGTAATTTCAAATCTATACACGTAGAACTCCTACAATGTCTTCTTATAGTGTGCCTCTGACTTTTGGTTTGCCCTATTTTCTCTTCTCTGCTTGGCCAACTGTCCACACTCGGTACTAAAAACGCGATCCCAAACTGTAAACGAACTAGCATAGTTTCCAATAAAGTAGTGATGGTGTTGGTCGTGATGTTCAGCACCAGCCCAAAATGGGAAGAATTTATTCAAACTCCATGGGAAATCGTATCCCGAATGTGAGTCAACGGCTTGAAACAATCGCAAAACAATCCAGCAAGTAATTGTGAACAAGTGAATTGGCGGCAACTGATCGCTGTTGGTTGCAACGTATGCATAGAGAATCGGGAATCCAACAGTTCCAACTCCCAATGCTGCCACTTCGGCCGGGTGCGCGTATTCAGCTGCAAATCCAAATGGTGCTGCGTATTTATGATGGATTTTGTGAATGTTTTTGTAGAACCAGCCATAATGGAAAAGTCTATGGAACGAGTAGTGCCATAAATCTTCACAAATGAAAAAGAATACAATTTGAGCAGCTTGAATCTTCCATGAGGGGAATGGGACGCCGTAGACGATATTTAGCTTGGCACATAATGGGTGGAACAACCAAATAGGTAAAGCCTCAACCAAGAAATGTGATTTGAGAACTGATTTAAAGCATTCCCATTGTTGTTGGTTGGTGGGTACGCTATCAGGTTGAATCTTGTATTTTCTAAAATATGGCATCTGATCGATAATGAACCATGGCAAACATCTACCAAAATACATAGTCTCATGAACTAAAAAGAACAAAAGTCCCGTTGCAAGCATATCGTTCCCAATGTACAAATACCAATCTGCCCATAACCTTTCCACCACATTCAGGGCCACTTGACCGTGTAAAAGGCTTGTTGTGGAGTTCGTTGCGGAACCAAGTACATTCATATTGGGTTGGGCTGATACGTTGATGAATGCGAGTAGCACTACCTCTTCACGTTTCTTCGGTATTTATAGCTTCTGTCTGCCATGTTGTCGTAGACAAGTAAAAGAAATCAAACAAAACAATCGTATGATTCAAAGCTGCAAAAATTATCTTTTTTTTTTTGTTTTTTTTCGTTGCGCGCCTGCGCACTCGCACTCGCACTCGCACCCGCATTTTGCATCAGAACGACAGATTTGGAACCGGACCGGAGCTAAACGACGACAAAAGACGAAGGGAATAATGCGCCACAAAACAAAATCTCCCGCGTCTATACGAAACCTTGTTCCAGAATCTTCTGATAAACGATTAGGTTGTTGTGAGTTTGCAGCCAAAGACAGCAAAAGGTTGTGAGAATGAAAGTATTTGGGGTATAACATAGCCGTTCTCATGCTACACAGAGTATCATTGATAGCTGTGGTGTCCCTTTTGTAACTTTACTACATTACTGATCGGTTGAGGACCGTGGGCAAAGAGAGTTTGAACCAAGATGAGTGCAAAATTTTGGTATGCTTAAAAAAGCATAGACTGAAATGGTATTGCAAGGCTCATAAAAGGATAGAGAAATGCTTAGTTGACCATTGAGAACTGGAACTTGCCACACTACTTGCAGAGGTGTACTTAAAATCATACAAACTATCACGTGAAAATATTGACAAAGACAGTCTCTCTCACAACTTGCTTTCAAAAACCTTAATCAACTCGTCTTCGCTGGAGCCGCTAGAGACGGAACTATCCACAATTCCATCCACTGTTACACTAGGCGTGACATGGACTCCAACTGTTCTCTGATATCTTGTAAAATACTTTACATCAACAGTTGCGCCATTTCCCTCATTGGCGGGCTCTCCTCCTTCCTTAATCTTGAGTTCAGCCAACAATTTATCTTTATCGACATGCAAGTTAAGTTCCTTGGAAACAACATCGTAAATCTGTCCATAGATCTCGTTCCTTGTCAATCTGATGTTGGAATTGTCGTAGAATTGCTTTTGATTCTCAAATACAGCTTTATTAAATTTCCAAAATGATTCATGTTCGTCTCCTCTTGGGTTTTCACGCAACAATTTTGCATACGCTAATGCAAACTCACCCAAAAAGATGGAATTGGGGTGCCATGGTTGAATTGCATTGACAAATACAAATTGGAATGCGTCGGGGTGTTTTTTTTGCAAGTTGGGGATAACTGTTTGGAATAGTTTGAGGAACAATTTGGCACTGAATGGGCAAGTGTAGTCGAGATACAAATTGACAATGTGAGGTGCTTTCTTGGCTCCAGACAATGTGTTGAGTCCGAGGTAGTAATGTGTTAATGAGTATTTAGGAGAGATCATTGCGTGAAGAAAGAGCGTGGGGGTTGGGGGTTGGGGATTGTACGAAAATACTGGAAAGGGGACGAGGAAGAAGCTATTGCTTTTTGGAAATGCGCGTGAAGCCACACTTTTTAAATTCCGTCTTTTACTGGTCACTACAAATATTAATTCAAACGCTGAACACAATCCCTATACGTTACCATCTCCTTTCATCTTAGCCATCTTCTTTCTTCGATTCTTTCTTTTCATGCTTTCATTGGCTTTATTTTTCTTTTTCTTCTGAGGACCTGTGACTTCGGCAAATTGCAGACTTGTCAATTCGTCCGCTTTTTTTTTACTAAGTTCGCTCAACATTCGTTTTGCAATGTCTAACTCAACCTTCGTTATTCCATCCAGCCCCTCTTTCATCTGAGAGGAAATGTCAACTGAATGCACCTCTGTTTCGTCAGTTCTCGATACTCTTTCATTTGTTGCGTCCGGTAGTTTTCTCTTTTCGGCATTGCTAGGGCTTCTCTCTTTTTCCTTCAATCGTTTCCGCTGCTTCTTTGTTTTGTTGGAGGCAGTGACTGCAGCTTCTTCAATTGATATTGCTATGGCAGACATGTCAAAGGTGGTGTCTTCAACATCCTCATTTACTTTCTCAGTTGTAGAATGAACCAGCTGGCTACTACCTTGTTGACATAGTTGGCTATTTGTGTTTGTCGATGAAGGGTTTGATGAATACACTTGTGAATTTGTTCTCTCAACTTCGAGCAAGTTAGGTTCACCAGCGTTGGGGATAGCATCAAGTGCAGTCACAGTCTGACCATCTTGGGAATCTTCAATGACCTTTTTTTGCGATATCACACTCTGCAGGCTTGTTGCATGGAAATCGGGTGCAGCTGCAAAATCGTTTGCATTGGTAGACTGCAGGCGGTGGGTGTTTGATGTGCTGGTAGCACGAGACTCGACAGGCACATCAACATTGTTGGATTCTGCACCAGTTGTTCCAAGTAGAAAACTTCCCTGGTTTCTGGCATCCACATTGCGTCGTTGCCTACGACGCTGGTAAATCCTTTTCGTTATTGCATCATTCTCATCTGGACTGAAATCTTCGTCCGACGAAGAGTTCATCAAGCTCAACATACTTTGCATTTTCGACACTCGCTTGCGTCGTTTCGTTTGATGGCTGCTCTTTGTATCAGTTCCTTGTGTATGATTTTTAGGTTGATATTGTGACGGTGTCGCAAATTTAGGTGAAACGGACCCAGGCCCTTCGTCTCCAAAGTCAATATGCTGGTCGACCTGAGAGGACGATATTGCTTCGGACTTTTCTTGTGGATCAAGAAGGACGTTGGTTGTCTTTTCTGTCTCCTTGAAGTCAAATCTAGAGACGTGCTCCTTCATTTCCTCAACGTACTCCTGATACAAGTTCTCGTCAATTTGAAGTCCATAACTATTCGAGCTCGTACCTGCTTCAACTTCCCCGCGTGAAGGTTGCTCATAAAGTGCCGAAGTTTGGGTACCAGTAAAATCCACAACGTGAGGAGCTGCATTTTTTTGTGGTGTTTCAAGTACGAAGAAGCTCTTGAATAAATCAACTTCAGGTTGAGTACTTGAAGAAGCGACAACATTTGACGAAGCAGCCTCATGAGTGTCCTCACTAGTTTGCCTTTGACCAGACACATTATTTTGGAGCGAATCAAGCACAAAAAAGCTGTCAAGTGCATCCGTTTCATCTTTGTCTCCCGCTTGAGAGACGTCTACCGTCTTTGATGCTCCTCTTTCTCCGTTGGTTTGATTCAAAGCAACAGAGTCATCGTATGGCTCCTGAAATGTATCTTCCATATCATCTGGAACGTCACTAGCCTCATCAATGTCATATTCGTGCGAAGTCCTGTCTTCCGTCCTTCGTTCCATGTCATTTTGATCTCTATTTTCAGTGTTGTTATCAAGTTTTTCGGTTCCTGTGACGATTATGCTTTGAGGTTCTGTTACCGACCTCGTCTTCCCCTTATTTTCTTCACTTGAGCGTTCTATTTCACTCCTTACACCAACTCTTTCATCGCCATGTTGCTGTTCGATGTCAAAAAGGACGTCTTGATCGTTTCTGCAGGGTAGCACTTTGGGCCTCTCGTGATCGGCCAATTGCTCGTTTGCTTCTTCCGATGGCCGTGTGGGTTTTGGCTCGCCGAAAAAGAGACTCAAAAGAGCAGCGGCACTGAATTTCTTGTTTCGTCGAGTCTCAACAATCTCACCAGTGAAATTTGGCCTTGATTGCTTCGTGGCATTGATTTCGAGCACGGTCCTACTACTCGTAAAATGCTGAGATGTCACCTGGCCGTGTATACCATTCTCCAGGTATTGACTGAGTGGAGTGTCCTGCGCAAGAGTCTTTACTGGGCCTTCTCGATTGATTTCAGTAGCAAGTGACGAGTTATCGTAATTACTTACCGGTTCATCCGACGAAGTCAGCTGATTGTCTGCACATGAATCGAGTAAAGCTCGAAGAACTGGGCTGGGAGGTTGTTTAAGGATTGGACTCCCTTGTGAATCAGGAGTTGGACGCTTTGGTGCTTCAGCAATACGACTTTTTGGGGATTTGCGCTCACCTTCCAGTATCACAATTGAGGCACGTATAGGCATAGACTCAATGTCACTAAGAGACAGTTTGGCTTTGTTTGCATTGGTTTTCCTCTTTCTCTTCTCTATGCGTTCTTTCGATGGATGCTTCCTTTTGGTTGCTCTACGGGTCTCCTTTAGCCTCTTCAATTTCTGCGCCATTGTTTCCTTCCGTTTTGGTGCCGATTGATGCTTGGGTTTATTGTCAGGTTCTGGAGATGTGTCGTCATCCAGATCAAATATTGACAAGTCAATGGTTTCAGACACACTCTGGCGCTTATTCGATAGTTTTGGGGTAGTTGTTGCTGTACCTTGTTTGCTTATACCGTGAGATACGGACGGTGAGCCATGTGGTGGGGTGATGGTAGATGTTGTGTCGATCAAAACTTCTTCACGGGTGTTGGTAATTTGCTCTTTTGTTGCCTCGTTATCTTTTGAGGAGTCCGTTTGTAAATGTGCTTGCAGTTGATTTTTTGACGGTAGATCTTGCTTTCCAGGTTTATGTCGTTTCTGCAGTCTTGATGAATCTTGTTGATTTCGCTTTGACCGCTTCGGTGATGCGTTCGAAACTGAGTACGATCGAGTGGAATCTTCCTCGGTATTATCTGCGACTTTCGCAGCTCTCAATGCAGTCTCTCCAATGACCAGCATTCGATCTAGCTGATCTTCTGCTTCAAGAACAGAACTCAAATCTCTCATCCGAACAATTTGCTGCTCAGCCAATTCAGTCAACTTGTCAAATGTCTCTTCTATTTCATTCTCATTCTCATTTGATTCTTGCTGTTCATGAGAGCTGTAGTCTCTTGTCTCAGTAACAACATCCTGTAGCCTTTGTGAAATCTTTTTATGCGGTAGTAAAGCCTCAGTGTTTAGTAGGTTAGCAATTGTGGGTAAAGTTTGATTAGGGTATCGATTTTGTCCATCATCCGTAGTGATTGTCTTTTTAGAATGGTTGGTTGGTCGATGTATTGGTGAATCTGTAGTTCCCACATTAACGGCATTGGTAGAGTTGATACTTGCCTTCTTACTTGGTTCCGACACGGGTTTACTTTTCTGAGATGAGACCAGGTTTCGTAACTTGAATTGATCACCAGTGTTGGGAGTCTTGTAAATTCTAGGTGTGGCTCCTCCGCGGTCATGCTTGAGGTTCTTTGTTGGTGTTTTAGGACCATAAGCACCAGCTCCTTCTCTAACATTTGAGTGTATATTTTTATGCACATCATGAGACGGCGGATGCGTAACATCGCTGTTACTTCGAGTAAGTACTCTGTAAACCGAATCTATGAGGCCCATAATGGCAATTACAATCTTCAGTGGCGGTTGCGGGCAAGATCGATGGTCTCTGAATACAGCTTTGATTATTTGAATGGCTGCACCGTTTTTCTATTTTTTTTTTTATGTGTTGTTTTATTTTTTTAACAAGATAACGCACACAAAAACGGTTTTTTGATTTGTTGCGCGTCTGCAAAAGAACTTTCTTGGTTTATCCTATGATATAATGTTACAAACGTGGCATTAATTCTATGTAATCTAAAAGATGCCTATAGTTTCATATTCATAAGCAGGGTGTAGGAGTGTGTCAATCCTGTTTCTCATGTTAACAAAATAATCAACTTGCATTTTTCATAAAGTACCTCATGGAATTTTTCATCATCATCAACCTCAAACTCTTCCAATTTTGCACCGTGTATTTTGAAATCAACGTCACGGATACCGTTCTCCTTCACAAAGTCCTCATAGTCATGTTTTAGAAATAACCTAATTGAATCAATTGTCTTGGGCTGTGTAAAGTTGTGTTGTTGCAAGTCATCCAATTCCAACCTGTGGTATAACTTTGTTTTCAAATCTTGAAGTCTTAAATTAGATGGCAACAACAATGCAAAAATATCGTCTTCGTAATAAAATTTAACCTTGACTTTTTGTTGTTGTTTGTCTGCGTCCTGAAGCAAGTTCCCACTTGATGATTCTCTCGACCTGTACGACTCATTTGAATGCTCTGAAGCTCGAGGATGTATTCCAAAGTTTGAATATTGCGACATTCTATCTTGATGCGAGTTTGACTTTTGACTTATTGGCTTGGAACCTCTTCTGTTAGGAGCATCGACTTCACGGTCAAACCCATTGTTCAACACCTCGAATAATTGTAATACATCTTCGGACCGCGAGATATGCGGTGGCAATGCAATCAACTGTGACAAATAAATGTCCAACTTCTCTCGTCTTAATTTTGAAATTGAATCGTTGACATTGATTAAAGGACCAGGTATGGAGGGAATTGTCCTCTTTGAGTGCTCAATTTTACCTGCTTCGTATGGAAACAACTCTAGTAAGCGTACTTGCAAGTCGTAAAAATCCTGATAGTATCGATAAAGATGCCTTATCTTACCATTGGATAATTTTGCTGTAATCAAGTATTGATAACGCCCATGATCTAGCTGGTACGAATCAACACTAGCATCAATGACTGAAGTTGACACCAACGACGACCTATTTGAAGCTGGAGTTTGACCGTCAAAAAATTGAGATGTCGATGACTGTGGTGGGGCTTTTGTGCTTGAGATGTGGCCGAGTGGTATACTTGACGCTTGATATTTTGCAGTTTGATCTTTCCATTGTTCAACAGTTGGGATCTTGAATCCATTTATAAGTTCAATAACATGATCTCGATTCGAAGTATCAACTGTAGATTCCGCTGCTAGCGGATTTAACAAGTCAATGATTTTGACATAAGAAACAGGAACTAGCCCCGGACCACCTAGTCTATTTATAGGCTTGGCTATAAACCACTCGTAGTCATGATGGGCACATATAATCAAGTTTTCTCCTGGCGAAACATCAAGCTCGTCGTTTCTTTCTGCTTTGAATTCGTACAAGGTTACCGCATACAAGGTTTGATTTGGATTCAGCGAACGTGAGCCTGAACGCAGACTCGTGCTTTGATTGGATGCAGTAGTCGATGGCCGCGATCTGTCAAATACCTCGAAATAGCTGATGGGCACCATTCCTCTGGCGTTTGTCATGGGATTGGTTGCCTCGAACCACCCATTCTCCTCTGCCTCTCGATGTCTCGGGTCATCGGATACGTTCAACACATGGAAAAACTCACCAGTATTGAATCTCAACTCTCCTGGTCCTTGTGGTTCGTAGTCATATAGCGCCTTTATAACTTTTTTGGGAGACTGGAGTGCGCTTTCTGAGTCAAGGGTTGTTGAAGAAACTCGTGAAATTGTCTTTTTCGGTGAGCCAGAAGAACTAGACAGTCTTTTGCTTTTCCTAAACGACTTGATCATTGGGTGATGGTGGTGTCAATGGCAATTGGTGGTAATTGGTTGTTGAGATGGATTGTTTGTGAAAGGGGTATGTGTGTGTGTATATATGTTTATGCAGCTGCTGCTCTCTAGAACAAAAAAATTTGTCAGGCAGAGGCAGAGGCAGAGACCGAGAGACCACAGGTCAAAATGAAAAGTAAAGTCGGAAAAAGAAAAAGAAAAAAAAATTTAAAAAGAAAAAAAAGAAAAGAAGCAGGAGAAGCAGAAGGAGAAGGAGAAGAAAAAGATCTTTCCACTAATGGCAATCAGAAATCTAACAGTTAAGTCCTTCTTCTTTACTTGGTATCTCTGGATCTTAGATGTAAATGATGATACACTGAGGTAAAACTTGAGCTACAATCACTCTGTTTTTTGAATTGTGTGCAGTATATTCACTTAATCTCTTAAAGACGTGTTGTCCATTGTCTTGTTAAAATCCATTTCAATTTGTATGTGCTAAAAATAGAGGGGGAGACAGACTACTCTCAAAACTAATTATCGGCTTCCAGCCAAGTTACACTTTGGATATACTTTGGAGACAAACTCAAAAAGTTGCATATTAGGGTATACAAGAACAGACACAAGTGTCTCAGAAGAAGAGTGTGTATCGTGGTGATGTTGGTGTGTGGACCTGGTAGAGAATCATCATGAATTAGTTTTGTGCCCAAGTGGAGATGAAAAGTAAAGGTCGTGTTGTTTGTCTTATTTCTTCACTGTGCAAGACAATTGAATTTATCCCAATTAGGAAATATGGTGCATTAACTTTGATAGGGATAATATATATAGCCATGAACATACACGTATATATAATTGTTGCACAAGATCTGCATTCTTACCGCCAAAAAAAGAAAAAGGGAGAAAAAGGTTATGGTCTACGCCCCTTGCCCCTTGCCCCTTGCCCCTTTTCTAGATGTGGCTTCAGTTGCAGCGCGTTACAATCGCGTGACGTGTGGCATTAAGAAAGCTGTATTTGATGCGCGTCTGTTGTCACTGATTCAGGTCTCGCACACCCCCCTCTACAAGCCCCTTGCATCGATCTGATTATGTAACTATTGCAGTATGAAAAGAGTTTGTGGAAAATTCTCACGCTTCAATCGTTAGCTATAATATTGATTCTTTGTATTCCTCGCTAAATTCAATTACAACACAACTTAAGCTCTTCTAACTTATGTAAAATCTTTTGAGCAAGGAATTATCTCAACCGTCAGAAAGCTAGTAGATTGAAGCTGGTTTATGCCGTACATTCGAAATGATATAATCACATGCAGGTGTCTATTCAAAATTGCGCGGCTTTAAAGAGAAGCGGATGATAAAAGCGGAAGCAAAAGTTTCTACCTTGGACCGCGCTGGACCCCACCCCCTCTCCACAGGTTCAACCCTCTCAGGGTATAAAGCTGATTGATAATGCTCTAGTTCCCTGTTTTCTTCCACCGCACATTCAAAGTCTATGGCAACCATGGCGTTAAACACTCCCTCAATCAAATACAAGGCGCACGCTTACAAGAGCAACAGAACACCAATTCAGATTGTGGATGAGACAATTGACTTGGTGAGAAAACCCAATGGTGAATACGTTGCTCCACGCGGAAGAATTCTCGTCAAGATCAACTATGCATCATTGAACCCAGTTGATTACAAGGTTTACAAGAAGACACCGTGGATCTCTTCCTTCTACAATCTGAAAAAGGGGTTTGGTAAAGACTTTTCGGGACAAGTTGTGTCAATCGGCGCCAATACCGACACCAATGTCAAAGTGGGTGACCTTGTTCAAGGATTGAATTGGCCAATCTGGGGAGGTGGTTCATGTGCTCAATACTTGTTGGTGAATCCATTTTGGTCACCCATCACTACTGTCCCAACAAACATCGACTTGATTGAAGCAGCATCATTCCCATTGGTTTTGGGAACTGCCATGCAAATGACCCGCAAGATGAAACTCAGAGATAGCAAAGTGCTCGTCATTGGTGCTGGTACTTCAGTTGGTAGGTACGTTGTGCAATTGGCCAGAATTGGAGGCGCTAAAGAGATTGTCACTACCAATTCAAACAAGACGAGTGATTTGATTAGGGATTTGGGCGCAACTTCCCAAATTGACTATCACAAGTACCCAAATTACTTGACTCCAGTATTGGAGAGTGTCAAGTCCAGTGGACAATTTGACTACATTCTCGATTGTTGGGGTACAGGGGACTTGTTCCCAGAAATTGACCACGTAATCAAAAAAGGTGGTATTTACTACACTATTGTGGGTGACGATGCAAACTCGCCGATTGGAGCTGTCAAGTCAAGCTTTAGAGTAGTGAAGTCGTTCTTGGGATTGACAAAGTACAACTACCGTCTTGGATTACTCAGTTCCAACTTTGAGAATAAGGGATGGATTGAATCTGCTAGAGATTTACTCCAGGATGGTAAAATTCAAATTTTTGTTGATTCGGTTTATCCATTTGGTGAGTTGCGTGAAGCTATCGATAAGTTGGAGAGCGGAAGAGCTCAAGGTAAGATTGTATTGGAGGTTGAAAAGCCAAGTCAAGAGAATCAGAATCCGTTTGAATAGGGTGCATTCAGCAATTGGACATTTCATTTAGACATTAGTAATATACAGACGATAGAAGTCTCGTCTCTTGTCTTTTTGTTTCAGATTTGCAATTTGCATCCGTCTCAATTCTGCATTAGCCACAGGCCACCTGTGTTGTTGTTGTAGTTGTTGTAGTTGTTCTGGTTTGTGTTTATTGGTTTTTCCACCGTGTAAAATTTATGTGGCGGAAAAATATCCGGAAGAAAAATGAAAACGGAAACTACTTAGTTGGGAAATTTATCCGGAAAATAACGTATAGACGATTTTCCATTCGTTGCGTATAATAAGCTCTAAACTGGTCAAGTAGTCACGCTTACTTCTCTAAACCAATACATTCCTGTCTCGATGGCATGGACAGACATGCCGGTGATGGCTATAGTGGTCCGGAGCAATCATAAAAGGAATTTGCTCTGTTTATTAAGTGGAAGCAAAGAGAAAAAAAAAAAAAAAAAATAGAATTTTTCGCACACTACTGAGTTTAGTACAACCGTTAGCCGTTCCTGGTGGAGATGGACAGACACAGATACGCTAATAGCACGCTATTGTTATAAAACAAGTGTTTATCTCCGGTATTACGTTTGTTTCTATTCTTTTTTTATTTTTCTATTTTTGAGATGAACTAAAAGCATATATAAAGAAGCCACAATTTCCCAAAAATTCACTAAAATCTCTTCTTAGAACCACTAACGTATATACCTGGCACTATAAAACATGGCATTTAAAACTCCTTTACTTGAATACAAAGCTTGGGCTTACAAGAATGGTAACCACCCCATTGAGCTCATCCAAGAGACTGTCAACTTGGTGAAATCCGCCAACGGAGAATACATTGCCCCCGATGGCAAAATCTTGATCAAGATCAACTATGCTTCATTGAACCCGGTTGACTACAAATTGTACAAGGCCAAACCAGCCTTCCTCAGTCTCATCAACTCAAAACAAGGATTCGGTAAGGATTACTCCGGACAGGTTGTTTCAATTGGTAAGAACACCGCCACTAAAGTCAAAGTTGGTGATTTGGTCCAAGGTATCCAAGCACCCATGCTTGATAGAGGATCATGTGCCGAGTACTTGCTCCTCGATCCAACCAAGTCACCAATTGCAACTAAAGCCACCAACATCGATCTTGCTCACGCCGCTTCATTCCCATTGGTGCTCGGTACCGCCATGCAAATCTCAAAAGGCTTGAAAATAACTGGGGAAAAAATCTTGATTTTGGGTGCTGGTACTTCAGTTGGAAGATATGCGGTTCAATTGTGTAGATTGAAGGGAGCTAAAGAAATTGTCACCACGAATTCGGGAAAGAATGAGGAATTGATTAGGGAATTGGGTGCAACTTCACAGATTGATTATAGAAAGAACCCAAATATCTTGCAACAGGTTTTAGAGAGTGTTAAGGAATCGGGCCCATTTGACCATATCTTGGATACTGTTGGTGGAAAGGAATTGTTTCCTGAGATCAAAACCATTTTGAAGAAAGGTGGTGCTTACCATACAACCAACCCTGGTAGTTCCACTTTTGCATTCCTTGCTTCTACCTTGAAGAAGAAGTGGGCTGCTTGGGGATTCCTTGGTTATGATTATAGCTTTGGATTCTTGGACTATAATGGAGGCTGGATTGATACTGCTAGAGATTTGGTTCAAGATGGTAAAGTTAAGATTTTCATTGATTCTGTTTATCCATTCAATGATTTGCATGCAGCTGTTGAAAAGTTGAACAGTGGTAGGGCTCAAGGTAAGATCTTGTTGGAAGTTGAAAAACCAACCAAGGAAGAGGAGTTGGAGGAGACAAGACAAGGTACACAATTGTAAGCTGGAGAGAGATATTACGTTATACATAGGTAGAGACTTTAATTTTTAATTGCAGATTAGTGTCAGAAACTCTTTCATAGCTCTTTGATAAGCATGGCTACGATTGAGCGCACTCTTTAACGTGCCAAGATTATGTAACTTTTATAGTCGTCTTAGTTCATGTTGCATTTTTTGTAAAAATAATAATCGCCTGCCAATTACCCTTTAAACTTTCTTACTTGCGATATCCGCTTGGTTCGTTTCGCGATCTTGTATGTCCATTCGCACGGCTATATTCGCTCCATTTCGGTAGCTGCATTTCGAATCAACATGGCATTTTTCAAAAGCACGAAAGTAGCGAAAATTGAGATGAAATGCTCTCGTAGAGTACCTAACTTTATCACGAATAAATAACATTTGCTACTTGGCGTTACATTCATTTGTAACCATTTCGTAATAATAATTTTTGTGGTTTTCTTTTCTTAGACTCGTGTGATGCTTAAAAATTTGGTCGAGAATTAGCAAGTTCTAAAAATAATAATAGGAGGGAATCTCTCTGGTAGTTGTATTCATTCCAAGTGTACAGGATGAGAAGCTGAGCTGGACCACCACCTTTTCTTTGTGGTTTTTTTTTTGCAAATGCGGCGATTTTCGCATCGATCTAAAGAGCTATTGTTTCATCTAATGTTTTCAAAGTCTCGAACAAAAAGATGAGATGATCTGACGGTGCTCAATTTGCAAAGCAAGGGGCCGCGACAGAAGACGAGCCTCTCGATACAATCTACACATTCAATGTTGATGTCAATCGTGCATGAAAAAAAGAAAAAAGAAAAAAGAAAAAAGAGAAAGCGCAAAGCGCATGCTGCAAACTTTTCTATCTCATTTACATTCAATGCATGACCTGATATACGATGGAATCGGTCCAAGTTACACAAGTGTTGATGAGCCACCCTCAACACATTCAAATCCCTGGAAAGTTGACGATGGATAAAGTTTGTCTCATTTTGAACAATTGTACACGCATGTAACCGCAGGCTTTTTGTGGTATTTAGGTGAACAGTGCACTACCCAATTATTACACAAAGCGCATACTATAAACTATGGAAATAGTATACGTTACTCACTTTGTAATAGCAATCTAAAGTTTTAAAAGGAGTAAGTAATAGAGAGAAAGAGATAGAGAGAGAGAAGCAGAGCCATTCGAGTCAGCCAGTCAATAACAAAGTCGTAAAGCGTGTAAATGATCACAAATTCACCTCCTGTTAACACTCCCTGTATTGTTCTGTCGCAATTATATGAACTTGAAATTGTTCTTCGGTAACATATCATCTCTCTCACTTACACACACATATATATAAATATATATATATATATATAAAGCGCTTGAAATTTCCTCTCCTTTTTTCTTTTTTGTTGCATTTTTTTTTTTTTTACATCACACCCACTCCACACAACAACATGAAGTTCGCTACTGTTTTCACTCTCGCTACTGTCACTTTGGCCTTGAACTTGGACCAAGTTAGATTGATCAATGACAACGAATTGGTCATCCAAGATACTGAGTATGGTTACCCAGCAATTGTCAACTTGAAAGAAGAAGATTCTGAAGTTGATGCTGAAGCCAAGAAGACCAAGGTCACTACCACCACTTCATCTCACGTCACTTCTGCTACCACCACCACCACCACCACTTCCTCCCACTCGTCAAAGAAGCACTCTTCTACTTCCACCAAACACAAGACTTCAACTCACTCCATCACCAAGACTGCTGGTGCCGATGCTGTTGCTGCTAGTGTAGGTGGTCCATTGTTGGTTGCCTTGGGCTTGTTGTTGTAAGTGAGTCTTGCTAACGTGACCTGATCTGCTGGAGACATTTGAGCATCTCAACGTTTCACAAAAAAAAAACATTACTACTTAATTTTAGTTGACAATTATTCCTTTTTAATATACAGTAAAGTTAATTTGAACAAAGGACAAGAAGAGGAGCTAGAGGAGTGTAGCCTTAGCAGCTATATTGTGCTTCTGAATTCTTAGAGAAGTAGCTCCTCCTTTAAGAACAAATAGCAACCAGTAGTGCAGTAAAATACTCCACGTCGGTTTCAAGACTAGTCAAAGTCTGCTAGATAATGTACTATGTAGCAACAGTAATCGTCACTGAAAGGAGCGTTATAGTTATGGCTGCAAAGCACCTCAAACGATTGTGTATCTTGCTTGCATGCCCGGTGTAGGCGCCGGTATCGATTCTTCCGTATGAGCGGAGAAAAAAAAAAAAAAAAAAGCTTTCTTTCCTTCCCCACGGCACAAGGTCCGAAGTCGACCCGTTACATTTTTTCTGGTCGAAAAATGCCAGCACGAATTGCGTCGCATTGCGGCGCCCAAGACGACCCACAGACAGAACGTCCATTTGTAACATTTAGTGACTCACTACTGCAGGAGAAAAAATCAAAAAAAAAAAAAATTATCAATACAAATACACTTCAAAATTTTTCATCAACTTCCATCAACCCTGTGTGATCTGTACAACACCCTCATCCGACAAAGATGTTTAAAAGACCATCTGCTCTCTTGAGGCAGTCAATCAGAGGAAAATCATCAAGCTCAACCTCAGCTTTAGCTTACAAGACTTTGCATCGCAATCAAAAACGACCACCATTACCAACAATAGATACACCAAACTGGTCTGCCAATGCAGCTGTTTCATCAATCCTTTATGAGACTCCAGTCCCTTCCAAGGCTCCACCAAAGCAACATGTTCTCAACTGTTTAGTTCAAAATGAACCCGGTGTCTTGTCTGGTGTCTCCGGTACATTGGCAGCTAGAGGGTTCAACATTGATTCGTTAGTTGTTTGTAACACCGAGGTTAAGGATTTGTCACGTATGACTATTGTTTTGAAAGGTCAAGATGGGGTTGTGGAACAAGCAAGAAGACAAATTGAAGACTTGGTGCCAGTATATGCGGTCTTGGACTATACCAATGCTGAGATCATCAAGCGTGAATTGCTCTTGGCTAGAGTGTCATTGTTGGGACCCGAATATTTCCAAGAGTTGATTGCAACCCATCAATTGCATATCGATGATGCGTCCTCGATCCCCGACTTATCAGCAACCGAGTCAGCCTTCCATCCTTCAAATTTAGCTCCAAGTGAAGCTTTGAGACAAAAACACACGCATTTGGATCATATAACCACACTTACCAAGCAGTTTGGTGGTAGAGTTGTTGATATCAGTGACCGTAATGTCGTTGTTGAATTGACCGCCAAACCAAGCAGAGTTTCGGCATTTATTACATTATTGCATCCATTTGGTATCTTGGAATTGGCAAGATCTGGAATGGTGGCCTTGCCTAGAACTCCTTTGACCGGTGCTGATGAAGACGAAGTACCTATAGATGCTTCTGATATTGTCGACGCTTCCCAATTACCACCAGGTTAAACCAATTTCCGAGAAGAGCATTTTTGTGGTTCTTGGCAGTATATATATATATGTACTCGAGCTTTGTATAATATTTGTGAAATAGGAGCTGTTATATTTACTCCCCATTTCCATGTTGCAGTGCCTTGTAGTACACACTCTAAACTCATATTTTCATATAAACGTGCAAGGTCAAGATTGCAGAGGCTGCCCGGTTTTGCCCTTGAAGATGAACCTTTGAATCTGTAAATGCAATAAGCGCAATTTGCATGCGATGCCACACAGACGCAAGCTGTGAAGGTTGAATCCAGATAGTATAAATTGATCTGACTACACAAGTCCTTCTTCATATCTCCTCTCCCTAATTAATTCAAACTGTGCTTTGGCTCTCTGGTTCATACTGCACCCCCTCCCCCCATTCAGTAGCTCTCACTGTCATTCTGAGCGAAGTGGACCATATATCTCTGTTTTGTGTAACTTGTGAAAAATTACAGAAAGAAAAAAAAAATTGTGAACCGAAATTATTATCTTGACCAACACCACACAAGATTACCCCAATACTCAAAATACGACGCTGCACTTGCACGCAAGTTTAATCACCTAAAGTTTGAAAACAACATCCCGCCTTTACACGAAAACAAATTCGCCTTTGTAATACTTTGATCTATATTCACGGATGCAAATATTACACCACGGGGTAAGGAAATTCGCCAATTTGCAATTTATAAAACTTTAACAATTTACTGTACCTGGAATCGTTTAGACTGGCTTTCTACGAAGAGAAGTGTGCTACATAAAATCTATACTACCGTCTTCTCAGAAGGGTTTTAGTGGCAAAATACAATGTTGAATCAAGACTCAAGGACAAGTGAGAATGTACAGGATACTCCGCAACAACAGCCTCCACCACCGGCACCAGTACCACCACCAGCCCCAGGTCTGTACTATGTGCAACAGTATCCAGTTGGCTACTACCAAACACCACCAGTGCCAGAACCACCACACTACCCAGGTCAGCAGTTCCGCCTCCAACAACAGCAACAGCAGCAACAGCAGCAACAGCAAGTACCTTTAGTACATCAAATAAGCCCTCGAAATGACCACCCAACGCAACAAAATGTCCAGCAACCACTCCCGGTACAAGCTCCTCCAGGACTACCGCAGCCATACTACACACCCACGTATCCACAAATTTCCCCCATTGCACAATATGTGCCGACTTCCACCCATCCTCAACCCAATCATCAACTGATTCAGTATCAATATCTTTCTCCACCACAACAGCAGCCACAATCTTATGCACCACCTATATCAACGAGCCATAGATCAGTTCGATTCCAAGAGGATCCAAATTCAAGTCAATTTCGATCTCAGCTGCCGGCAGTAAAACAGGAATTTGACAGAGAGCAAACTTCATCCTCGGTGGTTGCTCCTCTTCCTCTTAATCCACCTCCTACCACTGTGTCTTCATCAACTCCCTCGGAAAGCTCAACAAAACTGAAACGTCAAAGTCCATCTCCAGAGAATCCTCTTGTGGAAGAACGACAGTCGAAAAAGCGACCTCCACCGGTGAGCAAAATATTATCAAGAACTTCTGCTACTTATCCAAGGAAAAGAGCACTTACCGCATGCGACACTTGCCGAGTAAAGAAAACAAAGTGTGACAATGTTCGACCTCACTGTGGTTCTTGTGCTCGAAATGGCAATACAAACTGCCAATATAGTACTGGTGATCAACTCAATGACTACTCAAGTTATGACCCAGCATCATTGAACATTTTGACAAAGTTGGACGTTATAATGAGGGATTTGAATCAGATGAAGGACACCCAGCAGAAGTGTAGTCATGAATCTGCAGAGAAGCGAGAGACCAAGACTGATGCAAACGGATCAGTACATAAAAGTGCAAAGAGTGGTGTTCCCGAGTTTGATACTTGTATCTGGGACATGTCAGCCACCTCAATCATCAACTGGAGCATGTTTAAGCAAGACTTGCACGTCTCGGCAGAAGAGGTTGAATCCACCAAGCACAAGTTGCTAAATGTATACGATAGAAACAATTTCATCCGCCATGGTAAAAGTGAAGCAATACATTCATATGAGGAAAAGATCAACGACTTTAAAATAGCTGAACAATTGTTGATGAAGAATTTCACCAGTATAATCAATTCATTCTTTGTCAATATGTACACAAAGTTGCCCATCTTGAATGTGTGTGAGTTTTTCACTGTGTTGGAATTGTATCAATTCTTACTATCCAAGATGCCACAACTTACATTTGTGCGATTGTTGGAATTGTTTGAAAGTGAGGATTTGCCTCAACTGATTTTCCAGGTGTATGAAGAACTGAAGATTGAGTTGAACAATTGGGAAATTGAGAAATTGAACCTCTTGGTGGAATCAATTCCGTTGATCTTGGTCATTTCTGCTCTTGGTGTTTCGGCCATACCTGTGAATTTGGACAATTTGACTACATTCAAGACCTCGTTACATGAATCAGCATCAATTTCGATTGGCTCCTTGTGTGGTTCAAACAGCTTTGAAGGGATTCCCGCCACATTCACTACAAATAGGACACTAATTGCTTACAAGTTACTCACATACTCACAATCCATCATCCATATGTTTCCATTTGTTATGAAGGAAAATACAATCCGGTCAGCTCAGTACTACTTGTTAAAAAGTCAATTGCATTTGCAGAATAACAACCCATTGCGAGCACACAAATTCATTGTAAGTGCCAGCAGGAACATTATGTACTACCTACAGAAAACAAACGGCGGTAAGAGTATAAGTGACGGTGAAAAAAGGGATGTCCTCGACCGACTTTTTTGGATTTGTTTGAAACTTGAGTGCGAGTTGAATATCGAATTGTCTCCCTTTGTTTCATTATCAGGAATACATCATTTCCCTCCCACTGCATTATTCCCCAAAGTCCCCGATCCAATTACGGAAGAGCTGAAGGGCAAGTATAGTAGTTCAGTCTTGAAATTAACCCAAAAGTATGATGACCAGTATATGTGGTATTATTTTTTGACAGAGGTGGCAGTGAGAAAGGTGGATAATAAAATGCTTGATGATTTGTACTCGTTGGAATCAACAGTTAGCCATGCTTGGGATCTGGACAAATTTGCAAGTGAAACAGTTTGGACTGATTTCGTCAAGTACTTGAATCAGTATAATGGAATCATCAACTCCTTGACTCCTGAAATTCGATTTTTTGTATTGCAGGAAATCGATACAGAGCATATTTACAAGCGTATCAAGAAAAAGTACGATCGAGTCAAAGAAAAAAAATCGAATGGAGTCAATGCAAAACCTCAAGAAGAGCCAAGTGACTTGTACAATGATATCTTTGACAATTTGGATGACTTTCTCATTGATGATGACTTGCTACTCCGTGCACAATCAGAATCCATAATGTACATCAAAACAAGAGTCTTGACATCAAAGTTGTTGCTATTTCGTCCATTGGTGTATTTGATTTTGGAGGACAAAGTGCCCCTACCGGAATTGATTAATGCGGCAGTTTCTGTGATTGGTTCATCTATTCCACAACAACAAAAGGCTTCTTCACTCGAATCTGATTATGGATATGATACGCCGATTACTTCATCTGCCTCAAACACAATTTGTGACTCTAATGATTTCTCAAGTGTGTTGGAGATTGATCTAGATTTTTTCAATTTGAACAACGCACCATTGTTTTATCAGAAACAGCATCCCGATGAAGATTTCTCCAATTTGATTGAGTATACAAGAAAGGAAAGCAATGATGAGCTTGATGACAATGTGGATTTGAATATTAATGACATGGCCAGTGCTAGAGCCAAGATTTTGCGCATTTTTTTCCGAAATCTAATCTCGATTCCCAAGTTGAACATCCCTCGATTAGCATGCCATCGTCATCCTGGAAGTTGGTACTACATTCGGAATTTGTTCATTGGAAGTGTCATGCAATACTTAATGTTTAGAAAAATTCAGCACGTTATAATCACAGCCAGCACGAATAAAGAGTTGCAAAATATGTTGATGCAATCAATGTGTGGGGCTAGAAGTGAAGGTGTTCATTCTGGAGACACTGGTACGACCCCGTCATTTGAATCCATAGTGCAAATGATTTCCAGTGTTGTTGGAAAAGAGAGCATTGTTGCCAATTTGGAACATCTGAAGATTGTGTTTGAGTATTGGAAAGATGAAGTAGGTGATTGTGCTGTATATCAAGAGTTTGTGACTAGAATGTTGGCAGAGTTGTAATGTGTGAGCTATAGCAAAATAAGAGAAAGGAGCAGGACCACTTCTCCAACTGATCTTTTTGATAACTTTAATTTTTTTTTTTGCTTTTTTGTCTCTCTTTCCAAAATTGCACACAATTTCTACTCCGATCTCGCTAATTATTAGATGCAAAAAAAAAAAAAAAATAAAAATAAAAATAAAAAATAAAAAATAAAAATAAAAACATAAAAATAAAAATCGCCAACCACAACAACTCTTCTTCAAATAGGAGTAATACAAACGCAGCACGGATTGTTTCTTAGTAATGTCGAATGTGTTTAACGAGAGTCCAATAGACAAAGATTGGAATAATAGTGATTATGAGATCAAAGAGCAAGACCGGTTTTTGCCAATTGCCAACGGTATGTGAATAACAAAGTGAACGTGTGAGACCACGATAAATAGTAAATTACTAACTTGCTTTCCAAGTTGGCCGTGTAATGAAGAAAGCTTTACCCGAAAGAGCCAAACTATCAAAAGAATCAAAAGAGTGTGTTCAAGAATGTGTCAGTGAATTCATTTCCTTCATTACGAGTCAAGCGGCTGATAAATGTAAATTAGAGAAACGGAAGACATTAAATGGTGAGGATTTATTATGGGCAATGTACACATTGGGGTTTGAGAATTATTCGGAAACGCTCAAGATATATCTTGCAAAGTATCGACTGGTATGTTGAATGGGAAGGAAATTGCATATGATATCGATTTGTTTTACTAACTCGAAGCAGTATGAGCAGCAGCATGCGTCGATTAAACCACCAAGAAGGAAAGTCCACAAGAAAAAGACGAAACTGGAAAAACAATCATTGGTGGAGGAAGAGACGGAAGATGAATACAATGCCGAGTTTGACCAAGATTTTGGTAATAATACACTCAATGCAGCGAAATATTTCCAAGAAAACAATTTGACCGAGTCAAGTTATTCAGTTCCGGTAGCAGCAACACTGGGAGTTGCATCATCCTTCCCCTTACCTAATGACTATTTCCCAGGACAGGGTATTGAAGATACAGGTGCTGCGAGTCTACAATACTTGACCCAACAAGACATACAACAAGAGCAATTGCCGCTATTTCCTCAAGCATATACTCAACTGCAGCCGGGTGCCCAGGCACTACATACGCAACTGCGATCTGGACAGTTATACACCCCACAAGAACAAGCTTATAACATGGGTGGCGTGAGCGATGTACAGAAGCAACTAAATCAGGAGGGCCAGGGCGTGGGGATAGTTTTGAGGAGTTCAGTTCCACAAGCAAATGCAAGACATCGACATCGTTAGGGGTGACATTAAGTTGTTGGTTGTATCTGAATCGAAGCTACATACAAGAATGGAAAGGGTCGAAATGTATCGAATTGCGAAACCAAAAAAAAAAAAAAAAAGCTATCAGGATGTCAGACTGTATATCTACAAAAGCCCCATACTCAACAAGAAACAGGATCACGTATGGGTTTTAGCAGTATCGTGAAAGCTCGAGTATGAAAAGAATAGTATTACAAGGAACGTGATGGAAGAACAAATGAAATACAACAAAATCTCTCCCTGAATACATAGCTTAACAAGTACATTACTAATATCAAACTGATTGTCAAATGACGAAGTAACTCTCTACTCAAACGGATTCTGATTCTCTTGACTTGGCTTTTCAACCTCCAATACAATCTTACCTTGAGCTCTTCCGCTCTCCAACTTATCGATAGCTTCACGCAACTCACCAAATGGATAAACCGAATCAACAAAAATTTGTACTTCGCCCTCCTGAATCAAGTCTCTAGCTAAATCAATCCACCCTTTGTTTTGAAAATTGGAGCTAAGCAAACCGCGAATATATGTGTAGTTTGTCAATCCCAAGAAAGAAATCAACATTCTGACCCTTGATTTGAAAGATGCTATTTTGGAATTTGCATCGTCACCCACAATAGTGTAGTAAATACCACCTTTTTTGATTACGTGGTCAATTTCTGGGAACAAGTCCCCTGTACCCCAACAATCGAGAATGTAGTCAAATTGTCCACTGGACTTGACACTCTCCAATACTGGAGTCAAGTAATTTGGGTACTTGTGATAGTCAATTTGGGAAGTTGCGCCCAAATCCCTAATCAAATCACTCGTCTTGTTTGAATTGGTAGTGACAATCTCTTTAGCGCCTCCAATTCTGGCCAATTGCACAACGTACCTACCAACTGAAGTACCAGCACCAATGACGAGCACTTTGCTATCTCTGAGTTTCATCTTGCGGGTCATTTGCATGGCAGTTCCCAAAACCAATGGGAATGATGCTGCTTCAATCAAGTCGATGTTTGTTGGGACAGTAGTGATGGGTGACCAAAATGGATTCACCAACAAGTATTGAGCACATGAACCACCTCCCCAGATTGGCCAATTCAATCCTTGAACAAGGTCACCCACTTTGACATTGGTGTCGGTATTGGCGCCGATTGACACAACTTGTCCCGAAAAGTCTTTACCAAACCCCTTTTTCAGATTGTAGAAGGAAGAGATCCACGGTGTCTTCTTGTAAACCTTGTAATCAACTGGGTTCAATGATGCATAGTTGATCTTGACGAGAATTCTTCCGCGTGGAGCAACGTATTCACCATTGGGTTTTCTCACCAAGTCAATTGTCTCATCCACAATCTGAATTGGTGTTTTGCTGTAACTATACGTATGGGCTTTGTATGTTATTGATGGTACTTTGAATGTCATGATTGTAGCAGGTGTGGAGTATAAAGAAAGTTAACTAGGAAGAAGAAGGAATGATAAAAAATAAAAAATAGTAGAGCAATCATCTGACTATCTATCTAATTTGTGAAAATGTGTAAATTGAGATGGGTAAACTTTTGTGTCAACTTCGCTTCCGCTTTTCCCATCCGCCCCATTCATAAAGTTGCGCTTCAAACCCTGCACGTGATTGCGTCTATCTGTAACGACAACTTTAGTGAACTTCTATCCACTATCGACTAAAGTGTTTGTAACTACTCCTATATCAAAAGACTCTACATTAATTAAATGAGCTATATATATGTATTTCTTGTACCAGACAATTTAAATATTTATTCTTCTTCTCCATGTACATAGGGTGGAGGCAAACTATTCAACGTTATTTGTTCATCATCAGAATTAACTTCTGAATAAGCGTCATATGTGAAATGACCATCATCATCATCGTCATCGTCCTCGTCCCCCTCGGCATCGTATACAGCCCCTTCTACACGACTCTTATTGCCTCCTTCACGTTTATTCCTGGAAACCGTGGCCCAAAAATCCGGTGGGAAATCATTCGCTCTGTCATCTTCCTCTTCATCAATTTCTGATCTCTGCAATAGGATATCGGCATTGAATTTGTTATATGCTGGCGGTGCCGGTCCATTTCCTTCCAAGGGTGCGTATTTCCAGTTTTTGACGTTTGCTTCAATAAACACAAATCCACGTTGTCCAAGATTGACATGAACTGAACAAATGTTATTGGCTCCAATAGTGGGGAAAATTTGTCCATTGCGTGGAGGCTTGAAGTTCTTGATATGGCCACCTAGTTTTGATTCACTGATTTTTTTACCATTGCGAGTGAAAAAGATTGTTCCTGATCTGGTTCTATAACCAACTCCAATCACATCGCCTTTGACCAATTTGGGAAATGGTGGTTCTGAAGTTAAGTGGAATGGCTGATTGTGTCTTCTGTAGCCATCTGAATCATAACTTACTGAATGAGGGTGGCGTCCGGGTAGTCTAAACCACGGGTAAGGCTTGATTCCAAGACCAATGGATATTAAAGTGTCATTTGCATCAGACTCTTCAGAAGCTGACGTTTCAGGTAATGAATATATCTTTGCTTCGTAGTAGTACACTTCATTTCTCATGGGTATGGGTAGATTAGTTTGGCATGAACATTCAAAATTTTTGAAAAAATTCAACTCCGTCTTGTTAACGATTAACAAATCGTTATTGGTCAACATTTGATCCTTGGCGAATTCATATGCATTGATTCCCTTTTCCTGAATAGACAAGTTCTGGCTCAAGGTTAAATCACCAATATAGTATGGATTCAGTTCGAGAAACTCTCTTGATTGGAAAAACAACTCTTGTTCATCACTGTTCAACTCAAGGTATGCTTGGTTTTCTTCTTCTCTTCTTAATTCATCTTCGGTAGTTCTATTTGATCTTCGAACCAAGTAAAAGATTACTATGGAGATGGAAACGATGCCAAAGACTGACAGTAGAGTGATGATGACCACAAGTAATGCGGTGCTGAGTTCTCCCTTCTTGTCGTGTGTGTGGTTGTATGGCGGTATTATCTCTGGCTGATCTAGTTGAAGGTACATGGTGGGCGGGAAGATGTGGAGCAACGTAAGGTCTAGAGGGGATGGCGCTCTATTGAAATTTGGCGAATAATTTGGTTTTTTTTGTGGAAGCGAAGTGGATATTCCTTTGTTTCAAAAAGCTCTGTTGGTTTTTTTCAGTGACAGTCTTAACAGTGAGTCAATCTTCTGTTTGAATCGAATGCTATGAGATGGAAAGAACTTGATTACTGTTTTCTAAATTAATCGCCTACTGATAACGAGAGAATTAGAAGGAAGTTGATTTTTTTTTTTCATCTCATTTTTGTCATTCATTTTCTTCTCCCTCTGTTTTTTTTTTTTCTAATCAAAATAAATTTCTTTTTTTTTTTTTTATCTTATTTTTGTATTGGAGTGAAAGCTACCACTTCTTATTGCAAGCTTAAATGAGAAGGGCCAAGAAGGTGGACCAGATGTCAATGTTTTGAGAGCTAAGTAGACGTCAAACTCAGTATATAACTTGTATTGTACATAATGTAAAGCTGAATCTGCCTGTAGAGAGTATCAGGCTATACTCTCAAGTTCAGCGTCGTCAAAAACCGAGCTGTAATAGTGATGGACTCTACAGAAGTAGCCCGTCCAATTGAAGGTCAAGTGCATGAATATTGTGAAAATCACCATTGAAGTATCGAGAGTAAAGAGGTATACTTCTTCTGACTGAAGCTGTCCTTTATATCCCTCAATCATTTCAACACAACGAAAGACTGACCTCACCATCAAAAAGACGCAACTTAAACCCAACACCATCAATGCATGTTTCCAATTTCCTATCATTGGGAACGATCTTTCCAACGTACTTGCAACTTTTGTAGGGTTTGACCAAATTTTCATGGCAAATCTTAAAAGCACCCAACAAAACCCGGCAAAGAAGAGAAATTGGACAACCACTCCTGTGATGACCAAGGCTTTAGCAATTTTCTGTAAGCTGTCAGATTGGGCAACCTGTAAACCACCACCACCAGCTTGTACAAAAAGTGTGACTATGTCTCCAGTGACAAAAACTTTAGAAAGATAGCGTAAAGGCACCTTTGAGTATGCTTCAGCGTCAAGGCTTGTAACTAATTCACAAAATATCATGTAAGTGCTTGCCAAAATGAGTGTGGGTCCAATCAAAATGAAGACCGACTGTATCACGTAGGGCATGAGTGATTCCGGATTTTTGCAAGAAGCAGCCCTGGCGGCGAATCCAATAATTTCTAAAACGATCCCTACAATAAGCGGAACCATCACATTGCAATACCTTTTTAACTTCTTTGCCCTGATCCGACCAGTAAACTTTACGTATTTGGAAACAACAAAATAAGTTTCAACAATTGCAAGGATCAGGAAAATCACAGTGAAATAAATTGCAAGCCATAACTGAGGCTTGTATTGGTAGAACAGATAGCTGACTGATTCCTGGGACATGACAGCTTGTTCAGTGAAGAGACGAAGAGTCTAAGCTGAAAGAAAAATTCAAAGGCTTTTATGCTTTTGCTTTTGCTTTGACTGAGTGTAATTGGGAGGAAGGGTAGGGGAGGGGGGGGGATAGATAAGATGAGGCTTTTCACAACTCCGCCCAATTTTTTCCGAATAACCGCTGTGCGTAGTACTCGTACACAGCCTCAGTTTACGCAATACCATTACGAATGATTGTATGTGGTAGAGTCAGCCGGAATTGGGAGAATTAGCACCACAAAGTCCTGGACTGTGGTCTAGGCTGCGCTCTACAACAACGACAATATGTAATCTTGGATAGTGGAAATATTTGTTTGAAGCGCAACAATTGAGTTAACGCAGTACAATCCGAAATAGAATGTATTCCGTCCTTTTTTGAAAGTGCTGTATGCGATTTAGTTGTCTTTGGGTACATAGTGCATAACGCAATGGGTGTTTCCCCTATGTGCTGGTCTATGCTATTAACGAAAGGAGAAAAAATCAGATTTGTGTTTCTTCGTGGTTTGGCGTTCTGTGTAATATTAGACTTCAATTACTCTCGAAAGGGAGAGAAATAAAACGGGAAAGGGTTTTAGAGTTTGTGTTGGCGTATAAAACAACAGCGCCTTGTGCAGTGTCACTCGTAATCAATAGGAAACACAAAGCATCTTTCTTTTTTTTTCCCCGTTTGCCCTTTGAGCTTGTTTTGACTGTTGTTGTACAGTTGTTTTGTTGATGTTTTTTTTTTCTGTATGTATATCTATTTTTATAACAGAGAAGCATACATTACAGATCACGCATACATATTTTTATTTTTATTTATTACACTACTCGAAATGGTTAAATTCTGCCAAGTTCACGGTCCGAAATCGTGGCAATGCTGAGATTTATCAAGTTAAATAATACACACGACTGTAATGGGTATATAAATACCTTACCCTCGTCACCCTTTCTTGTTTGCTCTACAGATTCTCTTCACTCGTTTTATATTCACACGCACACGCACACGCACAACAGTATGCTAATATCACGCGCACTTTCACTCGCTTCAGTCATTCTTACAGCATCTGCTGCTACCAGTTCTGCTTCGTCGTGTAATCCAGTTAAATCGCTGTCATGTTCGCCAGATCCAGCATTAGGGGGATCTATTCAAGAAGATTTTAGTGATGGCTTGGGCTCGCACTTCACCAATCTGGGCAATCAAGGTAATGTCACTACTGGAAATGACGGGTTGTCACTAACAATCAATAAAAGGTACGATAACCCATCTATACACTCCAACTTCTACTTGATGTTTGGCTATGTTGAAGTCGAATTGAAAGCTGGTGAAGGAAAAGGAATAGTGTCTTCATTTTTCTTACAAAGTGATGATTTGGATGAAATTGACATTGAACTATTTGGCGGTGATCAATATGAATGGCAATCAAACTATTTCGTTCAAGGAAACACAACTACTTACGATCGTGGTGGATACCACCAAATTCAGCCTAACCCATTGGAGAACTATCACAAGTATGCCATCAATTGGACCAAAGATTCCTTGGACTGGATCGTTGATGGATCAGTTATCAGGTCATTACAAATCACCAATTCTCAAGGATACCCACAAACACCAATGAGAATATACGCTGGAATCTGGGCCGGAGGTGATCCTTCAAATGAGCAAGGAACTATTGAATGGGCTGGTGGTATAACTGATTATAGTTCTGCACCATTCACAATGCATATTAAATCCATTACTGCAATTGATTACTCAACTGGCAGTGAATATTCTTATTCTGATCAAAGTGGGTATTGGCAATCGATCGATGCAAAAGATGGTGAGGTTAACGGAAGATATAGTGATGCTCAGAGTGACGTGAGCAAAGTTGCCAACGGTGAGAGCATTGACGATAGCTCATCAAGTGATTCGTCCTCGAGCTCATCGAGTTCTTCAAGTTCGTCAAGCTCATCGAGTTCTTCAAGTTCGTCAAGTTCATCAAGTTCTTCAAGTTCATCAAGTTCTTCAAGTTCGTTAAGTTCATCAAGTTCGTCAAGTTCATCGAGTTCGTCAAGTTCGTCAAGCTCATCTGGCTCATCTGGCTCATCTACTCAAGATTCGCTGTCCTCATCCGTACCAAAGTCCTCTGCATCTTTGAGCCAATCATTAGATTCCACAGCAACCACCGAAGATTCAGCAGGAGCAGGAGGAAACAATGCAGTATCAGGATCATCTTCACCTTCTTCCTCAGCTTCAGCAACCACAAGGGATGGCTCTTCGAGTAGCCAAGAAACAACGTCGTCTTCATCGTCATCATCAAGTGAAACTGCATCAGTCTCATCCTCCTCAGAGAGTTCAGCCGCTGCAGGATTCGCTCCATCGAAATCAATGATGCATTTGATTACGCTTTCACTTCTGTTGGTTTCCATTGGGTTCGTACTTGTATAGGCTCTTTATAGATAGGATAATTTTAGTTGAGAATCATTGGCTCTTTCTTTTTGTCATGACTTTTGTGATTTATTGTAAGTTCTACTTTTTGTCAAAATTTTGCAGCAAATATAATTCTTAGTGCCATTTTTGCAGCTAAGTTACTCAAAAAAATTAGCTTGAATTAGAAATCAAACTAGACCTCAACTTTATATGTTGCAGGGTAACCAAAGCGGGTTCGATAGTTTATAATCCTGATTTCACCTCAAAATAAGCTCCTTTGGTTTTAAAGGATGCACAGAATTCTTGGCGGATACTCTTAGTCTTATCGTGTTCCAATCAGTCTATTTCGCAATGCCCTTTGGCAATAAAATTCAAGATGGAGTTCAAATAAAGCAGCAGACACTTTAGCAGAAGGCACTTTTTTCACACACATTTAACATATAAATCTCACACTTCGATAATTTTGGCTTGGTAGTATTCATTTCCTGAACAATTTCGAAGAAGATCATGTGGCTAGGTTTAAGTCTGTATGACCAATCTAACATAATTTCTGGCCAGAAATTGATGCGATAGCGCAGTGGTTTTGTATCTGACTGGGTGGCCAAGCTGGTTAAGGCGTGCGACTGTTAATCGCAAGATCGAGAGTTCAATCCTCTCCCTGGTCGTTTTTTATTTTTTTTTATGTGCTTTCGCTTACATTATACCTCGTCAAAACATCGGAATCAACCACAGAGGGTTGTTTTTTTTTTTACCAAATATGCATTATTCGACTGACTGCCGAAGTGACAATGTGGGGGGGAACATTTCTGGGAATCTATATAGGAAAATGATTTACGTTGTTTTTTTACACAGTTTGAGAAAAAAACATTTTTTATTGATTCGTCTGTTTTATAAAAGTTCTACTCGTTTAAAGTTACATAATTGGCAGGGAAAAGACCAACTTCACCAGTTTTGGAATGTTTTCCTGACCACCAATCCTCATCCACGAAATCAATCTCTACAATAAGATCACCTTCTTCAAAACCAATCTCATTGTCTTCGTCTTTTTCGTAGTCGTACTCTGCTGTTGCGGTGACAGAACCAGCCTTCTGTGAGTCTGGTACAGCAGCAGCAGCAGCGACAGGAACAGGCTCTTCCTCCTCCTCCTCTTCTTCTTCTTCTGGTTGTCTTGGGGGAGGTGGAGGCAAGTTTCTTGCGGGTAAAGACGCAGGTTTATCATCTTCATCCTCTTCCTCTTCCTCATCATCATCTTCAAATCCGCTACTTGCAGGAGGTAAGTTTCTTGCTGGTAAGGAAGGTGCCTTAGGTTCATTTTGGTTTGAATCACGGGATGGCAAGGAAGGTGGTAAGTTTCTAGCGGGCAATTTGACTGGCCGCTCCTCTTCCTCCTCTTCCTCTTCTTCTTCTTCCGGCTCTGGTTCTGGTTGTCTACGTGGTGGAGGTGGCAAGTTTCTGGCTGGCAAAGAAGCTGGTTTTTTAACCTCCTCTTCTTGTTCCTGTTCCTGTTCCTGTTCCTCTTCCTCATCGTCATTGATGTTAGCACTTTTTTCAAACTTGCTAGCCAACTCAGATGCATGATTTTGGAACGATTCTTTCTTTTCATTTTCTGTCTCGTGTCCATCTTCCGAGGCTACAGTCTTGTACTTACCTCTCTTTTCAGCCCAAATTTGCGCTGGAGTTTTACCATTTTCAGCTCCAAAATTTCTCGATAAGCCTCCAACAACCTTGTCGCTTCTGTCATCCTTAGTTGCACCGAATGTTGGCTTAGCTCCAAATGAAGGAGCCCCTGATAACAACGATGAAGAAGAAGATGCACTAGCTTTGTATCTATCGGCAACAGAGTGGCCAACTTTTGGTTTTGGGAGTGAAGTCAATCTGCCATCATTTTGCTCATAAGTCTTCATACGCTCACTCAATGGCTTTGGAGATTCCTCTTTTTCCTGTTTATCCTGTGAAGCATTGAACTTGGACTTTGGGGTAGAGCTCACAGTGTCAGATTTTTGCTTTCTCAATTCGTCGATGTTGACCTTGGTTGGTCTGTAGGTGGATGGCACATCTTCTAACGGCTTTTCGTCAAAATCACGTTCTTCAACATCTTGCGCATCGCCCCATCCATCGTCGTTATTCGAAGCTGGTTTAGGCTTGGAACCGGAATTGACAGAAGAAATTGGTTTTCCAGTTGTTTTTGGAACAAATGAGGGCTTATTAGTTGATGATACTGGCTTAGAAACAACTGGCTTGGAGGCATTTGTTGGCTTCTTGGAGGCTGCGGTACCTCCTGATACAGTCGAGTACCTTGCACCAGCTGCAGCAGAGACTCTATTCAAAAAATCATCAACGTCCAAGTCGTCTTGATCCCTAGCGGTGATTTGGATATGGTACCCACTGAATATCTTTGATATTTCAGCAAAATTGTTTGCAAACGACATTCTCAACTTTGCTGGCGCATTATCTGGGCACCAGCCCACCAATATGTTTTTCCAAACATCAGAGCCAGGGACAGTCACTCTAGCTAAACCAAATTGGACCTGTCCATCAGTGAAATTTTCAACAAATTCATCCAATGAGCCGTTTCCCGTTTCAGAGACGTCCAATGTTGCATTTTTGTCAACCGAGTAAACAACAAAGGAGACATTGGGGTCCCCTTTTACGACCTTGAGGTATGGGTCTTGAATTCTCTTGGAATTGGTCGAAGTGTCTATCTTTTCCATTGCTTTATTTCTGTTGGCTACTGTTGTTAGTGCAAGTGTAGGTTGTGCACAGCAATTGGGCGAAATTGGTTTGAAATTTCCAACACACACACACACAAACACACACGCACAAACACACACACACAGTTTTAGGGTCACTGATTTCAAAATTTCGCTACCACGTGAATTTTGAATACTCCGGCTCTACAAAGAAGGGATAAGACCAACGTGGGATATTGTAAATCTAGCATTTATTTTACTATATGAAGAGTTGGTGAACCTTGTAATGAATGTGAAAGCTAGCCAGTAGCGACCCTGTCCAATTTCTCACGAAGGTTTTGATCGTGTGGTGTGGCATACGTAATCACTCATTTGCTATAGCCATCAGCATCACAATCTAGTAGCATTATATGCGCGGCATTTCTCAAGAGCTCGATTTCACCAACGCGTAAATCAAACACCACATCATGATGTACCCTGGTAAATTTCCTGCAAGACCCTCAACAAAAATCTCCTGAAGTGGGTTTTGGAAAAACTTCTCAATGTTACCTTGCCCACATAGCAAGTAGAAAGCGGCATTTGTTAGTGATAAACCACCAAAGAAGAAAAGGAAGCCATTCAAGGACTCGAGCGTTGTGATTCCAGCGACAACACCCAACACTAAAGATGCGACATCCTGTATGTACTGTAGTTTCTGCTTATTGGTGTTTATACTCAATTGACTGTAAAACTTTTTAGGTTGCGTCATTGGAGCAAGGTGGCGGGAGAATGTTTTAGCTCCTGTATCGACGAAGATATATATTGAGTGTATTGTGATGGCACTAATGGAAGAAGCAGTTCTCCTATCGTGTGAATATGAAGAATTGTAACCTATTTTTTTATTTTTTATTTTTTATTTTTTATTTTTTATTTTCCTTGTTGTATGGATCTCAATTGCACAGCAAGACCATTGTAAAGTGGCAAAATACTCTTCATAGGCAAAAAGCATCCTATACATATCGCTCCCATCAATGAAAAGTCACCTTTACCCATGCATGATAAAGTAAAACCATTCTTGTTCCTCCTTCCGTCACAACACAAATACAGTTTCAATGACCAGGTTAAGCGGGAAATTAGAAAGACTTTGTTGTTATCGGTGTCAGATAACGGGAAATACCTCGATAGTATATTTCCAGAGCTACTAGATCCACACGAGCAACTCGAGAAGGACTTGAATTGGGAACTATCAGAGTATGTGAAATTGCTTGCGACCACTAAACGTGGGGATGATGTACAGGCACACTTTGCCACACACCCAAATAGACCATGCTCAAGGGTATTCAGACGCGGAGAGCCGATAATTAGATGTTTGACTTGTGCGTTTGACCAATCTTGCGCATTGTGCTCGTATTGCTATGAGCCCTCGGAACATGTAGGTCATGACATTAGCATCCAGATTTGCGTCCGTGATAACGGAGGGGTGTGTGACTGCGGGGATTCAGAGGCTTGGAAGGCATCCAGTAAATGTGCTAATTCAGGTGGACATTATGGGAATTTCAATCAATCACTCCCTTCAGAGTTCCAGAGTGCGCTAAGTAGAACATTTGGTACAGTCCTAGACTTTATTATTGATGTTTTGATGAACACAAACATGCAATTTACTTCTGCACTGGATATTAGTGTGGAAACGGTGAAACGAAATTTCGAATTGAGCACATTGAGCCCCCACAAGTACGGCTTATGCTCGGAGCACTTGTCTGACAAAAGCAATGGCAAATTCTTTCTACAAGTTTACAACGATCAAGTTAAACACTTTAGAGATGCTGTACAACGCGTTCGTTTGGCCAGTGGGAAGTCGAAGGAGTTTGTAAATATGGTAACTGAGAGGGCGCACAAGTTTGGAAAAGCAGAAGTGTTGGTGTCGAGTGACGTCCGTGTTTTGTTGGAAAGACAGAAGATCTTGAGTGCCACTGGACTTGCATCCGCCATAAGAAGTGCAAGAGACGTCTTTCGAGAGTCAATGGTCTATGAACTTATTTCCTGGCTCAGTGACTTCACTGAGAGTGAGTTTTTCAGGCTAAATTACACGGCAGAGAATTCATTTGCACAAGCTTTTTGTGAGATATGGAGATCTGGGTTGCTCAATGTACCTGAAGGTAAGCGTGTTGGAAATCGTCGTGCTGGTGTAATGGGTGATGAGTTTAGCATTCCTAAAATCACTAGTGAAAAGCATCAAACGATGTGGCTCGAAGAAGGGTTGCAAAACAGCATTGGAGTAGTTTGTGAATGTTGCGGGAACTCTGAAATAGGAAAAAATCTTGCTGTTGGATCACGTTTACAATATTTGATGTTTCTCAATTTAAGATTGTGGAAAGCTGCCCGCGAATTGCTGCATATAATGTATTCGACTTCGTTGGTCACCAATATTAAGTTCAAACAAGTCATGTCCAGCCAGTACATGGAGATGTATATTGCAGCCACTGATCAATTTCTATCTTTAGATAGAGAGCCAGAATTCAACATCATGTTTAGTCTCTCCATGCAGCTTTTTGCAAGTCAGCGCAATTCCGAGGCAATTATTGAACAGGGCAGTTTCGTTTTGATTCTTTCCGCGATATTTGTGTTTTTGACTTCGGAAACAATACTGGAACAGACTCTAAACAACACTTCCAGCCATGAGATTTCTCTCAAAAGTCTACGCAATAGACGATGGGGCCAACTTTTTCTTGATCTTGGTTTTATAATAAGCAGGGGCAAGGATACCTATGACATATCAAACAAAGACAACGTGCATGCAGTTTGCGAGCTTATGTCACTATTTCAAGGTAGACTGGTTATTAAGAGAGAGAAGAACAATCATATCGAGTACGAAAACCCAGACTATGCCACGTTTTTTAATTCCGTTCAGGTTATTTACAAGTTTGGAGAGCTTAGTTCTCTGACATTGAGTAGTCGATCATATGACGAGCGCACTAGACAAGAGACAGCATTGAGTACCGTTGAGTATGTGATTGAGTACCTCATGAAATTAGAGCGTCACCAAATAATGGGATTGAATTATGCAAACACAGACATAAATTTCCCTCCACTGGGAAAATATTTGATGGAACCAATTACTCAGAAATATATAAAAGCATCAGATATCGGCAAAGATAATGTTAGCTTTCTTCACCCTTTACACTCGTATTTGTGCTCGTTGATTGAAAAAGCACAGTTTCACGTGTGGGATGGTTTAGTTGAAAGGTTCGCAAGAGTCAGGTCTAATATGGGATTGCCAGACTCTTTTTTCATTGAGTCCTTGGTATTTGACTACCCAATAAAAACTCTAGCACTAATGTCGCAGATCAAATGCGGATACTGGGTTCGAAATGGGTTCACTGTAAAATCGCAACTACATATGTACAAGAACACTGGATTGCGCGATTACGGGTACATGAAAGATTTGTTCTTGCTTCAAATCTTTAGCAGTATGTGTCAGCCAAACTTGGTCGCGTTTACGATATTGGATCGTTGGCTACTTCAAGGTGATTGGAATTTGTCATATGATGCACAAATACTTCCTCTGATCCTTGAGGAGTGTGTCACAATGTTCATACACTTGATGACAGAGCATTTGTCGTTGAAAGGGCTTGACGATGCAGAGTTAGCAAAGATTAGAATTGAGAGGGAGATTATCCATCATTTGTGTTTCAAGCCTTTAAGCTATAAAACGCTATGCTCGTACATATCTGAAAAGCTGGTACTCGATAAGCGGTTTGAGCTTATTTTGAACAGAATGTCAAAGTTTACCAGGCCAGTTGGTAATAATGATGCAGGAGTCCTCGAACTAAAGGAAGAGTACTTGAGCGAGGTGGACCCATATTATTTTGGTTACACCACCAATACCAGAGATGATGCAATCAAACTAGTTAAAGAGAGAATCCACAGAGAAACTGGAGAAGCTATGGACAACATTGTTATTCAACCCAACATCGACGATGATGGAATTTTGGACATATACAAGTACTGCGGGAACGTATCTGTTTCTACAGATTTTGTGATTTTCTTGATTAAAGTATTGCATTTTGTGTCATTGCAAGAGTTTGACAAGATAGAGAGCTTGTTAGAAACTACGTTACACTTGATACACGTTTGCGCAATGCAGAGAAACATCAACACACACGAGCATTTGTCGTTTCGCATGTCGTTTATGTCACTGGCACGAGACGTCCCTTTTTCAATATGGACTCTATTAGGAAAGTTTCTTTTGGATGACAAATACAGGACAGTTCATGCAAAAATAAGAGCAATTTTTCGCAAACTAGAGATCTCGTACTCAGCTCTTGAACAAGTAATGAGTCAGCAATCACAAGCTCTTGGTTTGGAATCCATTGATTTTAACAAAGAAAACAAGTGCAACACGGAAGATGCAATACTAAAGAAGAAGAAACTCGCTAAAGCAAGACAGTTGAAGCTATTGAACAAATTCAAGAAACAGCAGTCACAGTTCTTGGCTCAGCACTCAGATAGTGCTGCAGAGTGCAGTGACGCTGAAATGGATGAAGATCAAGTAATAACTTCTCCCAGCTTGGACTTTGACCATTGCATTTTATGTCAGAACACCAACGACGATCCAGGTCCATTTGGAATCATTGCACACATTGGTAATTCCTCGACATTCAGAACTGTTCCGTTTGGGAGTGAATATTGGTTTTTGAAATCCTTTTCGGATCCAGCAAATTTGAATGGCGATGGCCGTGCGAAAGAGACCCTGTACTCTGAAACTTGGAGGCATTTCATGACAAGTGTTAAAGAACAATCTCCGTTTGGACCGGGGTTTGATTCTATCGATAATATTGAAAGCAAAGTAACTGCACTGAGTTGCGGCCATGGAATGCACTTCAAGTGCTACTTAGATTACCTTGATGGTATTAGGGCAAGACAGAGTCAGGTTACTCGAAACACACCGGAAAACCCAGAGCTGAAGGAGATTCTTTGTCCCTTGTGTAAAGCAGTCAATAATGTTTTCATACCGACTTTCAACTCCAGGCGGAATCAAAGTATGTACGATGTTTTGCCAAGTCATCAGCACCATAATCACCATCCAATTGACGACGATCAAATTTCTCAATTGATCGCGTCCAAAGGCTCTGGTCTCAAAGACTCATATATTTTGGCGAATTCTAAATGGCTAGGTTGGTTTAACAAGAGTGATAAAGAGATATGCACCGCTTGGAAGAATGTTGCAAATTCTATTGCTCCCATCATTTTCCCCAGATCAGTTGAAACGGCGTTGCCAATTATTCTATCCAACACTATAAAGTCACTGGAAATTGCATTGCGTGGAGCAGAGTCCAATGGGGCATTCGTGTTTGAGCAAGTTCCCCGCAAGTCTCTTGTTGTTATGAAAGCGTTGAACGAGATGTGTTTGTTGATGCAATTTCAAGCTGTTGGCTCACATTATAAGATCAATGAAGACGCTTTGGCAAAGGTGATAGCAAGTATTATGTCATTGACAACGACCGGAGTTATCGAGTCCATAATGGAGGCGGATTTTATGGATTTGTTGGTGGAGGCTACCCAATTACCACATTCAAATATTTCGTTCAATGACGTTTTGGGAGTAACATTTGTTGGACATGTGATCCAATGCCTTTACATATTAACACGAGAATTAAAGACCAACATCTTGATGAAGAAATGGCGATACGGTATTCATGATGTTCCCTTACTTCCAGAATCAGACCCACCTGCGAGAATGGAAGTGCTAAGATGCGTTGAAGTTTTAGGAGGTCGATCCATTATTGCACAAGGGGGTAACATTGGCGATGTTCTATACGCCATGTTGGTCAAAGCAGTGACTCCCTTTTTGCGCAGAGCTTCAATCTACGCATTTTTGCGAGCCTTTAATGCAGACCTGACCGAATCAAATGGGGACTGCAAAGTTTGGGAAGCTGATGGATTGTGCACTGTAATGAAGATACCAACTGTTTCACAAACTCTCAAGCACTTGACGAATACAGGTACGTGGGAAGGCGAGGTGCTACAAAACTTTGCTACAACTTACACACTGGCAACCCATAAACAATTGGTTCCTAACCCAAAATTGGAGTATCCTGGAATTCTAAGATTGATTGATTTGCCAGATAGGCTCGATGAGTTTTTCACTGGGTACTATTACCTGGAAAAGTTTGGCAAGCCATACCAGCTGATTGAGGACCCTGCTATCTGCATGGTGTGCGGTACTGTAGTCGACTTACAGAAACAAGCCTTTGGAACGACCGAGGGCCAATGCACAGCACATTACTCAAGGGAATGTGGTAGTCAAGATGGCATATTCTTTTTGCCAAAGGACAGGGCCATGTTGTTACTACACAACTATAAGGGTTCCTTTCACAGTGCACCTTATTTGGACGATCAAGGGGAGTTGGCCGATGAAAACAAAAAGGGCAGAGTTTTGCATTTGATGCCTACTAGATACAACGATTTCGTGAGACATATTTGGTTAGAAAATAATGTTGCAAATTGCATTGCAAGAAATTTGGAGAGCGTTTTGGATCCAGGCGGATGGGAAACTTTATAGTTAATTGTATATACACCTACGCTGTAAACATGAACTCATCGTCATCCTCGTCATCAGGACCCATGTCCCAAATTTCTCCATCTTCATCAATGTCCATATCAGCAGCGGCACGAGCACCAGGTCCAGGAATGAAGCCAAAGTTTGGCATCATCATATTGGGAGCTGATCCAAACAACGGTCTTGAAACGTAGCTATACAACCCTTGATTGATCCAGAGCCTATTCAACTCTTTGAATTTCATTTTGTTTAGAAATGCTTTGCCCTTGATTCGGTCCCCTTTCGGTTCACCATGCTTTGTCACATATGGACCAGGGATTTCCAACACGAGTGAATTCTCACCAACTTGAATACAAATTCGCAAATTGTTCCTTGCTGGATCGTAGATTATTCCAAACTTAGAGCACAATTTCATGTGTCCGTATTGATGACCTTTGTTTAACCATTGTCCGCAAAACATACACATACACTTGCGCAACACATTCAGTTCCGAAAGCTTCAATAAACCATCCTGGAAATCCTCGGGCAAAATGCACAAGTGTACCTGTCCTGGATAATCTAGCGCAAGTAACTGGTTTACTGACCCGGTGTGTGTTATATTGCGAGCGATTTCAAAGTGTTTATACTCAAGCGTTTCTGGATCAAGTACCCGTTCAAGAATTTCAGCAAGTGAAGGATTTTGTAGCACTTTAGCCAATGGATCTACTCCGATAATGAATGGTTGATCTTCAATCTCCTCAGCCATTTTGGAGTAAATTTCCCCGTCGATGGAGTATGCGTCATCACATTGGCTCAAAAGAATGTGTTGAAATATAATCACTTGCCTCAAATAGACGCCAATGATTTGTTGTGCCAAGTCAAAAACATGACGCCCATAGCGTTCAAACTTTGTCGACAAACCCAAAGCGGACCAAATTTGAGCAAATTTTTCAAAATCAGATAGAGAAGTTTGAGAATTAGACTGCAGTACTTCAGCCTCAATGTCAAACGAATCTATTCTCACTCTAGCCATTATCTTGCCAAGGATTCTGGACATCCCCTTCCTGGCCAATGTGGCTAGAGAGTCTCCGGAAGCAAAGAACTGAATCAAAGTCTCAACAAAAACCCCCGATTGCAAATCAGCTTCAGTCAGCAGCTCCAAAAGACCTCGTCTATTACTTTCCCACGATTCTCTTTCCCATGGTGCACCTAGATCAAAAACCATAACTTGTGCTTGAACTAATGCCTTGAACAAATTCAAGGTATTTTGAGGGATCAGACTCAAAAACTCGGAATAACCAGCCTTGCCATTCAATCGGGTGCCAATTTCACTCATCTGAATGGAACTACCCATGTTTGCACTCCAATGATCAAAAATATCCTCATACTTACTCTTCAGTGCTAAGTAATGATGATATTCAACTCCATTATTTGGTGGTACAAATAGGCTGCGCAAGATATCCAATTTTTTCTCATTCAGTTTCAGTTCAAAATCTCCAAGTACAAATTCATGCAATTCGGTTCCCTTCTCTGGTTTATGCGCAACAAATGGCACAAAGGAGTCATGATATGTGCGGCACAAAGGACACGGGTAGTACTTAATGTTTCCCACACCCCTTCTGAAACATTCATAATGAATTCCATGTCCACAAGATGAAAATACTGGCCGTTGAAACTCGGTCCATCTTGAGTAAATATTATACCCCTGACCAAAGTTATCTTTGTCAGTACCAGCACTCAAATCTTCTGACCAAACCTTTCTGGATTCAGGGTCAAATAGATTATCAATTTTCCAAAACAATGGGGCCTCAGTTGCAATAAGAAATATTCCAAATGCTTGTCCTGCTTTTTCCTTCTCTCCACAGATTACACATACTCTGGCATCTTTCTCCTCTTGTTCCGTTTGCTCATCATGCTCTTGATTCAATTTTTTATTGTTTTGCAAAAACTTTTCTTGCTTTTTGGAAAACTTCTTCATAATCTTCCGCTTCCTCTCTTCGGACATCCGTTTCTCTTTTTCTGCCTTTGATTCAAACAACTGAGTCTTGCGCTTCTTGAAAGATTGAACATAGTCTACCCCGAAACAACTCACCAAATTTTCTAGAATTCTCTGGTCTTTAAGAAGGAGTTGCTCCACCAAAAAATCAGCTTTAAGCACAACAGGTTTAGACATGTTGGATTCAGCTATCGCCAATAACAAGTCACAAATAGGTATATCAATAAACAGTTGTGACAAGTATTCTTTTCCGTGGATGTGTTCATCATCTATCAATATTGCATGAATCAAGTGTAGCAACTGTGGTAAATATGACTCATTCTCAGAGTCGATTGCAACTCTCAAAAGTTTGTGTAGAACCTTTACGAACAAGTTGGTCTTTAAAAATCCTCCAATATTGTTGTCCATAGCAACGTTTCCAGAAAAAGATATTTGCGGAGTCAAAATAACCTCTTGCTCTTTCACGCCTTTTGATTTTGACAACTTCTTTGTCAACACCTCATACAAAATTTGAAACTTTGACGGATCCAAGAATAGACCCATCGGATCTAATTGAGAGTATACCGAGTCTTTGAGTCTGTATAGCCCGGTATCTAGTAATGCTGAGGGTGGTTGGTAGTCAGCAATATCGTATAGTATTTCATCAAACTCAGCAGAATCACTGACATCCAGGTCCACTTTCGATTTCAATTTCGTATAGCTTCTTGCCTTTTCACACAAGTAGTATGCCATAAACTTTCTCGTTTCGGCAATTTCCGTTTCGTTCGACGATGAGTTGCTCAACATTGACCTATCGGTTAACAACTTGTAGATAAATCCAACAAACCTCTCCACAATTGCAAAAAACCTCTCCTCATACACAGTATCCTCATAGTCCACCTTATTGGAGAACCAGTCGCTCAACTCCCATCTTGCCAAAAATCTTCTCACCATCTCTTCTGAGTTACCAAGTAGCAATACAATTTGTTGCAAGTGCAAATCTCTAGCAAATGTTAAGTCAGACATGCTAGGTCCGAAATACAAACTTGCCTGGCGCGACGCTGAGACCCCATTTCTGATCCAAAACCCAATCTTTATTTGTGACCCAAGAACAATACTTCTAAGTGAAGCGTCAGACAATTGGATTACTGCATCCTTACGGTCCTGTAACAATGAATACAATTCATTGTCGCCCGCAAATTGGATCAAGTATGACAAGAAGCTCGTCAAAGGATGAACAAATGCATGTGCGTGACTACTCACCTTTATGTTGTCTTGTCCGTACTCAACCCGATACATCTCCTCTCCAGCAAGAAAATTTGCAAGTTTCTCAACTACCCAATCTAAATTAGGATGGCCAACTTGACTGGCTGCTATATTTCTTAATGAGGAAAGGACGGGAATTGATATCGCTGCATGAAGTCTAAAAGTCATCAGCTCCTGTAACACATGCTCTCCACGTTTTCTGGTCATTGGTAAATAATCGTGGAAGAGCTTCAAAAACAGAACAAGAAACACAAAGTTTTTGGGACGTAAATAAGCTTGCAAAGCATCAGAACCTAAACTGGCTGACGAGAAATGCTCTAGATCATGTATACCTCTGAGAAGTGCCCTTTTCAATCTTCTATCTGCTTGAGAGTCTGTATCTGAATCCACAAATATGCAATGCCCAATATCCTCATCCCAAACTGCACAACTTTCCTCAATGATCCTGGTAAGTCCGTTGATGATGTAGTTACCATATGATGCCTGTAATAGCTTCCGGACAGTCACTGGACATGTATAAAGTTGCGATGAAATTTCAGTAATAAGGTTCAAATGGTCCTCTCTATCCAGATATGCACATATACTTAGTAACATTGGATATATCTCAGTGAATTGTTTTGCAAATTTTCCTTTCAACTCGAGATTGGAAACGAGTAATGGCAACAAGACAGAAACTAACTTGTTTCTGACAAGTTTGGGGAACCGTATTTGAAAAATTAACAAGATTTGAAATCTTGAGAATGGAAGTTCTAAATCGGGCTCAGCTAAAAGATATATCAACCGTTCGCGTAGGTCCAAGCTGCTGACAGGAGTTCGGACTTGATTTGAATTGAACCTTGTAACAAACTTGTCTTCGATTGGGATACCGTTTTTGAAACACTCATCCATAGTTCCATAAGTAAGACCACGAAGAAACTCCTCGGGAAACACTTTTGCAAACCTGTAGTCGTTATCCAATAGTAGTTTTGTCAAAACAGACTGACTTTTCAGTTTGAAAATCTCATCGCGTGAATCCAAAATGTCATCAAGCCAGAAAATAATTGCTCGTAGAATAAGCTCACGAAAAAGATCTCTAGTGGACACAATTGTTGAGACTAGTCCACCCCTTTCAACGAGTTCTTTGGTAGACTTCAATGCTTCATATGTTGAAGCTCCTTTCAAAACGCAGTAACCTTCTTTGTCAATTTGAGTAGCAATCTGAGTTGCTTTGCTGTCATTACACGAAAGTCCCAATTTTATAGCGTAAACCGCTTGACCTAAATCATGAAACTCGTCGTTCCACAATATCAAATTCCAAACGTTAGAATTTGCATCTGTAGCTCCTCCATACTTACCACTTGGTAAAGAAAAATAGTTGGACAAGGACCTCGGGTTGAAATTGAGTAGACCTTTATTCATATGCTCGTGTATAATCGGCAATGCGCTAACATTGGAATTTGTGACATCTAACACATAATTAAGACAGACTTTGATTGCCAGATACAAACACTCATAATTTGGCTCTTCAAGTAGATTCTCCTTCAAAGGGGATCTATTTGCCCTTTTTGCACTACACTTGCAGTGTAAGGTGGTGACAAACGCTTCTGGATCTCCACAGTCACATATACCACCCGAATTCCCACTTGAATTGTAAACCAGAACGGAATGACCCAAATGATCCTGCTCATTGAAGCAGTACGAGCACAAAACACACGTGTCATCAAAACCACATTCCTCACACCTGTAAACCAGATCTCCAGCTTTGAATAACCGAGCACATGGCTTGCCTATGGGATGAGAATACTCTTTGGAGTCAGGTTTCTGAAATGATGGAAGTCTGTCCAAAGTTTGCAAAGAGAAATCGGAGTAAACAAGTTGGTCCCGATCCGATTCGGCAATAGGTGGTAGATTCGGAAACAAACGCAGCAAATATTTGCCGTTGTCTGTTGATGAGAAATAAAGCGCCTTGTAAACGTACTCCTTCACACGCGAGTAGTTTTGAAACAACAATGCTGAAGGCAACTCAACCAAAAATCGTTTTAGTTTATCTTCATCCATTGTGCTCTAATGGTGTCCCGAGGGTGAACAGATAAACAGTGTGTGTGTGTGTGTGTGTATAAAAGTGATAGGTGAAGCCTTTTGTGTATATTAGTGTCCAATCCGTTGATGAAGGCAGTTGTAAAAAGACGTAAAGCGGAAACCAAGTATGGATGACGGGTACATTTGTTAGCGTTTTCCAAAGAAGGGTGCGCTGAAATGATCTATATACCCTGTCACGTGCAAGAAAAGCTAAAATCAACCAACACAACAACACAACAGAAAATTTTAATCTTTTTTTTTTTTTTTCACTTTCCCGAAATTCTTACGCACACGCAATAAAAATCTCTATCTTGAGTCATAGTTAGTTGAAACAGGAAACATGTCCAGTATTACAGACCCAGAGGCTCAATACGAGCTAATCACCAGAGACTTACAGGAAGTCTTGAACGCTCAAATCATCAAAGATGTCTTGGAGAAGGAAAAGAGACCATTGAAAATCTACTGGGGCACTGCTCCAACTGGAAAACCTCATTGTGGATATTTTGTTCCCATGGTGAAACTAGCTCATTTCTTGAAAGCCGGGTGTGAAGTCAAAGTCTTGTTGGCTGATTTACATGCATTTTTGGACAACATGAAGGCTCCATTGGAGGTTGTACAATACCGTGCAAAGTACTATGAGTGGGTAATCAAAGCCATTTTGAGATCAATCAATGTCCCTATTGAAAAATTGACTTTTGTCACGGGATCTTCTTATCAAAAGGACGGCTCTTATATCATGGATCTTTTCAAATTGTCCAATGTCGTATCTCAAAATGATGCAAAACGTGCGGGTGCCGACGTTGTTAAACAAGTTGCAAACCCCTTATTGTCCGGTTTGATCTACCCCTTGATGCAAGCTATCGATGAAGAGCACTTGGACGTCGATGCTCAGTTTGGAGGTGTTGATCAAAGGAAGATCTTTGTTTTGGCTGAAGAAAACTTACCAAGCATAGGGTACAAAAAGAGAGCTCATTTGATGAATCCTATGGTGCCTGGATTGGGACAGGGTGGTAAGATGAGTGCTTCTGATCCAAATTCCAAAATAGACGTTTTGGAGGAACCTAAAGTGGTGAAGAAAAAGGTCAACAGTGCCTATTGTGCGCCAGGTGAGACCAAGGATAATGGACTTATAGCATTTGTTGAATACGTTATACAACCCATCCATGAATTGAAGAGTGGGGTGAGAGGGTCTTTTGAACTTACCATTGATAGACCTGAAAAGTATGGAGGACCAATACAATACGACTCAGTTGAGCAATTGAAGAATGACTACACCGAAGGAAAATTGTCACCTCCAGATTTGAAAATCGGTGTTGCAGATAGAATCAATGAGTTGCTTGTTCCAATCAGGGAGGAGTTTGAGAAGAACGAAGAGTTTCAATTGGCACAAAAGAATGGGTACCCAGTTGAACAACCAAAGCAAGAAAAGAAGGTGAAGAAACCAAAGAACAAAGGTACAAAATACCCAGGAGGAGTTGGAGGAGGAAATCAAACTGGCAATGCAGATGCAAAACTAGAAGCTAATGCTGCAGCAGCATCTGTCAGTGTTGAGGAAGCTGTAGAGAAGTTGGAAAATGCAAAAATAGAATAGATGAAGGGTGCGATATTGTATGTATAGAGATAGTACCATTTTTGGTAGCGAAAGATTTGTAACCAATCAATTGATGCAGGTAAATTATTACTCTGTCTCTCAGGAAAGAGAAAAAAAAAAAATCAACCATCTGTTAAAACACCATATCGGCATACACTGATAGCAAAGAATTCACAACAAGCACAATGTCAATTTTCGTATGTATCAGAATAGATTGAAGGGGGAAGGGGAAGGGGAAGGGGAAGGGGGAGAGGGGAGGGAAACGGGAAACTTCCTGACTACAATTTGCACGAGGCAGATATGTTGTAGTTTGGAAGTGGCTGCACCCCACCAGCTACCGGGTGTCCTCAATCCTCAACTATGAAATTGAATACTAACATTCAACTAATCCAGACTGGACTCGGTCGTATATTTGAAAGAAACTCGATATATGTTGGTACTATCTTGTTTGGAGCTTTCGCTTTTGAAGGTTTTTTCGACAGTGCTATAAACAGATGGTGGGATGCTCACAACCACGCTAAATTGTGGTCTACCGTGAAACCTAAATTCATTGAAAATGACGAGGACGAAGAAGATGATGAATAGAGGATTTGGTCAATGGAGAGACTGGGTGTTACTTGCAGTGTTAGCGAAACTGGAGAGGAGTTATATAGTGCTTCAGCTGTATGTAGCAGATATTCAAATTTAAAATAAACATATAGTACTTTTTCACCTGTGGATTTTGAGCTATCATTTGGACAAGAAAAAGGGTCTGCTTAGAAGGAGATGGTTGGTATGAAATATTCTATCAACCCTCGGCTATGATAATGACTCTAGTGTGGTGGTTGCAATTGACAGCATGCGACCCAAATTTGCAATCACCTCCATAATTGCCTCCATGATGGAGGAGTTGTGCCCATTGTAAGTTTCTGACATAGCAAGATACTCTCTTAGGACTGCTCCAATATCGAAGGAATTGAACTTGAGTGTGAAGGTAGGTTTTCAATGGTCGCAAAAAATTCTTGTCTACTTGGTTTTTTTTTTTTATGGAAACAGCAATTGACCCAATTGATGCACACTGTTGAGGTTCGCTAAATCTTATAGAGAGATCTGAAATGTTCAAGAAGGTGAGGAACTTTGACCGATTGAGACTCACGCAGTCACGCTTTCTATTAAAGCTTGCGTTAGTTGAAAATCCAGTTTTAGAACTGCTTATTCAATTAAGCAATGATAGAAGAATTAAAATCCTAAATGAACGTGTCGTTTACTATTATTTAAATCACATTGATTCATCATCAGCATACTCACGATGTTCCCTTTCGTTGACGATGTTTTTGATTCCATGATCACCCAATTTCTCCATCATTTCACCCGCATCAAAGGTTCTGGGGATTGTATGCTTGAACTGTCTTGCAGGTACAACTTGCTCAAATAACTTGTCCAATTCAGCAAATGTTCTACCCTTGGTTTCCGGTAGCTCAAACCAGGCCCATGTAGCGGCACAAATGGCAAAACCACCCCAGAGGAATCCACTTTTAGCACCCCAGCCCCAAGACGATGGGTTCAACATGTAGTTGGTGATAACATTGACAACAATTCCAGAAATGTTGTACACCATCCTTGACAACATCACTGTCTTTTGTCTCAACTTGGCCGAGGGTATTTCCGGGACAATGCAAAAGCACATGGGCCCTACAGTAGAATCATAGACCAAGGTGTAGACTAGCAACATGGATCCTGCTCCCCAACTTGCACCCGATGACGAAGAGCATCCCAAGCCACCAGTGATCAAAAGAAGCACAGCCATAATGCACAAACCACCAAAGTATATTGAAAACCTTCCAAGCTTTTGTGAAAGTGTCCAAGAAGCAACTGTACCAATAACACCCAAACAATACTGGATGATTGAAAATGTGAATGCGTTTGAAGAGTCCAAGCCAGCTTGTTCATAAAAGTAAGTCGAGTAACCCATCAATGTTGACCCTGTGATATTCTGAAATAACCAAGTAAGTGCTGCGATTCTTGTTCTTCGAAAATTAGGTCCCTTGAAGCAATCCTTAAATGTTGATCCTTCACCAACAGCGTCTTCTTCTTTGACAATCAACTGTATCTTGCTAACCATGCTTTCCACAACCACGCTTTTGTCTGGCAAGTAGGAGTTTGTCGTCAAAAGCCTCGACAACGAATGCTTGGCCTCTTGTATTTTGCCCTTTCTCACAAGGAAGTATGGCGACTCTGGTGCTAGGTAAACACCAATCAAGATGGGAATCGGCCAGACCCATTGGATACCGTAGGCAATACGGTATGAGTACTTGTCAGTCATTGTTGAGATGCCTTTAATAACCCCAGCAGAAATCAATTGACCAATCACCCAACATAAATTCACATAAGTTGTCAAGTACACTCGCAAACTAGCTGGGGCAATCTCTGAAGCGTATGTGACGGTGATTGTTTGATAAGAGCCCCAATTTATACCCAACAAGACATATGACACAAGCAAAACTTCACGGGTGGGAGCAAAGAACTGAATAAAGATCAATCCAACACACATGGCCAATGCCGGCATCAATGTCTTTCTGTATCCAATTCTATCGGCAAATATACTAGCCAACCATAAACCAATCAACTGACCACAATAGTAACTATTTGACAAACCAGTTTGCCACTTTGCTGGAATCTGATACTCACCAAGCTCAGGGTAATAGTCACCAAATTGCTTTTTGAACCCGTCAAAAGCATAGAAGCTAGCCAATAGACACGTGTCGTACCCTTCCATAATCAAAGCAGTGGATAAAATGAGCGACCATGCAATAGCCTTGGGGAACGTCTTGAGACCCTCTTTCAATGTCATTTGTTTTTCCTTTTGATCGTCAGCCCGAGCATCCTCAGACATCTCCAAGAATTTGGAGATATAGTCGTCAACATTTGGATTTGTCTTTTCATCTACCATACTGTCAATCTTGTCCAGAATGCTTGCGACCAGTTCGTCTTCAATGTGTTTCTCTTCAGCTTTCATGTCATGTGTATCAAACAATGACTCGTTCATTTCTTAGGTTTTTCAGATTTCTTTGCTTGGAAAGGGGGGTTTCTGGTCTGAACAGGTGATTATCGTTGTCTATTTATATTCCAGAAAACCGCAAAAACACCCTTTGCTGCAAAATCAAACACTTTGCTAAATATGCTATTGGTTAAAAAGATCTGCTTTCCACTTCTAATATAGTGGTGCCAAAGTAAATGATCCGAAAGAGTCTTAAAGCAACACAAAGTCTAAGTTGAGGCGGGGAATATTCTCCGACAAGTTTCAAGCTTTCTACAAGGTACTAGCAAGGAATATAGTTCAGTACATAGATGAATTGAATACAGTCATAGAAATTTTTGTTGGCACGCATCCTCTGCAAAGTCTTGCCTCTCCCCCACCCACTAACACTAAAATAAAAATTACATTAGCGTACGTTTGCCTTATATAGTGTAGAAATTTATGCGAGCCGGCTTAAATTTGGAAACCAGAACGTGTCCAATAAAATGTATCGCATGATGCTGGGACCATGCGAGCCAACGTTTTAGTGGCTACATTGAGAATGCTATCAAAAGCTCGGGAGATTCGCAACTGTAATTTGTGCGAGAAATTTTTCCTACTGTATATTCAAACTGGTGCAAACTATAGACAAAGATGAATGAATGCCCATCAAGACAATAAGATGTACCCCACATGGAACATTTTGCAAACACTCGCATATTTCTATTGTTTGTAACAATAGCTGACTATGGGGGTATGTATAGTATACTGTGCATTCCAAGTCATGAGTGGTGGGTCGGTCAAAGGGTGTTATGTCACAGTACTGAGTGTAGATCCCAAATTGTGTGTTTCTTTGTGGATCTTTTCAAAAACGGAGATCCGTGTGGTACTCCAATTGACTAATCAGGCGTGTCTATTTGAAGAGGGAAATTTGTTGACCGTCAGCGTATGTATCACCATTTTCTGATATTAACCGACTGTTGGATTACCAGCTCTCCCAAAAGCTTCAAGAGAAATCCTTTTCCAGCACTAATGGGTCTCTCTCCACGAGGGTGTAGGGTCCTTTCTCGGAATAATCAGTCTTGTTATGACGTGGATAAGGCGGGGAAAGCAAACGTACAAGTAAAAACTACAAACATCTGATAATTGAATGAGGAAACTTCCATTTCTTCAATGTATTTTCCCTCCCCCTCACCGTCACCTTAACCCACTTTTTAGATAGCACAATAAACTCACACACAAAACTGAATTTTTAAATTAATCCGAGCATTAAAGCAAAAATTCTCCGAAAAATATTACGAGGTAACAACATAGAGAGGAGCAATGATCGCGAAATTTCTCGGCCAATATTCACCCCGCAAAAAAAGTTACATTTTGGAAGTAACCCACCCCTCAACAATGCTGAAACCATATTCAAATTTTCCTAGGTGCAACATCGTTTGAGTACCTTTGTCAAGAGTATATAAGAAAAACTGAACTTTCGACAGGTTCAACTTCATTTGAGCAAAACTTTTCTTTTCCTTTCTGCACACACAAATCACATTAATTCACACATTATCTGATCAAACTATGACTATTGACTACACCTGGTGGAAAGACGCTACAATTTACCAAGTTTACCCAGCAACTTTTGCCAACGGGATAAAAGAAAAATATACTGGGGACGACAAAACATTCGATGGCGCTTGCGGTGACATTCCTGGAATCATTTCCAAGTTGGACTACTTGAAGGATTTTGTTGACATCATTTGGCTCAGTCCCCAGTACGATTCTCCTCAAGATGATATGGGCTATGATATTAGTGACTATCAAAACATCTACCACAGGTATGGTTCAATGGAAGACATGCAACAGTTGATTGACGGTTGTCACAAGCGTGGTATCAAGATCATTGCTGATTTGGTTATTAATCACACTTCATCGGAACATCAATGGTTCAAGGAGTCTAGATCATCTTTAGATAATCCAAAGAGGGACTGGTATATTTGGAAGAAGCCAAGATACGACGAAAAGGGAAACAGATTGCCACCAAACAACTGGTTGTCGTACTTTTCTGGGTCTGCTTGGGAATGGGATGAGACTACTGGTGAGTACTACTTGAGGCTATTCGCCAGCACTCAACCGGACTTGAACTGGGAAAACGAAGAGACTAGAAATGCCATTTATGATACGGCTTTGAAATTCTGGTTTGACCGTGGAATTGATGGGTTCAGGATTGATACAGCTGGTATGTATTCGAAAGATCAAAAATTCCTTGATGCACCGGTTGTGTACAAAGACCAGTACTACCAGCCTCATGCACTTTACACAAACAATGGACCAAGAATTCACGAGTTCCACAAGGAGATGTTCAAAAAGGTTACTTCCAAGTACGATGCTATGACAGTAGGTGAGGTGGGACATTGCTCCAGAGAGGAAGCCTTGAAGTATGTTAGCGCTTCCGAAAAGGAAATGAATATGATGTTTTTGTTTGATGTCGTTGATGTTGGATCAGATAAAGGCGATCGGTTTAGATATAAAGGCTTTGACTTGAAAGATTTCAAGCAAGCTGTTCAAAATCAGTGTGATTTCACAATTGGCACTGATGCTTGGTCAACAGTGTTTATTGAAAATCACGACCAGCCAAGATCCATTACCAGATTTGGTGACAAGAAATACGAAACAAAGAGTGGTAAGTTGTTGGCTCTTTTGCAAACTACGTTGACGGGAACCTTGTTTATTTACCAAGGACAAGAAATTGGGATGACCAACTTGCCAAGAGAATGGCCAATTGAGGACTACAAGGACATAAACACAATCAACTACTACAACGACTTTAAGGAGAAATACGGGTCTGACCCTGACTTTGCAGACAAGGAGAGGAAGCTCATGGATGTGATCAACTTATTAGCTAGAGATAATGCTAGATCGCCAATGCAATGGGATGATTCTGAATATGCAGGGTTTTCGGAATATGAACCTTGGACTAGAGTTAATACAAATTACAAGGATATAAACGTCGCCAAGCAACTCAATGACCCAGACTCGTTATTGAACTTTTGGAAAAAGTCATTAAAGTTGAGAAAAGAGTACAAGGATCTCTTGATTTATGGATCATTCAAGATCTTGGACTTTGATAACGAACAAGTGTTCACCTATGTCAAAAGCTTACCTAATTCCGACTACCCAAAGGCATACGTTGTTCTTAACTTTTCTAAAGATTCTGCCAAATTCAGAAAAGAGATTGACGGGGAGTACAAGTTGATTAATGCTAATGTTGATGCAGCAGATTTGGTTGAAGATTCGTTGAGTCCGTACGAGGGACGCGTTTATATCGTTGACTAGGGTGACCTTTAGAAGGCGTAGGCTGTATAGAATAAAATATTTTATTCCTACTCATTGCATGTAAGTCAGCCTTCGTTTAATGGAAGAGAGGAGAAGAGAAGAGAAGAGAAGAGGAATAGAAGGGCCAAGTTTGCAATCTTTTCGGAGAGGCGGTAGCGCAATAATTATCTCTCTGCGATGAGAAATTTCCAAAGCTGTTGCTGCCCTTACTTAAATTCTCTTTTGCCTTTGGCAAATCTCAACTACACAACACCACGCCATGGCTGTCATTAATCAACCAAATAGTCAAATAAAGCTAACCAATGTTTCTCTTGTGAGAATGAAAAAGGGGAAAAAGAGGTTTGAAATAGCTTGTTATCAAAACAAAGTTCAAGACTGGAGACTGAAAGTCGAAAAAGATCTCGACGAAGTTTTACAAATTCCCCAAGTGTTTATCAATGTATCCAAGGGACAAGTTGCAAATAATGACGATTTACAACAAGCGTTCAATACCACAAACCAGGATGTCATTATACAAGAAATTCTAAATAAGGGCGAGATTCAATTAAATGAAAAGGAGAGAAATGCCAATTTGCAACAGAAACAGAATGAGTTTTTGACCATCATATCTACTAAGTGTATAAATCCAAGGTCGAAAAAGAGATACCCGCCATCAATGATCGACAAGGCATTAAATGAGTTGAAGTTCCATTTGAATCCAACAAAGACAACCAAGACTCAAGCTTTGGATGCAATTAAGCTCTTGGTTGAAAAACAAATCATACCCATTGCCAGAGCTCAAATGAAAGTGAGAATACTCTTAACCAAGAAAGGATATCAAAAAGCATATGAGGAGGAAATAAAGCCCAAGATCGATCACTTGGACGAACTTGAAAACAATGGGAAGCAGTACGAAGTCGTGGGTATTATCGATCCCATCAATTACAAAGCTCTTGTGGAGGTGTTGGAAGGTAAAGATTTGAAAAATGAAGGATCTATAGAGGTCTTAGATATGTCAGCGACAAAAGAGTAAATAACCACTAAGGTATAGCTTACAAAAAGACTAATTTAGACACTTCAATACTCTCTGCTACCGTAGTACCACCTGCTCTTAAGACGTCATCATACTTTCATCAAGGTAGCGTCACTTTCTTTGATCTATAGCAAAATGCATCCAGAGATGAATTTTGAAGAAGAAGAAGAAGAAAAAAAATTTTGGAAAAAAAAAAAAATTCCGGAAAAGAAAAGACTGAACCACAACTAATAACACCACGAATTACCAAAAATGTCTATCGTATTACCAGCAGGAAGTGTAGATGGGTTTAAAGCCGTTGGAAAGTACTCGGCACCAAACCGTCGTCCAATTGAGCCCGTTGGTCGTTACTTTTTAGCACACGCATCGAGGACCCTTAGGGGCCACACTTGGTCTGAATTTGAAAAATTGGAAGCTGAGCGTAATGTCAAGGAAATTGAAACCAACGAGGACGAGGATTTGGGGGATGAAGAACAAAGCGAAGAGTTATTAGAGCACGATCCAAGAGAATGGAAAACCGCTGATTTGTATGCCGTTTTGGGATTGTCACATTTGAGATACAAGGCTACTGAAGATCAAATTAGAAGAGCACACAGAAAGCAAGTATTGAAACATCACCCAGATAAGAAGTCTGCTAGTGGGGGATTGGAACACGATTCATTTTTCAAAATTATTCAGAAGGCGTTCGAGGTTATGTTGGACCCAACAAAGAGAAAGCAGTATGATTCTATTGATACTGAAAAAGACCCAAAACCTCCATCCTCAAAGGGCAAGTATGACTTTTTTGAAGTTTGGGGTCCAATTTTCGAAAGCGAAGGTAGATTCTCCACAAAACAACCAGTACCTTTGTTGGGTGGATTAGATGCCTCCAAGGAAGAAGTTGATACTTTCTACAACTTCTGGGGTAAATTTGACTCATGGAAGACTTTTGAATTCAAAGATGAGGATGTTCCAGATGACACAGCTAACCGTGATCACAAGCGTTATATTGAACGTAAGAACATAGCATCAAGAAAGAAGTTCAAGCAAGAGGACAACAAGAGAGTGATTGAGTTGGTTGAAAGAGCTCACAGTGAGGATCCAAGAATCAAGTTGTTCAAAGAACAAGCCAAGAAGGAAAAAGCAGCAAAGAAATGGGACAAGGAAGCTGGTTCACGTAAGGCTGCTGAGGAAGCTGCTGCTAAAAAGGCTGCTGAGGAAGCTGCTGCCAAGAAGGCAGCCGAGGAAGAAGCTGCAGCAAAAGCAGACTCCAAAAAGGCCAAGGAAGCTGCCAAAGCTGCTAAGAAGAAGAATAAGAGAAACATTAGAGCTGCAGCCAAGGATGCTGACTACTTTGGCGATGCTGGGAAATCAGCTGACATTGATGCCGATGTTGATTTACTTATCGAACGTTTTACTGATGTTCAATTGGGCGAAGTTGCTTCAAAGTTGAAAGGTGCTGACGCTTCAAGTGTAAAGGCTACTTTTGTCGACACGGTTAAGGAATTGACCGATGCTGGTTCCTTGAATGCCAGTCACTTGAAGTACTTTACCATTTGAGCGAAACAATGATTGAAGGAAAATTAGACAATCGAATTTCTAAAAGAGACGGCAGCAACTTAACTATTTATAGAACAGGAACTTATAAGTCCTGTATATCAATCCTCATCTGGTATATCTATATTGTGTTTTAAAGGAAGTGCTTTCATATGATAGTGCTGTTTTCTCTTCTCTTCGAATCTCTTGTGTCTTTCTTCTGCAGTCAATGGTTTGTCTTCCTTCCATTGGTCCTCTTCCTCACCTTCTTCGTCTGGCTGAGATTCATCCTTGTACACCTCACCACCGTGAAGTGATGAACTTACGTCATGGGGCAACTTGTCGTATTCACCTTCTCCTAATTCAAAAGCTGGTATTTCATCGTCAATTGCTTTTGACTTGCCACTACCATTGTCACCACCTTCTCCATCATCATTATCATCATCATCGTCGTCTCTATAGTATTCCCCTTCAGGATTGAAGCCGCCCTCGTAAGGAGTTTTCGGTTCGTCTATCTTCATAGTTGCGCTCTTTTCCTGTTCATTCTTGTAGATATTCACCTCATCCCATTTCAAGTGGTCTGGCAAATTGTCGTGTTCACCCAACCCATGCTCCTTCTTCTTCTGGGCGATTTTGGCCCTTATTTCTTCACCTTTTGACGAGTCGTCATGCAATTGCGCATTCAACTTTGTATTCTTTATGACTTCTTGTCTGTCCAATTTATCTGGTAATGGAGGAGACTGGGAGTTGTCCTCACTCACTGATTTATTCCTCAATATTCCTCTTGGATGTTGGTCTGGCATTGCAGGATACGATGTCTTTATCGAATGGGCTGTTGTTGTCTGATCGAGTAGTCGGCCAAAGTGAACTGTGAAGTAAACTGTAAAGTGTCAATGAATGACTATGTAGAAATCTGTGAGACGTCACAAAAGAAAAATACATCACGTGAAGTGCACGTGTACAAATTTGCCTTTGTCACACACACACGCATTCTCTCTCTCTCTCTCTCTCTCTCTTGTGAAAGTGTCAATCAACCAACAGAGAAAAATCTCACAGGTGTGTGTACCCACAGAAGGTGTAGCTCTTTGATCCGGAAACCAACCACAGCGACCAACACCTATCAGAGCCTCTTTCTTCATTGGCATCCCATATTAGAGGACTGGATCACCTTCGAAACGTCATTATTCTACTTGGTGGGTCAGTATACACACGCCTACATACATATATATTACAAATTTAATAATACAATGGGACAGGCTTTCAGTTTTGCAAACATATTCGGTAAATTATGGGGTATGAACAAAGAAGTGAGAATCCTTATATTGGGTTTAGATGGTGCTGGTAAGACCACAATATTGTATCGTTTACAAATGGGGGAAGTGGTTACTACAAAGCCAACAATTGGATTCAATGTGGAAACATTAAAGTACAAAAATATCACTTTAAACATCTGGGACCTTGGAGGACAAACGTCGATTAGACCATATTGGCGGTGCTACTATAGTAACACTTCAGCCATTATTTTTGTTGTGGACTCTACTGATAAAGATCGTATCGACACTGCTTGCAAGGAATTACACACAATGTTGAAGGAAGAAGAATTACAAGATAGTGCGTTATTGGTGTTTGCAAACAAGCAGGACCAGCCTGGAGCCATGACAGCTGCTGAGGTCTCACAAGCATTGAGTCTAACTGATTTGAAGGATAGGAGTTGGAGCATTGTTGCATCAAGTGCTATAAAAGGAGAAGGGTTGAATGAGGGATTAGATTGGTTGATGGATGTGATCAAGGATGAACAATTGTAAGGAAGTAGATGGGAGGGGGTGGGGAGAGTATGTATCTAATGTAAATATAGAAAAGAAAAAATGAAGAGAAGAATCTAATGTTTAGCTAACTCCGCTCTTCTCTTTCTTTAACTCTTTCCAAAATTGTCTTAATCATCTCGTTACCAATTGCATTAGCTTCTTGAAACATAGGACGGAAGAAGGCTTGAGTCTTTTCGAACTCATCTTTGTAGAGGGCAAAGTTTCCAAACTGGATGATTCTTGCCCACGTCTCAGCGGCAAGGGTGAAATGCAAGTCATCTTGTCTAAATGATGTGTCAGTGGCAGCAACCTCTATACTTTCCTCCAAGAGTCCCGGTGTACAAAATACGTATTCAGTAACACCGAGGAATATTCTAAACAATGGGGTTGAGCAAATGATGTGATCATACGGAACAATTCCCAAGTTGTACCAACTATCTGCAATTGCCAACAACGAAAGATGAGAGTTGGGTTGTTTCCCCTCAGGAGGCGTCTTGTTCAAAGAGAATTTTTCCAAAATGTTGTCATCTAACAAAAGATCATGGTCTTTGATGTGCTTGAAAATGAATTGCTTAACCTTTTGTAATCGCTCATTCAATTCCTCCTTTTTACCCTGTATCATCAACGTAAATAGTTCAGTTGTAGATTTTGAATATTGCAAAACCTGATCATGTGCTGATGGGTTTGTGATGGCCAACCCGGCATAAACATGCCATTTGTTGGAAAAGATTCGAAGTGAAATGTTGATTTTGGCATTTTCCAAACCACCGATCCACTTGGGTGTTTCCCATGGGTACTGATTGCATGATTTCCAGGCAACACCCATTGACAAAAACGCGGCATGCGTCACCGCTTGAGTGTCCGCCGTGATCCTATCGTGCTCTTGTGCCGTTAAAGAAACCACTTTGGAATGAAGACAGGAAACAAGACTCTTCACCAACTGCAAGCTTGCTTCATTGGTTCTGTGAGGGACTATTACCAAGGGTTGGCCAGTGGTGTTCACTTTTGGACCATGTAACGAATGCAAAGAGATGATATGTGTATCCGATGGCAAGTGTTTTTCAAATGCTGCGATTTCAGGCGATTTACATGATGTTTGTCCCCCTACAATCGCACCATATTTGGTAGATGGTCCATAAAGGGAAACAATTTTGTCAATGTTTTCAGCCTCCACACTGTATATTATATAGTCTGCTTCCCTTGAAACTAAATGCCCATTCTTTTTGACAGAGAACTTTTCATGTTTGTATCTTTGACTCAATTCGTCAAACAATTCTTCACGATCACATCCAATAACAGTCCACTGTGCTTCACTAAATCTTCTGGCATAGAGAAGACCCATATCCCCAAGGCCAATTACCCCTATTACCTTGGACTTTTTCAAAACGGTATCATCTTCAGTCATTGTGTGTTGAAAGTACAGAGTCAACTTCCTTCTTTTTTTTTTTTTTTTTTGGGACGCGGAAAATTTCCACACTTAAAAATAGCATTGGAGATCCACTTTCTCTGAACATCAAATGGCAAAAGCATTTAGTGCTCCAGGAAAAGCTCTTTTGGCTGGTGGATATTTAGTACTCGACTCCGCTTATGACGCATACGTGACAGCTTTGTCTTCGCGAATGCATGCTGTCATTGAGCCAGATAAAGATACCTCCCATGATTATTCAACTTTGCGAGTGCTCTCACCTCAATTCAAAGATGGAGAATGGCAGTACGAATTCCAAAATGATCAAGTTAAAGAGATCAATGCAAAGGTGAACCCATTCTTAGAGGCAACAATAAAGACTGTGTTGTCCTATGCTCATCCTCAGGCCCAATTCAATTTGAAAGTGACAATCTTTTCAGATCCAGGATATCATTCGCAGAGCAGTGCGGCAAAAAGAGCATCGTCAAATGGCCGAAAAACATTCTTGTATCACGAGTTGCCTATCAACGATGTCCCCAAGACCGGGTTGGGATCCTCCGCAGGATTAGTTTCCGTGGTGACAGCCGCATTGATGTCGTATTTTGAACCCGGTAGTGAGACGTCCGTGGACCGTTTACACAACTTGGCCCAAATTGGACACTGCTTGGCTCAGAAAAAGATTGGATCTGGGTTTGACGTGGCAGCTGCGATTTATGGATCGATAAAATACCGTCGGTTTCAACCTAGTGTAGTAAATGACGTGCTCGCGGTATTGGAAAATGATCCCAGTCGTTTTCCACAAGCAGTGGGGGCTGTCGTGGATGCAGATTGGGATTTCAAACATGAAAAATGTTCATTGCCGTCAGAGTTGCAATTGCTCATGGGAGACATCGAAGGTGGATCTGAAACACCAAAGATGGTTTCGAAAGTATTGCAGTGGAGGAAGGAAAACCCCGACGAGAGTGGCCAAGTTTACAGGCAATTAAATGACGCTAACAACAAATTTATGGATGCTTTGGAAAAATTGAATCAGACTCATAGTGAAGATGCAATGCTCAACTTATCTGAATCCCTTCAAGAGATAAGACGCGGTCTAAAACTTATGACAGATAAGGCGCAGGTGCCAATTGAGCCACCAATACAAACAGAATTATTAGATAACGTCGGCAAATTAGACGGTTGTTTAGGTGGCCTTGTTCCTGGTGCTGGTGGATTTGATGCTATAGCTGTCCTTGCAATTTCCTCGAAAGTTGATGATGTCAAGCAAGCTACTGCGCGGGAACAGGAAAAGTACAATAACGTTCATTGGGTCGATTTGCATGAGGAAGCTGATGGGTTGAAAGTTGAAAATATAAAGGATTACGCAGGGCTTGTATAAAGGGTTAGGGATTGAGTATCCTGAAAATGGAATAATTTGCACCCATAATCTTGCAAAATTTGTAAATACAAAAAAGTGTAGCATGATTTCACAGTTCAATAAATAGAATACTTAGAAGAATCTCAGTGATGACTCCATTGTCTCCTACCCTATCAAACACACCATTCGCGAGATACACGCTAAGTCACCTTCTTTTTTACAAACTGCAAGCACTGGAACGGTGATGCCATCGCAAAAATCTGCACACAAAAAAAAAAAAAAAAATAAAATAAAATGAAAAATTGAAAAAAAAACAAAAAAAACTGAAGCACTTTTTATTCTACTAAATCTACATTAGCATCATTATGCCTACAGAACTTGAAGAATTGGTTGGGTTTCTACACTCACCACAACCAGCGGTTGTGCAAATTGCTTTAGATAACCTTGTGGGATTTTCCACTGGTGCTCATCAACAAGTATTCGCTTATGACAATTATGAGGCAATAAAGGATCTCAAGAAATTGAGTCAAACCAATAGCAAGACTTTAGTTAGACAATCCGTCACCATTCTTGCTAACTTGTGTGACGATATAACAATGAGAAACTTGATTGTTGAAGATACGAAATATTTGCAATTTTTGGTACTCAAGATTGTCAACCTTGAGAACTCCAATGCTGATATCATGTGTATCCTCTTGAACAACTTGGCCAAAAACGATGCCGTTAACAAGATCTTTGAGATTGAAGTTGAACTCAACGATTCTCAAAAGAAAGTGTTTAATTCAACCAAGGCCATTGATTGTTTAATGGACTGTTTTGTCAAGGGGAACGATTACAAATTAAACACACAGGCCAATTTCGATTATCTTGCGTACTTTTTTGCCGACTTGTCGAGGTTTCAACAAGGACGTTCGTACTTTATCACTGAGCAGACTTATGACAATGTTGTTCCTATATCAAAATTGCTTGTTTTTACAGAGAAATACGACGACAAGATCAGAAGAGAAGGAGTGGCATTCACAATAAAGAATTCTTTGTTTGACACCAATGCACACATGAAGTTGTTGACAGACTCCAAAATCAACATACTACCGTTCCTTCTTTTGCCATTGGCAGGCCCCGAGGAAATCGACGAAGAAGAGGTGTTTGATTTGCCTGACGAGTTGCAATTGTTGCCACCAGATAAAACAAGAGAGCCCTTGTCTGGTATTCAATGTACACATTTAGAATCCTTGCTTTTGTTATGTACAACTAAGCCGGCAAGAATGTATTTCAGAGAAAAGAGGGTTTACTCTATCATTAGAGAATTGGATAAAGCAAGTCAAGACGAAAACGTGAAGGATTTGTGTAACAGAATTGTTCAATTATTGCAAAGGGACGAGGCTCCTGACTCTACTGAGATTGAAGAGCTTGAAAGCGACGAAGATGATGATAAGATTGTTGAAATTGTATAACATGGTAACGATTTGAATACACACAAACAAATAGAAATCAGGTTTTGAGCACCAACTTTCCATCAACCAACTTCAAGTTCAGCTTGACAATAGCAATAATCCTCTGCTTATTATCCGGGTGTGCACTGATTCTGCTCTTTAAACCACCCAATAGCTCTCTCGTTGTTAATGGATGGTTTCTTACTATAGTCAATACATCATCAACTGTTACTAACAAGTTGTCTGACCCCGCATCATTCAAATCAGCCAACACATTTGCATCAACGGGAGAACCAGGAACAGATGTGGCTACTGGTGATGGTTCCTTCTTGACTGCAACTGCTGGCGAATTCTCTTCCAACCTGATTTTCTTTCTAGGGGACGAAGGTTCTGGCGAAGGGCTTGAGCGTTTAGGAACGTTTGGATTCCAATCACCCAGAGGTAAAGTCGAAAGAAACTCTTTTGGGGCTTTTACCACCACAAACCCATCAGCTATAGACGATACGATGAAGTTTCTGACTCCAGACTTTTGCGCAAGTTCTGTTGAATTATTCTCGGTTGGTTCATCCTTGACCTTGACTCCGGTCTCATCTTCACTTTCCTCCTCACTCTCCAAATCCGATTTGGATATGTACGGCATCAAACTTTGCTCTTCATCATCACTATCATAAATCCCTCCCTCTCTCTTGTTCAACACTTTCCTCAACTTCCTACCTTCTTTGTCAACTTTTCTTGATTTTTCAGACTCAAACAAGTCATCCAAATCATAATCCTCATCGTCTTCATTCTCTGCCTTGAACGCCGATGCCTTTAACATATCTTTCTTTATCTTTTTCTCAGACATTTTATTTTCCTCTTCATCCCCATCCATAATAGGAGCTTCTTCATCATCGGCAAATTCCTCCTCGAAATCTAAATCGTCATGATCAGAATCCCTCTCCTCAGTGGAACGAGCATCACCACCCAAAACCGTCCTCATGCGTCTATTCTGAGCAGCACCATTGCTTATAACTCTACCATTTGCGGAGGGGGAGTTGTTTCTGAACCTTTGGTCTGGAGTGCCTTCTGCTATTGAGTCATTTTCCATGTGTTTCATCAACCATCTGGGAACACTTGAATTCTTTTCCATTTTAGCTTCCGCTTCTTCTAGTGTCAATGTAGCATATCTGTTTCTAGGAGTAAACCTATACACCTTCTCAGCCGGTATCATTTTGAATCCGTCCTTGTCAAATACAAATAACACATGCTGCAGTTCTGTTGATCCGGCTTCGTAATTACCAACATACACATTCTTGCCAGTATAATCTTCAATCACCCATGGGTAGTGCTCTTCGTAACGCAACTTCCTCTTTGCTTCATCCATTAGATTGATTTGCTTCGTTTTCCGTTTGAATAATTTCTTCTTATTCTTACGGGCACCACCATCTGGGGCTACTTGTGACATATCAGCCAGACCTTTGTTATACTTGGAGGTATTTGTATCAGAGTTTGGGTTAGCTCCCTGAGCCGAGCTTGATCCTTCAACCACAGCACCTTCTTCCTCCTCGCGTTTCAGTCTTTCCTTTTCGGCTTCCTCCTTTTCCTTTCGCCTTTGATCCAACTCTTGCCGAGTCAAGTGAAACTGCATATTTCTTGGATCTTTTCTATGAAGTCTCACAGGTTTCTCAAAATCCTTTACAATGTCTACCTCCTGCTTTGTTGCAAATTTCATCAAGTGGACTCTAATATCTTCGACTTCTTCTGGACCGCAAGATTTCAAGGGAATTGTTTGCCATTCTTCTGATTTTGATGGCGATGGTGATCCATTCTTAGTTAGTGTATTATTTCCATTTTCATTTTTCACGGTAACCTCTTTCTTGACTTGATGTTCTGGTTGGCTCATTAACTAAGGTTGATGGAGAGGGGGGGGTTGGGATGATGACTAATGATTGTCCATAGAAGGAGTCGATTTTATTGACATTCAGCTTTTACTTTTCCTTTTTCTTTTTCTTTTTCTTGTATTCTTTTTCTTGTATTCTTTTCCATTTGCGCTATGTTTGATATTCTGAATCGCCAAAGACAAGCAATTGACTCTACACATCTCTCTCTCTGTCTTCTTCTTTTGAATTCCGTGAAAGATGTTGACCCGCGCCAGTATGTGACGCTTGTGTGTAGAATGTAGTTTTCAGTACTTGGTTGTGGTCCGGCCAGCTGGATGGACAGTCACCTCTAAAATTTGTATCCCAATTTTGCACAACAAGAAACGATATATAATGGTTACGAGCCAGCAGCGTATAATCCTGCCAGCAGTTCATAAATTTGAATTGTGTTGTCCTCTAAATTATTTCTCTCAACCCCACGTGTTGTTGGTTATGTTTGTAATTTTTCCAAAACTCCATTAGAAAGATTTATAAATGCAGTTCAAAGTTCCCCTTTATGAAAAGGATTTGCTACGGAGCTAGGGACATAGTGTATATCATCGACACTAGTAGCTATGGTTTCTTTTTCCAAAATCCTACACTCCAACTTATTACTTGTGAGCCAGTCCATATTTCAGGATGTCGCGACTCCACAACAAGCTGCTACCGATCAATACTCAGTCATAAACTTCCTCGGTGGCTCGGCTCCTTATAAGCAAGGATCAAGATATGGTATTAGTTCTGATATCCCAGACAAGTGTACAGTGGAACATGTTCAAATGATTTCACGACATGGAGAGAGATTCCCTTCGAAAGGTGACGGTGCTTACTTTAACACAGTGATGAACGCGTTCAAGAGTTACAATAAGGAGTTTAAAGGTGATTTGTCGTTCTTGAATGACTATGAGTATTTTGTTACAAACAAGGAGTATTATGAAAAGGAAACAAGTCCCATGAACTCTGAAGGAACGTTTGCCGGTACCACGACTGCTCTTCGTCACGGGGCCTACTTCAGGCAACGATACAACACATTATACAACAAAGGAGATAATTTCACTGTTTTCACAAGTAATTCAGGTAGGTGTTATCAAACCGCGAACTACTTTGCACGTGGGTTTTTAGGTGACGAGTATTCGGAAGAACATGTGGAGTATGTTGTTGTTGACGAAGATCCCAAGATGGGTGCCAACTCATTAACACCACGCTATGCTTGCAAAAACTTGGACAAAATCAATAATGATCATATTACCGATCAATTCGACAAGAGCTATTTGCAGGATATTTTGGACAGATGGCAGCAAGAGAATCCTGGTTTGAATTTGACAACAGCCCAAGTGTCGTCCTTATTTTTGTGGTGTGCTTTTGAAATCAACGTGAGAGGTTCATCGCCATTTTGCTCCTTATTCACCAATGAGGAGTTTATAAAGAGTGGGTATAGAAACGATTTGACCAATTACTACTCCATTGGTCAGGGAAACAACTTGAGCACAACAGTCGGATCACCCATGGTGGAAGCATCATTGCGATTACTCCTTGACAACAGCCCATCAAGTAAAATATGGGTTATGTTCACGCATGATACGGACATGGAGTACTATCTATCATCGATGGGACTTATCAACCCGGAGAAGGATTTACCTGTTGACCATGTTCCGTTCCCCAATCCCTACAATGCAGCACAAATGTTTCCGCAGGGAGGTAGAACTTATTTGGAGAAGTTAAAGTGCAAGGACAAAGAGTATGTTCGATTTATTATGAACGATGCTGTTGTGCCATTCCCCAAATGCAGTAACGGGCGTTGGATTTTCTTGCGAGTTGTACCAATTTGTTGGTATTGTGAGGTCAAGGATGGATGGCGTAGATTATTCACGTCAATGTGACAGCACAGGACCATCGAATTTGACTTTCTTTTGGGATTATCAAGATGGGCGTTACGATGCCCCACTAATTGACCAGTGATATTAGAGTAGTACAACTTACAAATACACCTAAATACCAAAATGACAGCTATGTCAAAGACAACACTTTATAGATATATAGGTTTATATAATATCTCATTGACCACTGGAGCTCTCTTGGTTCACCTCCCAAGGTTTCTTTCTTTGTGCGGCTGACGACTTAGACCCTTGATCAGTCAACACCACTGGTGGTATGTCCTTTATTCCCGGGACTGGTTTTCCGGACATTATCAACTCAGCTAAATTTTGATAATTGGACGAATAAGGAGGTTGCTCTTCACTTGATGCCAATCTTTCATCCTGCTTATCTTGTGTGTCTTCTTCTTCTTCTTCTTCACCCAATTCAACAATTTTGGCATTCTTGGCAAACTTGTCACCATTGTGTATCTTCCACTCTTCAAAGTCCTCGAGGTTTAGTATATGACCCGTCTTCTGGCAAAAGAAAAACAGCTTGGCTTGGTTCGTTAGTTGTGTCTTGTCAAGATTTGAGATTGACGTTTGCAGTGGATCTTGTTCTTTGATGTTGGAGAGGTAGGAGTCCAAAATTTCCTGCAAGCCATTCTGGAACTCTAAATCTGAGTTCCAGTCATAATTCAAGTACTGCTTGTATACTTCCTCCTGAGGGTTCAATGACATGTCTGAGCAAGTTATTGGCTTTCATTAAGAGCGCTCCACATAAAGAAATTTTTCGGTCTGAAATTGTATTTGCTGTAGCCAACAGCACTTTCAATGACTAGCTTATCTAGCATCATTTTACTAGCCATTGCACTTCGAATAGGGTTCTTCCTCTTTGGGTTGTACCAAGATGAACACATGCCTGTGAAATACACCGACATCGATTACTTGGTGTTTTCAGATGCCTCGCGTTATGTTTACCAAGGACAATCGCCATATCTTCGAGAGACTTATCGGTACACGCCCATACTTGCAATGATGCTCGTACCCAACAATTGGGGCTCTATATGGTACAACTTTGGGAAAGTTTTGTTCATGGTGGGTGATTTGGTGACTGGTGTGTTGATTGCAACATTATTGCGTAAACAGGACAATTTGTCAAAATCAAAAAGATTGATTTTGTCATTGTTGTGGCTTTTGAATCCTATGGTTATTACTATCAGCACGAGGGGGTCATCGGAGAGTATACTAACGGTATTGGTAATGTTGTCATTGTACTTTTTGATTGAAAGGAAATGTGTTTTTGCATCGGCATTTTGGCTTGGGTTGGCTATTCATTTCAAAATATATCCCATCATCTATATCCCGAGTATTTTGTTGTACTTGACAAACGACTCAAAGTCGATTCTCAATTATCCAGTAGTCAAATTGCTAAACACGCAGAATATCAAGTATGCATTTTATACAGTTGCAACATTGGTATTGTTCAATGGCTTGATGTACCACTTCTACGGACAAGAGTTTCTTGACAATTCATACTTGTACCACATTACAAGAATAGACCATAGACACAACTTTTCCGTCTATAATATGGTCCTTTACTACAAGTCAGCATTAACCAGTACGTCGTCATCCAAATTGGATATTGAGACATTGGCATTTGTCCCACAACTTTTGCTATCAGGAGTCATCATTCCACTAACATTTGCCAAACGGGATTTGCTATCATGTTTGTTCCTACAAACATTCACATTCGTCACATTCAACAAGGTCATTACGTCGCAGTACTTTATTTGGTTTCTTATATTCCTCCCGCATTTCTTGTCAAAATCTGACTTACTTGAATCAAGGCGGTTGAATGGGATTTTGGTGCTACTTTTATGGATTATTTCTCAAGGATGCTGGTTGTACAATGCTTATCGATTGGAGTTCTTAGGAGAAAACACATTTGACTATTCCTTATTCAATTCATCCTTGTTCTTCTTTTTGAGTAATTGTGTTTGCATTGGCGAGTTTATAAAAAGTTTATAGATGAGGTGGAAATAGACAATCGTCAAAAATATTGGTAGAACTTTGCAATCGGTATATACCAATGTAACGTTTTTTTTTTCTTTCTTTTTTTCTCTTTTTTTCTTTTTTTTTTTCTGTCATTATCATCTCAAGTAAGACCTATACATAATTGTTTAGATTACCCAGCTACTGGTCCCTCGCAATCATGTCTCGTATGGAACTATACTCCCCCGAAGGGCTTAGAATAGATGGAAGAAGGTGGAACGAACTCCGTCGCTTCGAATGTCGTATCAATACCCACCCAAACTCATCTGACGGGTCATCTTACGTGGAACAAGGAAACACGAAAGTAATATGCACAGTCCAGGGACCGAATGAACCCAGCAGTAGAGCTCAAATGAACCAAGACCGAGCCAACATAGAAGTCAATTTGACAATTGCCAACTTCTCGACATTTGAGAGAAAGAAGAGGTCGAAATCGGAGAAACGATTGGTTGAACTTCGAACCACACTCGAACGAACATTTGAACAGCTGATACTATTGCATTTGTATCCTAGAACTAACATAACGATAAATATACAAGTTTTGAGTCAGGATGGAGGTATGCTTGCTGCTATAACGAATTCGATAACTTTGGCAATAATAGATGCTGGTATTGCAATGTATGACTACGTGAGTAGTGTAAGTTGTGGATTATTTGATCAATCTGCATTACTAGATTTGAATAATTTGGAAGAAGGTGACGTGAGTTCGATAACTATTGGCGTGATTGGTAAGAGTGAAAAGTTGGCTTTGTTGTTGTTGGAAGATAAAATGCCGTTGGATTCGTTGGAGAAGGTGTTGAGTATTGGGATAGCTGGAAGTCATCGAATTAAAGATTTGATGGATATGGAGGTGAGGAAACACGGCAATGCCAGAGCATCTAAATCAAGCAGGTAGAAGTGAACTTAGATATGTATTGCTACAATCTATTTAAAATTTTGCATCATCAGCTTCATCGATGATTTGTAAGTAATAGTAGTAAAATGCTATAATATGGAAATGGCCATCGAAAAGTAATCTCTCATCGACTGAATGAACTCCGCTGTGTTTAAAAGGAAGTCCAGGTTGGTACCGATAAATATTTCTACTCAAATCCCAATACGATTTGGTATCCGTGTTTCCAGTTGACAAGAAAGGTGCAACTATGAATGTATCATTCAGTTTGGGGAACACCAAATCTTCATACAAGTATCGCAATGCACCACCAAACAAATTCCAACTTTCGCCATTTATAGGAGAGACGGGCGCCGGCTCTAATGGCTCGACCAAGGAGTAGTTGAAATATCCTTGTTTTCCAGGAGCAATCACTTCCTCCCCATTCAAGATGAAACCGAGATTGAATTTTTTGGCAATGGATTCAATATGGAAATGATACTTGTCAATTACATCTTGTACCGATTCTTCAACCGATATTCTCGAGTTGACCAAGATTGATACATGTTCGGGCAATGCATTTGATTTGACTCCTCCTTCAACAATATCAATAGCTTGAGAAGTGGTTATCAAATATTTTGTCTCGAGGTTTGCGTCCAAGTACTCAACAACTTGCTTATTGGCATTTGCATCGACTTGAGCTTTCAAAATGTTGCGCTTGACATCCTTGTCCAAAATGGGACTATGTTCAGCTAAGCAGAAAAGTTCACCCATGAGTGGATTAACTTGGGTGAGCAATGGCAGGAATGCATCATTTTCAATCTCGGTGATCAATTGCGCCATTATTCCAATGGATGTATGCTTTGGAGGCACACTCGAATGACCTCCAGGAGTGTACAATTCAATGACTGAGTCCAAGTACCCCTTTTCACCAGTTGCAGGGAGAATCAATTTCAATCCTTCAATCTCTTCATAAGCCTCATTACCTTCATCAATGATTTGTAATATAGAGTCGGCCCCATAACGAGATAAAAGATGCTTTGAAATTTCAGCAGCACCAGTACCTCTACTTTCTTCATCATAACCAAAAGCCAAGATTATTGTTCTCTCCGGTTTGAATTCCCCCCTTTCCAATAGTAGCTCGATGGTAGTGAGTAACCCAATGAGCAAGTTTTTGCAATCGGATACCCCTCTCCCAAAGAGATACTCTCCATCGAACCCACCTTTGAATGGAGGATAAGTCCACTGGTCCAAAGTTGCTTTTTGGACTGGCACGACATCCTGGTGAGCAGCTAAAATTATTGGCTTCTTGTCACTATCACCACCTTTCCAAGTATATACCAAACCCAAATGATTGATTTTCTCAACTTTCAAGTGTTTGTGAGCCAAGGGGTATGTTTTCTCCAAGTACTCGTGTAATTTATAGAATGGTTTCCATCTAGGTTCTAGCTTGAGCAAGGATTCCGAATCGTTAGCCAGTTTAGGGATCTCCATGTCATCGTAGACTTCAGTAGGGATCTGAATTGCTCCTAATAATCTGTCACGTTCTTCCCTGTGGAATTTGTCATCATTTAGAATATATTGGATAAGTTTCGGACTGTGAATACCATCGGGATGCGCTTTGGGAACAATTGGGCAAAGAGCATCAGGGTTATCTGGTTCTGCTCTAGGGAACCACGTGTTGATAAGGAATGTAGTTGCCGAGTAAGTTGCTAAAAAGATGAAAGTGCAGAATGTGGCAAGACATGATTTGATAAAGAAAGCTTTCCGTTTGGTTAGCCTTGTTTCCATTTGGTTGTGTACCGGCAATGGTGGCTTTTCAATCATGGCTGTCGTGAATGTTGGTGCCGTTTGGCTATATGTGACCTCAGTGATTTTTGTCTTTTTTTTTATTTTTTATTTTTTATTTTTTATTTTTTATTTTTTTTTCCTTCTTTTGTGCGATACTTTAAATCCGATGCAGATATTTGCGACATCTACAAACAGTGAATTGAAATGTTGTCTATAACTCTAAATTGTCTCTAATTGTCTCTAGTAGCAAACGTACATACAAAGTCACTTGTCCAAACTAACCCTGTCTTACAAGAAGCTTTTCCTTACTTTGAGCCAATTTTTCCAACACTCCAGAAAAAATACAATGCGTCATTCAACGCCTTTTCCTTGGCGTATTTGACAATTGGATCTGAGGTATCACCTCTAACAGCAAAACCATGGGTTGTACCGGAGAACAAAGTGATTTCGTATCTGACACCATCCAACTTAGACAATGCATCCACAGTTTCCCTTCTCAATTCTGGAGTGAAAATTTGATCGGTTTCAGCAGCGGAGATAATGAGTGGCTTCTTGATTGCCTTGACTTCTTCAATGGCAACAAACGAAGGATGGGCGACGGCACCAGCATCCAAAGGTCCTGATCCGGTCAAGTTTCTGACCACATATTTGGCACCAAAACAGTATCCAATGGAACCCAAAAATTTTGGCTTGAGTTCGGATTTGACCTTGCTCAAGAAGCCATCAACAATTGGCTCAGTGATTTCCAAGGTATGCTTCTTCAACCAAGCTTGGAGATCATCACCTTCTTTAACCGGATCTCCCTTCAAGATATCTGGAATCAAGACCTTGTAGCCACTTTTGGCAATAGTATCAGCAATAAGCAAAGTATTGTTGAAGTGGTTACCAAAAATATCAGTCACAATGACAATGATCTTGTCTGATGATTCCTCACCGACTGTGTAAGTGTCCAAACCGAAAATTTCTTTGAAAGCTCCAACTGGTTTACCTTCGTGGAAAGTACCTTCAGTACAGCATTGACCTGGTGGATTTGAAGCCATTTTGATTTAGTAGTCGTTAGTGAATGTTTATAGTAAATAGTTCAATTGAGCCAAATAGAATTAAGGGAAACGAAAACTGAGGCACCGAAGTTGGATGGGATGTTCTTTTGCCGTATTTATAATTTCTGATTACTAAGAAGGGACGAGGAGAAAGGATTTGTGCATGTGCAGAATGGTCTCGACACGACCTAAATGCACTTGTTGCTGTATTTGGTGTACACAAGTCCGAGATTCTTATTTGTTTGTTGTTTCGAAATGAAAATCCGAACTCGACGTTTCGGAACTATAGCCTGTAACGCGGAAGGCGGGAAAATGAAGTCGGTGTTATAAGCGGTGTTATGTACTTGATACATGTACTTCAACAACGATCAAAAGCCACAGCAACAATTGTGTTCACAATAATGAGAAAATGGATTTGCAATAACAGCAACGAGTATCCACTAAAAGTAGTGGCTGTTGCTTAGCACAGCTCTGATTTGTTATGACGTCATGATGATGATGATCATCATCAGGAGTGCCATTTGAATTAATGTCAAGACGTTTCTTCTCGAGACATTATGTCAACATGTGAATGGTAGCAGCTACATTAAATTAATCCGCAATTTCCTAATTAGGCAAAAAAAGCGGTTGACACATTTCACTTTAAACAGTACTAAACTAAAGTTCGCTCTCTCTCTCTCTCTCTCTTTATTGAGACTATGGATTGTAAAAGAGAGGCTTTTGAAAACAGGTGCATGTTGTGCAAACTGTAAGAGAGATGAGACCGTTGGATATTATAGCTGATTTCACTTACCCGGTAAATCATATCCAAAGCAGTTATTGGACGTGTGTATGCTCTACTGTAGTAGTTTTTCTTAACACATACAGTACTATACAATGTTTTATTATTGCGTGTCCTCTAAATTATTTTTTTTCTCCTTCAACTCTTGATTGGGAAATTTTTCAAAACCCACAAATTTGACAGAGACACACACACACACACACACACATACACACACCAGGTCAAACAGATCATTTGGGGCGCTTCATCCACATAGTTCAATATATCTTAAAGAGTAAGTCTCTCCAACGTCAATCCCATTTCAGATACCACGCAACTGCACTTCTTCACTGCGGTTTTTTCTGTTCTTTATCACTCTTTAGCGCCTGATTCCATATACATAGATCAACCAATCAAAAAGTCCCCACCAGCCCAAAAATGTCATATCGTGGTCCAAATCAGTTCCAAAATCAATTCAATGCTCCGCCTCCGCATCAACAGCAGCCACCACAAAACTTTGGTGTTCCTCCAAGACAACCACACACCATTGGCCCAATAACTAGCTCCAAATCGCCTTTCGAACAATTTGAACTCTATACAAGAAAAATTGAGGACTTCATTGACGATAAATTCAAACCGTTGAAACCGTATGTTCCTGCAATTGGAAGAGCATTTTTGGTGGCTACTTTCTACGAAGACACATTAAGAATCTTTACTCAGTGGAATGAGCAAGTTTACTACTTGCACAACTACAGACACTACTGGAGATGGTTTACGGTGGTGTTTTTGATTCAAAACATGTTGATTATGTCCATCACTTCAACAATGTTGATTGCTAGGAAAAAGGTCAATATTGCTACAATTGCCTTGATTTTGGTTGTTATTGGTCAAGGTATTGTTTATGGCTTAATGTTTGACTCTCAATTTATTTTGAGAAACTTGTCAGTTGTTGGTGGATTAGTATTGGCATTTTCAGATTCCATTGTCAGAGATAAACGATCATTGAACATGCCAGGGTTACCAATGTTGAACAATCAAGACAACAAAAAGTATTTCTTGTTAGCAGGAAGAATCTTGCTTGTTCTTTTGTTCTTGGGGTTTGTCTTTTCATCTGAATGGTCCTTGGGTAGAGTTTTGATTATCATTGTTGGAATTGCATCTTGTGCTTCAATAATTGTTGGATACAAGACTAAATTTGCCGCAGCAGTGATGTTGTCGTTGTTGTTTGTTTACAATGTTGTTACAAACCATTTCTGGAGCTATGGAGGTCGTGATGCAAGAAGAGATTTCTTGAGGTACGAATTCTTCCAAGTCTTGTCTATTGTGGGTGGATTGTTGTTGGTTGTTAACGCTGGTGCCGGTGAGTTTTCCATTGATGAAAAGAAAAAGATCTACTAGAGGAGACATGTGTCGCGTGTCGCTGGGAAAAGAAGGCTAGAGCCAGCTTTGTAGAGAATAGGATATATAAAAACGGAGTTTCTCATACCTCTAACTATTGTGAATGGCCTGCAAACGAAACTTGACTACGCAGAGATCACACACGCAAAAAAAGAAAAATTTGAAAACAGTCCAGACAACTCAACTAATAACAGCTCAACTTGAGTATGTCTGGCAACAACGAACAACCTAGATGCCCAGTAGACCACTCCACTAGACAGTCGTGGCTTTCAAAGCTAACAGGGAGTGGGTCCAACAACAATGATACGACAAGTGAGCAAGTACGAAAAGAGCTAGTATCATCACCACAACAGGTTTGTCCAGTGAACCATGATAGTCGATCTGCATGGCTAGACAAGGTATCAGTCAGTGTCACAACGCCCGACTCTGCGGTCGAAATTCCACAACAAGCCTCATCATCCACTAGCACCACCGCTACCGATACGACAACTTGCGATTCATCAACCATATCAAACACCTTACAAGACACCACCACCTCCAACATCAACTTACCCACTGATCGAGAAATCAGCTCTATCCCTCGTACATCATCCAACCAAAACTGGATCTACCCAAGCCAAAAGCAATTCTTTGAGGCGATGCAACGCAAAAACTGGAACCCAGACTCTCAAGATATGAAAGTCATTGTCCCCATTCACAACCTTGTCAATGAACGTGCTTGGAAACATATAACTATGTGGGAAGGCTCTCACTACCAAGAGGCAATGAAGCAATGTGGTGGAATCACCCTAACTTCATTCAAGGGTGATTCCAAAAAGTTAACCCCTAGAGCATGGATCAAGCTGAACATTTGGGGTCAACCCCCTCCCTTTGATAGACACGATTGGACTATTAATCGATGTGGCAAGGAGATTGAGTATGTCATTGATTTTTACAGCGGGGATGGCGATTCGGGACAAGTTTGGCTCGATGTGAGACCAAAATTGAACACTGTTGAAGGTGTCAAGTTACGTATAGCCAGAGCATTTGGATTCAATCAAGAGTGAAATCAACAAAGCAAAGGAGATGGGCTCCCGTTTCCATTCTAAATAAGGATTACACACCTTTGTAAATATATACACAAAACATTTTAGTAAATGTTCATTTCAAAATCGCCTTCTCGAAATTTTTTATCTTCTTCCCATAAACTGTCCACTTTGACCCAACTTTTGCATATTCTCACCAACTTGCACATTAGTCTCAAAGTACTTGGCAACACATCTGTCAAGACACAACGACTCTTGTTTAGTAATGTCACTTTCATTGTATGATTTGTTTATGCACTTGGCATGACATTGCGACACAAGGGCATTGAACATGCCTGTGACCATGTCTAATTCAGCTTCTGCAGCTTGCAATTTGGCCTGGGAGGAGATTTGAGGGGCCGATCCACCGATTCCGAACATTGTGTTGTTATTGTAATGTAGTTAACTTGATAAAGCCTTTGTTGTGATAATCTAATGGCGTCTTTTTCCTCAAAATTTTTCATTCGTTGCTGCAAGTTTTTTTTTCTTTTTTTTTTTTCTGCTTCCTCTGTACTGGACCTGAGTGTCGTGCAGAGAAGCCCAAGTGGCATATAGAGTGAAAGAGTACTACGTAGTGCAACTAGACACATTATTGTTCAGTTATGTACTACATACGACGGTGAAAAGAAAGACACAAGCAGTTTCCCCCCCCCCCCCCCCACTATTAAAGACCGGCAAATGTAAGTTGTATGATTCCTCCCCACAACATCTCATCAGTTGGAATTTCTTTTCTCAACTTAACCAAATCATCCTTCTTTTCTGGAGCTATAATCACCAATCCTTGAGCCAATGTCAATGTCTTTCCCGTCATTGTTACGGATCCAGCCAAATGTGAAATTCTTGCATTCACCAACGACGGATGTTCCAATACCCTATCTAGATAAGAGTTACTCATGGCGTGATTTATATCGTAGTAATAACGCATAAACCGCCACGTCTGTGTCTGGATATTCAAAACGGCGACTCTCATCGTGTTTGGATTATTGGTCAACAACGGCAATTTACTTAATCGCGATACGTCAAACTTGTCTGACTTGTATGGCTCGCGATCAAAAAATCGTAAATGATCCAGTTTCACTCCACCAAGAAAGAACAAGTAGTCGCGCTCCTCATTCTGGTAGTAGACACAGGTATGATGACAACAACGCAACTCGGCTTCTTTCAATTCAGGATTGGGCACCATGTTCTCCTTTGTGTACAAAGAACCATCATCATCTGCGCCTGGCTCAAGGGGGATGTTGAAGTAGTCGTATGCATAAGTGGTGAATTTTCCCCACTTGCAAGTGTCAAATACAAATCGATAAAAGTCAGCAAAGAATTGATCACCTTCAGCACACCCACCTTGGATGATGAACGAGCGCTTATTGAAGTATGCTTGAACTTCTGAAACTTCTTCATAATTGCTAGCTGCTAGACTAGGCGCTGTCCCTGTCCCAGGCCCACTCCCAATACCAGAACCACCACCACTACCACCACCACCAGCACCACCAGCAGCACCAGCAGTTACACCGCCTCCTACCTGAAATGATCCTGAACTACCAGCAATACTTATATCTGGTGACCCTCCCCTCTTGATCGCTCCCGTCTGTGCTTGTGTCTGAAATGGGGTCAATGGCGACAGATCATACTTTGTAACATTCAACTCACATCCTTCATCCAATCCTCTATTATAGTCAATCATATAAGAGGCAAAGTACCCTCTTGGACTAGGCCAGTTCCCATCATCATCAAGAACGATATCACAAGTTGTAGGATCAGTACCTATTTTCGAGACCAACGCATCATGCAAGAAAGTATAGTTGGAGATTGACATTGGTTCCTCTTTTGCCGTCAAATCAATTTTCAATAAATCGTTACTCGCTTTGAAATGTTGGATTCCATTATTGTCAACCTCATCATCTAGATAAAACCCACCAAACACAAACACACTTACATTTGATAGTATATTGCTATCATTGAACAATGGGTTTGATGAACGGGTTCTAGTTTCAAAAATCTCCTCGCCCTCGGAAAATCCTTCATGAATAGAACCACCCGTCTCATCCTCATCTTCTTCAATGGCTGCTTCTCCCAGAAAATCACCGCCTCGCAAACTCCGAGAGCCAGATCTAGATGAATCGTCTCCAGAGTACGACCGTACAAATTCCAACACTTCTCTTTCACTTCTCTTCGGTGAATGTCGCTCATCATCAGATGGTGTCGAATGCCCGCTCTTGGGACCACCATCACTAAAGCTTCGCACACGCTTGTCATTTTGAAACTGAAGTATTGGCGTAATTGGTCGGTTCGAAGCTGTAGGGCAAGCTAAAGAGCCATTTGGGGCCGAGGATGAGGTTGCTGGAGACACAATTGACGAATTTGTGGCTTGCAATGGGTTTATAGAGGATGCATTGGTTGCCACCGTTGTTGACAGTGTGTCAGCTCCTGTAGCAGAATCCAATGATGTAGAGCCAGCCATCGGTGTTGCCAGATGAGTAGATGCAGGGTTCAAATTGGAAGTATGTCCAGTTGTATTCAAGACTGGAGACACTGCGCGACTACTTGATCCAGACCGATTATTTGTTGAATTCGATCGATGTTCACGAACTTTTTCAGAATATGTGTTCTTCATAGGACGATGGAATTTACTCTTGATTTTGTCCATTTTAGATGAGCCAGGGGATGAGGTTGACGCCGATGAGGTTCTAGTTGCAGCTTCACTCAATGACGAATCAATGGAATGCGTTGTTATTATCCTTTGTAAACTGGGTGGTGCTTTTGAGCGCATTACTGGCGACTCATCGAGTTTGGCTACTCTTTGTGGCAGATGTTGCAGCTGGTACTGCTGGTGCTGGTGCTGTTGTTGTTGCTGTTGTTGCTGTTGTTCGAAATCACCTTCATCAAGCTTCACATTTTGCCGATTCCTCTCACTACTTCCTTTCTTTGTATTGCTTCTTGTGACAGATGCATTTACTGAATGATCACTTGGACTTGATTTGTGAGAAGCTTCAGAAAAGGCTGGAGGCAGGGATTGTCTTTGACTTTCAAAAGGTCGATTAAAGTCACCACCAACACTGATTCTTTCACCTCGTTCGTTTGGCGGCTGATATACGTTGGAACATATCCCCATTCCTATTCTCCCAAGTGTCGTATGCATCTTGTTTGGTTCGAGTCTGACCTTGATAAACTTTAGATTAGATGAGTCGAGAATGTACCCATCCTCATTCATGACTATCTTCTTGTTAATGATCCACCGATCAATATCTGAATGGTACTTTACCGACAAGTTTTGAATTTGAAAACCACCGTAGAAAAAATAATGTTTAGCGGTAATTTGTGTTGATTGCATAGAGAGCAAGTGGCCAGGAAAGTGTTTCAAATTCTGTGTATTAACAAAAGTCACAGTTCCTCGAATTGCATTGTAGGCAATAAAGTGTGGGTTTGGATGCAAGAATGGGGTGGTCAACATTTTAGAATCAACAAAGGGAGGTACCTTGTACGGAAAATGAACAGAAACTTTATTAATGTCAATATCCAGTGGGAGACCAACGTGATGGAAAGTTGACTGCTTAGTGCTGCTCAATCCGCCAAATACATAAGTAGCATCTCCCACCACAAATGCATTTTGAAAACAAAGTTTGGGAACATCTGACATCAACCGTAGCTGTCTCTTGTTGTTCCTGTATGGGTACGGGATATTGAATGAGATTTTGGGGATAGTGATGTACCCGGAGTAAGCATCGATTTTTTCATCTTGGCCCAGTAGAAATTTGTTTTTGCGTTCCTTGTTATGATCAGTATCCTCACTTGACGACGATGTATTTGATGCTGAAACACTCGAGTCTTTTCTTCCATACGCTGAATGCTCAATTTCATTTAAATGGCAAACGGGGTTGAAAAAGTGTTGAACATCGCCATGATCGTAATCCAATTCGATTTTCGTCGACTTATCGGAGGCCAAACCATACCGGAGTAAGCTATACGGCACAGAATACCCATTAATCCAACCATTAGTTTCATTATTTTCGGCTAAAAACTGTTCCTCTTTGAGCTTTGTTTCCGGTTTACCATTTATTTGTGGTAGGCTGGTCGTTGATTCGAGGTCATTCAAATCAATGGTGAAATGTTGTGTAGCGTCGTGTGGTCTATAATAACCTGGTGCTTGCGCAGATGTGTTTGGTGACACCGGAATTGAGTGTACATTGTCCAGGGTATCAGGTCTAGTTAATGATTCCAAAGATGAAGTGCTATGTCGAGGCCCTTGTTCCATTGTTGACAAAGGATGTTTTGGAAATAAGATAAGGTTATGAAGACTGCTTCTCCTTCGCCTGTTGCTATAATTTTTGCGTGTGTCTGAATTATTTTGTCTCCGTTCTTCTTTTGTTGAGAAGCACTGATGCCACATATAATTCAAAGAAGAAATTTGTTACTAGATGAAGTGTACCTGAGTATACGTAACAGTTTATCTGCAAAGGCATCGATATAGCTTCCTCGTAGCATAGTTCTGAGAGGTCAGTGTGTGGAAAGCTACTAATTATCGTCCATGAAACAATAGGTCACGTGGTGATTCAAGCTTCAAGCAGGTTCCTATGTGAATGATGCTCCGGAAAGTGTTTAACTTACAAAACAACAATCAGAGGTGTGGACGAGGAATGATTGGAGAAGTCTATTTGCTATCCAAGAAGTAGCAGTTCATTTGGTGCAGTTTCTCTGTAGAGGGACAGTTTATCAGTAGCCAGACGGCAACGGTATCAAATACGTAAGCAAGTCTCTATTCTGGAATCATTCCTGTAATAACATATTTTGCAACTATAGCTCACATTGGCGACTGTGTGTGTGTCTTCTGCTTGACACCACTTCTTGCCATTAAATCCGATACTCGTGTGATTTTCTATTATCTCCGTTGAGCGCAATTTAAAATATTCTTAGTCCTCGGCTTCTAGACCAACAGTGTTCAATCAACCTTACTGTAAGTGCGCACGATCAACCGACAAAGAGACAGACACGTAAACTCTGGTGCGTAGTGTTACTTGCTGACTTACCCTCCATACTATAGCCTGTAATAAAGCCGATTGTCTCTGTCTAGTCGTTTGATGTTGCATTTGATTGACGTTACTCCACCGCACAAGACAAAAGAGAAGAAAAAAAAAAAAAAAGAAGAAAGTGAAGAAAAATAAAAATAAAACTTTATCAGTTTCAATATTACACATCCGACTCTTCTTCTGGAACACTTCCACAAGTAAGAATAGAAGACATACACTTCTTTTAAAAGAGAAAAGAGTAAAAGAGAACACATCTGGGTTAGATAGAGATGTCAGTATATGAACATGGAGCTGTTCCCAAGGTCAAGCATGACACTGCGGATGACGATCAAATTGATGATTTCACATATGAACTTGAGAGGATAGGTCGCTTATCATTTCTTGAAAATATCACTTTACCAAGCTTATCGGGATTACCCTATATACCTAAATTGTCAAATCTACCCAATCTACCCAATCTACCCAATCTTCCCAACCTTCCCAACTTACCAAACTTTGAACACTTTGACGCTGGATACGCTGATGTGCTAGATTCTTTAACTGACCTTATACACCAAGCTGTAACCCTACCGGACGATACTAGTGATGTCGAAGAAGTTGAAGAGAGGGGCGATGAATTCAGCACCGAAGAAGATGACAACAAGAGTGGCATAGATTTGACGTTGGTCAGTGAGTTGATCAGTCGGGGACAAGCAAGCATTGCCAAATTTATCAACCAGATAGCTCTACGTAAAGAAGGCGAGGGCGATGAACTAGGCAAAGCCAATACTACTGCAGACAATAGTGAACAGTTTGTTGAACGTGACTTGGAATTAGAGCGGCTTGGAGAGGACAAGATTCGCAAGTTGACAGAGCTAGACTCAATTGAGGATTTCAAAAGAGAGGAGATTCTTCGGGGTAGGATCAAAAGCATACAAAGTTTGTCTCTCAGTCAAGAATCGAAAAATAAGTTGGTGACAACACTAATGATGGGGAACTATTATAGATATATCAACGAGCAACTACGAGAGGAAAAGGAAAGATTGTCGAACATTGGTTTCCGAAAACAAGTTTATGATGATGATTCAAGGTATTTCAGTGATGGAACGGAGCGAACAACCGAGGGTGTTCAAAGTATTGATACTCAGATAAACTACGACGATGGCGACAAAGAAGAAGAAGAAGAAGAAGAAGAAGATGATGATGATGACAATGACGATGACGATGATGCTGGTGCATTTTCGGATGAGGATGAGGTGATAATAACCGAAGAGGACCAAGCACCATCCTACTTTGACAAATCGGGGCGTATTTTAGGGTGCCGGCACTACCAACGGAATTGTAAATTGGAATGTCCCACATGCCGTAAATGGTTCGGATGCCCTTTTTGTCACGATGAGGTAGTCAAGGATCATAAAATGATTCGTAATAAAGTGAAGCATATTTTGTGCATGCATTGTAATACACCACAAGTTCCAGATAACAACTACTGTGTCAATTGTGAACAAGAATTGGCCAATTATTTTTGCAACAAGTGTGTTCTTTACGACAACGACGTCAACAAGGATATTTACCACTGTGACAAATGTGGAATATGCCGATTAGGACTCGGTTTAGATAAAGATTATTTCCATTGTGACGTATGTAATATTTGTCTTTCAATTGATTTGAAAGATAAGCACAAGTGTGTTTCGAATACGACCCATTGCAATTGTGCTATATGCCACGAGTACTTGTTCACATCAGTTGAGAAAGTTGTGTTTATGAAGTGCGGCCATTCAATCCATCAATTGTGTTTTAAAGAATTGACAAAACATTCATACAAGTGTCCATTGTGTAAAAAGACAATTGTGAATGTCGATCAACAGTTTCGCCTCTTGGACCAAGAGATCAATCAAAGCCCCATGCCGTCTCCATACAATGAATGGCGATGTATTGTGAGCTGTAATGACTGTAAGGGGAAGTCGAATGTCGCATATCATGTACTAGGATTGAAGTGCAAGTATTGTAAAAGCTTCAATACTAATCAGCTACAGTTGAGGAAACCAGGAGAAGAAGTGGTTGAGATAGAAGCAGGTGAGGCCAGTATCGGTGGAAATCCCGAACACATTGTCGATTTCGACTCAAATATAATGCGATTAGTGCAAACTAATCTCGAACGTAATTTTGCAATCGATCTACAGCAGTAATAGACTTTTAATAGACTAAAACGATTATATTTTCAGTCAGTTGAATGACTAATAGTAGCTATTCTTTTCTGTTGAGTAGTTGCCAAAGCAGCAGCTCGACCCAAAAATTGAAGAAGTCCCCAACGGCCCACAAAAAATGCAACACCAAAAAAAAAGAAAAAGAAAAAAAAAACAAAGGTTGAAGACCAACAAAAAGAAAAGAGCCAACAGAAATTGGGAGGGTGCATGTTACATGCATAGAAGAAAGAGAAGAAAACAGTTGCTTCGCTTGACTTTGATGTCGCAAACAGGCGTACTTGCTAGTTTTTTTAGTGAATAAAAATGACTAACTTGCAGAATAGGTCTTTTAAATTTTCCGAAATGTGGAGATTACTCCATTGCCTCATTTTTTATTTTTCTATTTTGTTTATTTTGTTTATTTTTTTATTTTTGTTGGTCGTTTAGTTATACGGCGGAGACATTACGTCAAAGAAAAAAACAAAAAAATAAAAGAGAGGACGGAGGTGTACTTTCTTTCACTCTGAACACTGCAAAGTAGAGAATTAGTATTTACGTTGTAATTGCGTAGTATACTGAGCATTTCCCTCCTCTTTCCTAGTTCAACATTGTTTGAATGTACATCATTTGAGTTGGAGCATGGAATTCCATTACGCAGGAGACCTAAAAAAAAAAAAAGGGCTCAGGATTCTGGACCTGCCCGATGCGGAGATATCATTCGCTCAATAAACTTCTCTTTCTAGTAATAGGGGCGACAGTATAGATTGTTGCTGCTGCAGTTGTTGTTGTCGGTTGAGCTATCGACCTAGTGTTTATTTGTGTAACGTTTGAATTGGAGTAGCAACTAGTCGGCTCTTCCCATCCCCCCTACCCACTACCTCCCCCAACGGAAATAAATCGGCACTACACACCACAAGATCAACAAAGAATCAAAAGAAGAAAAAGACAAAGGGCTGGAAGCTTTTCACTATTTTTTGGTGGGAACTACTGAACTGTGGTAAGGATACACACATAAGCAGCCTATTCAATTCCAAAAAGAGGTTGTTGATTTGTTATTTTCTTTCTTAACTTTCTGTCGTTCTTGCTGTTCTTTCCGTTGGGTAAAACTTTTTTGTTTCCGTCGCATTTTTCTGTATACAACAACAACAATAACAATAACAACACCCTCATTCTCTCGCCACGTGTAAATCGAAGCGAGAGAGAGAGAGAGATCACATTCATCTGATTGGAATAGTCACATATCATACACATACCACATACCACATACCACATACTTCTTCTTAAATTGAACCCAATTTGCCCTAGACGTTGACAGATCACAACTACATTTACAAGGAACCACGCATATCCCACATCAAGAACTTTATACCTATGTCTATTACAAACCTATAGAAAGATACTATACATCACTAAAACAAAAAAAGCAGAACGAAAATAGGCTCCAACTAAATCAATACTGGCATAAATTGAAAAACAGAATGAACTCCATCAAACTAATTGTCGATTCTTTGGACAATGTCCTTTCGGGGAAAGGTTACGATGTTCCAGCTACTGGTGAAGAGGAAAACGAGCGACTGGAAAAACAAGAGGAGATTGAGCAAGAGATAGCCCATGGAGGCTATAATGACAATACTACCACCAGTGTGGGGGATCCAGTCTCAATCAAAGGACCATGTAAACTTCCGATGACTAGAGAAGATACCTCTCGTGATGACATGGACAAAGAAGGAGAGGAAAATGAGCCATTAGAAGATGTTGAAGAAGAAGAAGAAGAAGAGGAAGAGGATTTGGAGGAAAATGACGGAAATGAGGAGATCAACCTAGCTACGGAATCTCAAAGACCCAAAACCCAATCACCCCCACTAACTTCAAAGCATTCGCTGATTGTGATATTCTTTCTTCAAGTCGGTAGAGTCATTTTTATCGTTCCCAATTATCTCGTCATCAAACCCATTTCAATCTTGGTGAATCTCATGATACTTCCCTTTGTCTTGATCAAGGCGTCATTAGGATTTGGTCCAAAACTTCCAAAGACTGAACAAGAATTATACAACGAGAAGCTCGAGTCGTTTGAAAACAACATCGATGAATCCATAGTCACACGCGCTCCTCCAACGCAAGGTCGTCGCTTACAATCAAATAGATCCAAAACCAAGTTAATGACTCCCTTGGACTTAGACCCGGACGAGTATGATAATGCTCAAGTGGAGCAGATCAAGCAGGACAATCTACTAGCGAATGAAGTGAAATCACCATCATCCTTCTCCAAATACATGATTCCGCCTCCACTACGTCTATTTCCATTGTCGAGGAATCCGCAGCGGAAACGAAAGAAGAAAGTGCTTATATTAGACCTCGATGAGACTTTGATCCATTCGCTTTCAAGAGGTGGACCCCGCACTTTTAATCCAGCATCTAAATCCAAAATGATTGAAATTAAACTAAACAATGTGTCTTCACTATACTATGTTCATAAACGACCATATTGTGATTATTTTCTAACCCAAATCAGTCAATGGTTTGAACTACAGATTTTCACAGCTAGTGTTAAAGAATACGCTGATCCAATCATTGATTGGCTAGAGGAAGAAATTATAGACTCCTTAAAGAAAAAGGGCAAACAGCACCGGATCCAATCCAGTTCAGATTACATCAAGCCCCACATTTTCACAAAGAGATATTATCGTTCCGATTGCACGTATCGACCTGGGGTAGGATACATTAAAGATTTGTCGAGGTATCTCCGCGATGATGAGTTGAAGAATGTAATGATTTTGGACAATTCCCCCATCAGTTATGCCTTGCATGAAGATAATGCCATTGGGATTGAAGGATGGATTAATGATTCCAATGATCGGGATTTACTCAATTTGCTACCGTTGTTGAAGAGTCTTAGTTTATGTATCGATGTTCGGTTTATTTTGGGATTGAAGAATGGAGAAAAGTTGTTTGAAATGTAGAAAATAAAAGTTTTATCAATTGCTTGCAGTGCTATAGTTAGACAAAAAAAAAAGAAAGTTAATACACGTTTCAATAGACTATACTATGTGGAAGAAGACAGCCTGACCATAGTCCAATCTCCTTAACTTTATCCTACTTGTTAAAAACTCTGAAACAAAAATAGAGAAAAAAAAAAAAAAATAACATCTCGATTCTAATTTTTTTTTTACTACAAACCTAGTTACTGACTGATTCAACGGCAACAACAGCGTCCCTGACGGTGGCAAATGCCGATTGTGGGTTGACACCAGTAACAATCTTTCCATCGGTTACAGAGAAGGCATCCCAAGGACCCTTTGGTGGCACATAAGTAGCACCTTCCTTCTCAGCAACTTGCTTAATCGTCAACAATCCATGGTCCTTGATAGTCTTGGTCAAGCCCAATTGCTCTTCACCTTCATCAGTGAAACCAGTAATCTTCTTACCCTTAACAAAAGGTTGCTTAGTCTTTGGATCTTCAAGGTTTTCAAAGATTGCAGGTCCGTGACACACAGCAGCAACGACACCGCCATTCAAATAGGTGTCAATCAAGATCTTTTGCAAGTTCTTGGCCTTTGGGTAATCAAACAATGTGGCGTGTCCGGCACTAGCAAAGAAAAGATCAAACTTTTCATTAGTCAAATCTGAAGCCTTTTTGATGTTCTTCAAGGCTGTATTGTATGAAGAGTCCTTGTTTTCGTAAACTTCTCTAGCTTTTCCTTGCAAGGCATCTTCGGTCAATGAGTGTGGGTCATATCCAAATTCACCAGTTTCGGAAGCAATGGTAACTTCGTAACCCTTTTGAGCCAATTCTAAAAATGGTTCAATTGCTTCAGTAGCGTACAAACCGGTCTTGTCACCGTTTGGGTAGAATGGACCGTTGTAGGAAGTAACTGCAAGTAAAGCTTTAACCATTGTGTTTCAATTTGTGTACTGATTAGTGAGTTGAAAGTTAGAGATGATATGGAGTTCAATTGGCAAGAGGAAGCAAAGGATATTTATAGTTTTTGCGGATATGGTATTTTATTTTTAGGGAAAAGGGGGGGGTCAAGGTTGTGGCTCCTACAAATTTTCCTTTTTTTTTTAAGGTTGCTTTGCGGAATAAATGAGTGAGTGAGTGAATGTTTGTGTGTGTGCAACGGTGGTTATTCCTATTTTTGGAGTAACACAAGAACACTGTTGAATGTTATTGCGGTTTGCTGTGGTATAAATTTGCATTAGTAATCAGTCTTCTCTGAACTACGTTGGTACACACAAAATGTAGTACTTGCTTCATGAACTCTTGCATGCCATTCATACTGGTAGAAACTCATATCTACATAGTATACCGCGTGCCTAAGTGATTGACGGCAAAAAAATGCCAAAAAAAAAGGTCAGGGTTAGTTTGTACGAAGTTTGTGTAAACTGTTTGCAACGACAAAGATGGGCAATAGCGACGTCCCTTGAGTAGAAAAGGTCACCTAAGCCTCCTCAGAAAGCTCAATTGCAGAAGTGGCGGAAGGGCAAGAGGAAGTATTTCAACTCCACTCTGGGTCTAACCACTGTCTACAATAGTATCATTTCCAAAACTATTGTAGACAGTGGTTAACAACATCATCATGCAAGATATGGATAAGCGGATATAAGCAAACTAAGATCTTCTCTGGAAAATCATTGTATTCCGCTCCAGTTTTATTTTCTGTCTCTTTCTAATGAGTTCTAATCCAAATGTGGCACGGGATGAATCTCTACACAAAGACAATTCAACAAGTGTCGCAAATAAATAAACTTAGACATTACATGTTGCGACACTAAGCCGCAAGAAAAGGGAAAAAAAATAAAAATAAAAATAAAAATAAAATGAAGAATCGGTAGTGCTACTGAACACAACAAACAAAGTCAACGAAATATTCATTGTGAGTAAGGCAAGCCAATATCAATACACACTCAATTTACAGTGAAACAGGGCAAAAAGCAACACCATGTCAAGTAAATTTCCGGAAATCGATGCACCTCAGTCAAATGGTGATGACTTAGAACATTCTGATTTTCTTTCTCGTGAAAAGGAATTACTTGGTGACGAGTTCAAAACGGATCAAGATAAAGTATTGGAAGAAGATAGCGATGACGACATAAATGAGTTCAAAGACCAATTCCCCGAAGTTGAAGGAAGTGAGAGCGTTAAACAGGAATTCAAATCTACCGAGGATGCCGATGACGAAGACGCCGACGTAGCCCTTGCTGATTATGGTGCCACTGAAAATGTCAAAGATTTATCTCAATCCACATCCATAAAAGAATGGAAACAACGTAGAGATTTGGAGATTGAAGAAAGAGAAAAGGTCAATTCACAAAAGAAGAAGGATCTTCTTTCCAAAGCACAACAAACGATTGATGATTTTTACGAAAACTATAACCTGAAGAAGGACAAGCAGATTTCCGATGTTGAAAAAGAACAAGAGGCATTCCTTAAAAAGAGGGACGAGTTTTTAAAACATGGAACATTGTGGGATAGGGTCAATGAGTTGATTGATGCAGTTGGTGGGCCTGCTGTGGATTCAGAGGGTAATGACAAGACCAGATTTAGAAACTTTTTGAAAAATTTAAAGGGCAAGGAAAAAGTACCGGGAGCTGGTGGATATCAAGAGTAGGGAGGGGGGGAGATGCACTCGATGTGTGACATATAGAGCTGTGAACTCTTGTTTATATGAGTAATAGAAGAGAAGACGGATGATAGTTTGATACATGTAGAAGCAGTCAATTGTTCCTTCAACTATGATACAAACTGAGCCATTTTTATCATAAGGTCCTTAGATATTCGTTCTGATTCCATTGTCTTGTGCTCCTTGATGAAATCGTTCAAGTTCATCATTTTGAAAAACCCAAAACACATCAATATGGTTTCCAACTGGTTCCACAAGGGTAAATGAAGTTTGGAAAAGAGTGGGTGGTATGTCTTGAGAATACGCCATTTGGACAACACCACAAGCTTAAACAAGTACATGTTGAGGTCATTGTAGAATTGCTTTGAAAGTAGCCTGGCGGGAGGAATCTCGTCAACGTCTTCTTCATAGATTGCATTGTATCCACTGGAGTTGAGTTCGGCTTCCACTCGCTTGTCGTATCCCCAGTCTGCAAGCCATTGCGTATAGTTCATTTTTATGGCGACCAACCCTGCAACAAACCCAATCGCCTTTGTGTATGTCTTGAACACTTGCTTCTGGTTACGCACGTAGAATCGATGCAAGTCTGGATACCTCTTGGAACCGAGTAGCGAAAACACGGGCGACGACACAACAATTAGCAATATGGAAACAAGGTTGGGCACATAGATCAAGTTTGTGATTGCACTTGACTTGTGCATGACATACGCAGCAAAGTTCTGGAATATTGACGACTCGCTATCCGCTTTGCCGCCGCCGTATTTGATGGCATAGAATCGATCCAACACGCGATCTTTGAACGAGTACACCGCGACTAGCACTGCAATTACTGCATTATGGAGCAAATAATTCACAGCCAAGTTCTGCCAATTGATTCGGCTGTAGTTGCGACCGAGCAGGAAATTGATCCAGATGGGATTGAGAATGTGCCGTTTCAAAAAGGGGGACAAGTACATCATGTTGAGTTTGTACCTTGTTGGTGTGAGGTAGTTGCTTAATATTTGCGCATACAATATGGGGAAAATCAAAAGCTCCTTGTTTTGGTAGAGCTTCATCAAGGGTGAGTATATGCTGGTGGACTTGTAAGTCGACAACTTGAATGGCCTCGATAGGCTGTCTGATACGAGGATCTGCGACTTGGAAGGAGGGTTCAACTCGCCGTGGTATGCACTGAGCAACGACACTAGGGCGTAGTCCTTGGGGAACGAGTCCGTGTCGACTGTGGCAAAGTAGAGGAACGCGCAGGTGATCAAGTTGGCGAGTTTACTGACGGTGGTGGTGGCTACTACCCCGCCATTCAGTCGTAGCACCTTGGACAAGCTTGTTTTGTAGTACTCGAGGAGCTGGCGGATCGGTTGGTTCAATGATAGGAAATTGGACCACTGAATGGGGTTTTGTAGACGCACAATGTGAAGTACGATCATCCATTTCGCCCAGCTACGTAGTGATGGGTGAGTGAGTATTCTGCGGCATAACAGCTGGACAAGGTGTGGCGTGGCTTCTTTCTGTTCCACAGGCTCGTTCTGTTGTTGTTGTCTTGTCTCAGTTTGCTCCAAGTAGTTGTATATACTACTGGACATTAGCTCATTGAGCCTCCTAGTGGATTGACTGGGCACAATCATGTATAGCTAGGGTTGCAAGCGAAACGTTGAAGTGGTGTGTACTTCGACCCTCTGTTGTGCTCTTTTTTACTCATTTCTTGTTTATCAGATGCTTTTAGCGCGTAGCAGAAGCGCCCCACTTGTGTTCTGTGGAACCGGTGCGACTCCATTTAAGTGTGAACGCCGCCGAGACGCTCCACCTACTCATTTGTTCTACCGCGCGCCACGAAAGAGCAGCATACAAACTTAGCAAAATTGTCTCCTGTCAGAAAATAATAATCTCTTTTAGGAAAGCCAGGTAAACAAGTCTGGGACCAGCTCTACGCAGAACCACTACGACATACAGCATCTCTGCTAGACTCAACAGCAACAGCAACAGCAACAGCAACAGCAACAGCAACAGCAACAGCAACACTACTGTCACTGGGTATTCTAGAATGACAGTTGAGACTGCTCATGATACTTGCCACAACACAGACAGGATACACAGAACACCATCACCAAGTGACAGAATGGAGAGGCGGCGCCAAGGGACAAGCAAACCAGACGTGCCGTTGCAGTTCAAAGTGAGGCAATTCTCTGCGTCTCCAAGAAGCCACAGTGATACAGAACAGACTTCAATCACACCAACCACTAAAGCTACTCCGAAATCGAAAGGGTTGAATGTGTTTGCCGTGTCGCCGTTGGACACTGGGAGTATGCTGCGTAGTCAATCAAGTGAGAGCACGTCGTCGAATGCGAACTCGGTCAAGAGACGTTCCTCCATACTATCAAACAACACGCAATTGCCGTTGCTACTGGAGTCAGAGGATGAGACTTGTTCTAGCAGCCCCAGGCGAACATCGCTTACACCCCAGAGTGAGACAGCACTACCGCTGAAGGACCACCTCCTTCAATTGAGTATAGACGAACAGTTGAGGATACTAGCACTCAAGGAGATGGCGATTGTGCAAATAAAGGAGCAGATGCAGAACCTAAAGACGAAATTGCACACGGAGGAAGGGGAGTTGCACAAGCTACGAGAAGTTGTTCAGAGATCGCTATACCAAGAGATTAGTGGTGCTGCAAGCAACACTGCCGCCACGGTGAACAGACAGCGCACAAATTCCAACCCCAGAGATCAAGCAATTGAAAGTATCAGAGCCAAGAGGCGATCGTCTTCTGGAGCAGCACGGCAACTTGACGCTGGTCTGGCAGAAGAAGGTGGCAGACCGTCCAAACTATGGAGCGGAATCACCAAGCCGTTCAATATGTTGCAACAGTTTGATACGATGCTACAAAATGAATTTGAAAAGTCGTTGGTGTTGGACGAGGAGAAGAGGCGGCACGAGCAGCAGCGCAGAGGAGAGCAGCCATTGCAGTTGCAAAGTTCGAGGGAGAGTAATAGAGTCTCACAACATCTGCGTCGGTCGGAGGAGTCAACAAATGGTGCTGGTGGTGTGACGTCTCCTATGCAATCCGGAACAGCACAGTCTTTGTCAGATTATAGAAGCAGTGACGATAGACACTCAGATGACGTGATCCAAAAGGTGTCGGATTCCATATGGTCCTTTGTCAATGATGTGAAGCAAAACGTGTTGTCATCATTGAACGAAGAGGATATGGCGAATAAAGAGTTTGATGTTGATGATCAGACTATCGATTTTTCAATGTACAAACGGTAGAGCTGGGTAGAGAACTTAGTCAATACGCCAATTTCCTCATTTTATAAACTTTGTAAACCTTTAATTATATCCTTTTGGTTTTCATTTACATCTTTGCCAGAACCACCATTGACGGATCTCAAGTCTTTCAACATAATATCCTTCAATTTATCAAAATAAACCTCTTGTAAAACATTTCTAATGTTGTATTCGGCTTTTTCAATCAATGTTCCTATATTGATCAAGTGGCTAGTTTCTAAATTAACCCCACCGCCGATGTCTGCAGTTACAGTTGACTCCAATTGTCTCGTCAAATTTCCACTCAAACTCAATCCATTCTTAGATTTATGTTGCAAGTCTAAAATCACTGATGTGGTCAACTTGTAAGTGGATCTTGTTTTTGTCTCAGGTATAACCTCCAACACGTGGATGGAATCCCATTTTCCTGATTGGTCACTGGTTTCCTTTTTGAACAACACCACTCCGGCAAATCCATTCGACAAATCTTCCTCATCATCTTCTTCTTCTTCTGCAGTGTCCCAAAAGTAAACGCTTGATATACCGGCGCCTTCGTAATACAAGTCTCTGTATATATCGAACGCGTCATTGGCTTTGACTTCTAATTGTCGCAAGATTGGTGAAGGGTATGGTGGGGGTTGTTCCTCGTCATCTTCAGGTTGTGGATAATATTTGTTTGACCACGGGGATCTGTAGCTGTCACCATCCCTATTATAATCACAGCACAAGTACTCCTTACCAGACTCTTTACATTGAGCAATGGAAAGAGGCACGTCAACTGACGATAACAACTCTTCCACTAGCTCCGTGTCGGAATCTTTGGATGCAGTGATCAAGGAGCATATGCTGGTGAGATTCTTTTCAATTGAGTGAGGATCCAATCTTCTAAGAAGATCCAAGGATGCATCAAACTTCTCCTCTGACATAAGTGATTGCGAATGACCAAACGGAAACCTATTGTATGTGTGTGTGTGTGTGTGCGTGTGTGTGTGTGTGTGTGCGTGTGTGTGTGTGTGTGTGACGTTGTTGAAATCGCCAAGTTCGCACCTCTTTGAATTGTTGATGACAACAGGTAGCGCTGGCCAAAAGTCAGAGGATCAAACCCTCGCTTTGCTCAATGAAGCAGTTTTTACTCGTAAACTGTAATGAAACACTTTCAATCATGTATCTCAAATTATGCACTATAGATGATATGTAAATTAAATAGAACGTAAAACAAAAAGGACAAAAGAAAGAAAAAAACAAAAAAAAACAGTAGATGAAATTTCGAATTAAAAGACGTAAACTCAAGCGAATGTCTGTATCAACAAGATATTTTGTAACAATATTTGTGACCATGAATCTAACTCAAGCTGTATGTAATGCCTTTGGATGGAGCATACAAGATGATACCATTGAGGATACCAGCAATCAACCCGGCCATGGGCAAGGTAAAGATCCACCCAAGATAACACCAAGCAACCATTCTCCAGTTGACGGTTTTCCATTCCTTGTTACACAAACCAACGAAAACGGTAGCACCAACAGCTGATTGGGTAGTTGAGACTGGGATAGCCAATTGAGTGGCCATGACGGTAGTGACAGCAGCACCTAATTCGATAGAGAAGCCTCTAGCTGGTGACTGCAAAATCAACTTGTTACCCAAGTTAGCCATGATTCTGTAACCATATGTCCACAAACCAATAGTCAAAGCTGCTGCAGCGTAACACAAGACCCAAACTGGAACTTCAGCTTTTGATGCAGTGGTGTTGGTGGTCCATACCAAATAGACTGTAGCCAATGGCCCAGTAGCATTAGCAATATCGTTGGCACCGTGAGCAAAAGACATGGTACAAGCGGTGATAGCTTGCAATAATGAGTACATGAATTCAATCTTGTTGTCGTAGTATTTGGAAGCGGTGTGCATCTTGTGTAAATCACCAGCCAACATATCTTTAGAGCCAGCTTGGTTCGAAATGATGTCTTGTCTAACACCGTGGGTACAAACCAAAAAGAGACACAATGGCCAGTTTTTTGGAGATTCTTTGGCCAAAGCCCAGTATTTCTTGAATCCTCTTGGGAACTTGTATTTCTTTTCTTGCAGTTTTGCGGCAGCAGTAATTTGCTGGTCTTGAACATTGACTGATTGTGTCTTTTCGATATCTTCCTGACTAATTTCATCATGGGAATCGGATTTACCATCAACGGATTCAGATTCAGCTCTTCCATTTGAGTCAATCAAGTTTCCAGCTTCATCATATCTTCTACCTTTGTAGTAATCCTCTGTCAATTTGTGTCCCTCTGGCATTGGTGGGATGTTGTCGGTCGATTTGAACCAGTAAATAGGACCCCTGAAAATGTCATACCATTTCAATGTCCAATCTTCATGAACCAATTTTCTTCTGTAGAATGGGAATGCAAACAACATGTAAACGGCAAATGCAACACCACCGGTCCCAAAGATGGCACCAACAATAGTACTAGTTCCCAAATCGGACAAACCCAACTTTGGAGAACCCTTCCAAACAATCAACATTGTCAAGATGGAGAATGCGGTGAAAACCAAACAAGGCACCAACATCATGGCATTTCTCAATGAAGTTCTTGGGTTCTTGACTTCCAAAACACCAAACTTGGAGATTAAAAAGATGAGCGAGGCAAACGAACCAGCAATAGCAGGGGCAATGAACCACGAGGCAATGATTTGTGAAACACCATTCCAACCCCAGTGTATGTTTTGTCCCCCTTTTGCGGCAATTGCAGCACCAATGACAGCACCAACAATGGAGTGGGTAGTAGAAACAGGCATACCAATTGAGGTAGCCAAAGTCAACCAAGTAGAGGAACCAACCAAAGCAGTAGCCATAGTCAACATCAAAACAGCTGGCTCTTCACTAAAAACGGAAACATCAACAATCTTATTTCTAATGGTATCTGAAACTCTTGAACCAACCAAAACAGCACCAAGGAACTCCATCATTGCTGCTAAAATCATAGCTTGCCAGTACTTCAAGGATCTTGAGGAGACCGAAGTGGAGAAGGAATTGGCGACATCATTGGCACCAATGTTCCAAGCATCTAAAAATGCAAAAATCATCGCAATAGCGAAGATGTAATCAAACTGATGTAAAGCCATTGTAGTAGTGGTGGTAGTGGTAGCTTAATCTGATTATCAGTTCAAGTTATTGAAGATGCTTTTGAGGATGAAGTTCTTGGAGTATAAAAGGGTGAATCAAATTTTTCTTTTCAGAATAGAGGGATAAATTGGCCATATTTATATAAAAGATCTTTATTGAAGATGGAGAGGATTCGTCAGTGAGAATAGGCGTATTCGACTGCAAATTTCAGAATTGAAAATAAAAAAAAAATTGTTTTCTTTTAGAAAAAGGATTCAAGCTTTTTCCACTGTAGCACCGATAAATTTTATAGATGTTGTCCTCTTTGTGTTCTTTTTGAAAGTCTTTTTGTTTCATATGCGGTAATGATTATTTCTCAGATTTTGAGGTTTCCTTTGTTCCGTGATCTTTTTCCTATAAAGTTTGATGGTGTGGCATATGTGACATGGAAGATAATGAGTACGGTCTCACTACGCAGGGAGGAGGGAGGAGGGGGGTGGACGGCAATGCAACATGGGGATTTTCTGAATATCTCTCTCTTATTGTAAATATGAAACGGCTTTTGCATAATGCGACCGAAACTGCTCATTTCTTTGATTTCTCTCCTCCTCGTGGTGTGGGTTTTTTTTTTTTTTATTCGAGGCTGCGAAAAAAAAAAAAATAAAATAATAATAATAATAATAATAAAAATAAAAATAAAAATAAAATAAAGAATCACCCAAATGCCAAGATTGCAAAAAGCCATTCCAAGAAAAAAAAAAATAACTAGAGAATCAATATGTACAAGAAAAAAAATAAAATATCATCAACCATGAATTTACTTACAAATTGTGCCATTGAGCTACAGTTAAGAAAAAAAAAAAAACTGAAGGAGAGAGACTAAAAGGGAGAAAGAACATTCAATAAGGATATATGTGAAGTTTTCTTTACAAACAGCCGTCAAGCATTCATAATAAAGTTGGTCTCATAAATAATTGGGAAAAACGTGGGCCTTGATTCATCAATAAAACAAATTAATTATGTTACCTCAAAGTGCATTTCTTGTAAAGCCTGTTTTGACGGTTGGGAAAGGCAACAGGAGGAAAGCGGGTGATGCAAATAAAGATATACAATCTGTAGCATTGAAAAAAAAAAAAAATAAAAAAATAAAAAGATCTCTGTTCCCGTGTTTTATTCACATCCATGGGTTTAGACTTGATTTGCATAGTGAATGTAACCTCATCAAAATGATATTGTTGTTTCATATCGTAATTAATAGCTTTCTCCATCTTTGTTAATTTAAGTTGCCTCGAAACGAAAGACAATGGAAAAAAGGCAACAAAGAATTTAGAACATCCAGGGTGAATACAACTCTCTCACTCGCAAGACCTGATTTCTCAAAAGGGACTGGCTACACGATTTTGCCTAGACTTGTCAACAAACTGCTATTGTTATGTAAAAACGTGCTCAATATCACATTTACTTCAACTGACACCCAGCTTTTTCCGATTGCTTCCAACCTTTTTTGTGGCACGGCGATATTATAAACACTGCTGTTGTAATACAAGATCTCTAAGTGGAACCATCAATGCAAATAAAAATAAAAGCTCTTCTTCTTCCGTAAAACCTATCAACGTGGGTGGCCAATTTCAGCAATTAACCGAAATGAACGCACAAGTCAGGAGTGGACAAGGTTTGCTAAATGACTTGCATGGGTTTTTCTTTTATACGGCAATTTTGAAAACCACGAAGAAATTGATAAATTAGTAGCCCAAGAAATTTGTTGAAATTAAGAATCAAGCCTAAAAGTAAAGAAGTACCTGTCATCCCTTTCTTTAATCTTGCATTCACAACTTTCAAATCGAGGCGGTGCATTATATCCATGCCTCTCTTGTTACATTCATAGTATATGTGGACTCGCTAAAACAAAGTCGTAGTGACAATCGGTTATGATACTGATTATTGACCATAAATCAGGCATATATGTGGGGCTAAGCAACTTTAATTATTTTTAGTTGCGGAATCAGATGTGAGGTATTTGAAAACAAGACGACAAAAAAAAAAAAGAAAAACTCAAAATGTTCAAATTCAGAGCCCACGTGGGTGCAAATCGAGCTCTATTTATATTACTGCCTCAACTGAAGAGCTGCAAAGTGAAGTTGAAAATCACACAAGACCGTAAATTTCTTGTATGCAGTACCACCAAAGAATTGAAAACAAAAACATAATCTTTTATTCTTGGAAGGTTACGGGTTTGTGCTTTGTGTAACGTAGTCTCCGATTTAGCCAGTTTCTGTACATAGATTGCACGTTGCGCTTTGGTTTTAGTTATCTGCAACTTTTCTTACGCAAAGAAAAAGAAAAGGTCACCACAGCCACTTTAGGCACAACACATCAAAAGGAAGGGGCCAAATGTCAAAGAAGACCTCGTCTAAACCCACTTCTCAGTTGAAAGGTGTTGCAATGCAAATATTCACTTCTCTCGTGAATAGTCGGTTCGAAGCGGCAACATGCGAGAAAAAGATGCATTTCAAAAGGGTTCTACTTTTGACTTTTCCGGATTTTATTGCATGAAGTAACGCCTTGAAGCGTACTACAAGGAAGGGACTTTGTGCATTCCGGTCCAACTATAAGATTCTTGTCGAACCCGATGAGCAGTATAATGCGTGTCTGGACAATCTATACGACTAGAATTGACTCGCTTTTCCTGTATAAAGCTCTGCTCGCTGGAAGTGGAAGTGAAGGATGCTGCTGTAATTGCAACCACCGTTGTAGTTTCTCGCCATCGAGCCATTTGTGTTTGATTAATTATTCACTTATATCAGAACAAATTATCATTATACAAAAAAGACTTTTACGAGTCTGCAAAAGCAATGGATGCTGAAGAGGTTAATCCACTTGTATGGCTTCCTCTGACAGGTATTGCTCACGAAGGGGCACAGCAAAAACCAAAAGTATGGAAGCCTGGGCTAATACTTTGGTGACCAATGTATATATGATTGGCAACCATCACTTTACTCAACGGAGTGTGATAGGGAAACAGTGTACAAGACTAATAGGTGCTCGTCTTTACAGATACGGCTGAATCAATTTACTAAATAAAACTACAAAAGTTTATTTACCCATCTCATTGAAGAGATTGAAGCTGAAAGCCTTCAAGTGCGAGTTCAAAAGGGTACTGAAAAGGAGACCTGAATGCGTTTGCAAAAGGCGACAAATACAGTTTTGTAAATCAGAATACAACTACGTTACTCTTTTTTTTTTTTTTTTATTTTTTGCAGAACAATGCAAGTTTAGTGAGAGCGATATGAGTATTCTAATCTTGAAGACTTCCTTTTTCACGATATATTTATTCCAGTCCATGTGACATCGGTTTAGAAGAGAGGCGACTCATCAATCGTCAAAGATAATGGAGTAGGAAAAATAATGCACTTGACAATTTTGGCTTTTGGTACAAATTAATGCAAAATATCCAAATTTGCCCATGCGATCTTGACAATAGTCCCAGCAGCACTCCAAATGTGTTAGGTGGCGGCATTGATACATCTGGATTCAATGTAGTGCTTATGCAGTAGCAGTAGACCTGACGTAGCGAATTGTCAGCAAGTTCTTCTTTTCCTCTTGCTCATTGGCGCTTTATCTTTGATTATGTCATCATAAATACTGCAACATTTTCTTTTTTTCCTGCTCTCATTACTCGGATCTAGAAGCAATCAAAAAATGTAAAGCGAAAACAGAAAAACAGAAAAAGAAAAAGGGCTGACTCAACAGAATAAGAGCATCTCGAGCTCATCCGTTAAAAAACTGCTACATACAAGGGCCCACAAGATTAGCTGGCACTATTCTATCAACATCTTACGTATAACATCACTTATACAATCATGTATTCATCTCGAGCAGTGCCTGTACAATACACTCGACATCTCGCTACCGCGGCTAAGCGAAGACCCACCCCGGTTAGACAGATTTCTAAAGCAGAGACCAAGAAGTACTCTTTTTATGATTTGGTGTTGCGCACCCCTTCACATCCACGACACCCCATCGAGGCGCTGTTGATGAGAGACAGTGAACTCAGGGAATTGAAAAAACACACCAAAGTTAGATTCGAGGGTAACTATTCCCTCGACCCAAACATCAGTGCGGAGGAGCGTATAGCCAAGGTCTTTGGTGGTCGAATCAAAGGTGAAGATCGTCAAGCATCAAGTAGAATAGAGCGTGGTGAGCCAAAAGTAATTGCTGGAGTAACTGTACCATGTCGTCCACCTGAGCCAGACAACTGTTGCATGAGTGGATGTATAAATTGTGTTTGGGAGTTGTTTCAGGACGATTTGAATGAATGGAATGAAAAACGGGACAAGGCCGCCAGGAAACTCGTGGCCAATGGTGGGAGATGGCCTGAGAATTTCAATCCACCGTTGAAATTATTGAAACGGGAAAATTATCCTCCTAGCTTAGCGGATTTGCCTGATTCAAAATTGACTCCCGAAAGAGTCGAAGGCACAGTTCAGGATGAAACTTGGGGTGATGTACCGGTCTCCATCCGAGTGTTTACCCAAGCGGAAAAGAGGATCAAGGCCAGACACAAGCAAAGATTAGAGGAGTTGGCAAGAAAGAACCACCAAGACACCAATGGTGAATCCTCCAAAAAAGAGCAAAGCGCTTCCACTGAAGAGCATTCCAGAGAACAATCCTTACAAAGCAACACGCATCAAAAGCAATTACAACGTGCACAATAAGCTGCAAAGAATGAACAAAAGCACCCTATTTATTACCACATAGAGCTATCTAAATTTAGAATAGATTATGAAACATACATCTGTAGTGATTTATCAGATTTGCATGTCCAAGTTGACTCTATCACTCCCGCCCCTTCAATCGATATCAATTCCCTTTGACTTGTAAAAAGCTTTAGCTTCCTCAATCTGTATTTTCAACTCTTCATACTTGTCCTTCTTGTCTTTGAATGTAACGATTCCCCAGCCTAACGTAGATAATGCATAAGCACCAAATGTAACTAATCCCCACCATGGTAGGTATGGTAAAATTTCATCGTGGAATTTGGTTGGTGATGGAATTACACCAGTGTATAGAGCAAAATAGATCGCCGATAAAAAGAATAGCGTAAGTCCTGTCTCGGTTGCTTTGGTCATGTCTTTGACGAAGTTAATGGTGTAACGTGTTGGTTTATTATTTGTTGATTTTATTTTTCTTTTTTTTTTTTTTCTTTTCTTTTAATTGACGTGTGAAGATATTTAGTATTTACTATTATTGACATAGCTATTTCAGAGGAAAAGCTAGTTATGTATTTAAATCGTCTTGTCGTATAAAGCCAACCAAGTGTCGTAATGAATCAGCTGTTTCTTGGTTCATGTTGCCGAGACGGGTAAAAATATCGTCAACATCCATCGCGTCAGGATCTTTACCTGATTTATCCACTACGGCATCGTCTGCAACATTGATCTTTTCCACCTGCTCCTCAATTTGTTCCTCTTCGACTTCACTATTGTCGCCCACGCCTACGTCCACGTCCACGCCCATGGTCTCCTCCTCGACGTCTTGATCTTCCTCATCAGAATCATAATTGTCAATCTTTGCATCTCCTTCGTCGACTTTGGGATCATCAGCAAAAGTTTCTTCTCTGACAAAGTCTGCATTTGACATTTTGTAGATCTTGCTTTGATCAATTGGCTCCTCCTTTACTAGTTGTTGCAATTTGTACCTCATTATTCGTCTAATCAAGCTCATCGTGGTTTTGTTGATCCATCCATCCAGTACATCCAAACTTTCACGAACAAAGTCCTTACCCATGCTGGTCATATGGTTTTCGATTATCGATGTTATGTCTAAATCCAAAATATCTCCAATTTGGTATGTCACAGCTGACGGTAGATTAATACCATCAAACAACAAATTCTGAGATATTTCAATGGAGAATGGGGCATTTTCTAATGTTTTGGGTATAACTTTCCTCGATGATTGTTGTGATGAGTTGCGCACCCCGACCACTCGGAAATACTCATTTTGATACCTCCAAAACTTGGGATCAGTACGCGGATCGACACCAATTTTGATATTGCAAAATCTCCATGGGCCTGATCGATAAATGTAGGTGACATACGGCAATGCAAATTTCAAACTTCTTGATAGCTCTTCAGGAATGATGTCATACAAGTGACGCCTAATCCAAATTGGTTTTATGGTAAACATTTCTTTACACCATTCAATGCATTTGATTAGCAAGTAGTCGGCGCTGTTGACAGGTAGTTTTTCAGTCAATAGCTTATCTAGATTTGCTCTCAACTTTGCTGGAGGTTCGGTTGGTGGTTCAGCAGAGATATCGATGAGGATGGTATGTAGTTTGAAAGGAGTCTTTTTGGATACGACCTTGACCTCGCCACTTTTCTCATCTTTGACGGTTGAGGTAATGGGATTCTTTTGATAACGGTAATCAAAGGGGTACTTGATTGTAGAAAATACTGGAGGTGGTGGCAAATTGTGGTCCTTATTTTCAAAGTACTCATTGCTCATATCCATGTAATTATGAAAGTTGTTGTGCCTCTCGACATAGTGCTTTAATGTTTCATAGTTTGTGGCACCAATGACGTTCTTTGTGATATCCTGTACAACGGGGTTATTTTTGGTAATCACTTGAAAATCGCTCATTCCTCTGAACCTGAAAGTTTTGTCAACAATGGCAATTGGTTGAACTTTCGTGTTTGCAGTCAGCTTATCTTCATCATTCTTTCTAATCAATTCTCGTACCAGTGCTGCTTGATTCTGTTTAACCACCTTTTTCGGTATCATCACCTTAACCAAAATGCGCTCATTTGTAGACGAAGTTGCTTGCACGGGATGATGGAACGGGTCTTTTCGGAATCTTAGCTCAAGAGGAACGTCGGAGTTTTTAATAGCGTCGGATATTTTGCCTTTTCCTCCAAGGGCACTGATGACCTTTGTTTCACTCTGAACATTCAACGGTAGCTCGATCGCTGACACATGAGGTATATCCATAGAATGGAACTCGGCAAGTGGATTTTCGTCCATGTTTGAAAAGTGGCTGTCGAATTTAGTAGGAGCTCGTGTTTATGTTTTGTTTGAAGTCAATTTTCCTATTTTTTTTTATTTTTTTGCTTTTGCTGCAAAGAATTGAGGATGCCAATTGGGAACACACAACCTTTGCAAGGGGAGTCAGCACCGTGCATACACAAGCTACTGCAGTACCAAAAGCCTCCCTCTCCCCTGACCACGCTGAGTTGTCGCTAGATGTCAGCAGCGATTTGAAAGTAATGGTGATGCTGCTAATGAAATAACACCTCGGTATCGTTTCGAAGTTGTCAAGATTATCCAACCACCTTGATGACATGAGAGCTGTACACGAGACCATGCGGAAACACTTTCGCGCTTTTGCTGTCATCGCGTTGTTGTCTAGGGAATTGGACAAGAACTGGGGGGTGGGAATGTGAGGGAGCTTAATGTCGTGATATCCAAATTCATGTCATATCCACAATTGCGACATTGAAAACTGTGGTGCCTTCGGATTCTATCGGATACAAAAAAGCAGCAGCACTCGGATTACTCGATCGGTTATAAAACAAAGATGTGATATCAATATAGCTTCGGGTTAAGAAAGTATATTGGCATGGTTCAGCAGCAAACTGTTAGTAGGCGCAACTGTGGCCCATCCATGGCTTCCCGTATTCCGGTCCAATTTTCACAGCTACACCCGTGTTACTATGAAGATGATCATGGATATGTTCAAATCGAGATCTTATTGGTCAATTGGGTCTATGAACACAAAGCCAAAAAATAAAATAGAAATCCTTCTCTCTCACAAACATGTGACACAGTGAATCTGGAGGTAATACATCCATACCGCAGTATTGTGACACACCATTTGTTTTCCAGAATAAAAAAATTTTGACAATTTTCAACTCCAATACTCAAAACTGTCCATTATTTCTTCCTCTTTCTTCCTCTTTCTAAATCCAATTGAGAGCTCTTCTATTTATATACTCATCATCAATTATGTTTTCAAAAGCTGCTACTAGATCATTTTCTTCTTCTGCTTCCACTGCTTACAAGGTTGCCGTTTTGGGTGCCGGTGGTGGTATTGGTCAACCATTGTCCTTGTTGTTGAAGTTGAACCACAAAGTCACCGATTTGGCATTGTATGATATCAAAGGTGCTCCAGGTGTTGCTGCTGATGTCTCTCACGTTCCAACCAACTCCACCGTCAAAGGTTACAACCCGGATCAAATCAAGGAAGCTTTGACCGGTTCTGATGTCATTGTCATCCCAGCTGGTGTTCCAAGAAAGCCAGGTATGACCAGAGACGACTTGTTCAATACCAATGCTTCAATTGTTAGAGACTTGGCTAAGGCTGCTGCCGAGCACGCTCCAAACGCCGCATTGGCCATCATTGCTAACCCAGTCAACTCAACAGTTCCAATTGTTGCTGAGGTTTACAAAAAGAAGGGTATTTACAACCCAAAGAAATTGTTTGGTGTCACCACCTTGGATATCTTGAGAGCTGCTAGATTCGTTTCTGAAGTTGCTGGTACCAACCCAGTCAACGAACACGTTCCAGTTGTTGGTGGTCACTCTGGTATTACCATTGTCCCATTGTTGTCACAAACCACCCACAAGGACTTGCCAACTGATACCAGAGATGCTTTGGTCCACAGAATCCAATTCGGTGGTGACGAAGTTGTCAAGGCCAAGGACGGAGCTGGTTCAGCTACCTTGTCAATGGCTCAAGCTGGTGCTAGATTCACTGGTTCAGTCTTGAACGGTTTGGACGGTGAAAAGGACGTCATTGAATGTACTTTTGTTGACTCACCATTGTTCAAAGATGAAGGTGTTGACTTCTTCTCATCGAAGGTTACCTTGGGTGTCGATGGTGTTAAGCAAGTTCACGGATTGGGTAACATCTCAAGCTACGAAGAAGACTTGGTTAAGACTGCCAAGGAAACTTTGATCAAGAACATTAAGAAGGGTACCGACTTTGTTGACCAAAACCCATAAATGATATAGAAGTATAGGTGTCATTGTTCTGTTTATAAAATATCACGCTATATCAAGTGCTTAGAAAAGAAAAAAACAAACCCTTTGTAGTTGAAAATTCACGTATAATTTGTTAAACAACACAATGCATGGTATTTCTGATCTATGCAACATCTATGTATGAAGCTTCCCTTATCTACTGGTAATCAATTCTCTATACAGTTCGATTATATCTTCGTTTATTCCCGCGCCTCCACACACGATAATTATCACAATATCATCAGGTTTCAAGTCGCCAAATTTTTTCAACAAATCTCGCTTCCGGAAAACTGTAGCCACACTTGCCCCACATGCGGGCTCCACCATGTAATCAAACTTGTCGAAAAGATCTATTGCTCCTTGGACTGCGTCCAAATCATCAATAAGTCCCAAATGTGTCGGATGCGATTTGTAATTTTCAAATGATCGACACGAGAGATATGGTGATCCCAACGAAGATGCAATCGTATTGACGGTTTCCAAATGAACCACCTTGTTTGCCTTGACAGCTTCATGGAATGTTGGTGCTTGCGCTGTTTCCATTGCGAGCACTGGAACCGAATAAGGCCTCACGGCTTCAACCACGCCATTGTAGAGCCCACCACCACCTACCGAACATACTATACCCTTCACTTTCTCAAAGTTTGGTAACTGCTGCTCCTTTACAATTTCGTTGATAATTTCAGCGTGGCCTTCCCAAATCACACGATCGTCAAATGGATGACAATAGACTGGATATTCATCATCTCTGACTGATTTGATAACAACCTCTCGCAAGTGAGCATCGGCCTCGCCCCAATGAGCCCCATGGAGAACAGTTCTTGCCCCTAATGCACTCAATTTATCAACAACTCCGGGCTTCGTAGCCTTTGGTAGCACAACTGTGCATTCGGCTTCGTAGAAACGGGCAGCGTAAGCAGCCGCTAACCCTGCATTACCGCCAGACGATGAAAAAACAACGATTTTCTGCTTGCCTAGTTCCCTCGCCTCTTGGACTTTTGTTGCCACTAGGTATCCAATACCTCGCAACTTGAAACTCCCCGATGGTTGCTCTAGTTCATTTTTGAAAAAAATACGACACGGTGGATTATCTAATTTGCTCGTGACCTCGACGAATGATGTTTTTATGGAGGGTAACTTCATTAGTATGTTGTTGAATGAAGCTGAGTGATAACAATTGAAACGCGCGACCTTCAAAAAAAACAAAAAAAAAAAACATCGGACCGTTCCGATTCAGATCCTTCAACGCTACCACAAAAATTGCCCCGTAATTAAGTTCCAAAAGTTCTCCTCCTTAAACCCCACGTCTTCTTTATCATGCATAACGGGACCATTTACCGTTTGTACATTGAAAAATCGATAGTCTGGTCATCAACATCAAACTCTTTATTCGCCATATCCTCTTCGTTCAATGATGACAACACGTTTTGCTTCACATCATTGACAAAGGACCATATGGAATCCGACACCTTTTGGATCACGTCATCTGAGTGTCTATCGTCACTGCTTCTATAATCTGACAAAGACTGTGCTGTTCCGGATTGCATAGGAGACGTCACACCACCAGCACCATTTGTTGACTCCTCCGACCGACGCAGATGTTGTGAGACTCTATTACTCTCCCTCGAACTTTGCAACTGCAATGGCTGCTCTCCTCTGCGCTGCTGCTCGTGCCGCCTCTTCTCCTCGTCCAACACCAACGACTTTTCAAATTCATTTTGTAGCATCGTATCAAACTGTTGCAACATATTGAACGGCTTGGTGATTCCGCTCCATAGTTTGGACGGTCTGCCACCTTCTTCTGCCAGACCAGCGTCAAGTTGCCGTGCTGCTCCAGAAGACGATCGCCTCTTGGCTCTGATACTTTCAATTGCTTGATCTCTGGGGTTGGAATTTGTGCGCTGTCTGTTCACCGTGGCGGCAGTGTTGCTTGCAGCACCACTAATCTCTTGGTATAGCGATCTCTGAACAACTTCTCGTAGCTTGTGCAACTCCCCTTCCTCCGTGTGCAATTTCGTCTTTAGGTTCTGCATCTGCTCCTTTATTTGCACAATCGCCATCTCCTTGAGTGCTAGTATCCTCAACTGTTCGTCTATACTCAATTGAAGGAGGTGGTCCTTCAGCGGTAGTGCTGTCTCACTCTGGGGTGTAAGCGATGTTCGCCTGGGGCTGCTAGAACAAGTCTCATCCTCTGACTCCAGTAGCAACGGCAATTGCGTGTTGTTTGATAGTATGGAGGAACGTCTCTTGACCGAGTTCGCATTCGACGACGTGCTCTCACTTGATTGACTACGCAGCATACTCCCAGTGTCCAACGGCGACACGGCAAACACATTCAACCCTTTCGATTTCGGAGTAGCTTTAGTGGTTGGTGTGATTGAAGTCTGTTCTGTATCACTGTGGCTTCTTGGAGACGCAGAGAATTGCCTCACTTTGAACTGCAACGGCACGTCTGGTTTGCTTGTCCCTTGGCGCCGCCTCTCCATTCTGTCACTTGGTGATGGTGTTCTGTGTATCCTGTCTGTGTTGTGGCAAGTATCATGAGCAGTCTCAACTGTCATTCTAGAATACCCAGTGACAGTAGTGTTGCTGTTGCTGTTGCTGTTGCTGTTGCTGTTGCTGTTGCTGTTGCTGTTGAGTCTAGCAGAGATGCTGTATGTCGTAGTGGTTCTGCGTAGAGCTGGTCCCAGACTTGTTTACCTGGCTTTCCTAAAAGAGATTATTATTTTCTGACAGGAGACAATTTTGCTAAGTTTGTATGCTGCTCTTTCGTGGCGCGCGGTAGAACAAATGAGTAGGTGGAGCGTCTCGGCGGCGTTCACACTTAAATGGAGTCGCACCGGTTCCACAGAACACAAGTGGGGCGCTTCTGCTACGCGCTAAAAGCATCTGATAAACAAGAAATGAGTAAAAAAGAGCACAACAGAGGGTCGAAGTACACACCACTTCAACGTTTCGCTTGCAACCCTAGCTATACATGATTGTGCCCAGTCAATCCACTAGGAGGCTCAATGAGCTAATGTCCAGTAGTATATACAACTACTTGGAGCAAACTGAGACAAGACAACAACAACAGAACGAGCCTGTGGAACAGAAAGAAGCCACGCCACACCTTGTCCAGCTGTTATGCCGCAGAATACTCACTCACCCATCACTACGTAGCTGGGCGAAATGGATGATCGTACTTCACATTGTGCGTCTACAAAACCCCATTCAGTGGTCCAATTTCCTATCATTGAACCAACCGATCCGCCAGCTCCTCGAGTACTACAAAACAAGCTTGTCCAAGGTGCTACGACTGAATGGCGGGGTAGTAGCCACCACCACCGTCAGTAAACTCGCCAACTTGATCACCTGCGCGTTCCTCTACTTTGCCACAGTCGACACGGACTCGTTCCCCAAGGACTACGCCCTAGTGTCGTTGCTCAGTGCATACCACGGCGAGTTGAACCCTCCTTCCAAGTCGCAGATCCTCGTATCAGACAGCCTATCGAGGCCATTCAAGTTGTCGACTTACAAGTCCACCAGCATATACTCACCCTTGATGAAGCTCTACCAAAACAAGGAGCTTTTGATTTTCCCCATATTGTATGCGCAAATATTAAGCAACTACCTCACACCAACAAGGTACAAACTCAACATGATGTACTTGTCCCCCTTTTTGAAACGGCACATTCTCAATCCCATCTGGATCAATTTCCTGCTCGGTCGCAACTACAGCCGAATCAATTGGCAGAACTTGGCTGTGAATTATTTGCTCCATAATGCAGTAATTGCAGTGCTAGTCGCGGTGTACTCGTTCAAAGATCGCGTGTTGGATCGATTCTATGCCATCAAATACGGCGGCGGCAAAGCGGATAGCGAGTCGTCAATATTCCAGAACTTTGCTGCGTATGTCATGCACAAGTCAAGTGCAATCACAAACTTGATCTATGTGCCCAACCTTGTTTCCATATTGCTAATTGTTGTGTCGTCGCCCGTGTTTTCGCTACTCGGTTCCAAGAGGTATCCAGACTTGCATCGATTCTACGTGCGTAACCAGAAGCAAGTGTTCAAGACATACACAAAGGCGATTGGGTTTGTTGCAGGGTTGGTCGCCATAAAAATGAACTATACGCAATGGCTTGCAGACTGGGGATACGACAAGCGAGTGGAAGCCGAACTCAACTCCAGTGGATACAATGCAATCTATGAAGAAGACGTTGACGAGATTCCTCCCGCCAGGCTACTTTCAAAGCAATTCTACAATGACCTCAACATGTACTTGTTTAAGCTTGTGGTGTTGTCCAAATGGCGTATTCTCAAGACATACCACCCACTCTTTTCCAAACTTCATTTACCCTTGTGGAACCAGTTGGAAACCATATTGATGTGTTTTGGGTTTTTCAAAATGATGAACTTGAACGATTTCATCAAGGAGCACAAGACAATGGAATCAGAACGAATATCTAAGGACCTTATGATAAAAATGGCTCAGTTTGTATCATAGTTGAAGGAACAATCGGACAACATTTCCGTTGTAATTGAAGAAGTGTATCCAAAGCTCTTTTCGTTGAGGATAGTTTAATAAGAGCTCTACACGTTGTTTATGAAAAGTTACCTATGACTAACACTAGATGAAAACTATTTGCTTCATCGTGCTGGCATTGTGGAGCTGAATACTTTGAACAAATGCCTACCTGGTAGCTTTTTTTTTCTTTTTGACGTCTCTGTGTTATCCGATAATGTCGGTCGCTACAATACCACAAAACCACCTCACTTGAAAATATTTCATAACCAACTTGCATATTACTAATGCAGACAATATGAATTAGTCCCGCCTCGAGAGCATATATGTTGGTAGATTACGTCATTGTACAATTTTGCGGGAATGTAATTGACGTGCATAGGCTACTACATCATTTCCTTCGGCAGTTGCAGCTAAACTAAGAGTTTTATCCACCTTTGGCAACCAGCCAACTCTGATTCCTCTGACTAGAATTACTTTAATTGGGCCAGCTGCGCCGATAGTAAAAAAAAAAAAAAGAAAAATGTACTTTGCTGGTGTGTACGACAACTTCGGGTTAGTTGAGAAACAATACAGAAGAGGGGTATCAGTAGTGACTATTCTGCTCTAAGATATGAATGACCCATGGAGATCATAACTGGCTATATTGTATGCCATAAGAATCAAGCCTTGTGCATAGACAACATTAACATTAATCAATTTTGTGTCAATTATCTCTCCCGATCAGGATGTTAATCCTGCCGGCGTAACTGTTGACATATATCACCTTTGTTGTTTCTAAATTTAGCATGAGTATTCCAAACTCAAAAAAAGTGGTTCTGATTATCTTTAATGTGCTTAGCTTTTATTGATTACATCAAAGAGACAGGAAATGTTCTGGAACAATTCATTCGCCACGATTCGCGCTACCAAAATGTAACGCTCCAAATTGAACAAGCATGTTGGCTATGTGCTCATCTCTCTTATTCATTGTGAAGTCTGCTAAGTACTCTACAGTAAAAAAAATAATAATACTTCATTTCGACTACATCATAGAAATCGATTTTGATTCGTTCATTTTTTAAATAGAGTTTTGTTGAGTCCAAACCGAATGATGGATTATTTATGTGCACAGGTATTATGCACACGACGACATACCCGATTCCACCTGTTGCATAAGCGACACAAAACTAGAACAAACAAACTAACGAAGAAAAAAAAAACAAAAAACAAAAAAAAAATAGAAATTTTTGTTCTTTAAGTTTACAAAACCTCTAATGCAGGCTCTTGTCTTAACTAAGTCTCATGTTGAAATGTAGGAATCGGCAAAGATATAGTCGCTCTATCCGAATTTCAAAGTACACACAGTAGCGTAGTGCTCTTTCTTTATTTTTCCATGACAAAACAAACGAAAATTTTCAAAGTTGGCAGCAACTGGCTTGTGCTTGGGGACACCTTTCGGCAACGATAGACGTCCATATCTTACTTTGCCCTGATCTTTGAGCTATTAATTCAAGTTTCTTGTGTATGGTGTACATGTATACATATGCTTAACGATGAACCCGGCAAACCAAGAACCATCTCACTATAGTACTTGAGAAGTTTTTGTCCGCCCCGAAAGAGGAAATCGGGGAAAGAAACATTACGGGAGCTCCAAAATAAGGTGAAAACTAAAGTTAAATTAAGTGAGTGCGCTTGAGATTGCTATACGGAGCGGTGGGTTGAAATCTTGTGACGGGCTGCCCCGCTTTGGTTTGCCCCTCATTTTTTTGCTTTACGATGGAGTTAGAGTTAGCACCAGCAAAAGAAGAACGAAGTAAGAGAATTTTGAAACAAAGTACACTACCCCATTTGTCTTTTTTTTTTTATTTTTATTTTTTTTTTTATTTTTCTGTTGTGGAGAGTGTGACGCGTCTTAAAATTTATTTTTGTCTCTTTTTTATTTTTTTTTCTTCTCTCTCTCTCTCTCTGTTTTGGCGTTTCTCGGCTATAAAAGTGGGACAAATCTCGTACTGAGAGGAAGTCGCTGAGGGCGCCATTTGAAAAAGAGAAAACTCATTTGTATAGGTTTGGAATGTGCAAGCTGTTATAGTGGACGGTGTTTGAATATGTAGCGTAGGTTTCATAGGAGCCGTTATTGTTCACACACCTCTCTATTTTTTTGTCGTTGGGCGCGTTGTGTTGCGTTGTGTTGCGTTGTGTTGTGTTGTGTTGTGTTGTGTTGTATGTGGGATGTTTGTAGGAAAAAATTTCTGTCTTGTTCCAATCATTCTTTGTGCACGCAAAAGCAATTAGTTAAGCACATATACTACTCTAGTGACACTAGGGTCAAACAAAGGAAAAGAGAACGGAGAAATGGATGCATTAAAACCACATCTAAGCGATAAACAACTGCGTGATTAGTCTAGTTGAGCAAAATTTAACATGCGCTGGTTGGAAACATCTGTTATATTGCGGAGGAAGGGATGGAGATTACTGTCAATTTGTTAGTTTTCATCTTTTATATATCCCTCAATAAGGTTTATATCAATTATAGTGAAGTTACATAATTGTCATAAAGTTTTACTAAGAAAAGTATATAGTGAATGGGATTATCAGGCGTCTAACTAAAGTACAAAATAAAATAAAATAAAAATAAAATAAGAAATTTAAAGTGCTAAGCCCGCGACAACGACAAATCATGAGAGAAACGCCAGATGCTCCATTCAATATTTTAAGCATACAATTGTTTTTACAAACGTGCTTCTGTTGAAAAGAAATTGTGTGACCGCAGCATCTACTCAAGGCTTTTATGATAAACTGCATCATGTAAATAGCTACTTTTGTTGGCTACGTTGTCTCCCTCTTCTCTCCCATTTCCATTGCCATTCCATTAACTAAAGATTTTTTTTTTTTTTTTTTTCGTTTTTTAATATTTTTTTTTTTTTTCCTTTCTTTCTTCGTCTTCTTAAAGTTTTGTTTAAATTCATCCAGCTGGTCAACAAAATACTAACAGTACAATCTACTACTTTCTCATCACCCATTACATTCGCTTTATTATCAACCACACACGTCCACCCTGTCGATTACCCTTCCACTTCATCTATAACCCCATTCTCAACTATTCTTTTTCAACCCATCTCAACTACAACAATTCGTTTAAAATTTCATGAACTTGAGCTATACGCTACGATTGCATAACCACAGCCCAGTATAAATTATTTTTTTTACCTTAACAAACGCTTCATTTAGATAGCACAACCACACAGTACAACTCATATACACTGACCAACACAGAGCATCAGAAGACTCAACAATCACCAGATACCTCTCATCCTACGCTGTACCTTTTCTTTTTTTTTTGGTACTGTCGTCCATTCCACTACGAAAATCCATAATAAAAAGGTTAAAAAAAAAGATAGCACTAGAACTTTTACAGATATACAGAGTATCCATATAATGGAAAATTACTTGCTAAGTTCTCCGACCCAATTGGCCCAACCGTTTGACGATTCGACCATTACATTTGATTTGTATGATCAAACATCGCAACAATTCCCTCAAAATCACGTGTTATCTTTAAGTCTGAAGCAGACCCAACAACAGCTGCAGCAACAACTGCAACAACCGCAGCAACAACTCGAACTACAGCAGCCGCATCAAATTGTTGGATCCCAGCACCGGGGCCACCAAGAATACCTGCATAAAGATACTCACTTCAGAGAACAACAACAACCAGAACATCTATCACTGGCCTTGAACTTTCACTCCAAAACAGAGTATATTGATGATGGCTCGATGTTCGATGACGAAGTTGTACCAGTCTCCACAAACCTACCGGAAAACAAATTCTACATCACTGATGATTCTGGCTTGGGTATAAATATTGTAGATGCTGACAGCGTCAGTTTTGGTCATTCAAGAGACGTATCATTGGACGAGGCAGCTTGTGTTCGCGGTCAAAATTTTCTGCACAATCATAACAACTCGGTGATGTCGTTGAATCAGGACCCTCCAAGTCAAAATTCAGCTATACCTGAATCCATTTCCTCAAACACTATTTATTCGTTGGGATCCATACCTTCGTTTGAATCTCCTTTGCATCAACAACAATTGCAACAGCACAAGGGTGGCTATCAACAAGTAACAAGTCAGCAGACATATTATCAACAACAGCCGATGTATCCACAACTGCAATACCAACAACAACCACAGCAACAGCATCATCTTGTGCAACAGCTTCCAAATCAACTGCATTTTGCCTCAACTCCTAGAAGACCCGGTAGAAATAAGTCGATGTCGGTGTCTTCATATACCACTCCATTGAGAAACTGTTCACAGTCGTTTTCACCCGTTAATTTGGCAGCAACTGCGTTCAACAAGGTGACCAAGACCCCGGCCAATAAAATCAAGGGCCATTCGCGATCGCGATCAAGAGTGTCTTTGGATGCCACTGCGGCCGTACTTGCATCGAAAACAAACTCAGCTTCGTCGTATAATTCTGCATTGAATCCATTTTATACACCCTCTCAGGGGATGAATTCGTTGGATGACGAGGAAAACTATGGAGCAAACAACTTGACCGCTACGCCATTACTTACACCAGGCTCACAAAAATTGAAATCATCACAATCAACATTTTTCAGTCCGTTTAAAAGTGAAGATTATGATGACCAATGTTTGGAAGACCAAGAGAATGACGCTTTGAAGCAATTGAAAAAGGCAAAGTCTTATTCAAGTTTGATAAAGAAGAATAGAAAGGATCATGAGATGTTGCACCAAATGAGTAAACGCCCACAAGTGAAAAGCAGCTCAAGCTCAACATTGTTGTTGCCCAATGCCATGGTACCTTTACCAAATTCAAACCGCGAACAGCATTCGCAACAAGAAACCCAACCACAGCAACCACAGCAGCTACAGCAACAGCAAGAGTATTTGCATGATCAAGATGATAACGAGGATGTGCAGGCCCACTCGATTGATTTGTTACTGGCTGAGTTTGACAACAATGGCGGTACTTATCCCCAGTTTGATAAAAAGATCACACAGAATTTGAACCAGTCTGTTTCTTCATTTAACCAGCATAGGAAAGTACCTTCTAGTGGTGGATTCCCATCTGCATCGATCGATTTGAGCGCAAACTTGGCTGAAGAGCCTCCTACTCAACTGGACAACAAGCATGAGCTCAATACTGACACGTCATCATCAGCTACTCCAACATTACTACCACCAATGGCTACTTTCCCTGTTGAAAGCTCCAAGACTAAAAAAGCAGAAGCTGTCACACCCAAACAACCCACTAGAAGGTCTACCAGAGCTAAAGCCAAAACTCAAACTAAACAAGACGATACATCCAAGGGTTCCAACAGCTCCTTTGAGAGCATTATCGAAGAGGATGGAACTGTTACCATTGCCATTCCAGAAGATCTTAACATTACTCGACCTAAAGTGCGTAATAATCGCTCAGAAAAGAATGATAAAGTTGACCCTAGGAAAAAGCACAAGTGTCCAATCTGCAACCTGCGATTCCAACGTCCAGAGCACGTCAAACGACATCTCAAGTCGCACTCTTCGGAGAAGCCGTTTCAGTGTGAAGAGCCAAACTGTGGTAAATGCTTCAATAGGAAGGATAATTTGAAGGCACATTTGAAGAAAATACATGGTCTCACCAATGTGTGAAGGCGGAGTTAGGGGAAAAGATGGGGAGAGAGAGAGAGAGAGAGAGAGAGAGACGGTACATAGAGCATAAGGCACGGTAAATATGGCTTGCGTGCGGAGACTCGGACCCGAATACTAAATACTAGGTGATATTTTGGTCCTTTTTTTTGAATTTCAATTTTGCATATTTATATTGTTTGATTCTTAATCTTGAAACTTTATTGGAGGGAGTTTTGTTAATAACTATTTACTTGGTTTTAAATTATGGTTAACTTCAAAAAAGAAAGAAAAATATAAGAACATTTGGTACAGAATCGTTTTCTGGTTAATGTGTATTATCTCTAACCACGCTGTCGATTGCATGGCAGAAATAGTCGATATTTTCATCATTCAACCCAGCGACGTTGACCCTTCCCATTGTAGTTGAATATACATTGTGTTTCGCGATCAATTGCTCATTTTGCTCCTTGGTTAAACCTGAGTACCAGAATAAACCCTTTTGCTCAACAACATTTTGCCAATCTCCTGGGGTTTTCAATTTAGTCAACCTTTCCAATATTTGGTGGCGCAACAGTTTTAATCTTGTTGTTGAGTCCTTCAACTCATTCAACCACTGGTTCCTCAACTTGTCGTTGGTGAGTATAATTGCAACTAACCTAGCTCCAAAGGCCGGAGCAAAGGAACATTCATGACGGAATAGGACAACCAAGTTGCTCTGGACATTGGACACATATTCGATATCTTGCACAACTGCATGAACTGCGCCGCATCGCTCAGAATACAAACCAAAATTTTTGGAAAATGATTGACAAACAAGGAATTCCAAACCCAACTTGTACAAGTATCGAATAGGCCAAGCATCTTGGTAAGGATCCCCCGAGCTGAAACCTTGATACGCAGTATCCAACAATGGAATTAGTTGACGCTTTTGCAAAATGGGGCCAATTTGCCTCCATTGCTCATGCGTAAAATCAGCTCCAGTTGGATTATGACAACAAGTTTGGAAAAGGAAGACCGATTTGGGCGGTGCTGAATTCAAGGCAGCCAAGACACTCTCAAAATCAACCGACCTGGATTCTTCATTGTAGTGCCGGTATGTGGTTACATTCCCACCAATGTGCTCAATCATGGGTTTGTAATTTTGCCATGCTGGTGTCCCTACGTAGTAATTGGTATATCCTGCTTCACGATACAACAACATGGCCATATGTAAAGACCCGGTCCCCGAGATTGTTTGAATCGAAGCCACTTTTCCCTGGCTAGCTATTTCTTCACCAAAAACGAGTTTTTGTGCACCAGCAACAAATTCTGGGATGCCCGCCATACTGGTGTAATTGTGTCCTGGATCATTGTCATGTAAAATCTGCTTGGCTTTGGTAATACTTGGGAACTCATAACATGCACCCGATTTGTCTTTGTAAACTCCTATTGAAACGTCAATTTTGTTGGGGTTAGTGTCATTTGCGTACTGTTGCATAGTTTTGATGATTGGATCAGGCTCCTCACGAACCAAGTTGGAGAATACTGTCTGCACTGTCATACTTGTGTCTAAAGCGGCACTTTTGATTTGAGTTCGTGGTTTTTGGGAAAACAAGACATTTATTTTCAAATATTATACATAGAAGGGATCTGGGTTCTTTATATAGCTGCATCACTTGAAATTCAGCCCTTGGCTTTTTCAATGAAAATTATTTGGCACCTCGGAGAAGCCCAATGTGGTACTGAGTGCGGCTCAACACAGTATTACACAAAACAATCCTCACTAAAAAATAAAAATTTTTTTGTTCAGTTTATTTTCATACCCTTCGAATGCCGCGAAAAACACAAAAAAGAACAACATCTCTAATTCTGCCCGAGTTGCTTCGCTTGCGAGTTCCATTTCCGTAGATTGATCATAAACGGTGGAAGCCACAGATAGAAGCTTTTTTCCACAACTTATGCCATACTTTTGCTGGACTTTTCCGTCCCACGGAGCAAGGTTCTCAAGCTGGTTTTGCATGCTACGCAGTAATAATTTGATGGCACACTTGATGAAGTGGAACTAAGGCAGTTACGGAGCCCCCAGTAGAAATCAGATCAAGCACCTTGGTGGTTGTGGCAGCCACATATTTTAAATTATTCCTGAGAGCTTTCACTTGCCAAGAGTTTGCATCCTGCGTGGATGAGACTTCTGCAGCATGCATTTGTTTCAAAAGCTCCGTAAGAGGTTGAAGATAGAACTGGGTGATTTCTTGGGGATCAAGTTTAATCTTGTCTGATGTCAAATTTTGATTTACAATCGAGATCGTTTTGATCTGTTCCAATATATCCAGATGATCCAACTGGGTCACCACTGACTTCATCAATTGTAGTAGCTCTTTGCGTCCAGCATCAGTGTCAAAGTTGAGCTTTTGCAAAAGGGCATATTTTACACATTTGAAGTCAGGTACAGTGCTGTCAAGTGAACTTATTTGCTTACCAAGCCCTAGCATGATGTCTTTTGTAGTTAAAATGAGCAACTTTCTCAAAAATTTAAAGTATAGTGCACTAATTTCACGGTAGTACTGCGAGTTGTCAAGTACAATCAGGTTAAGAGCAATTAGCTCGCTTTGGTAATGTGTGATTATCTTATCAGCAAGCCTCACATCCATCAAATTGGTCCACATATGGATGGCTTGAATTTGTATCACATCTGTGATTTTGAACTCTTTGAAAAAGGCATTGACCAAATTGTCTTTTAGGCCAAACCTTGCATCCACCAAATCGTATGTCAGTTCTCTAGTAGCATCGCTTTCTATACAGTTCCCAATTGCAATGCAACACACTGCAAACACGTATGGATTGTGTGATTTTAATTGATCAAATGGAATATCATTGCGTTTGTTTGTAAACATTAAGCTAGCTGATACCAACATTTTCCTAGCTATATTGGCGTCTTCCACCTGCAAAAGCTTTCTGAGTAAATTATCGAATGCATCTTTGTCAGGTCCAGAATACGCAATTACTTCCACCATTTTCTCGACATACTCTCTGTCTTTGATCGCCTCGAAATTATCTTCTAGTTTGTTCTTTATTCCTTCTATTAGGGAAGTATCAGCTTCATCTAAGTTTTCAGCATTATATTTAATGAGTTCATATGCAACGTCGAATGCCCCCACGTCATCTTCGTCATCCACGCGTTGATAAACCAGTTTGTGGATTCCTTCACTATGAAAAAACCTCATGAAATTGCCAACTTTCTGAGACTCAACAATAAACTGTCCGAGAAATGTAAAGGCCAACCAAGCCAATGTATCATCTTTCATAACTAGTAATGATTGAGCTAAACTCCAAAACTCGTGTACTTCCAAGACATCAGTTGTGAAAAATTCTCGATTTCGATCACTTCTTGCAACTAAGTTTATGAGAACGGGAAGTACACCGCCTAGTAGTGGCAAGCCTTCACAACTTCCTTGAAGTCCACTTTCAATGATTTTGTTAAACTTGTGAATTATGGCAGAAAGGTTTGTAGTGACAATTTCTGACTCTCTAAAGGTATCGTCTCTCAACTCGATCTTTAATTTGTCAAGGGAAAAAAGAGTGATTTCATCTCCGTTGATAATGTCATGCACTGGGGACGGGTCAATTTGCCGAGTTTCCTGTTCCATGCTTGACTAGACCCAATTGGTTGAAGAAAGGGGTTGTTGTCGCGAATTTTCTGCAAGGTATAGTGTCTCATCACGTGTTCATTCTTACAGTCGTGCACATTCTGTCAAAACATGTTCAACACGAATTGCGCCTTAAAACAAGAAAGAAATTTTATACTCTGGCGGCAATTTTGATCGTCTTGCTAGACATCCACACAGTTCGGAAGGCTCGCCCAACGAGGTCAAAAACCGTTTGCTCCAGAACCAATTACATTAATTTTCTTTTTTTTTTTTTGTTTTTGCTATGAGTGGTTGATCTTTGCTGAGGGTGTTTAACACACGCAGCATATATGTTGTCAACATCACTGAAAGACAGTTACGTTACTCAGATAGCTAATTGTACAATCCTTACAGCCAAAGTGAAGTATTTACCTTTACAGTTTCTAGAGGGCAAGATTTTTTTAGATTCAGCTTTGGAGATAGGATTCACGACAGAACACATCACCTGACTCCTCCTTGTTAGATTAGGCTTGGCGTTTATCACTACCCAATATGAAGATCTTGGTGTCTCCAAATGATGACTCGATTATGCCCGACAAATGTTCGTCCTCTAGTTCTAACCAGCTAAGTTTGGTCGGACATCACGCAAACTTTGTATCTAGCAGGACAATTTTGCCAACCCTTTGTGGCCGAGCATTTCATGGTTAGGTGTCTTGGTCAGAAGCGGTTATAGCATTGCATTTGAAACATCTTGCAAACCATGAGTGTCATATGTGGCACTTTTGAATTTCAATAAATGTTGAAAAGATGCATAAATGTTGTCGAACATTTGGCAGTTCTCTTTTCTTTGCGAAAGGGACTCAGGCGACAGCGAATGTGAAAGGCCCGCTAGGAAACATCGACAAAACTCTCCCGTGTCGCACAAGCTGGTCGAAAATCAGTTCGCAAATATACTTGTAGTGTCATTTTTACTTGCCGTGTTGATCATGACTGCGGTGATATCGTGCTAACATGACCTGGAAATGCTAGTGATAAATCAGTTGCTCATAAAAAAAGTTCTTGTGCGATGTCACTAGAAAATCTCGTCTCATCTCATATCTCTTTGTTGGTAGATACTACTGCTCCATGATTTGCGAAATATGCAACAAAAGTGAAAGCAAATATAAATGCCCCACTTGCAAAAGAGCCTATTGCTCTTTGGCATGTTACAAGTCGGAAGCCCACAAACATGAAGAATCAAAGGTGGCAGAGCCAGCATCGAAAGAGTTGCCAACTCCAGCTGCAGATACATCTTTTGAATCAATGACAAAATTTGACAAGTTTCTTCAAGATGAAGAGATTAAGTACCTACTAAGGCAACCAGCCTTACAATTCCATCTTTTGTCAGTTCTCACAATACTAGAAGATGGGTTTATCAGTAACCTAAACCAAGAGCAAAAATTGGAAGTGATGAATCTCAAATTGAATGATTTACGAAAAGGTGGCGTGGAACAAAATGAGTTAGTGGAAGAGTTTGTGCAGAGAGTCTTGGAGCTAGACGAAATCAATTGAATCTACTACGCATCTACTTTCCCACCCCATATATTCTTCTTTTGTCCCTTGAGTCCGACTTTCAATTTGAACAAAAATCCACCAAGATCTCCGAACATATCATCTGCATCGATTTTGGCATCGAAATCGTCGAGTTTCAAGTGCCCTGTGGTTACATACAAATCATCGTCATCGGGACCCCCAATGGTAACACAGGTGCATCTTTTTGCTGGTACTTGAATCTTTTCTACTAGTTCACCACTTTCAGTGACATGCAAAATTGTTGAAGTTGAAAATACAGCAGAGTATATATCCCCATTGAGTGTGCGAACCAACCCATCTGGCTCAGGGTCGTTTTCGTTTGGATAAAAGTGTTTAGTTTCAATAAATGCAGTCTTGTTGCTCAATGCATTCTTTTCATGATCGTATTTGAACTTGTATACTGTAAAGTTTAAAGAATCAGTCCAGTACACCTCACTCCCGTCGTCATTGAAAGCCATGCCATTGGAAATCTTGGTGTTCTCCAACATCACATCAACTTTTAAATCTGGAGTGATACGAAACAATTTTCCCTCTGCTTGAACACCTTCTTTTGCACTAACAGGGAAATCCGTCATAACTCCGATCCAAAGATTACCCCAGGGGTCTATAATTCCATCATTCGATCTCAATCTATGGGTTTCCTCCTCGGTAAATGGATATTTGAAGAAATATTTCAATGTGCCTGTGCTGAAATCGCCATAGGCTAACCCAGATTTAGCGGCAACCAACACCACATTTTCCCTTTCAGTGAGAGAAACAAAACCAATTGATTCCTTTGGGTCAGGCCATTTCAAAACATCATGCTTGTTAAGATCATCCAACAGTAGACGATGAACTTCACCTTGGATGATGTCGATCCATAATAAGTTATTGTTGCGATAGTCATACGTTACCCCTTCAGTCAAACGTCCACGGTAGCTCTGCGGGAATATGTTCCTTTCAGTTGCAATTAAAGACATGCTTTAGAAGTGTAGGGCAACGTAGTGCAATGCGTCTGCAAAAATAAGGGTAAATGTGTATTTGCTGTTTTAAACTTGCGCTCAGATCTTAGAACCGTTGTGTGATCGGAGGTTCGGGATGCGAATAATCAAAATTTACACGACTTTGGACAATAAAACTACATCTTGCAACGCAGAGTACTTTGGTTAATGCACTGTTTGTTGTAATACTCTACATAGTAATTGTAACCAACATATGCGGGCCACCAAAATGAGCGATTTGTGTAGTTTGTTAAAATTTTTTAGGCAGACTTCTCAATTGTGTAATATGGAGAATGTGCTCAATCTAAGACCTAGTTACGTAGTCATCCTCACTCATCCATTCGTATTGATGTTCTATAAATCTCTGGTTCAGATCTGAAGAGAGCTGGTTCTTGATGCCGCGTTAAAGCACTTCTTTCCCCGTCAGTACGGATTTAAAATTAAATTTCGTACTGTGTGAATCACTTTGTAACATTTGGGGCCCTGATTCTCGACAGTATGGCAAAAGCTGCAGGGCTGAAGTCGAATAGTTAATTATGGTGATATGCTCCCATCTTTTGTCTGCAACTTCTCCCATTCTCTAGCCAAGTTGATCAAAGCTTCTGTGTCGTTGGCCGCACCAACAACGTCTATCGGCACTTGGCTTTCACTGTATTGCTTCTTTGCAAATGCCGCAAGGTTAGTCTCGTTGATTAGCCTGAATTCGTATTCATTGTCATCCTTAGGATTTCGTGTCAACAATTCATTCCAAGTAAATAGTAGCGACTCTGATTTACGCAGAAATGGATTTATATCGATAATGTAAACCTTATCGAATGGTCTTGGTATATACACGTCAAGAATGAATTTTTCCACTTTCAAATTTGGAATCACCTCATTGTAAACAAATTTGCTGATCCTCGCATTCAACTCTGGCTCTAGGTCTTTCAAAAAGTCATAGTAATTTAAGTCACGCTGAGATATACCTAGGATATTTCCATCCTTTACAAACACCCTAAACTCTAATGCAGGGTTGATATCTTCCCACTTTTTTAAAACCAATTCATACGCAACTTTGACATCCTTTGGATCCTCAACTTCCAGGAAGGGATACAACAAATCATCAACTATGTGGTCTGATGATTTCAAAAGTAGGTATATATCATTGGCTTCAATGCTTTTGATCGTGTTTCCTGGTAACAACCAGCTGGCATCTTTTGGACTTGACCAATTCAATTTGGGGATCACCTTACCTCCCAATTTCTCCACATACTTGCTAATTTGATCATGCAAGTGGATAAACTTCAAATGAGGAGGGTCAGAATTGTCTGTCTCATCTTCGTCCCAATCACTATATTCGTTATCACTAGTTTGTTCTAGTCTCGTTTGCTTCGTTGCTAGCTTTATTCCATCGCTGAGTAAATAGTCGATAAAAGTAGGTGGAAGTGGGTTGATCACTCTATACGGAAACAAATGGTCCTTAAACAAATCACACCAATTGGAGAATGAGCATTTAAGAATTTCTTCTTGGGTAACCCCCGACTTTTCAAATGTTGTGTAGTCTTCACCCATTGTGCCTCTTGAAACGACGCGATGGAATCAATTCGAATCAGAAGAACAAAAAAAAAAAAAGACAAAAGAAAAAAAAAAAAAACCAGCCAAATGAGTAAAGGAGAAAAAAACTTGCAAAAAAATCCTACTACTTTCAGTGTACCCTGTGTCCTTCATCAAACAATGACCTCTGTAGCCAGGCCGCAACAGGCACCATCCAATGCGACATTCAAGGATAAAGAAAAGCCACAAGAGGTGCGCAGGGCCAATATATTAGCAGCAAGAGCGGTCTCCGATGCGATTAGAACCTCGTTGGGTCCGAAAGGAATGGACAAGATGATCAGGACAAACAAAGGTGAAATTATCATCTCCAACGACGGTGCAACTATTTTGAAACACATGGCAGTATTGCACCCTGCAGCCAAAATGCTTGTAGACGTTAGTCATGCGCAAGATGTGGAAGCTGGTGATGGAACTACAACTGTTGCCATTTTAACTGGTGCCTTATTAGGAGCTGCTGAGAGGCTATTGAACAAGGGAATCCATCCTACATTGATTGCCGAGTCTTTCCAAAGAGCAGCTCAGCGTAGTGTTGAAATACTTTTGGACATGGCCTCCAAAATCAAGTTGGACGATAGAGAAATCTTGATTAAGGCTGCTTCCACTTCATTGAGTTCCAAGATTGTGTCCCAATTTTCACTGTTATTGGCTCCATTAGCGGTTGACTCTGTATTAAAAGTGATCAACGACGAGCAAAACAATGTTGATTTGAACGATATTCGTTTGGTGAAGAAATTGGGAGGTACGATCGATGACACTGAGTTGATAAATGGTGTTGTTTTGACACAAAATGTTGTGAAAAATGCCGGTGGGCCCACGAGGATAGAAAAGGCCAAGATTGGGTTAATCCAGTTCCAATTGTCACCACCAAAGCCAGATATGGAGAACAATGTTGTTGTGAACGACTACAGGCAAATGGACAAAATTTTAAAAGAAGAAAGAGCATACTTGTTAAACATATGTAAAAAGATTAAAAAGGCCAAATGTAACGTTTTGTTGATACAGAAGTCCATTTTGAGGGACGCTGTCAACGATTTGGCATTGCACTTTTTATCAAAGTTAAATATCATGGTGATCAAAGATATTGAAAGAGATGAAGTTGAGTTCTTGTCCAAAGCCGTTGGATGCAAGCCAATTGCTGACATTGACAACTTTACCGAGGACAGGCTAGGCTCTGCTGATTTGGTTGAGGAAATTGAAAGCTCCAGCTCCAAGATTGTCCAAATCACGGGAATCACATCGAAAAACACCCAGCCAACTGTATCTATTGTTGTCAGAGGTGCAAACAACTTAATTGTTGATGAAACTGAGAGATCGTTACACGATGCTTTGTGTGTTGTTAGATGCTTGGTCAAGGAAAAAGCGTTGATTGCAGGAGGTGGTGCGCCAGAAATTGAAGTTTCCAGGCAATTGATGAAGGAGTCAAATAAATTGTTTGGCGTGGAGCAATTTGTTTATCAAGAATTTGCTCTTGCTTTGGAGGTGATACCCACAACCTTGGCAGAAAATGCTGGTTTGAATCCTATCAATGTTGTCACTGATTTGAGAAATAGACATGAAAACGGAGAAAAGAATGCTGGTATATCCGTTAGGAGGTCAGGCGCGTCAAATACGTTTGACGAACATGTTTTACAACCAGTGTTGGTAAGTACCAGTGCTATTGTTTTGGCCTCAGAGTGTGTCAAGTCTATTTTGAGAATTGATGATATTCAATTTAGCCGTTAATATAAATCTATACAAGTTTAACCGATCTTGATAACCCTTTCTTAATACCAGTCTTTTCACCCTCGTAAGGACCTCTACTTTTTTCGCTGTCGTATACTTGCCTAACCGATTTGAGTTTCTTTTTAGCGGTCTCGTATTGTTTTCTCTTTTTAACTCTTGAGTTTCTGTACTCCTTCTTACGATGAGGCGTGAGACCTTTATTCTTGAGAATCTGGTAGTTGATGGCTCTTTTTCCATCCTGTCCAATTTCTTCTTGTAGTTCAGCCAATTTTCCTTCTTTGGCTGCCTTAACTGCTGCTGCATGTGCAAGTTTCCTGTTTTCCGATTTCAAAGCTTTATTTTGTTTGAGAGTGTCGTAGTATTCATTACCATCCTCATTCCAAACGCGATTCTCATAATCATCGTCACCATCGTTGACAGTCTCATCATCATTGATATCTTTTTTGTCGAGGCCCCTTTTTCTTGCTTCTTCGATAAGTTTTTGTTGCCTTTCATATAACCTCTCCTTATAAGGGACATCCATATCTCCAGAGGTGTATTTCTCCCTCTGAGCTGCTGCTTTGTCAATTTTAGCTGTATAGAATCTCAAAGTCTTTTTCCGGCGTGTCTTATCTTCCATGTCCACGTCATCAATGTCAGCTTCAGTAAAGTCATCACCTGTTGATTTCGGTGCCCTCTTGATAGTTCTCTGTTTGTGAATATCAATGGTTTGACTCTTTTCAGGAACTTCCTCTTGTTCATCCTCCTCTTCTTCATCCTGCTCATCAACTGACTGACTATCTTCTTGCTCCTCCCTCGCATCAACAAAGTCATCTTCGTCTATATCACTCGAACTTATCTCTTTTGTAATTTCTTCAGACTCCTCCTTGACTTCAAGTGGTAGTTCGTTTGCTTGCCTCCAAACCTCTCGCGAGCTCAATATCGACTCCATCACTGGATGGTCCTTCATGGATACAAAGCCTTCCCCGCTACGGAGATTGTCTAGAAATATGGCCATGTAGGATGTAATTGACGCCAAGTAGCCAGATAAAGCCCCGACTTTGATTGTCGTGCATACATTCTCATCCAACAGCTTCAACTCATCAAGCTTGGGTCGCAACTCCTCCAATTCCCTCATCAAAGGTATGAATTCTGGAAAAGATTGCTTTAGCAATTTTAATCTTTCTGTGTCATCGAGCCCCTCGAGGTTTGTTGATGTATCAATCACAACTTGAGAAACAGCACCATCCTTGGTGTCAAATGTGTCAGCTTTCTTTTGCCAATCCTCTAGAATCTCATCATCAACATAATCATCCATTTCCAAATCCTGCAAATGCTTCCTCTGTTGTCTCAACGCTTCTTCCGTCATTTGCTTCGAGTCCTCATCGTCGCTGCCATCATCTCCACCATAATAATTTTGTCTACCACCCCATCCTTTCTCTTCATCAACCTCTTCGGCTTCGGCTTCGGCTTCTCCTTCTTCATCACCTGACTCCTCCGCTTCGTCATGATCTTCCTCTGAGTCCTCGTCACTAGCTGATCCCAAAACCTCTTCCTGTGAATCTTCATCTTCGGAATCTCTATCTTGACCGTACTCCCCAGCTTGGTCTAGTAAAATCTTGGACCTGTTAGCATTGAATGCGTCAACTTCATCCAAGTCCGAGTTGTCCTCAGTGGTGTTCCTTGCCTGTCTTGCCATTTATTGCTGATTTGTCAAAAAAGTTGCAAATCAAGAAGCTCATCTCATTTGATTTTATCGATTATTATTTTCTTTTTTTTATTTTTTTTTTTCTTTTTTCTTATTTGTTTCTTCACCATTAAATCCTTGCATTTACTGCACCATCAAAATCATGTCCAATCGTTTAGAATCATTGAACTCGAAGAAGCCTTCCAGTTCTCCCGCTCCTAAACCTGGACTCAAATTTAAGCCCAAGGTAGTACAAAGAAAATCAAAGGAAGAGCGGGCCAAAGCTGCACCACAAGTCAAACAAGAAGTACAGCGAGATGCATCGAATAGGGGTAGAGGAGGTAGTGCCAGAGGAAGAGGCCGAGGAGGTCGTAATAACTACGCAGGTACACATTTGGTCACGTCAGGTCCCTTGTCTGCTGGATCCGTATCCATTGGTAACCTGAGAGGGACCAAATTAGGATTGACAGCGGACTTGATGTACAATAGTAATGGCGAAAGTTTGTCAACTCCTGACTTTATAAACAACTTAAAAAAGAAGGAGAGCAAGTCAGCCACTCCCGGTGGAGGAGATTCTGATGAGGAAGCTGACCCAACAAAGATAAACATGACGGAAGCGTATATGTTTGAGGATGATGCAACTGAATTGTTCCCATTCAGGCCATTTAGGGACGATGGAATCAAGAGGGAAGTAGACGTTAAGGAAGAGCAACCATCTGCTATCAAGACTGAACCGCTAGACTCCGCGGAAAGTACTCCCGCGGTAATATCACTTACTGAAAGCAGAGAAGCCACAGCAAAGAGTGAAGCCATCGAGGACAAGATCGAAGTGATTAAAGAAAACAAAGCCAAGCTTGAGAGCAAGATCACTCAGAACGACCTGATTACCACGGACGAAGCTAGCAAATTGATTACGGATCATGAACAAGTGTTGGATATCCTAGCTGGAAGTTTCAGGAATTTATCCACCCGTGAAAGGAACGACGATCAATACGTTCTTTTCCAGCTACCACAGCACTTGCCAACGTATACACGAGAGGCTACTATGGTGAAGCCAGAGCCAGGTACAACTGGAGATCTTGAAGAAGAGGGAGTTTCCAGATCTCTGCTTGGTACGAGTACCTCGACATTGCGAGGCGAGATTGGAAAAATCAATATCCATCAATCAGGTAAGATAACTATTGATCTTGGCAATGGTGTAAAGCTTAATGTTACCAAAGGAGTACCCACTGACTTTTTGCAAGAGTTGAGTATAGTGGATGTCAACCGCGGACATTCCGCAGACGAAGATGTGGAGATGATTGACGATGAAGGCAGAGATATCTTTGGAAAGCTTATACGATTAGGAGCAGTCACTGAAAAGATCATAGCTACGCCATGTATTGAATAAATGGGGTTGTGTGTAGTGAAGAAAATGCATGAGTGCGGGTATTAACATTTTTGGTTGTAAAAAAATAATTAAAAGTAAGGGTACACACACACACATCAACACACACACATCAACACACACGCCAACACACACGCCAACACACATCGGTATCTTCACTTTCTTAGGTGCTGTGAATGGATGAGGATTTGATTTCAATTGCAGAAGAGATTCTGTTTCAAGTAGGTTGGAAAAAGATATTGTCGTTGGATTATTATCGGTCGAATTTGGGGGTGAGTTGTTTGGATGTAGAGAATAGAAAATTGCTTGTGTATGAGGATATTGAAGTGTTATGTCCAAATTCTTACGTGGAAGCAATAATTGATGACTTGGCACCGGATATTGTGTTTGCGTCTTCACGATGCACGGAGGGCATGATGACCTTTTTGAGAGCCTTGGGAGTCGATCGGAATATTTCAGTATTTGTCAAGATTGTGTCTGATTACACAAGATTCGACCTTCAGAGTTTAGCCCAGTCATTTGAACAGCATATCAGCACTATTGGCTCGAGACTTTTTATCACTGCGGCTTTAAAGTCTCCCTATTACAAACTAAGCGTAAGCATTCACATACTCGAGGCGAAAAAGCTCTTTGTACTAACTCCTCCTCGATGGGCACATTGAATGCGATGTATCTTGGTATTGCAGATAATGTTGAACATCTATGTTTAGCGGAAATGGTTGACTCGATTGATGCGTTCAATTTCAAAAATCTCATGTTTTTGGATACTGATCTGTTGTATGCTCTACAAATTGTATCGGATCTGCATACGAAAAGGTCTGCTTTGAAAGAGACGGTGAGCAACTTGTTTGACTTTTTGAATCACACGGCTACAAGGGAAGGGTATATGCTCCTTCGTGACTGGACAAGAAAGCCATTGGCAAATTTGAATCTTATTGAAGAACGTCAAGCTGTGGTTAAATTGTTCAGTTCAGAGTCTTTCAAGGAAAGCCGGAAACAGATATTAAAGTTACTTGGTCAGTTAAAGAGCCTGTTTCGGAATATCAAAAGGTTAAGAGCAAATGAGCTACTTTGGAATAGCTGGAGATCATTGCTTCTGTTTTTGTCAAGCTCTGTCCAGGTTGCAAAGCTCTTGCGATTGTGCTTTATCGCAGCAGCAGCAGCTGATCCTCCTCCTAGTTTCAAGTTCCAAAATTTACTAAAAGACGACGTCTTTGAGTTTCAAAAACTTTCGGATACCATCCTTCTGATTATTGAGTTACAATCGTCTGCAGAGGAAGGGAAGATTAGGGTCCTAAGCGGCGTCGATGAAAATATTGATGAATTAAGAGTCATCTACAACGATTTGGAGTCAATTTTGCAAAACTGCTCACACACGTTAACCAGCATGTACAGTCAACGTTTCAACACTGTTTACATTCCACAATTGGGATTCTTGGTGTCTGTAGATATATCCAATGCAGCAACACTTTTGAATTTGCCAAACGAATGGGAACAAGTGTTTGCTACACCCACCAATGCTTATTACAAATGCAACGAAGTGCAGAATTTGGACGAAACTTATGGCGATGTTCACACCCTAATCAACGATAGAGAGATTGAGATCATACAAGGATTGCAAGAGGAAGTTTTGAACTACGAAGATCGGATTTTTGAGGTAATTGACGGTCTTGTTGAATTGGATTGCTTATGCTCCTTGGCTCAAGTTTCTGGACTTCCAGATTTCAATTTTCCTACATTAACCTCGGGACTCGAATTGGAAATCAAGGATGGGCGACATGTTTTATTGGAATCAAATCTGAAAACAGCAGTTTCCAATGACGTGGCATACTCGAATCAAGAACGAATACATGTAGTCACAGGCGCAAATTTTTCTGGCAAATCGATTTTTCTCAATCAGACAGCTTTGATTGTGGTGCTTGCCCAAATGGGTTGCGCGATTCCAGCACAGTCAGCGGTAATTGGAGTAGTTGACAAGTTGCTAACGAGAATCCTGTCACGAGAGTCATTAGAGAAACGGCAATCTACATTTGCTATTGATATCAACCAACTATCCAAATGTATTGATCTCAAAACAGAAAGATCGTTGGTGATTATTGACGAATTTGGTAAGGGTAGTGATTCAATTGATTCCCCGGCTTTATTGGGAGGCGCATTGACCTACTTTGCCCTGCAGAGGGAATGTCCTCGGTGTATTATATCCACACATTTTTTGGAACTTTTTCGTGGCAATTTGGTTCTCAATAGAATGGCTAAGGAAAAGGTTAAATTTTTGTCAACGCAGGTATTCTTGGAGAATGAGAATACAGATACTGAGCTAGTTTACCTGTACAAAATTGTCCTGGGAATCTGCGACAATAGTTACGGAATCCACTGTGCCAAAGTTTGTGGGATTCCCCTGGAGATCATTGCAAGAGCTGATGAGATTGGTCACAAACTCGATGAAGGAAAAGATTTGGTTAGCGAGATGGCTCTTTTAACGGCAAACGAGGAACAGAACTACTCCATAGCTAGAGAAGTGGTTATGAAGTTTTTGGCTTTAGACTTTAGCGAATCGGCCAAAACAGCGCTCGATATATCTGAATTTGAGTCTATATTCAATTCCTAGTTACTAATTAATCTAGCTGCTAAAGATTCAAGATCCTCCAAAGTTTCTGGCTCATCGATTTCAATAAATTCATCCTTCTTTTGTTTTTTAGTCGCTGGCTCCTCTTTGAACCAGGTGGTGTCTCTAGTTGGAACCTTTTTGTCATCAAACTCCATATCACGCTCCAAATCTGGAGCATCATCCTCACTTTCTGAATAATACTCTTCTTCCCTCATCCTTCTCTCTATTTCCTTCCTCTTTCTCTTTTTCTCTTGACGCTTCTGCCTTTCCACTTCTTTGTCAGCAGCATCAGTCACCTTCATCAATTCTTGCTCCTTGGATAAAAATTGTTCCTTTTGTTGTTTGGCATCCCCAGCTTTGATGAAATCTTCCTCACCTTCAAGCTCATATATTGGATGGGCGACACCATCATCATCAAATTTCAACTTTGTCGGATTTCCCTTTCCAGCAAGAGATGCCTTCTTCGAAAGGGCCTTTTTTGCTTGTCTTTTAGACACTGGCAACAGCAAATCTGGTAAATCATCATCCTTCAATTCGTGGTCTTGTCGTTTCACCGTCATGAAATCTTCTTCCTCCTCCTCCTCGTCCTCTTTTCCATTAGCTTTGCTATTTGTCAAGTTTAAATAGTGGTCGGACAAAATCGTTTGATTCTTTCTTTCAAACATTCGATCGTATTTGGTCTTTACTTTAGATGGTTTCTCTTCAATCTCGCCATCAGCATCACTTTTCGATAACGCAAGTAGCTTCCTCGACTCGTTCTTTTTCTCCTTGCTAGCAGACCCTCCCTTGATTTTGATCTTTGGTGCCCCCGGAAGACCCAATGATGCAGCATATGCCTTGGCGGGCAAGCTTTCAACATCAAATACCTCCTTGTCCTTTTGGACATACACAGACTTGAAGTAGGCAATAAAAGCCCTTTGTCCCAAATTCTTCATTACGGGGTCTTTGAAGCACAACGACTGCAACTGTGGCCTAATCGATTTCTTACTCTTCTGCTTAATATTCATCAACTTTGGTTCGATTTTATGGACTTTGAGTCTTTGCAAGAAACCCTGTTCCTCATTTGGTGTGAGCATGAGTAAAGATTTGCCTTGTCTTCCAAATCTTGCCGATCTCCCTACTCGATGAACATATGTTGCAACATCCTCAGGACAATCCACTTGAATAACCCAATCAATGGCTGGAAAGTCCAAACCTCTTGCCACAATATCAGTCGCAAAGAGACAAACATGTTGTGCTTGTGCAAATTTCATTGTAGTCTCCAATCTTGACGTCTGTTTATTACGTCCATAAAGTTTCAAAAGTGAAATACCTGGTTGAAGCGTACGGAATGATTCGTATGTGTACTGCACTTGTTTTGATGACGAAAAAAACACCAAAATCTTGCTCTTTAGATGAGACTTGATAAACGACCACAATACATCCAATTTTTCCTCCAAAGGCACTCTAACGTAGTATTGGTCCAATGATTCCGGGATGGCGGATACATCTCGATCTAAAGATGTACCAATTCTCTTGGGGTTGGTCAAAGACAATCTGGCCAAATCCTGAACACTGTCTGTCGTGGTTGCTGAGAATAATAGTGTTTGTCTCGTTGGAGGCAAGTGTCGGATGATGTTGTCGATCTGCTTTTTGAATCCCATATCGAGACATCTGTCTGCCTCGTCCAATACTAAAACCTGTAAGTTTGAAGTTTCCATCCCGACAGCTTCATTCAAATGTTGCGATATGCGCCCCGGAGTTCCAACTAAGATGTTCATTCTAGAAATCCTTTCCTTCTCGTACTGCACATCTTTCCCACCGGTAACCAATCCAGCAGAAAACGAATTGTATTTACCAATTTTGGCCAATACTTCAAAAATCTGAACAGCTAGTTCTCTAGTGGGTGACACTATCAACGCTGCCAACCCATCGTATTCAGTAATATCGTTTTTTATCAAAAGTTCAATAACGGGGATTAGAAAAGCCAATGTCTTACCTGACCCAGTTCTGGCAGTTCCCATCAAGTCGTGACCCTTTAATGCCAACGGAATTGTCTTTTTCTGGATATCTGTTAGGGAAATGAATGCAGATTCTTTGAGTCCTCGTAGAGTGTTTTGGGTGATGGGGAGGTCATTGAATTGTTGCATGGCATTTTCGTCTACTTGCGGGTCATAATTTTCAATTCTTTCCTTGAGCCGTTTGAGCTCTTCTTCCTCTTTCTGACGCCTTTCCTTCCTGCCCTCGTGTCTGTGGCTCTTAGATCCTCCATTGGAATGCGGTTTCATGGTGGTGTCTACTTGATTAATTGAAGGAAGGGTGAATTTTTTGATTTTGTTTTCTTTTTTTTTTTTTTACTTTGTGTATCTCATCTCGGTCTAACATACGCTGTATTTCAGTAGTCTTTTACTGTACCCGAGGTCGCTTGGATTTGCCAGGTACGTGTAAAGGATCACTGCTACTATGAACCGGTCATGTTGATCTACATATTATGTCACTATAGTTGCCTCTACTCTATTTAACTCTGCAGTCAGAAATCAAGGATTCTCGAATACTGCCAACACAAATCCCCGTACTTATCCTTTGAATGAGTATGAGTGTTCAATGTATCACTACACACATTACCACCAGCCACACCATACTTTTTCAAAATCCGTTGAGTAAGTTCTGCCATCGAGACGTTCTTCAAGCTGAAGCTCTTTTCGCTTACTTCAACTTGGATAAGCAACCCGTTGAAGCTGCCATGTAGGAAAACATTGGATGTCCGTATGCACAAGTTACCATTTTCCAACTCGTAAATCTGTCCCCCTTCTCCTTTAATCATTTGCTTCTGAGTCCACAAGCTTTGCAACTTTTGATTTGCAAAGAAATCAAATGGATCATTTAATCCCGTGGTGGCCCCCAAATCCAAGTGCTCATCCGGGATGCACTCTGTTTGCAATCCTAATTCCGTGGCCTCTTCGTTTATCGTGCTGCTGAAAACACCCACAGACCTCCCATTTATTAGGGTGATTGTGCTTCCGGGGATATACGACGGAGACAAGGTGTACATAAACTTTGATTCCGGGTTCTGTGATTCTTGAAGGGCAATTGCTTCAGGGATTGCATATGGATTGTTTTTGAAGATCCGAAATGTAAAATTCCACTTGCCTTTCTTCATAGGCAAGTCATTGGCTAGTTGATCTTGGAACTGTATTATCGTGTCGGGAGTCGCATTGTGGACCAAAATTACCCTGCAAGGAAAAGTTAGTACACGATGTGGTTTACTGGATTTGTAGTCCCTATAGTAATACATACGCTGACACCATTTTCCTAGTGAGAATGAATTGAACGTTGTATTTGTAGATTGATGAAAGTCTTTAATTTTGTGAGAGAATTCAGTATGAGGAATCTCATTGCAAAAAAAAAAAAAAAAAGGGAATAAAATAAACTCAGATTCGAGGGACGAAGCGACTGGCGCTTAGACGGAAGCAGCAACTGAAAAACAATGTCTATCACTCAAGAGGCTATATTTGTGGGTGCCAATAAGCAAAACTATGTCTCCGATTACAATCCACAGCATCAAACCATTGCGTTTGGTGCAGGGACCGTTGTTGCCCTTTGGAGACCACTTGATAAATCGCATCGCGGAGTTTACTATACTTTGAAACAGCATACAAAGGAAGTGACTGGAGTTAAATTTTTGCCTCACAGTGGGTTTTTGGTATCTGTTGGAGAAGATCATATTGTTAATGTGTGGAGGAGAAGTGGCAATGTGTATGATCTCCATCAATCGCTTACTGGCCATGAACATTCTGTGACCTGCATTGCTGAAGTGAATCAACACATTTTTGTCACTGGTGGGGCTGATCACAAGATCATTATATGGACTTACGATGGCGAGCAATTTCAGCCTGGTCACAGGTTTGAAGTCAAGTCCAGTTTCTATCCCTTATCCTTAGCAGTTCAACAAATAGTTGAGAATGATGATTACATTCTTGCTATTGGAGGAACTACAAACAATATCTACATCTATACATTCCAACTTGAACAAACCCGCATCTCTATTGACAAGTGTGCTGAACTAACTGGTCATGAGGATTGGGTGAAAACTCTTCAGTTTGTGACAAAATCAAAATACCAAGATTACATTTTAGCAAGTGGCTCTCAGGATAGATATGTTAGGCTATGGAGGTTGAAATTGAATAACTCTATTGACGATACTGACGAAGACCCCACTAAATTGACCTTGCTTTCAAATAAACAATACAAATTCAACTTTGGTGTTGATAAAAGAGCTGCATTCAGCTTTGAGGCGTTAATAATCGGCCACGACGATTGGATTAGTGGTATCCAGTGGCACCCTTCTTGCAAATACCAATCGGAAAACGATGAATCAGCGTTGCAATTACTAACCTCCACAGCTGACACGGCATTAATGATTTGGGAAATGGATAAAGAGTCGGGAATCTGGGTGTGTACAAGTAGATTAGGAGAAATGTCCATTAAAGGTGCATCTACTGCCACGGGGGCCTCGGGTGGGTTTTGGTCGTGTTTATGGTTCGTTGATGATGTCACAAACGAGGAGTATGTTTTGGCAACGGGTAAAACAGGTGCGATAAGAGCGTATAAATCGATCACAAGTGAACCAAAGTACTTTGAGGAAACAATTGGAGTTACTGGTGCGGTTGGTCCAATCACCGACTTGAGATGGTCTATTGGAGGTGAATACTTTATGGCCACTTCGCTTGACCAAACTACTAGGCTATATGCACCATGGAAGAGGGATCAAGTTACCACGTGGCATGAAATCGCTAGACCACAGATACATGGTTATGACATGATATGTTATGACAACATCACCAAGACCAAATTTGTTTCTGGTGGTGATGAGAAGATATTGCGTGTATTTGAACTCACTGAATCAGTTAGACAACATTTGAAAGCATTGGGAGGGATTGAAATTGGTGAGGAAGATGAAAAACTTCCTGAGTTTGCAACCTTGCCAGTGTTGGGTCTATCAAACAAGGCGGATGCGCAAGTACGAGAGGAGACAAAGAATGATGAAGAAGAAGTAGTAGAAGAGGATCAAAGTGGTGAGGCTGCGCAAAAGACTGCGATTGGGGATGTGAATACCCCTCCCACTGAGTCCTACTTGCAAAGACACAGTCTTGCCACTGAAATTGAAAAATTGTATGGACATGGGTATGAGGTTACATGCTGCTCGACATCTCCAAATGGGAAGCTCATTGCCACCTCATGTAAATCAAACAATGCCAAACATGCAGTGATACGAGTGTTTGTCGTGGACAATGACTATCAGCAATCAAAACAAGTTCTTGCTGGTCACAATTTGACGATTTCTAGTCTCAAATTTTCGCCGGATGGACATTACTTGTTGGCGGTATCAAGAGATCGACAATTTTCCTTGTGGGAGCTTATTCTGGATTCTGAATTCAAATTGGTTGAGCTTAATGCCAAAGCTCATTCGAGAATCATTTGGGATTGTTCTTGGTTGGATGGTGGGTCGTTTGTCACCGTTTCGCGTGACAAGCAAATGAAGTTGTGGAAGATTGGTGGTGGTAGTGGAGCGGTTGATCTTGTGAATAGCTTGAAATTGGATGAGCCGGTTACTTCGGTGTCTGTTTTCAAGGGCGAAGCGGCGGTCACTGGTATACGCATTGTTGCATTGGGTCTTGAAAGTGGTCAAATTTGTATCTACACTATCGCTGCTGGTGGTGAGTTTAAGCTTGCTGCGGCGTTTGATGCGAATATCACTCCAGTTGATAGAATAGAAAAGGTGGCTTTTAGCAGTCGAGTAACGGATAAGAAATTGTTTTTGGGAGTTGGAAGCAAAGACAATTCGGTACGGGTTTACACTATAGAGGAGAGTTTGTTCTAGGTCAATAAGGGTTTTCCGGTTGTGTTTGAGACAACCTAGTAATATAGTTGATGAGGTTTTTACCCAGAGCGTGAAAAATCTACAGTAGTATTGTGTCCCATGAGAATAAATACCCTGTTTATATTCTTCTATAAACTTAAACCCTTAAAACCCTTGTGATCCTAAATTTTAACCCGTTTTATTTACTCTTTGCAATATGTTGTAACCCTGTAAGAAAAAGAAAAAAGTCATGAAAATCGTTGCCGTGAGATACCTTCAAATCCAAGTTCACCAGTACAAGTATGGTAAGGGAACCTGATAACTAGCCCATTGTTGTGGTTGGGCGTATTGTGGTAGTTGCTGTTGATAATGTTGTGATTGTGGTGCTGTTGTCTGGAAATAAAGCTGTGGTTGAAGCTGTTGCTGTTGTTGCTGCGATGGCGGTTGTGGCAACATTTGTGATGGTAATATAGGTTGTTCCAACTTTCTTCTCTTGCAACAATAATCCAATGGCGTGTTTGGTGTCAATGGATAGTATGATGAGAAAGTTGTGGTGTTTTCGAGTGGCGAGCACAGTGTGGTTGTCAATTGCGGTGGTGCTGGTACTGGTGGTGTGATTGAATCAACATTGATATATGGAGGTGCGACAAACTGTGAGTCCAACTGAGATTGATCATATGGTTGAAATGGTGCTTGATAAGTTTGTTCGTATGATTGTTGACGTGGTGTTTCATATAGCATTTGTGGTTGTGGTTGTTGTGGTTGCATCGCTACTGGTGTCGTTGAAACAAAATCCACTTGTGGGACATCATACCCAGACAAAGACTTAAACATTGACAAAGTCACATCTTCAACACCAACTACACCTGCTTGATGTTCAAACAACAGCCAAAACAATGCGTCACTACTCATCCCAACAAACGACAATTGAAAATTGACAGAACTCAAGAAATACGCCTCCATTGCATTAATGAGTTTCAAGTCAACGCCAATACCCGCAAAGGGAAAGTTCTTGCAAGTGTTGTTGATGATAATAAACCATGTCTTGAGTGTATACGACTGGTCATCAAATGACTTGTTGGACAATATAAGTGATGTGATGATCATGTATATGTGAGTTGGATCGAGTGCAACGTCATTGGATGTGGCTCCTCCTCCATTTTGTTGAGGTTTCTCCAATTTGGTACATATTATTGAGTTCTTGTGATAGTGCTTGTACAAAAAGTATAATGAAATGACCATATTTGTAGGCGATAATTGCGAGTTGACTATGAGATTCTTGAGAAAAGGGGTGTATTTAGCTTGGAAATGGTTATGTAGTTTCATCAAGTGAGTGTAGCGTGGTGGTGGGTTTAGTTGTGGTGAGGTTGATAGTATGATCCAAGCGAGTCTCATATAGCCGTCGATATACGACTCTGTTGAATTCTTTAACATTGTGGGTGTCGTAGTGGTGTGTATGGCTAAGTTGAAACTAGCGGTAACTGGTAGACTCTGATAGACTCTGATAGACTCTGCTGAAGTTGATATGCTATTGACACGTAGTGTATAAAAATAAATGAACACCTCCACGTCACATCGTGAAATAATGCGAACTGGGTATGTATAATATATATATATATGTATACATGTAGGAAGACTGGTATTTCTCAATTTGTAATTTTTTTTGCAGTCTTTTTTTTAGTTTTCTGTTGGTGTTGTTGTCTGTTGTATTGCATTGTTTTTGGATGGGTTTTGTGGCTTAAAACTGGTTTTTTTTGTTTCTTTCTCTTTTTCTTTTATTCTTTTTTTGCTTAAGAATTGTTGCATATGTATTATATACACTTTTTGGTTACCTAATATAAACACTTACCTCATATAACATGCTTCATTACTTACTACGCAATGAATCAGATTATAGTTCTCTTTTTTTTTTTTCTCTTCGCCTGTTTTGTACGCTTTTCTTGAGTAATACGTATCATCAGGCATCAATACTATAAGAAAGTATTTTGTTGGTTATGATTATACATACCGGCAAAAAAGTAAAAAAAAAAAAAAAAAAAAACCAAAAGAGTTTGAAATTGAAATTAAAATTAAAATTAAAAAAGAAAAGGAGTTTGCCAGCCTGGAACATCTCGAAGGAGGAAAACGACACATTACATTATAATGTATGTGCGTGTTAAAAGGGTGGCTGTACTGCGCATGCGTTGTGGAGATTAGGTTTGCTAGCCCCCTCCCCTCCCCACTCCCCTTCCCCCTTTCCTTTCTCAGCACCTATCGGTCGTAGTCTTTCATACTATCAATGAGAAACAAGAGTGTTTGTGAATGTGCCAGCGCCCAGGAATCAACAGTGTATGGCATTAAGAAAAAGGAGGCAGTAGAAATAATAACAATAATGTAAGAAATAATAAACAAGAAAAAGCAATAAGAAAATCATAATACAAAAAGAGCACAGATGACGATGAAACTTATATTTTGGTAGCAGCAGTTAGGAGATGAAGGAAAGGAAGCAAAGGAGAGTGTGGATAAGAAAGAATAGACACAATAGGGTCATAATGGGGAATGCATCAGCAACACTCATCCCGCATACCATTTGTAAGAAACAAGTAACAAAGGCAAAAAGTACAAAGAAACTAAGTAGAGCACAGAAAGGAGCAAAAAGGAGAGAGAGACTGAGACTGAGACTGAGACTGTGTGTGTGTGTGTGTTTGAGAGAAAGTCTAGTCTGAGACTAACTCTAGACTGTGTGTAAACTCTACGTTGCACAAACGTTGAGTATGCAAACCAAAAATTGCAAGAAAAGTGAAAACCAAAATAAAAATAAAATCTTACAGCGCACAACTCTTTCGCACTATGTAGATGGAGCAATACTTTTTTTATCCCTGTAGATGGAGTGATACATAACACAAGTCGGGTGGAAATGAAGTCATACAAAGTTTCACTTCAATTACGCACACCGGCATCTTGCATATCCGTACACACAATAATACATCCGTAAGTTTTAAGTTGATGATGATTCTGATNACACAAGTCGGGTGGAAATGAAGTCATACAAAGTTTCACTTCAATTACGCACACCGGCATCTTGCATATCCGTACACACAATAATACATCCGTAAGTTTTAAGTTGATGATGATTCTGATTTTTTAGTCTTAAATTCTATTTTTTTTTTTTCTCTCTCTCTCTCTCACTCTCACTCACTTTTATTACAGGCCAAAACAATAGAAATTAGTCTTCTTTGATATGCATATGCATATGTTGCCACGTAATAGACGAATAAATGAGGCAGCATCCGGGAGTGCATGGGTGTCAAATACCGAATCTATGATCTGAAGCTATACCTTGCTTTTCGGTCTCTGGGGTGATGTACTGTAATTTGCCAATTCTGTAATAGTTTCTCACAACTAGCTCACCCAAAAAGTAAGTTCCATGTATTTTCACTTGGCTCTTAATCGTCTTGTTCTGTTTCGTTTCATGTTTTAACCTGTTTACTTTTGTGCAATCTAATAAATTTGCAGAATCTATTGTGTAGCGCTGGATTAGTTGTAAGTTTGTCTGAATAAACTCTAAAATGGAAAGTTAAAGAGAGAAGGAGAGAGACAGAGAGAGAGCGAAAGAATTTTGAGTCTGCATATTGGCTTAAAAAAAAAATGGAATAGCAAGAAAAATATTTTCTTTTAAGTAAAGGTACAGGAGCCTCGTTTCAAAATTATACCACACACCACACACCACACACCACACACCATAACCAAATATCCCTCCCATCTGTGACCAGAGGATGAATAATAGGCTTCCTCCACGGACATATATAGTTTTGGCGTTGAGGCTGGCTTTCTTGTTGTGTGGCAAACCCCGCATGCGTGAGCCGATGCTCAGTTGGTCACCCCCCCCCCCCTTTTTTCTTTAAACAGTGGCAGTCACGGCTTCCTCTAATCCCACGTAAAGTAAAGTACTGTATGTATACTGGTGGTGTGGGTCTTGGTTTTTATTTTTAGGTTGAATCATATAAGAAGTGTGTACAAAAAGAGCGGAATTTCAATAATCAATTGTGTTTGTGTGATAATTGGATTATGTAATATGTTACGTAGCGCATATTACCTATCGTATGCGCCTTTCTTCATCTCCTAATTTTGACGATCAACAATAGGATTTGGAAACGAGGTGCGGGTTGAATAAATAATGACGAGAGTTGATGTATGTTTTACGTTCTTGGTAAGGGATCTTCAACCAGCGGTGTGATCGGAAAAGGATTAGCCACCAACAGTGTAAAGAACTCATCCTCTTGTATTTTGTCTGGGTATGATTATCGGAACAGAAATTGGTCTCCTCCGCCTGGATTTACCGGCGTTCTTTAAGTCCGTTTAAAAAAATGCTTCGGCGGTGTGATTGTCGTTGAAATGCAACTAGAGCTTTAGTTTCAAAGCAAAAATGAATATTCCACTATAAAGAATAGCAAACAATGCAACAACCCTCAAGAGTAAATACACCACATACTAGTGAAGTGATGGCAAAAAAATAAAGTATGACCCAATAATCTTTTGGAGTTGATCTTTTGTGTATGGGTTATAATTTCTGTCTCCTATTGTCTTCCCTTGTTCTCTCTACTTTTTGCAACACTTAAATAAAAAAAATTTCTTTTTTTTTTTTCTGTTCTTTTTTTTTATGCTTTTCTTTGTTGCGGCGGTGAGTGAAAAATCATTTCTCCTTTCTTCGTCAAAGAGAGACAAATCCGGTTAAACTTTGTGCTTTCTTCAGACACTCATACCCACCCACCCACTCACTCACTCACTCACTTAGTTATCCATTCCAATATGTATGACAAATGTTTAACTTTAGAGGATTACTTTTGTGTTGCACAGATCGTAGAGGTCATCCATATTCTAAGGATGTACCCAAATTTTTATTTTCGCAGTTAGCCAAACGCTACCGGCTCTTCGAATATGATTTCGGGTATTACATTTCTTCCGAAATACTATACTGTTGTGCTTGTGTAGTTCCCAGCTCTCTCCATCTACTTCCCAAGTCCCGTTCTCCTTCAACCTCACGGCGAGCCTCGCATTGTGTGATGCTCTGCTGCTGCGAATAACTGTGAGAAATTTACCAATGGGGAATGATTGATATCAGAATGAAGGAAATAAAAAATAAAAAATAAAAAATAAAAAATATAAAAAATAAAACCAAGGTAGTGTAACAATGCCAAAACAAAAAAAAAAAAAAGAAGAAGTAAATTTGTTATCTACTTGAACTAAGAAAGTGATTGAAGATGATGATGGATGGGAGATTTGCAATTTATTGTGTGAAATATATATTTTTGATTGCTCTCTTTTGTTCTTTTGTTCTTTTGTTCTTTGGTTCTTTGGTTCTTTTGTTTCATTTAGAACGCACAACTGTTGTACACAGGATTTCCTGTAGTCCTCTGCGCACCCACACGATCCACTGAGTTTTGTGGTGTACGATGATCGGACTGGTTTACGGAAGGATTTTGTTTGCGCCAATAGGCGTGTCTATGAGAGTGTGACTTGACCGGGAGGAATCACAGCAAGTGTACACGAGACCAGAAGGATCAGACAGTCAAGCTCATAAGTAACCCCACTCCTTGTACGTACTATAAGTATCCAATAATAATAGGAACCCATATTTTTTTTGTTTTTGGGCCAGAAGGAACTGCACTTTAGTCTACCTTTGTTTACACAAATAACAAAGAGAATGTAAACATGCGCCCGATAGCGTGCGTTATGAACAACTCTCTTTTGTGTTGCATAACTTGTATTCAAAGAAGATCGGCCTACGAAAACTTTAATTGGCATGGAGGAGAAGCTACGTCTGAGGCAGTGCTGATACCAGTGCACCACTTACTGTCTGGCTAGCTCCATTACAAATCACGACTTCAAAAGGAGAGAAACAACCTAACTTGAACGTTACATAGAGGAACAGCTAAAACTTTGGAATGCCATTTTTGTGTAATTTCACTATCGACTGATCTCTTCTTCCTTGTTTGGGCACGAGTACACTACCTATATTCTGATCCAATACAGCACAGCAAATAGCAAACAGCCTTGGTTCTTTTCTTCTTCAACGCGTGCTATGAACGACGAGACGGATCTTTTGCATCGGATCTGCCCTATTTTTTTTCATTGCCTTGGAGGCATAGTCTAGGCAAGTGGGAGAACAGTACGGGAAGGGTGACTCTCTTCTAGATAAGAAATCTTTATGGTGCAACGAGGCTTCAAGATTGCCACACGTAGAAGAGCTTGTCTATGATATCTTGAGAAAAGAAAAAAAAAACACCAGCAACACATCACGTAGAGAGCTTCGTATTCGTGTCTTGTTAGATCGATCTGAAGTGTCGGTGTTTGTTCAGATTTTGCAACAAATTACGCACAATTAAATATTTAGCACACTACTTCCGTGTTGCTAATACAACAATTGCAGAGTAGATAGAACTCAGTCTACATAGAGTGGTACTCATAAGCTCAACGTTGACGGTCTTCACATATGTGTACTCCAGCCCCTTGTTTAATGGCAATGTCTCTACCTCTAGATCAAGGTGATTTGAGTAAAGCAAAACTAACTACACTGTGCCTTAAAAAAGAAAGATTACTAATAAGACCGATCTACCGAATACTTTTTTTGTTTTTTTTTTCTTTTCTTTCGTTTTGCTACCGACGCGCGGATATATTTTTGTTTAGGCCCGAAATTTCAGTTGACAAGGCTGGCTCTCATCTAAGCCTCGCTTCGACAGCAACCATGAACGCGCGCTAAGGAAGTAGAATAGAAATGTAAACGGGCTGTAACTAACCTGTCACGCACACCAATATCGGTGCAGGGCCCAGTCAACAATAAGCCCTGCACTGGCTGTAGCATAGGTCCAATGTTCATCTTTTTGTCTTTTTTTTTTTTTTTCCTTTTCCTTTTTTTTTATTTTCTTGCACTGCAACATCTTACGTTGACAACAGCTACAAGGCTTTTACAAATGACTGACTCACCAGTCCCTAGCGCAATCCAACCAGATCTCCCAGTCTTGAAGCATCACACTTTCCCTATTCACACTTTGCCATCAAAATCTCTCTAAAAATAGCCACTGCTCTACGACTCCACTGCCTACAATATCTACGTCATTAAATCGTTTTTTTTTGTTTGCTCTTCTCTCTCTCTGTCTCGAGATTCTGTGTCACTCTGCAACAGAAGCAGCGTTTATTTCAAATTGTTTTAAATACCAATTGAGATTTTCAATTCCAACTCGATTAAATAGCAAGTTCTTTTACCAAAGTTTCAAGATAGCCTCCACTCGCTCCAAGCACATCATCCCCCCTGCACACACACACACACACACACACACACACACGCTTAACATGTCAGAGCTAAAAACGAAAAAGAAGCCCGTCGTGAGGTTCCAAATTATTCACTACTACTTGCTTCCCCTTGTCGCATTGGTTGTCTGGTGGGGTATGTTGATTGCTATGCTCATTTGTTGGGGTGTACAGGGAAGACCAATTTACAAATTCATGAATGGAGAATACCAGGATCCAGTATACTTGTCCGATATCGGTGCCACTAATTTACAACCATTGTTCATTAGTTGTGCCGGATTCCAAGCCATCTTTTTTGTCGGCACTTTGGCAGCAGGAATGTTTTTGAGAAAAACCCACAGAATTCAACCATACATCACTAAACACCAGCCCCGGTTGGCCATTGCCAGCATCATTTTCGCCATCATTGGACAATTGGGGATTTTGTTTGTGTCAATCTTCAACACCAAAAATTTCCATAATGTACACCTTTCCATGGTGGGTGTATTCATTGCGTTTATATTTTTTGCATGCTGTTGCGATTTTGGAATCAGTTTTGTATTTGGAACAAAACCAAGCTTATTGGATCCTGTTCACGATACGGTCATATTTGGAAAGTCGCGTACTAGCAACTTGTACTTTGTCAGTTTCGTGTCCAAGATTGTATGGTTGGTGGTGGCCATTGTACTCGCTGCTTGCTTTGGATACTACATGAAGCATGGAAACGATTCGTTATCTGCCAAATTCGAGTGGTGTATTTGTTTCTGGTATGGGTTCCTTTTAGTCCTTTGGAGTCTTGATTTGATTCCTAGTGCCGTTAGAAAATATAGATCGAAGCATCCAGAATTGTACCAGACTAACCAATATGATTATGAAAAACAACAAGATGGATCCAAATGGGAAAGCGATTTGCAAAACCATGCCAGGCACCCATCGTCGGAGATTGGAGATCAGCCCACATTTGTTAATTCACCAATTATGCAAAATCAAAGGTTAGCTCAACAACAGTACCCTAATGCTGAACAACACACTCAAGTTCCCGTTACTAATGCATATGGAAGACAAGAACCAGTTGCTGAGAATTATGGTGGTCCCGATGCTTATGGAAGACATGCAGCAGTCTCAGATCACTACAATGATCCTGACGCCTCTGGAAGACAAGAACCCCTTGCAGAAAATTACAACAACACGGCAGCCTACACTCCTGCGCCACAACAAGTTTACACAAGGTAGATTAATGTTTGTAAATGATGGTATTCTTTCCGTTCTAATAGTTTGTATTTATTTTAAATTCTAGATTTTCGTTGAGTGAAATGATATTGTGCTGTTATAAAGAGGGTTTCTATCTCTATATCCAGAGCGTCTTAACAGTAGGAACCTATAGCTTATGTTTTGGAACATCGCAACCGGTAGCGCCCACATTCCTCAGCGCTTAACCCAATCCCTCCAAATCTTTCTTTCCTCTCTGAGTTTTCCTTTTTTTTAGAACTGTCATCTTCCCCCTCCCCCTCCATCACATTCCACAATGGGAAATGACCAATACAAATGTGGGGAATGCTACAACCCAGTTCAGATAGATGAGAGCTTGAAACAGCTCAATTCGTCACAACTTAAATCGTTGATCAATGCAAAACAGAGTTTGGATATTAATGCTGAGAATGAATTGAACCCACAAGATTACTTATCTGTTGATAAGTTGAAGCTTTATGATCAGCTTCCGAAACAAGCAAGGCCAATGGTTTTCAAGAGCTACTTTGACAGCGAAGATGAGGATAGCGATGAAGACGAGGGAAATTTACACTTGGCTAATTCAAACACCAGTTCAGATATCAACTCGTATTTAGTAGTGGAAGAGGACCATGCGAATGAATCAGAGCAAGAAGTGGTGGACGAAGGAGGATTTGAACTTAGACTCTCAAGCCGTATCAAAGTTTTAGAAACCATATTCAACATTTTGTCAAATACCCAAGATATCGAGCATCCTCTTGGTGAAGATTGTGCTAATTTACTACTAGAGAATTATCAACTCAAGTTTGATCAATCGCAAAAGGAAAAAGACCAGTATGTGGCGTTTTTGCGAAAGTTGAAAATGCAAGATCAGAAATTGAATTTGCATCAAGAGAATGGAGAAATCTTGAACCATGTGGAAGATGGTAATCTTGATCAACTGTTGAGCGAATTTAAAAACTTGAAGGAGGTGGAAAGGGACCGCCTAAGTGAGTTGAAAAAGTTGGAGAATAACCGAAAAGAATTGGAATCAGAATTGCAATCAAATAAAGAAGAATTGGCATCAATGCAACACAAAGTAGATGATATACTACGACTCCGAAACGAGCTCCAGCTTGACCTTGGGGACAAGCAGACCAAATTGGAGCAGCTTAAAGCGTCATACAATATACACTTGAACCACATTGACAGTCTACGCAGCTCCAACATTTACAAGTTGATGTTTGATATCAAAATTTATAAAAAATATGCCATGATCAATGGATTTCGCATAGGTTACAAGATTGTCTTACCCGAGGTTAATGCTGCATTGGGACAAATTGTTTTACTTCTCACATTGATAACCAAACGCCTTGATCTCAAATTGATTCATTACAAGTTGGTCCCCATGGGGTCGCAATCACATATTGTCAAGTTTACAGATTCGGAAAATGGTACCCGTCAAAAGAAAGTTCTCAATTTGTATTCATCAGATGAGTTCACCTTGGGCCGGCTTTTCAATTTTAACAAGATGGATGTGGCTATGATTGCATTGTTGGAGATTGTTGCACTAGTCGAGACACAATTGAAAAAAATCGATACCGAACTAGAACTACCGTACAGGATTGTTAGAGATACCATTGGTGGAAAGAGCATACGCGTCACTTCAAACTCTGAATGGACTCAAAGTTGTAAGAATTTGTTGACGTGTTTGAATTGGATCTTGACATTTATCAGCGCACACACAAGCACTTGAGGCCAAGTGATGAAAGCTTTAATTCAATTGACATCATCAGATGGACGAATGTACGTGTTACTTTCTCATTACAGGTGGTGGTGACGTAAGTACACCCATATGAATTGGGCGTGTACTGACCAAATCTGGTTGCAAAACATCACCACACAACAAAGGGAGAGAAATCCGTTTTTTTTGACAACAACAGCAGAAAGCAGCAGCAGCAGCAGAAAGCAACAGCAACAGGCAGACAACTACTCCTCCTCTGGCCGTCTTGACTCTGCCACAATCCCGTCTGTCTTCTGTTGTGTTTACGATCGGTTAGTTTCATTATACCATGATTTCGTCAAGAAACTACCTAATAGAGAGTCACATCCGCGACACCACCCCCGTACGAAAGTATTCAGGGTCTGAAAACACATCTATGGAGCTTGAGTCGGGTTCGTTTAGCATTGACGTGGACAACACACCCACTAGAGCCAATTATCCTGCTTTGGGGGAGTACAATCATTGCATCATCAAGAGATCAAATTTCAGGCTTATTAACGAAGGTATGATTCCCAGAGTTTTACCTGAACCAAGGGCTGGAGGTACCACCAATTGCGTTCAACTGTTGCAAAGCACGTCAACCCCCTCTTCAAAAGTCAATTGTATTCGCAGCTCTCCGTTTGTTGCCAGCCTGGACTTTGGTTTCAAGAGAAGCTCACCCATGGTAAGTGCGTTGCCAGATGATTTTGCTAAATCCAACGAGGTGTACAGGCACATTTATGGATCCAGTTCCTTCATTGACAGCCCGTTTATTCACCGAAACTCGAGTGCCAGATCAAAGCTAAACCAAGATTGCATTTGGGGAGTCACTCCCAAGTGCAACAACGAGATCGTCTCTGTGCGAAACACAAGTGCAAGGAGAAGCAATGCATCATCGGTTATGAGCATTGAACTGATTATGAATCCAGTGTCGCCAGTGAAGAAAAAGCGTGTCGAATTTCGACCACTGCGTGGAAATGAGTACTATGGTGTAACTTTGGGAGCTACTCAGATTGAGGATTTTGAGTATGGAAAAGACTCGGATGTTCAATGGAGAGAAGATTTTTGCAGCACATCGTATAAGAAACACAATCAGTACGATCAATTTATCGTGACCATCAAACTACCCCACGACTTTAAATCGAGGCTCTTGGCTCTCAAGAAAAGAGGGGAACTCGGGGTTAAGGGCAATGTTCAAGCAGTTGGCGTCAACAAAGTTGGTGTTACGTCTTCAAAAAGACGTGGTAGAAGAAAGCGTGAGATTACAAAGGATGTGAGACACCACCAACCAGTCAAAGCAGTCCCAAATAAGAAGCTTGCAACCGAGAAGCAGTATCCGTTGGAGCCTCCTGTCAAACCACTTGCCAAGAAAGCCAAGTCAAAAAAGTACGATTCAGATGAAGAGTATATACCTTTTGCTGACGAGGAGTTTGATATTCCAAGGCCTAAAAAGCGCGTGAAATTGGGCCCTAATTGTGTCGCAAAGAAGAGAGACCCCATTGTGAGATCGAAACATGGGTGCTGGACATGCAGGATTCGCCACAAGGGATGCGACGAAGAACAACCAAGATGCGGCAATTGCAAACGGTTGAATTTGGAGTGTGATTTCTCTTCAATGCGTCCAGATTATATGCTGAATGATAAATTACATGCTGCAAAGTTGATTGAAATAAGAAGCGTTACTGATAAGATAAAGAGGCATGGTCCAAAAGTAGTTGGAACTGGTTGCTGATGCGTATGATGTTTTGCATTCTTGTATTTGTTTTATAGAGTTTGGCTATTGAATGGGTGATAAAATCTTCCTCCCTTTAGTAGTTGGGATTCTTGTTTGTGTTGTGTAGTCACAACAATGTGTCCTTTCCCCCTAAGCCATCTTGCGTAGTTGTGTCCAAACAAGAAAAGGTAGCAGAGAGAGAGAGAGAGAGAGAAAGAGAGACATAGATAAACTTCATTGATGTTACACTCTGTTCCTGAAAAAAAAAAAAAAACAACAAAAGAAAAAACAACAGAGGCATTTTCGTCGAGAGGAGGATCAAAGTATTTTAAAGCTCCTACCATACACAACTACTACTCTTTATCACCATCAAGATGCTAGATTTCTTAGTACTTGCGCTAACGCTCTTTAGCGTAAGCAATGCATTCTACTTACCTGGAGTAGCACCCACGGATTACAAAGAAGGCCAATCAATCCCATTGCTAGTGAACCATTTAACACCCGCATTACATCATGCATCATTGGGTAAAGGAACCACATCAACATACGTGTACTCGTATGACTACTACTACCCCAAATTCCACTTTTGTCAACCGGAAGGTGGACCCGTGAAGCAGCTGGAGTCATTGGGATCGATTATATTTGGAGATCGTATTTTCAACTCCCCCTTTCAAATTGCAATGTTGAAGGAGGTTCAGTGTCAGAAATTGTGCACTTCAACTTATCCAAAGGGGGACTCGGTGTTTGTTAATAGGAATATCAGGGCTGGGTACAGTTACAATTGGCTTGTTGATGGATTACCCGTTGCTAGGATTATCCAGGATTTGAGGACACAATCGCAGTTTTATGGTACTGGGTTTGATATTGGGGCTATTGATACTGATAACAAGGCTGTTTTGTTTAACCATTTTGATTTGAATATCAAGTATCATGAAAAGGGCGACGGCAAGAATTTTAGAGTTGTTGGTATCACGGCCACACCTGCGTCGTTGGATAGGTCGGCGTTGCCTGAGGATTCAGCACCGGAGACTTTGTGTGCGACTGATTTGAAACTGGTTTATTTGGATAAGGAGAAGGATACGCTGGTGTTGTTTACGTACTCGGTCAAGTTTGAAAAGAGCGATATTGCGTGGGCAACGAGGTGGGATCAATACTTGCATGTCTATGATCCCAAGATTCAATGGTTTTCATTGATTAATTTCTCATTGATTGTGTTGATTTTGGCTATTGTTATTGCCAATATTTTGGTGAGAACGTTGAAGAATGATATCGTCAAGTACAACGAGGTGAATTTGGATGATGACGTTACTGATGAAAGTGGGTGGAAGTTGGTCCATGGTGATGTGTTTAGACCACCTCCACAAAGATTATTGTTGTCGGTGCTTGTAGGAAGTGGTGCACAGATATTTTTTATGATATTTGTCACCATATTCTTTGCCTTGTTTGGATTGTTGTCGCCTTCGAACAGAGGTGCCTTGTCTACATTCTCCTTTATTCTTTACATTTTGAGCAGTTTTGTATCGTCATATGTGTCGGGATACTTGTACAGGTTCCTTGGTGGTGATAATTGGAAGTTGAACTTGATCCTCACGCCAGTTCTTGTCCCCGGTATCTTGTTTGGGGTGTTTGTGTTGCTCAACTTCTTTTTAATCTCGGTTGAATCATCGGGTGCTATTCCAGTTGGTACCATGGTTGCAATTGTTGTCATTTGGTTTGTGATCTCGATTCCATTGTCGGTTGTTGGATCAATCGTTGCTTCAAAGAGACCCTTGTTGGATGTTCCCGTTAGGACCAATCAGATCCCAAGACAAATTCCTCAACAGCCATGGTACTTGAAATTGATTCCTGTTACCCTCATCAGTGGTATTTTCCCATTTGGTTCAATAGCCGTGGAAATGTACTTTATTTATTCATCCTTGTGGTTCAACAAGATTTTCTACATGTTTGGCTTCTTATTCTTTTGCTTCCTTTTGATGATTATGACAACTGGTTTAATCACGGTGCTAATGGTTTACTACACATTGTGTTCGGAAAATTACAAATGGCAATGGAGATCCATGTTTATTGGTGGAGGATGTGCCGTTTATGTGTTTATCCATTCCATCTTTTTAACCGGTGGCGAAAAGTTGGCTGGATTGACGTCGTTTGTGTTGTACACGGGATACTCCGTTGTTATTTCGTTGTTGGTGTTCCTTTGTTGTGCCAGTGTTGGATTCATTTGTAGTTTATTCTTTGTCAGGAAGATCTACAGTCAGATCAAGATTGATTGAGAGTTGGAAAAGGGGAGAGACAAGAGACAGGTGTATAGAGTTGTATATTACAGAAAAAAAAAGAAAAGGAAATTGAGGAAATGAACATTTTCCATCATCTTTTATTCATAAAAGAGCCCTGCCATTGCGTGTCATTGAGTGTATTTTGGTGTGCATTCACATTACCTCATTAGATCAGATTTGATCAAGGGAATGACAGTGTTGATCCAGTCTGGGTTGGGACTCACTTTGGTGGAGAAATCAAGGGGATTCTCAGTGATGCTTTGTTTCAATTGTCGTATAGTTTGCTCATTCAATTGCAAATTGGTCAAATTGAGATTCAATAAATTGTAAGATATCGACAAGTTGCTACTGATTTTGGCAGTGTCATCAAACGTGTTATCGGCAATTAGTTTGACGAGCTTGATGGTGTAGAATAGTTGATCCACTGCTAAGTTCAAGCATGGGTTCAACACTTGTTTGTTGGACATTGTTCTTGTGCTCAAGTAGTTGGCAAAGTTTAGTATTGTTGTAGTTAACGTTTCTAATGCATATGCGAGCTTTACTGACTGATTGTTGCTGTTGTTGCTGTTGTTGTTGTTGTTGTTATCGTTGACCGACTCGAATAGCTCGTATTTGAGGTATAACAAGTTGGTGAAATGGGTGAGGAAGTCGTCCTTAGTGTCAGGTTTGTCAAGCTTGGCATTCGTGTATGAAGTAATAAGACTCGTTCTCATCTTGAACAAAATTGCCGACACAGTATGTACTTCATAAACGAGATCGTTCAAGAGTGACTTGTTTTTGTCAACAAATAAAGACAAATTGCAACTAGAAACAGTCTTTTGCACGCCTTCTTTTAAGCTGGAAATGGTGTCAACTGTATCCAAAGTGAGGTACAACTTTGCAATCCAGGTATCGAATTCTTTGTCATGCCGCTTCTCGTCAAATGTGCGGTCTATTGCATTCAAGTCATTCAAAAATGCTGCAGCCGTAGCGATACCCAACAGATAGTGGGTTCCTTTCAATAGCAAAGTATAATTGAGAACAATCAAGGTCAACGCATACAAAAGCGTTGATATCCGATTGACTCTTGATTGTTGGTACAACTGCTGTAGTTTGAAAAACACCGAAATGGTGGTGTAATCAGCAACAGTTTTGAAATTCACAAGGTCGTTGATGGATATATGGAAACATTCAACCAAGTTTTCAGTGGGTGCTTCATTACCACCACTGGTCTGAATCAACAGTACCAACTTTTCAACATCAAGTGGAATCACTGGGTATACAGGAGCAAACACTTTTCCATACACGTCTAAATCTGCCTTGAGCATATCCATTGGCGAATTTTGTTGCATCTGGCCAAACCCTCCCTCCACGGGTACTTGCAACTGCAGGTGAGATCTTGAGATATCCTGTCCTATGAATCCATTATACGGAGTTCCCGACTTTGATACAGTCATTGGTGACACTGGCATCGGTGCCCCTTGCAATACCATTGACTTGTTGATTCTGCCACTGAGACTGGATAATGACGTTATGGAATTTCTAGGAGATATGGATTGTGAGTTGGTGCGCATCATTGGAGGGCGGTGTTGTTGTGAGGATGAGGACCTGACTGAGTAGAAATCTTCAGACTCACTATCACTTAAAAGAAATTCGCTATTGTTTGAGTGTCTGAGGATGGGTAGTTTTGTGTTTGTTGTTGAGGTTGAAGAGATGGAGTCTATTGAGGAACGTCTTCTGCTGGTGCCGCCACCTGCACTTGTCACGCTGCTGATGGAGGAGCGATGGTGGGGGCCAGTAGCTCTAGGCATTTCATAGGGAACTTTCCAGAAAGGTCCTTGAATCGGTGGGCTATTGTTGTTGCTATCGTTGGCGCTGTTGCTGTTGACATTGTTGTTGGAATTGCTATTATTTGGTGGCGGTTGTGGTGGCTGCAATGCCGGCGGCGGCGGCTGTCCACTTGTGTTTAGCTGCAGCGGAGTGCTAGACGGAGTTGTGTTGGAATCATTCAAATTCGCCGTGATGACCTTGTGTATAGCTGGTGGAGTAGACCTTTGATTGTAGCCTATAATTGGGGGAAGTTTGATGGTGGACATCTGCTGCGAGTTTGGTCGTATTTGTGGAAACGGTAAGCTATTTTGAGGAAATTGTTGTTGTTGAGGGACTTGCTGTGGCTGGGAGTGGGGGTGATCGGCCACTTTGGTGGGTGAGAAGGCGTTAACAGGTTGTGGTTGAGCAACATTGCCGTTTGTTGAAGGCTGCTGCTGCTGCTGTTGTGGTTGCTGTGGTTGCTGTGTGGGATGCACTCCGGTGCCAGTAGTGCCACCACTTTCAATTTCCCTATCTTCATACTCCTTCAGATACCCCTTGGATGGCCCTCTTTTCAACGGTGTTCTTGAAAACGTACATTCATCTCCATTTTTTTGACAATTGTTACATATCTGAGTCACTTTGTTTAGCGTAGTGGAGTATTCTGCATTGCATTTGATCTTCTTTCGTCGACAAGCGTCACATGCGCGAGATATTTTGGACCGTTTGCGGGGTGGATCACGAGAAGAGTCGGTTCCCGATACAAGTTTATCTGTTTCTGATGGTGATCCAAAAGAGGGCGCCTGTTGGTACTGCTGCTGCTGCTGTTGTTGTTGTTGTTGTTGTTGTGGTCCTGGAAAAGGTTCAGCACGTGCATGCCTCGCTTGTGAGTCGATATTATTGTGTTGATGTGCAGGTGCATGAGCATGCTGTTGTTGCAGACCAGAGGAGTCCATTGTTGACCCTGAATTATCCTCGCTGTGCTCCTTTCTCTTGTGTTGTGTTTCGGAGATGATGTTGTTGATTGAAGGGATTGACTTTGTTGGCAGCGTTGAGGTCATGATCATCGTGCCAAGTAGCAATATTTTAGGCTAACAGTCAAAAACAAAAGGGATCGGTCCTCGATGGTATTCCGTTAGGTTTTCACTGAACCTATTAGTATGGAGGTAATAGAAAGGTATACAATGATGGGGTCAGTCAATCAGTCAAACCAGTTAGTGCTTGGTTTTCTTCCCTTAAATTCCTTTCGCTCTCTGTCTCTGTCTCTGTCTCTCCACAGGAAAAAAAATTTGTTGTATGGGGTTTTTATTAATTGTCTCTTTGTGTGTGTGTGTTTTGGAAAACAAAAACGCCGCCCGTTGAAACTCGGAACAAAAGTAAAAAATTATCATCGGAACAAACGAGAAACAAAAAAGCAGAAAAATCTTTGGAATCACAGACAGAGAGAGAAAGAGAGACAGAGAGAGAAAGAGAGACAGAGAGAGAAAGAACAGCAAAGTAATTGACTTATACTTTCAACAGGATAGGGGTGAGGGAAGAGGGGGAACATATGCCAAAGTGTGAGTTGTAAAGGACGTATGTAGGGGTACTTTGCTCTTATTAAACCTTCCTAGTTCCTTAGTGGTGTAATACACATTTGTCGTAGAGACATGGGATAAATATTCCATCCTTTTACGAAACAATATACTTATTCAAATACTCGTATGCGTTCGATATTGAAGTTGGTCATGCGATGGTTGCAATTTACATGTCAAGGACGTTATTTCTACAGATAGTATGAGGTTAAGTGGTTGTGTTATCCACCTGGGTTTTTTTCATCTGCGCAAGCAGGTTTTTTCCCGTATGTTTTACAACACTGTCAGGTCCTGTTTAGTGGTGGAGGAGTAGGTCTGCCCTACTTCAAGACCATTGAACTTAGACATATTCTTTTTTTTTTTTTTTTACCCCGAAGCTAGTTGTACGCTGTTAAGGGTTTGGCTTGATGCTGTGGCTTGCTGTGCTATGGTTGATAACCTGGCTGATGGTGATGGTGATGCTGATGCTGATGCTGATGCTGATGGTGTTGGTTTTGAAAAGGTGGTTTAAAGGAGAAAGGTTGTTTTGTGTTGTAAGGGAACAACTGGCGATGCATTAACGTCAGTTTGGTCTGGTCTATGAAAAGGAGTAGCAGCAGATTCAGAGTCAGTGACTCTAGCAGAAGACATCGTGGATATATATATATATATGTATAGATAGATTAGATAATTACCTTTTTGGATCAGGTTGATTTCTTGAAGATTAGAAGAAAACAGAAAGACTCTCTTTTAACTTAAGAGCAAATTAGAATTTGGGAAATTTAATCCCTAATTTATAGTGTTGATGAAAACTGCGCACATGGGATGAAAACACCCACGTGGCCTTGCTGGCAATAGAACTCCCTCTGAAGTTCACCAGTGCAAGGATTATATTAAATAGATTGAAAAGCCCACGTGGCCTTGCTGGCAATAGAACTCCCTCTGAAGTTCACCAGTGCAAGGATTATATTAAATAAATTGCAAACCTTAATTTAGGTTGCGAATAAGATTTTTTCTTGAAAAAGGTCGTGTGTAATTTACAAGAAACTTTATTTAAAAGATTCCTTGAATTATCTCACTTCAACATTTTGTTTTTAAAGGAGCCGCCCTTACTGGTGGTCAGCTGAAATGGTGTAACAGGTTCAGCATGTTTTCATGTGCCGGCCTGTAGTATTTTGCTGGTTACTCGCCTCACTGCCTAATGTGCAATGTGGGAGAAGAAGAAACGCATTATTTTATTTTGTCAGTTTTGTGCATTCCTACCATATTTTCCAGAAAAGATTAAAAGAAAGAGGAAAAGGGGCCGAAAGTAAAAGGGAACTTTTTTATTTTTTTTCTATTTTTATATCTTTTCTATATATTATAGGTTTTCATAGCTTCTTTTGTTATCCCAAGCTTAGTGCAACATCCCATTCCCTTATCAAATTCATAAAACCCAAATTCTCTTCCTCGTCTTCGCCACTGGCTCTTCTTTTCCAAATCTCATACACTATTTGTTTTGCTCGCCAGTGGTTCGATTGAAGTTCATACCCAGGACACGTTTGCCAAATGCGTTTGATTCGATCCTGAGTTGTTGTTTCGGTTGCAACTGATCCAGCAATTAGCAAATTCCAAAACATGGGTTTATAACCAAGTTGTAACTGTCTTGCACCATCAACTGCTAGACATAGATAATCCAAACATTTCTTCACCACAGCTTGATGTTGCTCTATATCAAAATCCTTCTTCATTAGTTTGTTGTGACATATAATCACTGCCTGATGAAAGGAGTACACATGGTTGAGTAGAAAACTATGAAACCTGTCTTGTGGGTTCAAACTCCAACTCAGTTGACTTATGTTCCACCGAAGTAATTTATCCTCTACTTCAGCACATATACGCGGGAAATTTCGAGGAAATACCCGTTTCACACTAAAGATGTTTTTGTGGTTTGCCAAGTGGATTGATTCATGGAATATATGTAGCAAATCTTTGGGTATACCATACATCAAATAAATAAGCTCGGTGTCCAAAGTGGTGGTGAATTTGATATTCAAGCTGGGGGCAAACTTAATCTGCGAATACAAACTCTCAATAGTGTCACCCCCTGTAATTTCATACGCGGCACTATATTGTCTATTGTTGTTGAAATTAATGGTGAAAGCTGTTGGCACATAATCCATCTTTGCTGGACCACTAACTGAAAGTAAATTTCCAATACTTGGTTTATTCTTGGATTTTTGCTCTTCCTCGTCTTCATCCTCTCCCTTTTCCTTTTCCTCTTTTTCGTTGTCCTCATCGCCATCATCATCATCATCGTCGTCGTCACCGTCATCGTCGCTATCTAAATCTTCAATCAAGTTGTAATCCTCCTTCAAATCTCTGTACCGTTTTTCATCTTCTTTTTCCATTTGATAGTTGAACAAGTTGATTGCCTGAGTACTCTCATACATGAAATACTTAATCTTGAAAGCATTGATCAAAAACTTGTTCATGGTACTGTTTCGCGTCCTTGTTTCCAACTTATTCTTTATAACAAAGTCGCCAATGGCGTATATCAAGTCCAAATTTTCAAAAACACTAAACATACTATCAAGCTCAATCTGAAGAATCAAAGCTAAAAGTAACATTGTATCATAATCTTCAACTGCCTTACCACCCCTTTGTCGTTCAGCAATCACATCCGACTCGTCCAAATGATAGTTCAACAACTTGATACTGAGTTTCCGCAACTCAATACTAATCTTTAGAAACTCATCAATCTTGTACTCATCATCCTCATTCTCTTCATGCAAAGACGTCCGTTTGGACGCTTTAAACGCACTAAGACCCAAACACAAATAAATAATACACAACTTGATACTTTGCAACAACTGCTTATCGTCCAAATCCTCCAACTCTTGCAAATCATTCACATCCCAAAATGCAAAATCCCAACATATAAATTGTCCCACAATCTGCTTAACATAAGGGATAACCAATACATCAAAGTAATTTTGGTTCATCCCAATACGATTCACACTAAACAAGTCCAGAGTGAAATGATCCAATAGGTTGCGAAATAATGGATATAGCGTCAATTCATTGTTTCTCTTGGTGTAAAGCTTGCTATTGACTAGAGTCGCATTGGCAAACCATGCGTCATCAGAGTCAATATTGGGGAAAAACTTGGGGTACAAGATATGCAACATGTTTTGATCGTTGAATTTGTAGTCTGGTCCCTTGATGGCTAGAATGGTGAGTTTGGCAAAGTTTAAAAGATCGTAATGGACATAAGTGTTGTTTGTTCTGGAGAATACCGAGGAGTTGTTGGATTTGGTGGTGGGAGAAGTAGCGATGGTGGTAGTAGTAGTAGAAGTAGTAGTAGTAGTAGTAGTAGTGGTATTGGTAATATCCGTAACCGTCTTTCGCCTCTTTTTCGTTGGCGGAGTTATTGGTTCTGCTGCTGTTGTATTGATTGGCAAAGTCATGAGTGGGGTTGCCGCCCATTCATCCTTCAGTGCGTCATGTACCCCCCTTTCCATCTTCGGTATATCAACGAGTCGAAAGCATCTAAACGGACCCAACTTTGCCTTGCCTGAAACCACGGCTGAGTCGTCCACCCTTTCCAAAACCGAATTCAACTCCGCATATGTCTCGTAAAGCATTTCTCGAGGAAACTCCATCAAATCCACGTTCCTCCTCTGCATATTGTCCGACTCGTTGTCGTAACCTAGTTTCAAACTGATCATGCTCTTATCTCGAGATATGGTTACTGGATCACTCCATCTCAAACGTATGGCGTAGCCAAGACATTCTCGTTTCAGTTTGACACAACGCGTACAAAATGGCTTGGTCAAGTCACACTTCACCTTTCTTGAACGACATGTCCAGCATCCGTCAAATGTTCGCTCTTTTCTGGCCATGAAAAATAACCAGATATTGTATATTTGTGTGTGTGTGTGTGTGTGTGTGGAGGAGGAGGAGAGACAAAATAGAAAAACCAGGAGAGGGAAAGATGCTTTTATAGTTTGATTCCGAATTTTGAAATTCGCGATAAACAATACAACATCACGAGAAAACAATACACAAGATTACACACACAACACAACCCCCTGTGTCGTGCGCTATGAGTATGTCCACGTTGCCTGTGGAAACTGCGGAAGAGTATGATCCTTCAGTACCGGTCGTATTGCCTCATGAGAAAGTGTACTCCATCCAAGTCGGGTATAAATTGTTTCGTTTGAGCGGATTGTCGTTGTCTTCAGATTCACCCTCGTATTTTACAAAATTCTTTGGGGATGAAGTGAATGAGGAGAAGGTGCTATTTTTTGACCGAAGTCCTCAAATATTTGAGAAAATCTATAGTCACCTACAGGGGTACTCCATCAACATCACCAATGACTACGAGTATATGCACCTTTGGAGTGATGCATTTTACTTTGGTTTGCAACGGTTGCAGAAATTGATGACGGACCAAGATATTTTTGCTAGTGTTGGCGACCAAAGCTTCAAGATACCCAAAGTGTTATTGCAGAATGAGGGCAATTGCCCCAATTACTTTACGATGAATTCGGAACGGTTGTTTTTTGATAATATAGCGGTGATTGAGAGAAACCGAATGTTGAGACCGCCACTACAAAGACCAGCTATAGTTGGCGGTCGATCCCCCAAGCTATTTTCAGATCTTTTGGAGTATCTTAGAGGAAACACATTGGTGATTCGCAATGAGGAGCATCGGCAGTTGTTGCAAAAAGAAGCGCGATACTACCGGTTTCTCGAATTAGAGCAGCGAATGGTGAGGCATAAAGTGGTTGATGATGCAATTGTCATCAACTTGATGGATTTGAGTCGGAAAGGTATGGTTAACATCTCCCCCAGTAATAGGATGACTGAATGTCCTATGAGATATGCTCGGCCGTATATCGATGAACCGGCAAGAGACTTGATTTTCCAAATTGATCACCTTTCTGACGTTCGACAAGCTCAATTGTTTTTGAATAAAAGCACAAAGATCCCAACTGCAAAATTTGAAGGCAAGGTATTCGCCAAGATTGCACAAGTGTTTAAAGATCTTTCTGAAGGATTGATTCAAGAGGAGCAGTCAATTACGTTTCTCGTGGGGTTGGCAAATCTGAGAACAAGTATAAATGGGAAAGAAATGATGCCAGGATGGGTTGGTGATTTGTTGCTGGCTGTGGGTGATGACAGATCTGTAAAGGTTGAAGAGGAGAAGGAGGAAGATAAAGAAAGCGTGTTGAAGAGACGGAAACTCAATGTTCAAGGAGAGGTTGTTAGGATATACCTTAAGCGATCCATGTGGAGGCTAATGATGAGAGGGACATTGGCAAGACTAGAGGCAGTAAATCTTGAAGGATTGACCAGTCCAGTACAAAGTGTGGACTTTCTATAGACAATACGGTCATCGATTATATTTTACTCTGTTAGATCTATAAGCTCCGCTACTTACTTATTTACATTCGTTTCAATATGAATCCTCCATACATGTACCTGGAAACAAAACTGACAACGGTGCCAATAAATGCACAACATGTCAAGAAGTAAACCAAATTATCAAAACTGGCGTGGGAGCCGGTTGCAATTGCACTACCAATGGGCAACCCTACTAAATCACCAAACGACAATACAAAGAAAGCCGTTCCCAATCCCTTACCAACATCAGATGTTTTGACAATCGACGCCACCAAACTTGCTGATAGACTAAGCACTGACCCGCTTGAAAATCCAAAGCATCCTGAAAATACATACATTGCAGGTAAATAGTGACCAAATGGAATCCAAATGACACAGAATATAAGCAATGAAAAGCAATTGATCACGCAAAATGTATTGAATCTACCTAGCCACTTGTCGGCAATAATACTCGGCACAATACGGCCAGGGATACTGAATGAGTTGAACACCACCACCAACAAGTATGCATCAGAATCAGAAAACCCTCGGTTGGTGGCATAGAGCGGTATTTCAACCATGGAGATCAAAAATGCCAACCCATTGAAAAGTAGCCCACCAACAATGACACCAAACAATGGGTTCCTGTAAACAATTTTGAAATCAATCGAGTGAAACATTTCTTTTAAAACACTGCCATTGCCAACATCACTAAACTCTTCTTTTCTATCAGTCACCATCAACCAACCCACAGCCAATAGAAACAACGACAAAAATGCACCTACACGAATTGACCAACCAAACCCAATTTCAGGGAATAGGGACCTAAAGAGCAACGGGAAGATGACTCCTCCTAATCCTCCTCCAGAATAGGCCAACCCCAATGCAATTGCCCGTTTCGTACAATACCAATGGCTAATCACTCCCACAAATGGTCCAAATGTGAATGCGGCCCCAATTCCAGCAAGAAACCCATAAGCCAAGATGAACTGCCATACCCGATGGCAGAAACTTGTGGCGAGTAGGCCCAAAAACATGGCGATTCCACCACACATTATGGGGCCTTTACATCCAAATTTATCAAACACTGGGCCCGAGACTAGGGTTCCGCCAAAAGCAAAGAAGTTGTACAAGGAGAATATCCAACTTATTGCCGTTGAAGGTTCATCTTTTAGACTGTGCTCTGATACGTAGGACTGTATCACACCAGCGGAATTGACAAACCCTAGTGCACCCGTGAGTCCTAGAAAGGAACCAATCACTGTCAATACTGCCTTTGTGTGGAGCCCGGATGGGAAATTTGATGGGTCGTCGAGCAAATGTAGACCATTGCTGGTGGTTGAGGTTTTAGATTCATTTGAGGTGGCTAGTAATGTAGGTGTCGTATCGAGTTGTACATTAGGTTCTGGTGTTGTGACTTTCTCTTCGTCCAGTTGGCTTTTTGTCATGATTGCGTAAAAACGTAGACACGTAGACCCGTAGACCCGTAGACCCGTAAACCCGTTGTGATTAGTATAATGAGGCAAACTTATCAGTTTGCGTTTGAAATTTCCATGACATTCTTTGTAGCCTCTTTTTATATAATTTTCTAAATGCGCTTTTGTAGGTGAAAAAAAAAGAAAGTAAAAAAAAAACAAAAATTTTAGAGAGAAACGCAATGCGAAAAATTCCGCTTTTTACTCAAATGCAGCGCAAAGCTGGGTCTCAACGTAAATGGAGTACTTGGTAAGGGTATAAAATGAGCTTTTACGGTCTTGTAAGCTAATTCCAGAGTGCTACCCCTTTCAATTATGGTTAGAGGGGTCAAAGAAATAAAAAGTACTTGCATGATCGTGAGCGGAATTGAGATGCCGAGAGTAAGAAAAAAAAAGAATTGGCACATTTGCGATTGTGTAATTTAGGATTTAAAATCTTTTACAAACTAGAAGGTAGGTGCGGCACTGCAGTGATGTCGGATGCCAGGAGTTGATACTATGGATTTTTTTTTGTGTTTTTTTTTGAGACGGCAATAGCAAGCACAACCCACTATAGACTTCATCACATCCGGAGGGAGTGGACTACAATGATGCTTAAACCTTTGAAAATACAAGGTTCAGTTGGGAGCTGCGTCTTTGTGCTGTGACTTTTGTGCGTATGTTTTCCGTCGGAAGACCCGAAAGAGTTCTGAATGAGTAAAATGTTCTTGTGTGGAGCCTTACCAGAAAGGGAATAGGATTTGTATTATATGTCTTTGCAGTCATAGTGGATAATAGAGAGAGCGTGTGTGTGTGTGTGTGATGACTACGGCAGATCTTAATGGCTGAAAGTTCCGTTCATATGCAGAAATTGAATTACCACTTCACAAAACACAGGATATTTTACTGAATCAATACAAACATTCATACGTTCTTTCCGTAAGTAGCAGCGGCTAAACTGTTGTACAAGATTATTAATTCATCATGCTGTTTCTTCCACATCTGATTCATCTAACACAGTACAGACACTCTGATATAAAATCTTGGCTCTATACGAAAGTAAGAAGCTTAGTACCAAATTTCAGCCGTAACTGCAACAATCAAGGACTGAATATTATGAAATCTTCATACTCCTAAACCAAAAGTTGTCTTTGTGCGACAAAGATAAATCCGATAACTCACATGCATGGCGGTTACCAGCTTTGATAAAATTAGAGTTTAATCTAACACGTGTAAATGATTGGTCAGTTAAGGCTTGGGTTGATGCACACACCGAGTGGTTGGAATCAACCTCTTGTTCTAACCCTTTTCCGTGAGACACGTGTGGCCACGTTGCATCACTCCAATTTGAGTTAGTCTCATAGAAAAGTTTATATAAAAAGACCAAACTCTCCTCCCCCTTGGATCGATTTGATCCCCACTATCCCATTTAACTGTGATACTTGTCTCAACACAATCTCTCGGTATTCGTCATTAAGTTAATATGAAGTATTACCACAAAGACAAGAGAATCGACGATCTTGCCAAGATAGTCAAAATTTTGACGTGTGTCGTGGTGTTAATTTTGATTGTATTCATAATCCTGTATGAACACACAAATTGGTTTGTCAATCACGACACGATAGACTGGTCTTCCAAAGAGTTACTTAGAGTGCCTCACTATGGTGCTGAGGTAATGTCCACTAAAGCTTACTTAGAGAGGAGGAATTGATGGGCTTGGTTTACTGCTGCTGCGGTTGGTGGAATGATGGTTGCTGCTGCTGGTCTTGCTGGAAGTTTTTGGGTTAATTCATGCGCCAACACTGCCGCGGTTGCCACTCCAGGGTGCTGGTATGCAGCTGCTGGGATTTGTGTTGTTGGAGGAATTGGGACTGCGTTGACAGCGGCTGCGGGTGCTAACTTGGGCAATGCTAAACGAGACAATGCAGTTGGAGGTGTTTACAGGCACGGGTATTTGGGGAAATACCATCTTGATGAACACTTGAAGACAATAATATTGAACCAAGTGAATGACGCATTGTTGTCTATACCTGGTGTAAGTGATGTCAGGTCATTTCATATAGCTGACTTGGATGCTAGAAGCTTCGGTGACAAGAGAGACGTAACAGTAGATGACACTACAGCCAATGCAAATGTAATTATATGGACTTCTATCCATGGCAACCATGCAGCATTGTACACTTCTGGTGTCAAGAATATTACTGACTTCGCCCATTATATTCGCCATTCGCAACCAGTGCCCGCCAACACCGAAACCACTGACAGGTATCACAACTCCACCAGTGTTGTCAACAAGAGAGTCAGACGCGGACAGAACTACTTTGATGTCAACTACGTCGGAATTGGGATAACGCCAACCACGACCTAGCCAGGGTGCTTTCCCAGGATCGTGGGATGGAAGAAATATGGGAATACGATCAAGAGGTGCCTAATTTTTTCCACAATAACGGCGGTTGCAAGTATTGTGCAACAGCAACTGTGAATCCTATTCGTGGAAAAAATGGGGGATATGATGATATTGGGAGAGAAAATGCCGTTCATGGACAATTTTATTTCAACACTTATGGTGGTGTTGATGGGTATTGTAATGATAATAAAGATGGAGCTCAGTGCAGTCAGTCTGGATGTGGGCAATAGAAGACTGTGTCTCTTTGTTTAGTTAGATTAATCACACTTTTATTATGGGCTTTCGATCTGCACTACTTGTAGGTTATCAGAGTCTACTAAGCAGCGCAGCGCTACCATGATGATGGTAGCTCCTATCGCAGATTTGCACCTTTTACTTCTTCTAAGTGCATCTCGCGCGAGGATCTCAAAAACAGAGGAAAAAAAAAAAAAATTTTTTTCATTCAAAAAACCCAATTACCATTCTTTTCTTTTTCTTCTACAGGTTCAAAACAGTATTGATAATGATAAACTAAACAAAGTGTATGTTGAAACTATTGCAAACCTCCAAGCAGTGTCTTTTTTCTCTTCATATGATGACAACTATTTTTTCCTTAGTGTCTTTAAGATCGCAAGATCAGTGTGAGCACATGATTTCTCAAAATAGACTACAACGGTATCTGAACTTTGGTGAAAGAAGGCATTGGCATGGTGAAGAATGTTTTCCTGTTTGAGTAACTAACCTTGTGTTTATTAGTTAATGGGGAAAAAAAACTCGAGATTATTGAATAAAATATACCAAAAGCCGTTGCCAATTGATGTTGCTGTAAATGTCGCTGTTGTATTAACAAATCCCATTTCGTGGTTTGAGTATGTTTGGAATTTCATACGTGTCAATTTATGGAACACTCCAGATGTAAGCAAAATCGATGTTGTTTGTGACAATGGTGTGTTTAAGGTTGTTAATGCTGATTCGATGGTTAAGTTGTGGAGGGAAGGCTTTTTTGGCAAGGGTGTTTTGTCGAGATCTGAGCCTACATGGCACGCAAGAACCGTATCTAGGCTCAATGGCGATGCTGATGATGGAAAATCGAGTGGTGTTGCCATGGAAGATGTAACAAAGAGTCGGAGACATGAAAGGATAGAGTTTAAGCGACAGAGACAAAGGTTGCAGGATTTGCAATTGAAGCAGAGAAAGGGGTTGATTGAAGAAGAGGAGGTGGTTGAGATGGCAAAGTTGGATGAGCAATTAGTTGAATTTAGGAGAAAGGATTTTGTCAATGTTGAAGAGGCCGAAGTTGGGATGAGGGACGAAGATGCTGATATTATTGACGGCAAAAATGGTTCTGTTGTTCAATTGGAGTATATGCAATTGCAAGCTGTGGAGGTGTTTTTCTTGCAATTTGCACTTGATAAAGTCAGTGTTTGTGATATATCGCTAAAGCAATTGTTTATCCAATGTTGTCAACAATATGAGCCGTCATCTCCAATTCTGTCCAACAACAAATTCATTGTCAATTATGTTGTGTATCACTATTTCAGATCCAAAGGTTGGTGTGTGAGATCGGGTATCAAGTTTGGCACTGATTATTTGTTGTATAAACGAGGTCCACCGTTTTCGCATGCCGAGTTTTGTGTGCTGGTCATGCAAGATAATCACCAAAATGACACCAGTTTGTATGATTGGTTTCAAATATGCGCTCGAGCAAGAGTTATTGGTAGTGTAAAGAAGAACTTTGTCCAGGTTTATGTGGTGGCCCCATTGCAAGCAGAATTTGATGAGGTATTCGCTACCACAAACATTGATGAGGGACTAATGTTTAGGAAGTTATTGAGCATGTACAAAGTGTCGGAAGTGTTATATAGAAGGTGGAATCCTAGCCGGACTAGAGATTGAATAAACAAAACGCCATGTAAATAATTATCAATGTAACTATAGCGGCCTCTCTCATCGCGGTACAAAAACAGAATGGGAGAAGAGAAGTACAAAAAAAAAAATAAATGGAGGAGGTATTGAGACAGGCACACGACCTCTGTTGAGTGGAAGTTTGAAAGGGCTTATCTAGAAGTATAGCAGAGTTGTTTTTACACAACGGAGTGTTTGTGTTGGATAACTTTGTCGTGTAAAGTTCTTACTGGGAGCAGCTCTACCCAACCGAATGACGTGTATGAAAGGGATTCGGAAAAGAAGATGAAATTGTAACTGTTGATTACAAAAAAAAAGAGAGAAGTTGGTTTATATGCAGTACTCTCTAACAGAAAAATAAAAAGCAAAAAAGCAAAGAAGCAAAAAAATAAATTTGTTTTTGTGTTGTGTGCGTTGTCGTGTTGTCGTGTTGTCGTGTTGTGTGTTGTATGCGTGTATATAAATCACATTCTTTTTCCCAATTCTTTTACTGGCAACTGCGAAAGAAAGAAAAAAAGTTGAAATGTCACAATATATTGATCTGCGACACTATTCTACGACACCATAAACAAAAATGTCTAATCTACGCCATTTGATGAATCACGATGATGAGGTCGAAGGTGGGAACCGCAGTACTGCCATTAATGGAACTGACACTTACAAAACCCATAGAAGTGTAAATAATTCATTCAGTATAAATAATCTTGTCAATGGGCCTGTGCCAAGCAACACCAACAACCAGGAAGATCACCAAGCTGCTCCACTTCCAAAACTCGAATACAATTATGCTACCCCACAACAAAACTCGCTATACAGTAGTGGGGTAAGTGGCTTTCTCAACACCCAGTCTCCATCTATACAACCCGCAACTGACAACGAAGAACAACAACATACGCCGACAAATAGCATATCTCAAGAACAAATATTGGCCAGTTTTGAACGAATCAAGACCCATTTCCCTGCTGCCAGGATCAAAAAAATTATGCAGAGCGATGAAGAAATAGGTAAAGTTGCACAAGCGACACCGATTATAGTCGGAAGGGCATTGGAAATCTTTATGGCCAATTTGGTCGAAGTGTCTGTACTACAAGCAAAACAACAAGGTGTAAAGAGAATCACAGCGTCGCATGTCAAATCTGCTATTGAAAATACTGAACAGTTTGATTTCCTTGTTGAGGCCGTGGAAAAGTATCCATCGTTGAAGAATTGAGAGGTCAAAAGAACTTACGCTGTACGGGAGGGGGTGGGGAGGGGGGGTCAAGGGTCCAGATCCAAAGTGTCGAAAGTGTCGAAAGTGTCTGTTTTCGCTCATGCTGATGGTTGCGAGAAACCTGGTTTGGACTATTATTCAGTTCTTTACATATTTTGTATTAAGATGTATTGATCGCATGTATAGGAAATATAAACGAGGTGACGATGATGAAGACGCGTTAGTAGTTGTAGATTTTTCTAATCCACCAAGAGCATAAAAGGCAAAGAGATCATTCTCATGATTGTTTTATCTCCGGAGTAAACTTTATACCGCCGAGCGCCGCTGCAATTACTCCATTGGGCAACAAATTGTTCGACGGGGGGTGTAAAAGAAAAAAGGTGAGCTTTTGCATTCAAGTACACAAAACTGGGCGTCATAAAAAACCTGATCACATGTTCCATTCTGCTCTGCTCTGTTCTGCTCTGTTCTGCTCTGTTCTGGTCAGCAATCATTCAAAGAGAACAACCACCAAGATGTAAGAGCGGTGTGTTGATATCTTGGATAAAGAGTGTGGATCCATAATTACGCCCTGTAAAGAGGGAACACAACCAGGTCTATCAAACTGACAGTCAATCCTTGGATTGACGTCTTCGAGCGCTTCCAATTACGTATTCGCCATTTTCCTTTTTCTTTTTTTTTCTGCAATATCCTGCATGTAGACTGTGTTACTCCGAGTTTATAAAAATGAATTGCTCTCCCGCAATTTCCATTCCTATCTAATCCAATTGATAAGTACAGTGTATTCTTTCTTCCTTCATTGACAAGACCAGCTACATTAGTCCAAACATGGTACAATCAAAGTCAAACACTAGTCTTGCAAACAGAAGACAATCGTCTTTCTTTTACAATTTGCCTCAAGCCGACCCTGATGTCTACTACGTCGGTGTTGATGTTGGAACTGGTTCCGCTAGAGCTTGTTTAATTGACACCAATGGTATCATTTTGGGATTGGCTGAAAAGCCCATTTCAAGACAGGAATTGAAGCCAAACTACATTACCCAAAACTCAACCGAAATTTGGAATGCCATCTGTTATTGTGTCAAGCGTTGTTTGAGTGAATCTGGAGTAGACCCTCAGCACGTTTTTGGTATTGGGTTTGACGCCACTTGTTCCTTGGTTGCTGTATCCGAGTCTAATGATACTCCTGAATCCGTTGGTCCAAATTTCGACGATAAGGAGGAGAATATTATTTTGTGGATGGACCACAGGGCCGAAGATGAAACCAACGCAATCAATGCCACTGGTGACAAGTGTTTGAAATACGTTGGTGGACAAATGTCAATTGAAATGGAGTTGCCAAAGATGAAGTGGTTGAAACACCACAAGCCAGGTGGAATTGATGATTGCAAGTTTTATGACTTGGCTGATTTCTTGGTTCATAAAGCCACCGGCACCGAGACTAGAAGTTTCTGCTCTGTTGTGTGTAAGCAAGGATTTGTCCCAATTGGCGTTGATGGTTCTGAGACTGGTTGGTCAAAGGACTTTTTGTTAGCAGTTGATATGCCCGAATTGATTGAAGACAATTTTAGAAGATTGGGTGGTATTCCTGGTGTCAATGGTAAGTACCTCACTGCTGGAAACATTGTGGGCAAATTGACCGATAAATCGGCTGCGGAGTTGGGATTGTCTCATGAGTGTATTGTTGGTTCACCAGTTATTGATGCTTATGCAGGATGGGTAGGAACCGTTGCTGCTAAAGCTGAAGTCCCTCTGTTACTTGAGGAGAAGTACGATGGAACCATTGGAGATGCGTGTGGTAGATTGGCTGCAGTTGCAGGTACATCTACTTGTCACATTGCCATGACCAAAGAAGCTTGCTTTGTCAAGGGTGTTTGGGGTCCTTACAAGGACGTTATGGCTGAAGGATATTGGCTAGCAGAGGGTGGTCAGTCAATTACAGGTCAATTGTTGGCCCATGTGTTGAGTATCCACCCGGCAAACCAAGAATTGTTGAAGGCTTCTGAACAATCCAACATTTCCAAGTTTGACTACTTGAACTCGTTGTTGGAGAGAATGGTCAAGACCAAAGGTGAGAGGTCGGTTGTTTCTTTGGCCAAGCACATATTTTTCTATGGAGATTTCCACGGTAATAGATCCCCAATTGCTGATCCGAGAATGAGAGCAAGTTTGATTGGACAATCTTTGGATAACTCTATTGAAGACTTGGCATTGAATTACTTTGGTGCATGTGAGTTTATTGCTCAACAAACTAGACAAATTGTTCAGCATATGGAAGAGGCCGGACATGACATCAAGTGTATTTTCATGAGTGGTGGGCAATGTCGTAATGGGTTGTTGATGAGATTGTTGGCTGATTGCACCGGGTTGCCTATTGTCATTCCTAGATATATCGATGCAGCAGTGGTGTTTGGTTCTGCATTGTTGGGTGCAGTAGCTGCTGAAGAGACTGTCATTGACCATCGTTTTAATGGGCCAAACTCAAAGAGAGCCAAACTGTTGGCTGAAAGGGGAGGTGTACAACAACAGCAACCAGATGAGATTCCTGAATCTCCATATACTGCACCTACGGCTACATCAACCACAAACTTGGCAACTATTGCTTATGCTCATTCCAATCCCAACAATGTCGATTACTTTAATCAGCCATCTCACCAAGGTCAAACTCGGCACAAGGCTGATGACCAAGAGGACTCTGATGATGAAAATACCTTATCTTTTGGCTCTAAGCAAGAGACTCAAAAGGGTATATCGCAAAAGTTGGCTAGTTTGGGATTGAACAAGCCATTGTCCTCGACCAAGAAGGAAACAGAGCAAAAGGACTCACAGCAAGGAGGAGTAGGTGCCGCCGTGAATGATTCTGGAGAGTTGTTGTGGAAGATTATGAAGAAGATGACTGGGCCAGGAAAAGTTATCCAGCCACGTGGAGATGATGATCCTGATAGGAAATTGTTGAATGTCAAGTACAAGATCTTTTTGGAACAGTGTTATGGACAAAGAAGATTTAGAGATGAGGTTGATGCTATAGAGAAGGAAAATTTGAAAAAGTCACAAGCTGCTAAGTAGAGTAGAGTAACTGTCGAGAGGATATAGTTTAAAGAATTAAAATATATATATATATTTAGTTACAGTCGTTGCAGTATTGAGGGGGCGGACGGGAGAGATTCAAGACAAGAGTTGTAAAAAAAAAAAAAAAAAGAAAAAAAGGGAAAGTTCAATCTCGAAGGCTAAACTATCGTAAGTTAAGCGTTGTTGCAAATTAGAAGGTTTTCGTAAAAAAATGAAAAGGGGTTACAAAATGTTTTGACTGCCTTAGATTTAGAAAAGTTTAATTCTGAAACTAATTTGTGGAGATATATATTGATTTGCATCAAAATGGTGTTAAAAAATAGGAGGGCCAAAAATTGAAAAGAGCATTGTATTTTGTAGATCTCGCACTAGAAATAGTATCGAGGTGCACAGACGCAACCTCAGATCTCGGACAAGTGCGATTACGGCGTAAGGCGCATGCAGTTAAGGGACAAGAAACAGTCCCCTATCTAAGCCGAACAGGATTAAGTCTCTCTACCTGCACTGTTACCACAGCCGTGGCGACGAAGAAGAGATTAGATCTGTATAACCCACCCACATCTGTTTGTTGTGTGGTTGTTGTCATCTCGTGACACAACAGATCGAAATGGGGCAGACTTGCGGATGAAGGATAAAACGATGTTCCAGTGTACCTGCATATAGATAAAAAGCAAGGTCGATGACGTTATAAAAAATGTCAAATTGCACGTGACTTATGGTAATTTCGCAATCTAATTGTTAAGCACAGTAACAGAGCAAAAAAAACAAAGAAAAGAAAAAAAAAAAAGAAGGAGAGAGTGTGTGTTAACTATGTGAGTGAAAACTGTGGATGAGAAAAAAAATTGCAGCCACAGCTGAGTTTGCAATTTAAAGGATGAAACAAAAAAATAAAAAATAAGAATAAAAAAAAAAAAAGAAATGAAAAATTAATATTACAAATCAATATTTGACCGTTAAAAGTGAATCTACTGAGACTTGGAGAAAAAGTTGAAGAAAGAAAGTCTTAGCTCCTGTGCCATTTTGATACATATATCTTCTACGTCTTCTAATAGCCATTCCATATTTCAACAATTTTTCTTGGACAGGCACTTTATTTGGTTCAACTTTTGAAATATAAAAGAGAGCGTGAATATCGAAAGAATTGGAGAGAATATTTCCGTTTTAAAAGCTTAGAAGCTGCAAAAATTAGAGATCTACCCCCCCCCCCTCAGGAACCCTATTAGAACTGCATAATCAATAATCATCAATTATACACAATCTGCATCAAGAGTTAATAATCGTTTGATTTTCTCATTGCCACCAAAAGTTGTTTTATTTTTCAATATATATTGGCACTGCATTATAATTCAGAATTTCAAATTGCAAATTAAATTAACAATTTACCAACCACACCTTCTTTATTTGGTTTTAATTAATTGCCTCACCACAGTTTAGACAATCTTTTAGTTAAACACACACACACAGTATACTATACTTCCACCACATCATCTAATTTGACATTTGCACAAGGCGGAACACCACACACACATTATTGTTTCTTTTTTACATTGCTTTTTTTTTGATTTTGATCCTCGTATACTGCAACTATTGTTCTAAGCGCCTTGAAAGAGATTTCATAACCTGCGGCTAAAAAATTCACTTTAAAGCTTTTATCCGCCTGACTTTGAAATTGTTTGGCTATTGAAGAAAAGTTTGTGTTAAATATTGCTTTTTTATTTTTCATTGTCTTTTAACATCGCTTGTCACTTGCATATATATATATATCACCACGGTATCACTTCAGCCGTTTCAACTTTGGATTCTTGAATTTGTTGGCTTTCTTTTATTTTTTGTTTTTTGTTTTTGGTGTCATCATAGATTTCATTATCAAAGCAAATGTCTGATTTTGTTCATAGAGTGGAATCTGAAATAAAGTCAGTGGTTTCTGACTCCGAAAGAGGAGTAAATACAAAACTCCCCGATGAATACCCACACATATATGAAGACTCGCATGTGGTAAACCAACCACATGACTTTGAAGCTGAACAAGAGTATAACAACCACCATCCTCATTCAAATTACTACGTACCGGCTTACAACGAGGAAGAAGTTGCTGTTCAAGAATGGTTTCAAAAGGTATTTGCTCACCCATTAACTTTTATCAAAAACTACTTGCTTTCATTGTTCCCCATTTTAAAATGGATCTTGCATTACAACGGTAGGTGGTTGTATGGAGACTTGGTTGCTGGTATCACTGTTGGTATTGTTTTGGTGCCCCAATCTATGTCTTATGCTCAGTTGGCTGGATTGGACCCACAGTACGGGTTGTACTCTTCGTTTGTTGGTGTGTTTATCTATTCCTTCTTTGCCACTTCGAAAGATGTTTCCATTGGTCCTGTCGCTGTTATGTCCCTTCAAGTTTCAAAAGTCATTGCTCATGTTCAAGACAAGTATGGAGATCAGTATGCTGCACCTGAAATTGCTACATTTTTGGCTTTAATTTGTGGTGGTATTGCAACCGGTATCGGTGTTTTGAGATTGGGATTCATTTTGGAATTCATTTCTGTTCCAGCAGTCATGGGATTCATGACTGGATCTGCTTTCAATATCATTACTGGTCAAGTTCCAGGATTGATGGGTTACAACAAGTTGGTCAACACTAGAGATAGTACTTACCAAGTTGTCATCAATACCTTGAAACATTTACCAGATACCAAAGTTGACGCTGCTTTTGGTTTGGTTTGTTTGTTCATCTTGTATGCTTGGAAGTTCAGTACAGATCATGCTCAAAAGAGATGGCCTAAATATAAGATGTACTTTTTTTACATCCAACAGTTGAGAAATGCAATTGTTATTGTTGTTGCCACTGCTATTTCGTGGGGAGTTGTTCATCCCCAAAAGGTTGCTTTCAAAGGTGACAAACTGAAATACAAACCTCCATTTAGTACTATTGGTGAAGTTCCAAAGGGGCTTCAAAATGTTGGTGTTTTCCACCCTCCTCAAGGTATTATTAGTGCTATGGCTTCGGAGATCCCAGTCTCCACTGTCATTTTGTTGTTGGAACACATTGCTATTTCTAAATCATTTGGTAGAGTCAATGACTACAAGGTTGTTCCTGATCAAGAGGTGATTGCCATTGGTGTTAATAACTTGATTGGAACTTTTTTCAACGCTTACCCTGCCACTGGTTCGTTTTCGAGATCTGCATTGAAAGCAAAGTGTGGTGTTAGAACTCCATTGGCTGGTATCTTCACCGGGGCTGTTGTGTTGTTGGCGTTGTACTGTTTGACTGCAGCTTTCTACTACATTCCAAAAGCAGTTTTGAGCGCGGTTATTATTCATGCTGTGTCTGATCTTATTGCCAATTACAAGATTACTTGGTCATTCTGGAAAATCAGCCCAATTGATTGTGGAATCTTTTTAATTGCTGTTATCTTGACCGTTTTCGTCACCATTGAAGCTGGTATTTACTTTGCCATTGCAGCTTCAGTTGTTGTTTTGTTGTTTAGAATTGCCATCCCCCATGGATTGTTTTTGGGTAGAGTACAAGTTGCCGAACTTGTGAATCCAATTATTGATGACAGAAACACTTTTGATGAAGGGTCAAACACCAGCACCAGTGACTCTTCTGATGTTGAAATCCACCAAGTTTTCTCAGGAGGCTCAAACTATAGAGCAACCGATGATAAAGTAAAAGACAAGTCAGAAGTTGTTGAGCGTAGAACCACCACCAGAGAATTGGCAAAGCAAAACCCAAGAATCAAATTCCATACTCGTTGGGTACCATTGAACCACAGAAATATCAACAGCGATATCCCAGTCACTCCACCACCACCTGGGGTCATTGTGTTCAAACCAGTTGAATCATTTACTTATCCTAATGCGTCACGTCAGATTGACAAAGTGTCGGATGAAGCCAAGAGAATCACAAAAAGAGCCAAGCCATATAGCTATGCTGACACTGGATCCAGGCCATGGAACGACCCAGGTCCATTGAAGTGGAACTTGCCATTCTTGAGAAAATACAATAAGGAAGAAAAGATTGAAGAAGATACGCGTCCAATCTTGCGTATAGTGCACTTTGATTTCTCCACCGTGTCTCAAATCGATATCACTTCGGTACAAGCTTTGGTTGACTTGAGGAAAGCTTTGAACGCATATGCTGATCGTGAAGTTGAATTCCACTTTTCCGGTATCTTGAGCCCGTGGATCAGAAGAGCATTGTTGAATGCTGGGTTTGGTACTTATGAAGATGGCTTGACATCAGCTAATAACTATGTCAACATTGCTACAGGATACACCGATATTGAGAATGGTGCGGACGAGCAGTATGTTGCTGCAGTTGGTACCAATACGCCATTTTTCCATTTGGATATTCCAAACTATGAATAAGAAGGGAGATATGGACGCAGTCAAGTTTATTTAATTCAGTTACATTCGTTTTACCTCAATGATTTTTGTGGGCAGAATACTTTTGGTTTTCAGTTCTTGTACATTAAATTAGACTAGATTAGATTATACTATATTAGTATGTTAATGAAGTAAGCATTTCGCTATTGGTATATATCCACCCTTGTAAATCTAACAAATTCCGTCTATGACGCGTCGTCAATAAATGGCAAAAAAAAAAAAAAAAAAAAACCAAATGTCAAAAGTCCAAACCATTTATTTTTTTTTGAAAACACGTCTTTTTCAGGACTATCCTAAGACAAACTACTCATTTACTCATTTTGCTCATGACTACACTACAAGCTCACCAAGTGGATGCCTCAAATCAATTGCTTCGCAAGAGTATACGAATAGACGAGGCGTCAAGTCGTAAACGTAAAATAGAAGAAGAAGAAGACTCGGCAACTACAATGGATCTGCGAGACGGAAACAAAGAGAATGATTGTGATGCACAGCAATTGGAAAAGCTAGCTAAAAAGCAGAAAACGGAGAAGGAGAAGGAGGAGAAAAGGATCAAAATCGAAGGGGAAAAAAGGGCCAAAGCTAAACGAATTGAAGAGGAAAAGGAAGCTAAACGGAAAAAGCAAGAGGAGGAGAAAGAAGCAAAACGGAAGAAAATGGAACAGGAAAAATTAGAGAAGGAAAGAAAGAAGTTGGAGGAGAAATTGGAAAGAGAGAAGAAGAAGGAATTGGAAAAGTTGGAACGTGAAAGAAAAAAACAAGCTGAGCAAGCAGAAAGGGACCGTAAGAAACGCGAGGAGCAAGCTGAGAAGGAACGTAAAAGGGAGGAAAGAGAAAAGGAGAAGTTGGAAAAGAAGTTGAAATTGGAGGAGGAAAAGAGAGCAAAGGAGTTGGAAAAGCAAAGGATTGAAGAGGAAAAGCGGAAAGCGGAAGAGGCCAAGGAACGAAGTCAGATGAAGATTTCCAACTTTTTTCAAGTTCGTCCTCAAGCAAAAGAAGACAAGGAGAAAGATGTCAAGCTAGATACTGATGAAGTTCAAAAAAGCGATTACGAGACTGATTTTTTACCATTTTTTGTGCAACGTAATGTCACTTTGAAAAGAGTTGAATATTGCACAGATGAAACAAAGCTGCAGCTTGACCTGATCTTGTCGGGCAAGACGGAGAAAGATGTTTATCTTGATCCTTTCCTGGACTGCAGAAAACGACGTAGCGAACCACTACAATACATCACTCCAGAAGCAATCTTGAACGCTCTCAACCTACCCACTACAAACGAGCACCAAGTTCTTGAAATGATTGCAAAACTTCCGCCAATCAAGTACATTAGCTTCTATGAGAACTCGAAACCTCCATATACCGGATCGTGGTGTTCGCAAAAACATCAGGAACAACTACCAGCCATAATTCGCAATCCACTAGATCAGCAACTTACTGGGCTAGATTACGAATACGACTCTGATTTGGAATGGAATAATGAGGAGAAAGATGGCGAGGATATCGATGATGACGAAGACGAGGAGGAGGATCTACTGATTTTACCTGACGAAGATGACGACGAGTTCATTGAAAAGGACTCGGAGGCTAGGCAAAAGAGTATACACCAAATGGTGGTGATCAATAAATGGAATGATGAGGAAAATAGAGATTTTTTCAGTCACTATACTACGCTGCATATTGTTGAGTTGAGTAAGTTGAAAAGCTTTATATAGGAATGCAAAATATCTCAGGTATACTACGCGATTTAGCATTATCTTGTAGTATCATTTTCATGAAGTCTTCCTGAAGCAAGTCCAGTATCCTCCCTAAGGATCTTATCTCTGTGGCACTTGCATACATGGGTGTTTTCTGCCATGATATTTTGAACTAGATCAGCCTAGCTCAGCCCAGCCCAGCTCAGCTCAGCCCAGTCCAGCTTTCAGCTTTTCCCTCATATGTACTTTTTATAATCTGCATCCATCTTATCTTCAACCAATACTTTATTGAGATACTTTATCAACTTAGTGCTCAACCCAACGTTGGCCAAAAATGATCCCGGACCGTACACCAAGTTATTGAAAAAGTTTCCATATGGTTGGTTTATAAATACTTTGGCACTCCATAATAGGTGATAGCCCAACTCTAGGAAAATTGCAACTGTGAGGAATGTGAGGATAGATGCATTGAATGCTCTTGATTTTGAGATCCTCTCGTTGTTTACCTGGTCTCTTTTGCTAGATGAGGACATGTTGTCTTGTGTACCTTGATCTGATAAAAGGGAAAACAGAAACAAAGAAAATTATTTTTTCTTGTTCTTCCTGTTGTTAAGGAAAATCTAAAATCCCGTTTTCCGGTACATTTTCATCTTTCAAGTCGCTAACTCTACTTCACATTCAATTCGCCCTTTAGAGACACGTGGACAATGCAGACTAGATCACACAAGCAATCACAAATACTCGATATCAAGCCAGACTACTACGACCATGGGGTCCCTGTTTTCAAACCCACTATGGAACAGTTTAAAGATTTCTACAAGTTTAACAAATCGGTTAACAAATATGGTTTTGAGGCTGGAATTGTCCGTGTTATCCCTCCACAAGAGTGGAAGGAATCAATCTCCCATTGTTATTCTGAGGAAAATTTGTCCAAAGTGGTTATCAAAAACCCCATTGTCCAGCAGATAAACAGTAATCATCATGGCGTATTTCAGATACAGAATATCGAGAGACCAAGAAAGTACACGCTAGACCAGTGGAAAGAACTTTCAAAAAAACAAGAACCTCCAAGAAGACGCAAGAGACTGCATGATGATAACGATGAAAGCTCATGCAGCAGAATAGATGGCGCCGAATTTAATGACGAGCGTTGTGAGGAGTTGGAACGTTCGTATTGGAAATCGCTCACGTACTCTGAGCCTATATACGGGGCTGACTCTGAAGGATCTTTATTCGCAGAAGATGTGAGCATTTGGAATGTCGCCAAGTTGCCAAATGTCCTTGACTTGATGGAGGAAAGAATTCCGGGCGTGAATAATGCGTACTTGTATGCGGGGGTGTGGAAGGCCACTTTTGCATGGCATCTCGAAGACCAAGACTTGTATCTGATCAACTATATCCACTTTGGCGCTCCAAAGCAGTGGTACCTGATACCACAAGCACAGCAGAAGAAATTTTTCGATGTAATGAAGGACTTGTTCACCGACGAGTACAAGCATTGTTCGCAATTTCTTCGTCATAAAACATTCCATGCACTGCCTCAATTCTTGGAGAAAAATGGAATCACAGTGAACCACACGATACATAGGGAGGGTGAGTTTATCTTGACGTATCCTTATGGATACCACGCTGGATTCAATTACGGTTACAATCTCGCAGAATCTGTCAATTTCGCACTTGACTCGTGGTTTGATATTGCTGAAAAGACTGACCATTGTCATTGCATTCCAGATGCAGTCAATATCAATGTGAAGCAGTTGTTGCAAAAGTACAACTCAATGAAAAAGAATTCTGCAATCTTTGTGTAAAGGAAACAAGCGTAAACCAATTTGAACGGAGAAGAAAAAAAAAATAAAAAAATAAAAAAATAAAAAAAAAAAAAAGAGAGAAATCGTCACTTCGAAACTCCTCATTTCACATCAACTCCTCAACATTTATGCCACCAAAGAAGAAACTCAAATGTAAAGCTAGTGAAACTTCATTTGAGGATGTTGATGATTTTTCAACAGATGACGAAACTGAAGATGTGTTTCTGGTTCCACCCAGTCCGCAAAAGACTCAGCTACGACACGCACCATGGCTAGAAAAATACTCGCCAAAAACCTCCTCGGAGATTTGCATCAATCCGGCCAAATTGAAACAAGTGAAGGATTCGTTGTACAGGATAAAGTCTAGGGAACTGATGTCAAAAGTCTTGGTTCTTGTTGGGCCGTGTGGATCGAGTAAATCAACTACAATTAAGCTACTAGCGCGGGAGATGAACAACGCAGACGCGTTTGATGAGAGTTTGATTGAGTACGATGAATCGGAAAACATTACACACTTTTTGCAATGTTGCAAATACAAGACCCTGTCGGTTGTTTTGATTGAAGAATTGCCTAATGTTTATCACGAGGAAACATTGAAGGAGTTTAGAGAAGCAATTAAGCAATGGATCTTTGCAGGAATTCCCTTACCTCCGTTAGTGATTTGCATAAGTGAATTTGAATATGAATCTGATAGAACCCAGTACTCTTATGGACTCGAGAGTAATATGACTGGGGATACATTGTTGGGTCGAGAGATATTGAGCAATACTGGAGTAGAGACTATTCGGTTTAATCCACTCGCAACGCGGTTTCTAAAGAAAACAGTGAACACGATTTTGAAAAACGAGGGTTTAACTAAGATACTTAGCACTCCCAAATTGAACACATTTCTTCATGATCTATTCAAAACGGGCGATATTCGATCCATTATCTTGAACTTGGAAATGTGGGTCAAATTTCATAAATCTGGGGTAGACTACAACCGAGAGAGTGCAATTGGTTTATTTCATGCTATAGGAAAAGTGATATACTCGAGTAAAGAGTTTGAAGGTGATGCCCAAATGGTCAATACGAATACAGTCTCCCAGGTTTTGGAAACATTACCCGGTAAGAATCTAGGTTTGTTGAATTTGGGATTGATGGAGAACTATCATATATATCAAGATTCGGAGTTTGATTTATCACTTGCAGAGAGAATAACTAATGACTTGAGTCTAAACGACGTGTCACTTTTTGACGAAATTGGTGTGCGATCGACAAGACTATATTTGAGCAAAGCTGGTGCTAAATCCTCAACTTCGAAATTGAAAATGAAGTTTCCTAGACATTTTAAGGTGTTGAAGGCGACGCGGAAAACTTTAAATCGACTAAATGAATATCGTCGATATGTATCTCCTACCAGTTCTATTGAAGGTTTGAATTTGATTGACGGGTACTACTTGCCTTTAATATACAACAGAAAGCGCAAGACGCGATACCGGTACAACCGACTTGGAGGAAAGCTTCTTGAAATCTATGCCGACGACGATCCCGTTGTTGACGATAGTAGTGCTCTGTATGAGTATGATCAGTTCCAGCATGACATTGATCGTTCTATCAACGGAAGGAACGAGGAACACAACGAAAGCGATACACTAAGCGATGGTATCGAAGAAAGCTCGTTTGATGAGTCCGATAATGATGGGTTTGGGTCCGATACAGAGATTGATTTATTGATTTCTCAAGGAAAGTTGTAAATAGGTAAAACTAAAGTGTACAAATCCTAAATCTAAGCCTTTACTGCGTTTTCAAAAAACTGGTCATCTTCCTCTAGGTTCTCCTTAATGATATCCAATCCACCTTGGAATTCTCCATTGATGTACAATTGTGGGAACGTGGGCCAATCACTAAATTTTTTCAATCCTTGTCTAACTGAGTCATCTTTTAAAATATCGAAAAAGCCAAATCTCACTTGGTGTTCTCTCAAGATGGCCACAAGTTGTCTAGAGAATCCACATTGTGGACTTGATGGTGAACCTTTCATAAATAACATAATAGGTGCAGCAGTGGTCAACTTTGTTAATCTCTCATTCAAAGCTTCCTCCGTCTCCTCGACCGGTTCTGTGGCAGCAACTGGTGGTGTACCATTGGAAGCTGAGCTTACTCCATTCACACTGGAGCCACTTGCTAATTGTGAGTCGCTGGAGCTTGAAAACTGATTCAAAGCAGCGATAAACTCCTTTGGATCCGCACCTGATAACTCCTTCAATATGGTTTGTTTACGTATTAGGATAAAGTAAGGGACTGCACTAACATCAAACAACTCACTGATCTCCGACAAGTCATCTGCGTTGATGGAAAGGAATAGCACTGATGGATCTTGGGCTTTGGATTCGGCCAACGTTTTGTAGACTTGATTCATGGTTTTACATGGTCCTGCCCATGGAGTATGGAAATATAATGCGATTAATTTGGAGTCGTTGGACTTAGTTAGTTCGGTGAACTGTTGTTCACTTTCGATTTCTATAACACCCATATTGCTGTGCACTGTATGTAATTGAGATTTGATTATTTGTAAATTGGGAGTAGAAGATGAACAGAACAGAACAGAACAGAAAAAAAAAAAAAAAAAAAAAAAAAAAAAAAAGAGAGTNAAAAAAAAAAAAAAAAAAAAAAAACTGAAGAGAGAGTTGGAGTTGGAGTTGGAGTTGTCGCAAAGTCGCAATGTCGCATTGATTACAAATTACTTTCACAACTGCGCATGACAGAAACACTACCATACTTGCCACAGGCTACAAAAGTACAGGTTAACGGATTTGTTTTAGATGATCCAGTTTGTCTATTGTATATAGTTACAAGCGTGTTTGCAGTGAGGTAAGTTTAGAGTTGTCGTTGATGCTATTTTTCGCCACAGCTTTCGATGTGTGGCGCCAGATGTTCTTTTCTTTTCTTTTCCTGTGCAGGACAAGCGAAGAAATACTGCAACACTACTTCAACAGTGAGGCACCATAGTTAAAGTTGTATCTCTGCTTAATAGTAACTTAGCATATGGCCTTACGAAAGCATAAATGCTTGTGCAACAAGTGGTGCATGTCTCTCGATGCCCTATTATGATCGGAGCTCTACATCTTGTAACAAAACTAATTCAGAGAGGCATTGGGATTGATTGCAAGTTGCAGCCCACTCTACTGAACTAACAGGTGAAGTTCTGTAGTCGTCTTGTTAATGATATCACATTGCGTGGTAGCGTCTGACAGCTGTAAAAAAAAATTCGGACAAAATTTGACAAACCCTCATCACAACTGACTTCAAAACGCAACAAGAGTAGAAGGTCAATCTCAACTATGGGAGTGCCAGCATTATTCAGATGGCTTTCGAAAAAGTATCCCAAGATCATATCTCCAGTTATAGAGGAAGAGCAACATGACATAGGTGGAGCAAAGTACGAGGATCCTAATCCCAATGGAGAGATTGATAACTTGTACTTGGATATGAATGGTATTGTTCATCCTTGCTCACATCCAGAGCACAAGAGACCGCCTGAGACTGAGGATGAGATGTTTTTGGATATATTCACCTACACAGATAGAGTACTAATGATGGCGCGTCCGAGGAAAGTTCTAATGATTGCAGTAGATGGAGTGGCACCAAGGGCCAAGATGAATCAGCAAAGAGCAAGAAGATTCAGATCCGCACAGGATGCAAAGTTGAAACAAATGGCTATTGACAAAGAGATCCGGGAAAAGGAGGCACGTGGAGAGATGATCAATGACGCCGTAAAAGGAAAAAAGCAATGGGACTCGAATGCAATCACTCCAGGTACGCCATTTATGGATCGACTAGCAGAAGCATTACGGTACTGGGTTGCGTATAAGCTTAGCACAGATCCCGGGTGGGCAAATTTGCAAGTGATCATCAGTGACGCCACTGTCCCTGGGGAGGGTGAACACAAGTTGATGAGTTTTATACGGTCGCAGCGATCGGATCCTCAATATAACCCCAACACAAGGCATTGTATTTACGGGTTAGATGCCGATTTGATTTTTCTTGGTTTGGCAACCCACGAACCACATTTTAGAGTCTTGAGAGAAGATGTTTTTGCCAACCAAGAAAGACACATGACGGTTTCGGATCATGTCGGTATGTCCAAAGACCAGCTCTCTTTGATTGAAGAGAGAGACAAAAAGAAACCGTTCTTGTGGTTGCATGTCAACGTTTTGAGAGAGTACTTGGGAATTGAGCTATACAACCCGCAAATTTCGTTTCCATTCGATTTGGAAAGAGCTATTGATGATTGGGTGTTTATTTGTTTTTTTGCAGGTAATGATTTCTTGCCTCATTTACCAAGCTTGGATGTGAGAGATAATGGAATTGACACTTTGGTCAATTGTTGGAAAAGGTGCATTCCTCGATTGCGTGATTATCTAACTTGTGACGGAAAATTAAACTTACAAAGTGTTGAAACTCTTTTAGGCGACTTGGCAATCAAAGAGGATGAAATTTTTCGAAACCGATTTGCAGCGGAGAAGAGAAGAAAGGAAGGCCGCAAGAGGCGGAAAGTGGCAGAAGAACAAGATAAGGCATTGAAAAGCGTGTACATGTCACAAGTGACTAAGGGTAAGGACAAAGCGCCCATTGTGCCGGATAAGAATATGCCACTAATGGACACAAGTGGCAACATAGTTGAAGGTTATGCACTGTTTTCAAACAAGGATATTGTTGAGAATCGAGACACGGTTACCCTAGCCGGTATGGCGAACAATGATGCAGCAGCTGCACTCAAAAAATTGATTGATTCCAAAAAGCAGCTCAAAGAGGATACTCCAATAGATACTGAATCAAGTGCTGTGTCAACTCCAACTTCAACCGCTGATGCTGATGCTGATGCTGATGCTGATCTGGAAGAGCCGCTGCAGGTACATCCTAAAAAAAGAGTAGCTGCTAATGATGAAGAGCCAAGTGATGATATTCGATTGCACGAACCGGGGTACCAAAAACGATACTACCAGGTCAAGTTCCATTGCAAAACTGATGAGGAGGTGGAACAAGTGAGACGTGAAGTTGTCAAGAGCTATATCGAGGGGATATCTTGGGTTGCATTGTACTACTACCAAGGGTGTCCATCGTGGACGTGGTTTTATCCGTACCACTATGCGCCCTTTGCATCTGACATGACTAACTTGAAGGATTTGTTCCCTGCGGGTATAAAGTTTGATTTGGGTGAGCCTTTCAGACCATATGAGCAATTGATGTCCGTTCTTCCAGCTGCATCAAGTCATGCTTTGCCTGACGTATTTCATACATTAATGAAGGATCCGGACAGTGAGATTATAGAGTTCTACCCCGAGGAATTTGAGATTGATATGAATGGAAAGAAAATGAGTTGGCAAGGTATACCGTTGTTGCCATTTATTGATGAAAAGCGATTGCTAGATGCTGTACAAGGGAAATATGACAAACTAACAGCCTATGAAAAGGAACGAAACACAAACAAACAAGCAGAATTATTCATATCTAATGAAAACAAGAACTATGAGAGGTTTGCCGAGGCTCTTTACAAGCAGGATTTGCAATCCGTTAAATTCTCCTTTGCAAAGAGCAGCTTGGCGGGGTTGGCCATCAAATTTCCCTCTTTTGATCCATGCGGGACCCTCAAATTCCCACTCAAGGAGGGCAACATGCCAAACATCAACAAAAAGGATTATTTGCAGGTGGAGTATCACTTTCCGCAAAAGGCATGGGGAAAGTCTATGTTATTAAATGGCTTTATCCCAGCGGTGCCTGCTCTCACCACTGCTGATCGAAATGAGGTCCTTTACCAGCTTCAGTCCAATAATGTGAGAGGTAATAGTCGTGGATTCAACAACAATTTTCAAGCTAGTAGTGATTACGTCAACCACGGCCCACAAGGTAAAGAAGTTTTCAAGATGTACTCCATGAGAAGAGGGGGCTATCGCTCAAGTCTACAACATTTGAAGGATGGCGGTAAAAATGAGAGAGTTCCTGCCGTAAACAATGCGAGCCCTTACGGAATACCAATACACCAGCCGCAGCAAAATCAATATGGGTATGGGTACCTGCAAGTGTATGGAAATCAGGCGAACTACGGTGCAACTTATAATCAATTTGGTCAAGCGCTGGCATATCAGCCGCAGTCATATCAATCGCAGACATATCAGCGACGGTCATATCAACCGCATAATGGCAACAGTTCAGCACGTAGTGGATACTTTCCTCCTCCCGGCCCTGCCTCTGGTAGAAATGGATATAGATAATATATTTGTAAAAATCTAATGTAATATGTACAACTTCCACGTACCTAGTGCGTTGTCTTTTACTTGTATAGTGATGCTGCTATTTTCTTCATCATCAGGAAGGGCAATGATGCTCCCATCAACACAGAACCTTCTCTTAAGCAAGCTTTGTGAATTTCTCAACTTTAATTGTACTCTATCGTCTGGTGTAATTTCGCGGTAAATCACATCTGGGTTGTTGATGTGGCTGCCCCCATCGTAAACCTGTTTCATGATATCCATTATGTAGGCATCATCGCTTGGCTTGGTTCGAAATGCGATCAAGTACAAATTGTCATCAAAAATATCTCCTTTTGGTGAGATGTCAAAGGTTGGTTCAAACTTTTTCGATGGAGTCAACACCCAGTATGCAAATGGTCCCTCAACTGCATCGTCATTGATTGAAAAGTCCGCTTCATATTTTTGTTCCCTGCTCAAGTTGTTCTCAGCTGCCATTCTAAATCTTTGAATACCATGCTTGCGTAGTTCGGGTGTATCGCTATCGGCCACTAAACTTGCATGGAACGCCCATGAAAAGACAACAATGAAGTAGATAGGTAATTCAACCTCCTCTTTTAGCTCATCTTGTACCAAATATCTCGTGCCTTTGGGGGGATTGGCTGCGTAAAGATACAAAGGAGACTTCTTTCCTACTTGCAACAACTGTACAATGGACTTTAATGGATCGGTCAACCCCAAGGACAAAGCAAAACTGTTACCTGTTCCAATGGGTACAGGGTAAATTGATATTGAGCCCGTTACTACTGGATTGAGTGCATTTATAAACTCGTTAATGGATGTGTCACCACTGAGAAAGATAACTGTGGCGTCTTGATCTTGAAAGTTTGAAGCAAATTCAGTAATTGAGCTGGCACTACTCGTTTTGTAATGATGATGCTTAATGCCTAAGGACTTGAATAAGGGCTCGATGATGTGCGTGTAAATGTTTTTCTCATCGGACCTGCCTATACCTGAATTTATTGAGTCTATGATGTAAACGCCCCGGTTCAAACCATCTGGAATTGCATTGACGATTGTGTCTGCATCCAGTTTATCGACATGCTCTTCTGTGTATTGAAAAAAGCTTTCATTGTTAACCAATTCAATTTCAAGATTCTTGGGCTCAAAGTATAGCTTGTATGACATGTTGTGTGGAATAAGGAAAGGTGAGGCTGCTTTGTAGTGGGAAGAACTGTGGATGATTTTCGAATAATCACGATAGGTAGCGCTAATTATTTGAAAGATAAGAGCGTCACTACATGGTTTCTGACATAGTTGCCAGCCCTAGAGACAAGATTAAGGTACAGGAATTGTACTTGAGGGGAGAAATATGGTCTTGTTTGCATAATTAGTAAAGCATCTGCGTTACCGCTTAACGAAGAGAGAGAGAAAGAGAGAAGGCAGCTGCTACACACACACACACACACACACACACACACACACACACACACACGCACAACATATCGAAAAGGGGGGATGAAGGGAAAATAGGCTAGCCTTTTCTTTCTCGCGAATTACGAGCATCTGATGGGGTATCCTGGACTGTGCTTTGGCTGGAAAGTGGCGATGTCAGAGAATCTGTCGGGTACTCTTTTTGGAGTAAATGCGCTACCTGTTGATCTCATCGTCATCGCAGATTCGAAAAATCAGAAAAAAAAAAAAATCTTGGAGGTACAACTTTACTTGGTTAGTTACTTAAATCGAGAATCACGTCATAATCAATAGGTGCATTCGGTTTAACTAATAAAGTAGAGATTCAGCATAAGCCATTCTTGAGAACCTCACAGCTTACACTTTATGATGACGAATGACGACATTTACCTTAGCATTACATCTGTACATGATGCTTACAGAACATATCGATCGCTGTATCCGGATAAGCAGCTTGCAAAGGAGCCTTTCACCTTCAATAAAGAACTATCTATCAATGAAAACTTGAATCACTTGTCTTTGTACGCGTTGAGGAATCCAATGCTTGCATACTACTGTTACAAACCGATATTTTTAGAACTTGCAGCCCGATTGATTCAAAACACCTCCATATTCGAAAGAGAATTCACCCAGAGTTCTAGCAACAACCGCATCAAGGGGTCTATTGTATTGTCTCAACTTTCTGCATTGCTTGATGTTGCACCCGATTTTCTAAATTTGTATGAGCATTTTTTGCAAAATTTAAATGTTTGGGAGGAACTTGCTGAAGCAGATACGTTAGAGGTGGAGCGTTTACTCTTGGCATATTATCGTACATTGCATTTTAACTCGGAGAGGTTCAAACAGTATATCCACCCAGACGCCATATATGGACTTCTCGAATCCAATCAACAATCCAAAGTTTCCAAGTACTTGTGTATTGAAATACTTGCAATATATCTACTGGCTTCGGAATTGTCTAGAAACAAAATGTTGGAAAAGTACGCCATTGGTGAAGATTTTGTTTCCAATTATGATGATACGCAACTCAATTATAGATTTCTTGTGTTGTCTGAGTCCAAAAGAATTGCCAATTTCAAAAGCTTGCCACAAGTGGATTTTTTAACAAATGAGGGAGATGATTCTGTTGTAATTTCACCGGTTGACTTATCTTCGACGATTTTGGTGTCCGTATGTGGAGTTTTGGTACCAAGCTTGGCAAAAAGTACAAACTTTGAATCTCATCAAATTGACTTTGTTTCGACAGAGAACTCGGTTCATGCATTAAGGACTTTGGCTACAGATATTAAATTAAACCAACCAGTAATGCTCGTTGGAGAATCGGGATCAGGAAAGACTTTTTTAATTAACAAATTGGCCAACGATTTGCATTGCCAAGGATCAATCGTCAAGATTCATTTGGGGGAGCAAACTGACGCGAAATTGTTGCTTGGGACTTATACTTCAGGTGAACAGCCAGGGACCTTCCAATGGAATACAGGTGTGTTAACATCTGCAGTTCAAGAAGGGAAGTGGGTGTTGATTGAGGATATTGACCAAGCACCAACGGAGATTCTTTCCATACTATTAACATTGTTGGAAAAAAGAACTTTAAGTATCCCTTCTCGTTGGCGAAGTCATCAAAGCCAAGAATGGTTTCCAGTTGTTTTCAACCATACGATTGAGGGACAAAAACAGGTCTCTTCCTGATCTCATCGGGGCAAGGTTTTGGAAAGTAGTCAACTTGGAGCCCCCCAGCGCAGATGAATTGAAGGTCATTTTATGCACCAGGTTCCCCCTTCTTTCAAAGCTAATAGATCTGGTCATGAATTGTTATTTTGAGGTTCTGCGATTTTATAATCAGAAATCCTTCATCTCTTTGAATAAAGGAAATTTGCCTAGAATAATTTCCACCAAAGACTTGATCAAATTTTGCGCAAGAGTCGATAGACTACTTCAATCTGAAGGGATTGTAACTTGTGACCAACCATTGGAAACTTCCGTATATGACAACATTTTTGCCGAAGCAGTTTCTTGTTTTGGAAGTGCCATTGTGGAACCAAAAGCGTTGGAGCTTTTGACTAAATTTGTGGGTGATACTTTCCAAGTCCCACAACTGAGAATAAATCACTTTATATCAAAACACACGCCCGTTTTCCAAACTGACTCAGATGTTGTGAAAATTGGGAGGGCTATTTTGAAATCTACTGGTGGCAAGAAACCTGATTCCTCTCCTTTTGCTCGAACCAATCATGCCCTTCATTTAATGGAGCAGATTGGCGTTGGAATTAGTATGACTGAGCCAATATTGCTTGTTGGAGAAACAGGTACCGGTAAAACGACAATTGTTCAACACATTGCAAAACTTTTGGGCAAAAAATTGACCGCGATTAATGTTTCTCAACAAACAGAATCGGGTGATTTGTTAGGTGGTTATAAACCGGTAAACACGAAGCTCATTGCTGTAGGAGTTCAGGAATATTTCGAGCCGTTGTTTTTGGCAACATTCTCGGAAAAGAAAAACGAGAGATTCAACAAGGTATTGTTGCGTTGTTTCAATAGTGGGCAATGGAAGAATGTGTTGAAGTTATGGTCAGAGGCATACAAGCTGGCTGTGGACGTGCTTACGAAAAAAGATCCTTCTCATGACAATGATGATGAAGGTGCTCCCAAGAAAAAAAAGAGGAAATTTAAGGCAGTTGATCCCGATTTCCTTTTGCAAAAGTGGTACAAATTCAACCAGATGTTGAAGGATTTCGAAGTCACTGCTTCGACCACCGATCATTCCTTTGTCTTCAACTTTGTTGAGGGTTCCTTGGTGAAGGCGATTAGGAATGGAGATTGGCTATTGCTTGATGAAATCAATTTGGCAAGTTCGGATACGTTGGAGAGTATTGCTGACTTATTGAATGATTCCTCGGAGCAAAGATCTATATTGTTATCTGAAAGAGGTGACACGGAACCCATCAAAGTTCACCCCGATTTCAGGCTCTTTGGATGTATGAATCCATCAACTGATGTGGGGAAAAGAGATCTTCCAGTTAGTATTAGGTCCAAGTTTACCGAGATCTACGTTCATTCGCCCGATAAGGATTACCAGGATCTTTTGAAAATAATAGACAAGTACATTGGCAGGTATTCTATTGGTGATGACATTGTAATCAATGACATTGCTGAATTATACTTGAGAGCAAAGTCATTATCTGAGATGAACAAGATCGTCGATGGAGCGAATCAAAGACCACACTTTAGCATTCGTACATTGACGAGAACCTTAATTTACGTTACTGACATTGTACCAATTTATGGTCTCCGAAGATCATTGTATGAAGGGTTTTGCATGACATTTTTGACATTGTTGGATGCCGACTCAGAAAATATTCTCAAGCCAGAGATTGTGAAGTACACTGTTGGAAAGTTGGGCAACATGAATTCTGTCATGAGCCAAATTCCACCGCCTCCGTCCCAAGACTCAGGAAAATTTGTCCAATTCAAACACTACTGGATGAGGCATGGTCCCAATGAGATAATTCCTCAGCCCAACTACATTATTACGCCATTTGTTGAAAAGAACTTGTTGAATTTGGTAAGAGCGACTGCTGGCCGAAGGTTTCCTGTGTTGGTTCAGGGTCCCACGTCTGCAGGTAAAACTTCAATGATCAATTATTTGGCACATATAACCGGCCACAAATTTGTTCGTATCAACAATCACGAACACACTGACCTTCAAGAGTATTTGGGTACTTATGTAAGTGACTCCAAGGGAAGATTAGTATTCCAAGAAGGTATCTTGGTGGAAGCGTTACGGAAAGGTTATTGGATTGTTTTGGACGAGTTGAATCTTGCACCAACGGATGTGTTGGAAGCGTTAAATAGATTGTTGGATGACAATCGTGAGCTATTCATTCCGGAGACACAAGAGGTTGTAAAACCACATCCAGATTTTATGCTATTTGCCACCCAGAATCCCCCAGGTTTGTACGGTGGTAGAAAAGTTCTTTCGCGTGCATTCCGTAACAGGTTTTTGGAATTACATTTTGACGACATCCCACAAGATGAGTTGGAGATTATCTTACAACAAAGGTGCCAAATTGCTCCCACTTATGCAAAAAAAATTGTCGACGTTTACAAGCAATTGACTGTACAACGTCAATCAACAAGGTTGTTTGAGCAAAAAAATTCTTTTGCAACCTTGCGAGATTTGTTTAGGTGGGCCCAAAGGGAGGCTGTTGGGTATGAAGAGTTGGCCATCAACGGTTATATGCTTTTGGGGGAGCGTGTTCGTAAAAATGAAGAGAAGGTTGTTGTCAAGGAAGCTATTGAGAAGGTCATGAAAGTACAATTAGATATGGACACGTATTATGACAACTTTGATCTTGAGAGTTTAATTGGCCAGGAGGACGGCGTTGTTTGGACCAGAGCTATGCGTCGTTTAGCGATATTAGTGCTCGCTTCTGTCAAGTACAATGAGCCTTTGTTGTTGGTTGGAGAGACGGGCTGTGGTAAAACCACCATTTGTCAGATAATAGCCAACTACTATGCTAAGCAGTTGATAGTAGTAAATGCTCATCAAAACACTGAGACTGGTGACTTGCTTGGAAGCCAACGGCCTGTTAGGAATAAAAGCAGTGTACAACAAGAGTTACGGAAAAGACTTTTGCAATTCTTGCATGATCATGGAGTCAAAGAGTTGGAGAATTGGGAACTTGCAGAGTTGATACGAGCTTACAAGGAAAAGACTAGCGACCCTGAAGTACAAGGCTCTGTTGAGATTGAAGAGCATATCAACTTGAACTCGATTTTGTTTGCATGGAGTGATGGGCCCCTTGTTACTGCAATGAAAGCAGGAAACTATTTTCTTTTGGACGAAATTTCGTTAGCTGATGATTCAGTATTGGAGAGATTGAACTCAGTTCTTGAGCCTGAGAGAAGTTTGTTGCTAGCAGAAAAGGGGTCACAAAACGCGCATGTTACTGCTGCAACTGACTTTAAATTCTTTGCCACAATGAATCCTGGTGGGGATTACGGGAAGAAAGAGTTGTCGCCTGCTTTGAGAAATAGATTCACTGAACTTTGGGTGCCATCAATGGAAGATTTTCAGGATGTGTTCAAAATTGTGCAATCAAGACTTTACGTGAAGGAGCTTGCGGATGCTATTGTGAAATTTTCTGAATGGTACGCCATGGAATTTGGTGGTGGAAGTGCTGTGAGTGGAGTTATTTCCATTAGAGACATATTGGCATGGGTTGATTTTGTGAACAAGTCACACTCTTATTTGGGTGTTGCTGCCGCCCTTTACAACGGGGCTGCTATGGTATTCATTGATGCTTTAGGAACCAATAATACTGCTTATTTGGCTGAAAATGCGGAGTCCCTTGTAAAAATGAAGCAAAAGTGTGTGGAAATGTTGTCACAATTTGCCAAATTTGATCTTTTTGGTTTTTCCAACCAAAGAATTGAAGTCAGTGTGACTGGAGACTCCTTCAACGCAGGATTGTTTCATATTCCCAGAGTTGTTAGTAATGAGGGTTTCCACTCTTTCAGTTTAGATGCACCAACTACAGCAACGAACGCTATGAAAGTCACTAGAGCTATGCAAGTTAACAAACCCATTTTGTTGGAGGGAAGTCCAGGTGTGGGTAAAACTAGTTTAATTACAGCAATGGCTAGTGCAACCGGAAATACCCTTATACGTATCAACTTATCAGAGCAAACAGATTTGGTTGACTTGTTTGGTTCCGATGCTCCCGCTGAAAATGGCAAAGCTGGCGAATTTGCTTGGAGAGATGCACCTTTCTTACGTGCTATGCAGCGTGGTGAATGGATTTTGCTTGATGAGATGAATTTGGCCTCTCAGTCGGTCCTTGAGGGATTGAATGCGTGTTTGGATCACAGAGGTGAAGCCTATATCCCCGAGCTCGGCAAGTCATTCAAAAAGCACCCGGAGTTCAAAATCTTTGCGGCTCAAAATCCTCAATATCAAGGTGGTGGTAGAAAAGGCTTACCAAAATCATTTGTAAACAGATTCAGTGTGGTTTACGTTGATACTTTGAAAGCAGAAGATCTCAACTTTATCTTGCTGCATGTGTACCCACTGGTTGATTCTGCTCTGTCATCGAAATTGATTGATTTTATGTCTACTATTGAAGGAGAAGTGGTTGTGAAGAAACTGTGGGGTCATTCTGGTAGTCCCTGGGAGTTCAATTTACGAGACTCCTTAAGATGGTTGAGTTTGTACACAGCAAAAAACTTGCAAGCTGATACACAAATTTCTGATTTTATGAACATGATCATTTGTCAAAGATTTAGAACACCAGAGGATCAAGCCCATGCACGAGCGCTTTTTGTCAAGTCATTTGGTTCATTTGCGAAACGAGACAACTACTACAATAAAACTGCGTCATATATCCAGGCAGGATCAGCATTGGCGACAAGGAATCATCTTATGCAATACAACAATGGTGATAATCTTTTGCCCTTGCAATGTAATTTTGGTGTCATGGAGACAGCTATACGTTGTGTCACATACAACATACCGATGATATTGACTGGACCCGCCAGCTCGGGAAAGACTTGCTTAATTCGATATATGGCTAATGTGCTTGGAGCCAGGTTGGACGAATTCTCGATGAACAGCGATGTCGATTCTATGGATATTCTTGGAGGATATGAGCAATCCGATTTGTCACGAGCACTTTATAACTTTTTGAATCATGTCTATGTCACTTTGAACGAATTTGTTGTGATTGAAGTCAAATCAAAGAGATCAGACGTATCCCAAGCTTTGAAAGTGATTGACGCAATAGCCTCTGGCAAAGTCACAGCGGAAAATTACCCGCAATTTCACAAGCAATTGATATCCATTAATGGTTTGGACGGTAAGATACTTTCTTTGTCAGAGTCGTTGCTCTTTAAGCTCTCTCAACCTAGCTCATTAAAGTTTGAATGGTTTGATGGTCTTCTTGTGCAAGCTGTGGAAGAAGGCCGATGGCTAGTTCTCGACAATGCCAACTTGTGTCCGCCATCTGTGTTGGATAGATTAAACTCCTTGTTGGAAACAAATGGTACGTTGATTGTGAATGAATGCACTTTGGCGAATGGAGAGCCAAGAGTGATCAAACCTCATCCAAACTTTAGACTATTCTTGACGGTAGATCCTAAATATGGAGAACTATCCCGAGCCATGAGAAACAGAGGAGTTGAAGTTTATTTGGATTCCATTAGTGAACGGGCTACGTCATTTGATCGCAGGTTGTTGGGCATTTCAGAGGTTTCCAAAGATTTCTCCGCAAGAGCTCATGGTCAAGTTCCAACTGGAGTGTACGGTTTTGACAGATTTACCGATATGCACAGTTTCAGTCTCGTGGAGGACCTATTGGAGAACGGTGCATCCTACATGAGTTCAATTTGGGGTATCGTACCATTTGCTTGTTTGAGCTTACTTCAAAGATGGACAGAATTTGTGAGCAAATCAGCCGAGTTTTCTTCACGCAGCAAGAAAACTTCCCAACTAGTGCTCGATAATTTTTCACTCTTTCATCAGTTTGAGTTGGAGACATCTATTTACTACTTGTACAAATCGGTACAAGTAAAATCTAATGAAATTCTTGGTGGCGATGCTGCCTTCATCCCTTTCCAAGCCATGCATCCGTTGATCAACATGGCATTAGTGTCTTCCATCATGCCTGACCATGCACTTGTTGCATCAAGTGAGTCTACCATGTTGTTCGAGGTTGTGAATGAAACAAAAAAGTTTGGTTCGTTGTTGAAGGGAGTTGAGATTGGTTCGATGAATAAGAAGATTGGAGAGCTAACTTATATCGAAAAATCTGCAGCAGTTTTTTTTGGAAGAGACTTGAAATCGAAACCTCGATTTGGTGTGTTCAAACTCCTTCAAGGGGTAGTCGCTTACATCATCAGAGCAATCTCAAATGCTCATCTGCATATATTTTCCCATGCCTTGTTCAACCCCGTGTTTGACTTGCTCGTTATTGCAAATGCCTTGTTTGACACATCGAAAGAGCAAAATGAGTCCAAAATTAGGATCTATCAAGAATTGCTTGCAAAGTGGTGTGATAACAATTTGGAAGTAAGTGATGTTGACACATTGAAATCCTCAATTGCATCATTTGGTGATGGTTTGAAACTATCGTCTGGTTTGTCAATGGATCTAATTTGGGAAAATTTCAGAGGCAAATACCCACTGTCTTTGAAAGGATGGGAATATTTGAGAACCGTGTATGGGATAATGGAGGACCTTGATTATGTATCCAAGAGGCAATCAATTGCCGCTTCAAGTATCATATCTGGTCTTGTGGAGGCATTCAGGCAACTTTACACTACAATTGTTGTCAGCGAATACAAGGAGGAGGATTTAAATTTCGTGTTGTCAAGGGTTTATTCAACACTAAATGAACTCAAAACGAACTTGATCACAGTTGACAACAATCGACAAAACAATTTCAAGATGGAATTCACCTATATTTGCGACTTCTCTGAAATCTCGGGGAATAGACAAGAGTTAGACAAGTTGTACATGTTTTCTGAACGATCTTTGAAATCAATAGTAGTTGGTGAAAGTTCTAAAAATTTCCCTTTGTTACTTGAAGACATTTGGAGCAAAAATGATTCAGTTGAGTCTAGAATCCCAGCATTGTTTTCGAGCTCGTTACTAGCCTCCACTTTAGAGAAGATCTTGAGCTTAAGGGCCACTGAAGTTAATCATGTTGATGAAACACTAAGCGATTTGAAGCTACTCACCAGATCATTAGTTGAAACTTCGAATTGTGTCTTGTCAGATCAGAGAGCTGTCTTTGCTGAGAAGTTGAGCGTTTGGTTGAAACACATATGGACATCTCATGGGTTAAATTGGGATGTATATGTTGCAGAAGATAGTGAGTTCCCACAGTTGAACCCCAAAGTTGCGCAGGTTTTCAAACAATTTTTAGTTCCAGCTTCGACTTTGATTAAGCAAAACGGTTTGAAAGATTTGGGAAAAGCATGGATCTTGTTTGCATGTGGGCTCATTCAGTTGTACTTGCCCAATATTCCAAATGATCCAGCTATTAGAGAATATGTCGTCTCAAAAGTCTATTCGGCCCGTGTGTTTCATCTCAATAGCCTTCAGGAATCTTGGACGCGTTCGAGACAGGTGATTAGTGGTGATGAACCCATATACTTGGAGTCAACTTTGAAGAACCTCACAGATGCTACTGAACCTGAAACTCCGAAGGTGTACCGTGGTGAGGGATCGATTGATGGCTTAATTGATGAATGGAACGCCATGATGGAGTCTAGCTTAAACTTTGAATCTATTTGCAATTTGTTGAATGATATTGAGCTGAGATCGTCCTCTGCCAGAAGCAAACTCAACTTGTTCCAGAACAACCTTTCCAAATTTTCTCAGCGAATGAAGCAAAACTATTTATTGTATTCTGATTTGAATGATATCCTTCTTGGATATGTGTATGCTTTGCAATTTGGTTTCGAATTGGTTATGTTTGAAAATGAGAAAAGTACACTGGCCCAGTTCTCAAAAGACTGGTTGATGAACACTGTTGAAATGTTGAATCCTGAGGTAATGGGATCTGAATTTGCTAATGCTCAAGCTTTCGCAAAGAAGTTGAATGTGGAGGACCCAATAGCTGAAGAAGTTATGTCTTTCTTTATGGTTCTCGGGTTTACAGAAAATGGAAGTCCCAATGTTGATGTTGTTGGGGGTGCCATCAAATCGTTGTATTATAGGTGGTCACTTCGAAAAATGAGAGAAGAGCAAGAGATTGCTCAAAGTGAGAGTATGTTCAAGTACAAGGATCAAGAAGATCACGTTGAGGAGGACTTCCAAAGATTGTTTCCTGATTTCGAAGAAGTTGTTGATTTGAAGATGACTGGTATGAGTAAGATTAATGAGTTTGAAGAAATTTACCGTGATATTGCTGTTGCGTATGTTGATAACTATGCTCGCGGCATAAAACTTGATGCAAGTGCCTTGACAAAACGAGGGTCTGTTTTGTTTGGGAAATTATCATCATACAATTTGAAAACAGGGTTCAACAATTCGTCGGCCTTATCGGCAGTCTTGAATGCAGCAATTCAATCAAATGACGATTTAACTCTTCCAAGCAAAAGCTTCCACTTTTACAAAGACAGCAATCCAAGTGAAGTTCAAAAAGCTGTCAAGATTATTTCCACGGTGCATTTGCTAACAAAGAAGATGCTTGAGCAATGGCCAGAGCACGCAACTTTAAGAAATATTGCCTTCTCCACTTCCGAGTTTATGGCGTTTCCAATCGGGTTGCCATTGGGTAGATTTTTGCTGAAATTGGAGCAGATCTATACTTACATTGCAGAGTGGCAAAAGTACTCTTCCAGTCAAACGTCACTAGCGCCTCAATACACCCAATTGACGGACTTGATGGTTTCATGGAGGAAGTTGGAGTTGTCAACGTGGAAGAGTTTATTCGATCACGAAGAGTTTGCTTGCGGTGAAAAGATTGGCTCGTGGTGGTTTCATCTACTTGAGGTGATCATGATTCCAATTTTGGAGAAAAGAGATGACCAAGATCAAGTTGTGAATATTTTATCTGCTTTGAATGTCTTTATGAGTAAAGTATCTTTCGGAGAGTTTAAGTTCAGGTTGAGTTTATTGAAAGCTTTCAAAAATCATGGATTGCAGCTACACTACACGCACCCAATTACAACTGCCTTGGACAGTTTCATTAAATTTTATAGCCAGTTCGGGTCGATTATAGAGGAGGAGTTGACATCAAAAAGAAGCAAATTGCAAAAAGACATTGACGAAGTTATTCTTTTAGCAAGTTGGAAAGATGTCAATATCGACGCTTTGAAACAGAGTGCTAGGAAATCCCACAACAGTTTATACAAGATTGTACGCAAGTACCGCGATGTGTTGAGCTCACCCGTGCAGCCAATAATTGAACAAGGCTTGTCTCAGTCATTGGCAGAATGTGAGGTCGTAAGCCTTCCAGCAATAGAGCACTTTGATGGTAAAGAAAGCTATGGTGCCCTTTCATCTATTGCCACGTGGAATCAAAGGCCACAGAGGTTGCAAGATATTTCAATAGTTGAAAGGAATTTCAAAGTTTATTTGGAGAGAGTCAAGACTGAGGAGTTGCCTCTGTTGCTCGATTTTGCAATGGAAACGGCACGTGCGGCAGATACTCTTCGGAATGAAACGCCAAAGGTTTTAAACGAGGGAAACAAAAAGTTGGTAAATGCGTTGAAGACACAAAAGCTGAAGTTGCTCAGTGACACCATTCGTGAAATCAGGCAATCAGGCTTAAAGACAAGCATGAGAGAGGATATACTTGCGACTCAGAAATCAGTCAACTTAATTATTGCCAATTCAAGCTCATTCAATGGATTCTTGGAAGGGTGCGATTCCGCATATTTCAGGATCTTGGACTTGTTGCCACGGTTAAGGGCAGCTGTTGGCTCACCGTGCGACGATGTGCCTAGTGCCGACCTTGAAAAAGGGCTATCTGCAGCGGAAAATTTGGTACATTTATTGATTATAAAGCGCTCACCACTTGTCAAGTTCAACAGTGTGTATGAGACGCTTCAATTATGCGCACGTGATATGTTAATATTAGCCAAATTGGATGAGGAGAAATTGATTTCGACCAAACACTACAAAGCTAGTGTTGAGAACGTTAAGTTTAAAAGAAAGTGGTTACCCAAATTGTTGGACTATGCCATTAGCACTTGCAATGCTATTGCCAGCTTTACGTTTTCCAATTCGACTCTCATTTTTGAGGAGTTCAGGAAAGAGGTGGAGACATTTCCGGACTTTGACTCTAAGTCCTTGGTGTACACGACACTGGATGAAAGATTATTGCATGAGTTTGCAAATTTTGAGGATCGTTTGAGAACAGCATTGAAGAAATGGAAGACCGAGCATGTAAAATTGCAATTTGTGGCAGATGTTGTGTTGAATTGGTTGAATGGAACTGCAAAAGCCACTGTTCTAGGAGATGACGGTATTGAGTCTAGAGTTATAGAAGATTGTGAAGTGGAGTTCAGGAAGTTGTCATCGATGATTCTTGTTGCAGCCCAAAAGGTGACCGAGTGTGGTAACAGCGAAGTAGCAATTGACGAAAAAGGTTGGTTGATTCTAGCTCAAAATAAAGTGTCTGACTATATTAAGCTCACGCATATTACAGGAATAGTTGCGAAGTTGAAGCGTTGTATCGAGGTCTCCACTTTGGCAGTAGACCAATCTCCATTGGTCTCTTCCTTAGCTGCATTCACGCTTCCGTTGGTTGAAAACTATTTTGAGTTGTGTTCAATCGTTTTCGATAAAGCGAGGGTTAACTATAAGAGCTTGTCAAAGGCTACTTTTGTTTTGTCTTCGATACTTTATTCGCTAGCAACAAAGGGATTTTGCTCGCCAGAGCCACCTCAAGATCAAAAGGATGATAACAATTTGCACGATGGAACTGGCTTGGGTGATGGTGAGGGAGCTCAGACCAACAACAATGACGTTGAAGAAGATGACGATTTGACTGAAAATGCTCAAAAGCCAAACGATGAGCAAAATGACAATGATGATCAAGACGAGAATGATGACGCTGTAGAAATGGAAGGCGACATGGCCGGTGACCTCGAGGATTTGTCAGATCAGGACAAAGATGATGATGGTGACGATGGAGAAAGCGAAGAGCTCGACGAAGAGGTTGATGACTTGGATGAATTGGATCCAAACAATGTTGATGAAAAGATGTGGGATGAGGAGGCCAAGGAGGAGAAAGAAAAGGAGTCGGAAAACATTCCTGAGAATTCAAACAACGATGATGAGATGGAAGCAAGAGAGGATGAAGAGCAAGGTGAAGCCAAAGAGGATCAAAAGTCAAGGGATGATGGTGACGCAAAAGATGGCAAAGAGGGAGAAGAGGGAGAGGAAGAGGAAGAGGAAGATGTTGGTGAGCAGGAAGACCAGGTTGAGAACCAGGAGGCCGAGCAAATGGAGGATCATGTCCCTGAATCGGAAGCTTTGGAACTTCCTGATGATATAAACATTGGCGATGAAGAAGATCAGGAAGAAAGTGAAGACGAATTTGACGAAGAGCATAACGATGGTCTAAATGATGAAATGAATGATGATGATGATGGTGAGGAGGAGGAGGAGGAAGGAAAAGAACAACTGAAAATGGAAAAAGACGTCAATGAAGAAAAAGAAGAAGAAGAAGAAGAAGGTGTTGACGAGGAAGAGAATACAGAGATGCTTCAAGATGAAGAGTCAAACCTTGAGACTGAAGAGAACCAAATTGATGAAGAAGCTGGTGCTGAACCTGAAGATGAGGACGTGGACAATGAAGAACATGATAAAAGTGAGGACAAAAAGGAGAAGGGAGATGAAGCCGCCAATGATGAAACAGATGCAGTAGATGGGGCTGATGGATTGGCAGATGTGGAGAATGAAGAGGATGCAGATATGGATGCTGCAACTGAACAAAAGGCTGGGAAATCGGGAGATGGTGCAGAAAATGAGCAGCTAAACAATGATCAAAACGGTGAGAATCTAGCCGGTGAAGAGAATTCTGCAGCTGAGGAGAAAAATGAAAAGTCCATTGAAGATGACGCCGTTGACAGAGCGAACGAATCTCTTAAACAGATTGGTGAGTCATTGAAGGAGTTTCATCGCCGTAAGCAAGAGATTCTTGAAGCAGAGGAGGATGACAATGCCGAGCAGTCTGCTAATCACAATTTGAACGAGTTTCAACATAATCCTGATTCAAATGCTGATGATTTACAGGCACTTGGTGCTGCCAATAAAGACCAAATACAATCGATAAATGAGGATATGGCGATTGATGAGGAGGAGGAAGAAAGACAACAGGAAGAACAAGATGAGAAAATTGACGCTGATGCTCCAATGGATGAAGAGAATGGTGATGTGCCGCAAGAGAATGGTGGTGATGACAATGGGGCTGCCGCGCAATCTGCAGCAGAAGATGCTCCAATTACTGAGACAGAAACGAACGAGATCGACTCTAAACCGTCCATTGAATTTGGCGATGGCGATGACGAGGAGGATGATGATGAAAAGATTGAAGAGATGATTGGAAATTACACTATTAGTGATGACGAACCACCATTGTCTTTGGACGAAGCACGTAAGTTGTGGAAGGATAGTGAGATGGCAACGCAAGACTTGGCGTCGGGACTTTGTGAACAATTGCGATTGATTTTAGAGCCCACTTTGAGCACTAAGCTTCGTGGAGATTACAAGACGGGAAAAAGATTGAATATGAAACGTATCATTCCTTATATCGCATCTGATTTCAAAAAGGACAAGATTTGGTTGAGAAGGACAAAGCCTTCCAAACGCGAGTACCAAATCATGATTGCTGTTGATGATTCCAAGTCGATGAGCGAGAGTAACTCTTCACGATTGGCTCTCAATAGTATTGCTTTGGTTTCGAAAGCGTTGAGTCAATTGGAGAGTGGTGGTTTATCAATTGTGAGATTTGGTGAAGATGTAAAGATTGTGCATCCCTTCAATAAGCCGTTCAATGCAAATAATGAAACTGGGGCTAAAGTATTTCAATGGTTTGATTTCCAGCAATCGAGAACTGACATCAAAGCATTGTGTAATGAGTCGTTGAAGATTTTTGAAGATGAGAAGTTTGAAAACAAGGCTGATTTGTGGCAGTTGCAAATTATCATCAGTGATGGTGTATGTGAAAGTCATGAGAATATTATGCGCATGGTGAGAAAAGCTAGAGATGAAAAGATAATGATGGTGTTTGTCGTGATTGATGGAATCAATCTGAAGGAATCCATTATGGATATGCAACAGGTGAGGTACGAAACTGATCAAAACACTGGTGAAATGGTTTTGAAAGTGGACAAGTATCTTGACAGTTTCCCATTTGAATTTTACGTCATTGTAAAGGACATAAATGAGTTGCCAGGAATGCTTTCAACCATTCTTCGTCAATACTTTACAGAAATAGCTACAGTATAGATTAAGTGATAAAAAAAAATTGTGTGATATAGCTTATACCTTAAAAAGAAGAACCTCTTTAATTTTTTTATTTTTCCCCTTAATCCTGTAAATCCCTAATTAATTAAAAACCCAATATATTAAATTGCCTTGTAGAGCTTGACCCTCTCTCTCTCTCTTTCTCTCTCTCTCTCTCTCTCTCTCTCACTTTTGTTTACTATTTTTGATGACTTTGGCAACAACTATTGACATGTCATCAACTTTTCCTCCAATGCTGTGGGAATTTTGCAAAGAATCTCTGTTTATTGATTGATTGACTTTTTCATTGTACGGAGTGTAAGCGTAGTCATCAAATGCTACCTCCTTTGTCTTGATTAGCAATTTGCTGGCAATGGTTTTCACGCTGTTTTTCTTGGCATGGACAAACTCATCCAAGTAGTTGACAATCTCACTCTCATATAAGTTATCAGTGATTCCATCTGAGCACATGACGATGTAGTCGCCCTCTTTCAACTTAACCAGATCAATCCATGCAAAATCAGAAGGCATTTTGGACATTGTATTAGTTCCGATTTGGGTAGGACAAAACCCATCGCCCGTTTCCTCTTTATTTGTAACAAGGATCTTGCCGTCTCTAATGACAAATAATTTGGAATCTCCTATGCTAATCATCAACAACATGTCCCCACTCAACATTCCCAAAACCAAAGTCGATGAGCCGCTTAATTTTTGCAAATCCATCAAATGCGAAGTATGCAAAAACGAGTCATCCAAAATTTCTTGAATATCACGACGTTTCAAGTGATGCGGCGTGTGACTAATTTTGTACTCAGTCATTAACCTACTGAAAGTCTCCACAATTGATCGCGACCAAATACCTGAGTTTGCCAAATTCCCTGAACTTTCCCAGCCACTGACTCCGTCGGCAACAGCAAGAACAGACGGGGAAACGAGCATTGTGTCATCGCCCGCTTTTATGCTCAATGTGTCACTAGGAGACCCTTCGGGTCTTCTTTTCGGAAGAAGAGAGTTCAACTGTGTCGGGTCAGTCAAATCACTAAGTGAATTTATCGATGGTACGATTGAATCCGAATGGAAACCAAAAGATGCGTAACCGAAATCAAATTTAAACTTGTCTTGAGCTAGTTCCTTCATTTGTTCTTTGGTGATGAGTGGGTACTTGACATACGGTATCTCCTCGTCCACTTGATCTCGGTCTTCACTTTCTTCCGAGACGTTGAAGCCAAAGTAGTTTCTGACACCATTGAAGTATGAGGACATGCACCTCTTGGGCGTGTGGCTGACCTGGCTAGGACGGAGGAAGGCCCGGTGTTGACATTTGCAAAGTGACACCCTCGATGGGAATAATGCTAACTTGTACAAATTGTATGATCGAGACATTACAGTAAATGGTGTCCTCTTTCGAATGGATACGAAATGCGAGGGAAAAAAAAAAAAAAGTGAAATGAAATGAAATGAAACGAAAGTAATGGTCTTGGGACAAACTCCTCAAGATATATCTAGCAAAAGTATTACCAAGCAAGGACGAATGAGGTGGCTAAGTTGTGAAGATTTTTTTTATTTTTTTATTTTTTTTTTTGTTTTTTTGTTTTTTCTTATTGGTTTCAAGTGTGTAAAAGTTTATATTCCCGCCAATGTCCGATTTGGCGGTTTGTTTTGTGTGCGCGAGTAAATTTTGTACCCTTGAGAAGACGCAGTTGAAGGGAAAACCGAGTGGGTATTTACTCAGTGAGTATTGTATCCAATGGGGCTAAAACAAACTCGTGAGGGAAAAAAAAAAATGCTGCTGTGGTAAGGATCATGATGATGTTGACAGTGATTTTGATAATGATAATGATCATCATCATCATCATCATCATACTATATTTTTCATTTATTTGTTATGGGGTGTGGACCATAAGAGGGACAATTTACCCCTCACTTGATGAAAGAAACAACAAAGAAAAAAGAAATTTTTTTTGAACTCCGAAAACAAAAGGCTGATGTTTTCACGTGACAGCTTCTTTTTTTGTAGTCTGAAGCACCAAAAACAAAGTATTACAACTCAAAACGCCAGTTGTGAGAATAAAGTGTTCTTCCTATATCGCATCTAGACTTGAATAAGTTGACCTCATCGCATTTGAAACTCCGATCGGTGTTTGTGGCCTACGGCATCTATATACGTTACTTTCTTTTTCTTTTTCTTTTTCTTTTTCTTTTTCTTTTTCTTTTGGCCTTTTGTGTGCAAAATATATCACACACGCGAGTTTTTCCGATGACCTCTATAAGGAGGACACACACCAAAATATATTTTTCTTTGTGTCTTGCAAAAATAACGTGTTTTTCCGATAAACTTTATATAGAAAGCCTTTAATATATACACCACTCCCTTGGTTTAATCATCAGCAACTACTGCTTCATGGATAACATCATATGGTGGAGCAAAGCCTGTGTGGATCTTGAACTGTTCCTCACCTTGATTGACCAACATCTCAACTCCTTGTATGACTTTCCAATTGTACTTTTCCTCTGCCAATTCCATCACTGGTGTGATCCGTGGCTTGTATGCAGCTTCCAAAAGTAATGGCGCGTCTTCTCCAACCGCAGGCTTGTTAGAGTTCAAGATAATCTCGAGCCTCTTTAGTAAGACATCATCCAACGGTGCCGATGACGGGACACACGACACGGCCAATGACACTGATTTGCCGCGAACTTGTTCTACCAGCTCAACCACCTCAAGATTGAACTCGTTGGGGAAAGTATTGACAATTTCATGCAACTTGGATACAGTACGGTTGAGTAAATAGATTTTTTCACATCCCAATTGATGCAAAGCATAAATTGCCGCTCTTGAAGTGCCGCCACCTCCGACAACCAATCCAGAGACATGGCTGCCTCCAACAAATCCACTCTGCTTGAAGGAGTTTGTTATACCCACCCAATCAGTATTGTCGCCAAGGAAGCCATCCTTGATAGGGACTATTGTGTTGATGGCACCAATCAACTTGGCTGCATCCGAAAGTTGCGTGACGTATTTCATCATATCCAACTTCAATGGCATAGTAATTGCCAATCCACCAAAATCAGATCTCAACATCAACTTCTGATAAACAACCTCTGCATCACTTGATTCAAACCTGTCAAACTTGTAAGGCAAGCTCAATGCCTCGTACCCTGCATTGTGCAATGCAGGTGATCTGGAATGCTCAATTGGAGACCCAACAACCCAAAACTTTTTGTCGACAAATCCACCAATTTGATAGTAGGCTTCATTGATTTCCTTGACTGTTAACTGTCCTACCCCTTGTGGTTTGTCTGTGATTAGATCGTGGGTGACTGGGGTAAATACAGTGTTTAGCACTCTTGAAAGCTTCCCCTTGGGTCCCATATTCAATCCAATCAAAGGCTTGGCTGTGTTTTCGCTTCTGAACTTCTCCAACAACAAATTGTCATTGAAATCAATAGCCTTTCCAACCAATTTGACAATATCGGCATTTATAGCCACCCCTTGGTCATATTTAGTCTTCCATTCCACATTATCCCACTTCAATTGACCAGTGAAATCATGGTGGGATGCAATGACTTTGGTGTTGCTTCTCTTTGACATCACTTCGTCAATAATGCCATTTGGTGAGATCAATTGCAAATCAATAACATCGACACCAATTTTGATGCCAAACAAAAGCAACGACCTAATGGAATCAAGATCCTCGTCAGCGAAATTACCACCTTGTGATTTGGTTCTAATGGTGTAGATTATTGGAAGATCCACAGTTTTTCTTAATAATCCCACTTGATCAGCAATGTATGCAGGATCATATTTTGCCAACAAATCAACTCTCAACTCAACGGCATTTGCCCCCACTGTGATTCCTGGCAAAATGTCTAATGCATCCCTCACATCTGGGTACGTCAAAGTGACAAAAGCAGAACGAGATTTAGGGATGGTTAACACTTCAAAACCAGTAATCTTGCCAATAAACTTTAAGAAAACCTTCTTCAATTTGGCAAAATCATCATCGGTTGAACAATGTGGAGCATAGAAGTGGTAGTTGGAACACTCGTGGTACCATTTCTCCCTTCTCAACCAGACGTCCTTAACCTCGGATGCAAAAGCAGGACGTGTGGCATCTGAATTCAAGAATGTGACAGTTTCCTCTAAATCGCGGTGCAAGTGCAAAACAATACCATTGTTGGCAATGTAGCCTTGAAGTTGCTTCCTTGCATCTTCACTTTCAACAAGACCGCCACCACTGGAAAGCACATAACCAGAGGAGTATTGCACAAAGCATTCTGCAGCCAACAAAGACTCCTGATGTCTAAAGTAATCCCAACCTTTCTCCTTGATCAACGTTTTGATATCAACACCGAGCTTTTCTTCGAGATGTTCGTCCAAATCGAGAAACTTGAATCCCAAGTACTTGGCAATCCATTTGGAAAGGGTAGTTTTACCTGCGGCTCTCATACCAATCACCACAATACTTTTTTCGCCATTCGTGGAAATAGATGCTGGTTTCAGTGGCTCGTAACCTTCAAGGGTAGTACCAAATTTCGAGTGCAATACATCCCACCATCCGGGCCACGTCTTTCCTGTTGTCGACCTCTCTAATAACAACACTGGTTGCTTACACAACCCGGCTAGTAGTGAGAACGACATGGCCACTCTGTGGTCGTCGTAGGTATGTACACCTCTTTTTTCCACTGATGGAGTTTTCAAATCCCTTGAAGGTACACCTTCAATTACTATACCATCGTCAATTTCATGGGCCCTGACACCAAACTTTGCCAATTCATCAACCATTGCTTTGATTCTGTTGCACTCCTTGACTCTTTGGTTTGCAATACCGGTAATGGTAGTTGTTCCCTTGGCAACAGCAGCCACAACGGAAGCAGTCAAGAATGCGTCTGTCATTGGCTCCATGTCAACACTGGTCAAAGCATTCAATTGTGCTGGACCTGTGACGGTTGTAGATGTTGCTGTTTGTTTGACTTCGCATCCCATTGGCTTCAAAACATCCACTGCAAACTTTGCATCCCCTTGCAATGAAGATGATCCAATGTTTGGAATTGTGCAGGAGGAGCCTGTCAACGCAGCAAATGCTAATGGGTAAGTTGCAGATGACGCATCTGATTCCACAACATATTCAGAAGGATTCTTGTATGCAGCTTTGGGGATGTGGTATGTGTATGGTTCGATTGTTGATTTTGTAACCTCAACACCAAACTGCTTCATCATTTCGCAAGTCATGTCAATGTACAACTGAGATATTGGCTTGCCACCAACGAGCGATAAAGTGACAGGCTCCTTAGCATATGGTGCACACATGAGAATGGCTGACACATATTGAGATGAAATAGTAGCGGCCAACTCTATTCTCCCTCCACGGAGTCCTTTCCCAGCAGCTATCTTTAATGGAAGTGAGCCGCTATTTTTCAAGTATTCAATTTCTGACCCATTCGACTTTAAAGCATCGACTAATGGGCCAATAGGTCTCTCTTGCATTCTAGCATTACCTGTCAAGATGACATGCGAGTTGTCTGAACTTTTTGCCAAGCATGCAACAGCAGTAAGAAACCTGGAGGCAGTTCCCGCATTTCCCAAGTACAAGGCTTTCTCACTGGCAAACAAATCTCCTCCATTGCCCTCAACAACAACAGTCTCCCCATTGTCTGCAAACGATATCGAGGCACCTCTCAACACAGACAATGCATCCAACATGTGCTTTGTGTCATCGGAATGCAACAAGTTTTTGATCTGGACAGTACCAGAACCCAATGCGGCAAGTATCAAAGCTCTATTGGAAATTGATTTTGAGCCCGGTGGTGAGATTGTAACAAAGTCTGGAAATTCCTTAAATGGGTGAACCAATACTTCATCAGTCAAGACAAATTTCAAGTCGTCTTTTGAGATCTGATGTGCCTTGAGTTCGTAGCATCTGCCAATTCTCTCCAACAAAACACATCTAATCTTACTACCATCGTTTTTCTTGTCAATCAACATTTTTTGTATCAACAGATCAATCTTTAAGTTGTACTTTTTACCCCCAACAATCTTTGAGAAGTTCTTTTCATCAACAGAGACTGGTAACCTGTATGCTGCAAGGCATTTGGAGAGTCTGGCAACAGCAACTGGTGGTAGTATTCCCAAGTATCTTGATAGTTCAGCTTCCTTGATCATTCCAATTGAAACACACTCACCGTGGAGAGCTTCGGGTGTGAGAATAGCTTCAATGGCGTGGCCAATGGTGTGTCCAAAGTTTAGCAAATTCCTCAATCCACCTTCCTTTTCATCTGCCGATACAACGGAGGCCTTGACTCTTACTGATTCCAAAACAGTTTTCACCAACTCTTTTCTAATGCTTTCCAAATTGGGCTTCTCAGAAGTCACTTCGGCAATGAATTTTGGCGCAAACTCCTCCAATCTTGTAAACTCTTCTTCATTCCAAATTGCCGCAGTTTTAACAACTTCAGCCATCCCATTGATAAATTGCCGGGCTGGCAACGTTTGCAAAAAGGAAACATCACAAAAGACATATTGCGGTTGATGAAATGCCCCGATAAAGTTTTTCCCCAAAGGTGTATCAATGGCGGTCTTTCCACCAACTGATGAATCCACCATTGCTAGTAATGTGGTGGGGACTTGTACCACTCTTACTCCACGCATGAATGTTGCTGCAACGAAGCCAATCATGTCACCAATGACTCCTCCACCAACTGCGAGTATAACGGTATCCCTAGTACATCCTTTATTCAAAAGGAAATCCTCCACTGCAGCCTTTGTCTCACGGCTCTTGTTGTTTTCTCCAGGAGGTACAAAGTATGTCAAGAGTCTTGACTCTGGTCTTTTTATTTGAAGTTCACTCTCAAAGTCTGACACCAATTTCTTGAAAGTGTGAGTTTTTGCCATGTTGGTGTCACTGATAATCACATAGGTCGATGAAGCCAAGTTGGCAATTGTCTCACTGACAATGTGAGGCTGTATTTCATAGCCCACATGTATCGATTCCTTACCCAAGATGGGTACTTTATTAATGGACATGGTGGTGGGCAACTTAACTAAGTGACTCATGGAAAAAAAAAAAAAAAAAAAAAAAAAAAAAAAAAAAAAAAAAAAAAAAAAAAAAAAGAAAAAAAAAGAAGAAAAAAAAAAAGTGAAAAATTTATTTACAGGATTGATTTTATGTACTCTATACATTCGTCTTTTGTACCCAGAGGGTTATCCAACTGCCACACCAACACATTATCTATAGCTGGCTTCATCCATGGACCCGGTTTCCTCGTGAGACACTTTACTAGTTGATTTCCATCAAGAAGTGGTTTCACTAAGTGCACGTCGATTAGATCTAGCGACTTGATCGTGGAGTACAATGACTCATACTTGGCGATAATGCTTTGGATTGTTTTCACTTGGTCACTGGTACATTGGACTCTGTGGTTTGGCACGGGAATCTCCACTGGTGTTTCCATTCGGATAGCATCCACGCATTCAAGGTAACATTGTACAATCAAATTGAGGTCCATATACCCTGGAAAACGTCTCAAGTAGGTTCCCAAGTCTGATCTTTTTACACTGGCTGGATCTTTAAAGTATCTTTGTAGTGTTTCGTTTCTTGTTAGACTAATGGTGGAGACTCTTGTGATGTCACTCTTTTTCGCCATCAACCCCAATCTCAAATACTGATGGTATATGTCTTTGGTTTTCGTTGTGACGATGGAGTAAGGGTGTAGAATTACTGCAAGCCAAAAATTGAACCTCGCGTCACCATCTGCTAGGAACTTTTGGAAAGTTGATTTAATGGTTGAGTCGAGGATAAGTTGCTCAAAAGTGAGGTATATTGCACTAGCGACATTAACCTGATGGGGAATTTTGCTCAATGCCAACTCCAATTGGTAAACATCAAACTCCTTCTTAAGCTCCTCCACAAAGAATATGCACTTGCTGAGATCGCAGTAATTGATCAACTGTAATCCGTAGCTTGGGTTATGACTAGTTAATATTTTCCTCAACTCTATTTCAATCCTCTCTTTGCTTATCTTTGTCAGAAGAGCTTGTTGGTTGTGTTTCTCTCTCATTGCATCCAACGTCTCCAGCTCAATTGCAAAGTTGAACTTACTGGCAAACCGAATCAATCTGAGAATACGCAAGGGATCGTCCAAAAAGGTTTTCACTGGAGGAAGAGGCGTTCTTAGTATTCCCTTGTCTAAATCATCCATCCCTTTTTCAGTAAAATCCTCGATCTTTTCTTCATTGAGGTTGTAAAACAATGCATTCAAAGTGGCGTCACGTCTCAATGCGTCTTGGAGTGGCGTACCAAACTCAATCGTCGGCACTCTGCTATCGTGTGCATACTCCTCCGACCGCAAATTGATAAAATCCAAATCAATTCCATACAATTTCGTTGTGCAAGTCTCCAAATGCTTTGATTTTTCGGGATTCATCTTTATCGTGTGTACGTGGTTGACAGAAAATTGGGGGTCTTTGCTCTTTAAGTACTCTTGGAAGTTGTGTACAAACTCCTCCCCAGAAAGGTGGTTAACAGCAATGTCAATGTCGTGACTGTCATACCCAAGCAACTTGTCTCTAACCCACCCTCCAGTGATTCTCAAAATCAATGGCTTGTCTCGATGGGATGCATTGTAGTGGTTACAATAATCAACAAGTAAGTTGCGGATATCCAGTTCGACTTCGGAAAGTGAGATGACATTTGGAATTCCACGCCTCATTGGACTGTGAAGTAATCTATACGGTTTGAGGATACCCTTGAGCATGCAATGTGGTAACGGCTTCGAAATAAAAAAACAAAAAAAAATAAAAGTAAACAGAAATCAGCGAAGAGAAAAAAAAAAAAAAAAAAAAAAAGGAAAAAAAAAAAAAAAAAAAAAAAAGAAAAAAAAAACTCCGAGCAGCCACAAAAACAAAAAACGAAATTACAACAACACAACACACTTCGCTCCCAGTAAGAATGCAGAGCGGTNTTTCAGGTGGGCTTTTGAAAAGAATGTTTTTGAGACAAGAATCTCCAAATTTCTGAGACATTTCTGAACTGTATATGTCCTGGGTAACATTAGTGGTATGACTACACTTCTAAAGAATGCTTAACTACGTAGACCCCTTTTTTAGTTGTGTAGGAACGATTTTGAGTCTGTTACGTGCAGACTTTGCCAAAACTAGTCTTGTCTAATAGCTCCACGTAAACTCATTGAAACCTTTGGGTAGACTCTGTCATAGCTATAAGAGGTATTAATGTATGGGTTGAAAGACTTCTGCACAGGACTCACCGTTACGTGAATTAACACGTTAGTTTAAGTTAAAAAATAGTGTTTTTTTGCAGCAAGGTATTGACAAAATATAAAAACTCAATAGCCTCGGCGCTCGGCGCAATTAGAAATTTTATATACTTGTGGCTCCAGAAACTCTGTCGCCCTCTCCCACCCCTCTGAAGCAACCTCTCAATGCTATTTCTGTACAATCAATGGTTAGTTAAAATAAACGCCTCGTCGAGTTCACCAAAAGGTGCATCTGGGAACGGTCATCATGTACTTTTAAGCTGAAACACAGTGACGTTGTACTAAAGAACTGCTTTTACAGTCTCCCCACAAAAACATTGAGTGACTAAGAGCTCTTTTCTTTTTTTTTTTTTTTTTTTTTCATGCTCATCTCCTATGTGTGGGGAAGATCCCGAAGCTCTCTTTACACCACTTGTGGTCACAGTAAACAGTGAAAACTATAAATGTCGGTTTATTTTCCGGTGAAAAAAAGAAAAATTCGGTAGTGAATCCGAAAACCAAAACATTGGTTGCACCAATGGCTGCCAACAACAAAATTGGTAAAGACGCCACGACCAGCAAACGTTCAAGAGTGAATTTGGCATGCAACAGATGTCGTGAAAGGAAAACCAAATGCGACGGTGGAAAACCTTGTGCAACATGTGCTAAACGCAATGCCGGTTGTGTCTATGGAACAAAGTACGCTAGAGCTAATGTTACGGTCGAGTATGTCAGAGAGTTGGAAGAGAGGTTGGGTATAGCTTCGACTCAATCCATTATGCCTCCCAGTATCAGCAACACGATCTCGTCCGAGCGTGGGTATTCAATGCAACAAAATCTCAATGGAAGCATACCACCCCCGCTACAAGGTTCAACTTATCAGCATCGTCGTCAAGAGTCGGTTGCAAATGCTACACAGAGTGAAGCCACCGGTGTTACCCCGTCAAGCTCCATAAATACCACCAATTCTACCTCCAGTGTGTTCAGAAGCTCAAAAGATTCCACTAGTGCAATGGGTGCAGGAGATATGGCCAAACACAAGGGAAAAGACAGAGATTACTATGGATCTTCAGCTGCAATATCGTTTATGAACAATCTATCAAGCATCATCGATAAATCTGATACAGAGAATGATGAGACAGAAACTTTCTACAAGATGTCTCGATCTGATCCAATGACGACAGTTGCAGTTGCTGACTTGGAGCTCCCGCCTAGAGCTCTTGCTGACCTCTGTGTCCAAAACTACTTTGAATTTGCCTACACTTTGTACCCATTTGTGCACAAACCAACATTCATGGCCACTTACAACTCATTATGGGGAGATGAAGAATCTGGAGTTGATGAATTGTTCTACTCAATTGTCAATGTGATATTTGCATTTGGCTGCCAATTGGCTCCCGCTTTTCAAAATATGGAGGACAATTCTGACATATATTTTGAAAGATCACAAAGATATCTTCGATTTCACTTGATGGACAGTGGCTCGGTCTTGTTGGTGCAAGCTCTATTACTCAATGGTCAATTCTTACAGGCAAGTTCTGGCCTGGCCGGCTGTTGGAACATTGTGGGGTTAGCCATTAGAATTGCACAAGGGTTGGGATTGCATCAGGACCAAAACTATGCTTCCACAAAGAGTCTCATCGAGAGGGAGATTAGGAAAAGATTATGGCAGGGTTGCTTGTTAATGGATAGAATTGTGTCCATGACTTTGGGAAGACCAATGATGGTGGTGCAGAATTCTGAGCAAGGAGAAGTACCATTATGTTTGGATGACGAGTACATCAAGGATGAAGAGGTGTTGCTAATGGATGTACCATCCAAATTAGACTTTTTCGCTCAGACCATCAAGTTATACAACATACTTGCCGATATTCTCAACTCGGTTTATCCCAATGATCAACTTGACAACAACCCACAAATATTGCTTGATATTTTCAAATTTGAGCACAGACTACACAACTTTGAAGCGAATTTGCCTAACCACCTACACTTTAGTGCTGAATTACAAAAAATGGTTCCCTTTGCGAGACAAAGTATAGTATTACACATCAGAGTGCTTCATCTCAAAATACTACTTTATCGTCCAGTGTTGTTTCCAAAAAAGTCCAATACATTTGAAGTCAAGGGCTCTGAGTTGTACACGTCATCACAAAGGTCGGTTGCATTACATTGCATAACTTTAGCCATGGAATTCCTCGAAGTTATCTCCAAATATCGTGCTGGAGATATTGTTTACTTGCCAGCCCACTGGTACAATGTGTTTTATATTTATTCAATTGGAACTGTTCTTCTTGCAGCAAATCTCCAAGTTACCTTACATAAGGATATGGATATGGTGGCATTTGAAAGAGCATGGAGCTTGTGTTTGGAAATGCTTCGTTCGTATACTCAACAGTCTGAATCAGCAAGTCGTTGTCTAGAGGTTTTGGAAATGATGGGAAACAAAGTTCAAATATCATCACGAAGATTAGCCACGCAAGCGAATACTCCTAGTAATGATGTTATTACACTTCGGGAGCTGGAAATGCACTACAGCCCTGGCTCCACGTCACCAGAGGTGCCTACAGATGTGTTGTACTCTTTGCTTTACGATACTGCTGGTCCGTTTGGAGGTCCTTTCCATTTTGCGGATGATATAGCTGCATTTCACTTACGTTAGCGTTATATGGTTTGTATAACATTGAAGTAGTTAAGGCAGACATTTAATATAAGGAATTAGTGATGAGCTAACTTAAAACAAGGGCAATTCAGAGGGAAATGTAGAGATATTTATATTAAGAGCAACTAGCAATCATGGGAATACAGCCTAGTTGCATCACCATCAATAATCATCTTGGCAATGTATCATCAGTGCCATTCGTAGCTTGGCAATGTAACATGATATCCTTTACAGATTCTATACTATCGTTACTAGTAGTGATGCAAGTAGCACTTCGTCAGACCACTG